ATTCATAGAAACAAACACTCCCTCTTAAAGAGTTTTTACAACAGTCTCGATAGAGGTAATTATAAGCAAAATGAAAAACAAAATATCTTTCGAAAGGAAGGACAATGGCAAGCAAGAAAAGTTAGAGAAAGAGAGAGAGAGAGAGAGAGAGAGAGACGATGGAACCACGTGAATTGGGGAAGCAGAGGGAGACGGGCTACACTATTTTGCAGTTAGCAATTTAATGAAAAGATTAAATGCTACACTTTCTAATATTCCTTTAATATGTAAAATTCATAAGTCTATGTAGATCCACCTCAAATACCTTTTAGATTACTATATAAAATGGTATTTAATTTTTATATTAATAAACATCATCCATCGACAACAAAATCAGTGGCAAGCAATGAGAAGCGAGTTGATATAATTGAATAAACATATCGCATATGGCTATATAGTTTTGTGTATTTAAAGATTAGTTGATTTCAAATTAATATACAGTACAATATGTTTGATTATTATTTACAAACTCTGTAGCAAATACTATTTAAAGGATTATAATCGGCAAAAGGCTATCAAAAATGATTTTTGTGTGAGGTCACACCATTTCTCCCCTCTGTCGGGAGTATACTTTTAATTACTTGGTACATTCCGTGATAAATGCATACATATCTATTATTTATGACTTTTACATTGTCTTTTTCTGTCTTCTACTTGAACTTATTTTAGAGTTTATACTCAAATGCCGAGTTTATTATATCTTCAACTAATCCGAAAATCTACTATGTTCAATTGCAAATCGAAAAAGTTTTTAAGATAGTCACGTGACTATTCTGAGAATTAACTCCTTTCTAGTAAACAACTCTCCAACAATTTGTTTTCAGGCAACAACCACGTACTCGATTATTGGACGACCCTCGAGAAATCGACTTGTGAATCCCGCATAATGAGGCGATTGGAAAACGATCGGAGGCGTCTGATAGACGCCCTTCTTCGCGCTTCGTTTAACGAGGCGATTAGTCGCTACTGATCAAGCGGTTTGTAATTAAAAGTATCCGTAGGATGATTATTTACAATTCCTTAAATAATTTATATGACTTTTCAACGGAGAAGGCTATTCTTGAATAAATAATGTGATTTAACTTATGTGACGCAAGTTGATAGATAAATCATTATTACGAAGAAAAGGGAAAGAAGTGAAAAAAAAAGAAACGAATATAAATTCACATAATTCTTATTATAGTCTTTTTTATCAATACAAGAAAAAGTATATGTTATTATTTTTTCATAAGTCTTTTATCAATAAAGTTCTTTGACTGATTTCTCTTTCTCTCTCTCTCTCTGTCTGCCTCTTTCTCCCTATTTCTGACTCTCTTTTCATACATTTCAATCTCCTCTTTTCTCTTATTAGTCATGACAAAGAAAATTGACAAAATACAAAAAATAAATGCCTCTGTTTTTATCCTGGGTGCAGTATTGATTAATTATCGTTAATAAAGAGCATATTTCGAGTTCTTTTAAACCCATAATAAATGATGGAAATTTAAAGCTTCTTTTATAATAAATTATGTAAAATTAAAGAAATTTGGTGACAAATTCAGCTTTTAAATTAGTTTAGTCTTTCCCTAACAGTCTACAATTTTTCTATGTATAATTATTTCTAGGACGTTTCCACCTTTAATGACCTTGATCAGTTGTACTAACTTGTGAAAGGTCGGGCAGAAAGTTTCGCAAGATCAAAATTCAAAAGTAAAAACTCTACCGTAAAATACCCAGACTCTTGGTATGAAAAACGAAATTAGCTTACTCTCCTGCCTGACGGTCGGTGGGTGAAAATTTACATAATTATCAGCGGCGTCTATAGAGGCTGGCCGGCGTCTAAATTCGATTAGATGCTGCCCCAAATGTGCATATTTGTCCGATCTTTTGTCTGCTTACCGACCCTTGCGTCGACGGCGTCTCGCAACCCCTTAATTGAATAGGCTGGAAGTTGAAAAATTCTTTTTCACGATGATTTTAATCAATACATGAACAATGAAGGGCTTTATGTCTTCTACCTGCAGTAGTAATTATCTCTCCAGCTAATTTTCCTTTTTTTTTCGTTTTAAAGTTAATAAGTATTTGTTGATGTTCCAGTAAAGTAGTTGCTTTAAAAATTTACAAATTTTTAAAGGTTATAGGTCAAATTATTTTTACACAAACCTTTTTGTGCAACTGTGGAAATTGAATTCTAGTACATGTGAGGGCGTCACCCCTTGAGACTTGTTTTAATTCTATCTCTTTGTAGCGATAGCTGTTTCACCGATTAAGAGCCCTAAAAACTTTTCTCTTTTTGTAGATTACTTTTTTTGAGACTAGTATATACTTATCAAAAGTATAAATAGGCTAAATGTGTAGCTTAAGGTGTCGTTTAAAAACTTAAAGGGTAATGAATGATTTTTTAATAGCCTATCGCTAGTGCACTTTCATTAAAAAAGCGTCGCTGAGAATTTACTTGAAATTTATTACATCGTAAAAATTTTAAAGTACATTGAACAGTGAACTATTTTTGTTTACCTATTTTGTGCTTTTCATTTAATAATTTACTTCTTTAGAAAGACGCAAAGTCCCTAATTCTCTAGCTACCCTTACAGATTTAGGACTAAGATAGGTATCGCTCGCTGAATGGAATGAAAACGGAACACTATCTATTAGAATCCCATTGAGAATATCGTTACATCTTTTGATATGTTCCAGCAAGTTTATAAATCCGAATAAAAAGTAGAAGACAATTAGCAAAGTTCTTTCTTCCTAAAGTGCGAGAAATAGACAGATAGACAGACAGACAGAGAGAATGAGAGAAGATATCGTCTAAGCTAATTCAGGTTATGATCGATCGTGACGCGTATGAATTGAAAACAAGAAAGCTTAAACAGTATATTACGATCAATTCGTATATAAAAATTGGAAATTTCCCTCGTGTTTAATTAGGTCTAGACACTACTTATACTTTGATTTTGGTCTAGTTCTTCTTTCTCTTTAAATTAATAGAAAAATAAAAAAAAAACCTTGTTTAAAATTTATTGTATATGACTTGTTGAAAGGAAGGAATTCAGGTCATGATCCCCACCTAAGTGGATTTAGAATCGATTGAAGAGCTATCTGTATAATTTACGGATTGAGAGTACTGTCGTCCGCACTAGTATATTTGATCTTTTTTTGTATTAAAAGAGAAAAATGATTGTTCAAAATTCCTATAAATCATTGAAGAAAAATGAGAAAAAGTGCATGATTAATATGACCTTGTGACCTCTAACATTGTTGAACACGCAGATTTTTTTCAAGATAAAGGAACCAAGGTAAAGATGCTTGAAAATGGGGAGCGGAAAAGTGAGATAGAGGGAAAGTATATGTCATTATCTAATGGCTAAGGACCGTAGAATTATATGATTATTATCTATGAAATTTAAATGAGTAAAATTAATTGGTCTACGCATTGCATTATATTCAAACAGAGTTAAAAAACTAAAACATATCTTTATAGCTTTTTCGGCGCTTAAACTAATTCCTACTGATATTATCAATCTACTATTAAATTTTTTTTCAGATATTAAACGATAAAACGATATTTGAAAGAGATACTTTTTTAAGCTTGTATATGCATTTAACAATCTCAATTTAGGGATGTAATCCTTCAGGTCAATTCAAGTTCTTTCTACCCGTTCAAATTGTCCCAACTATTCATGCGTAGGTGTATGCATATGCATTTGGGTATATGTATGAATATATAGGCCATCCGGTAACCGCTGATTTTAGGTAGAGGTCAGGGAATTTTCAGGATTTTCTGCTTAGCAAAGCGTTTATATAATCTTCATCGAAGGTTGAAGATCATGCTTTTAACCAGTCTAAATACTAAGGTCAAAGACATAGGTCACAGAATACACACATACACACATATATATATATATATATATATACTGTATATACAGTATATGTATAAATACGAATACGCATGAACCGTACACAGATATAAAGTCATTTTTTGCATATTTATCCACCTTACAAATGACATGTGAATATCAAGCTGATTATATAATACGGTTGCGTCGGCGTCTAAAATTCAAAATTGAATTAAATATAGATATATTGTATATATACAAATAAATTTATATACAGTATATATAAAATTGTATAAAACAATGTTAAAAAAGGAATAAAAGAGAAATAAGATATTAAATGAGAGCGTTCAACCTTTATTTTATAATCTATATTAAATGCGAATTTTTAAAATGCGGTTGTACATAGTAATGCAACATATTAAGTAAATATACCCATGAATATAAGTTTTCCAATAGCACTGTCTATGATTTGTTGGGTGGGCGTTTTATATCGAATAGTTTTATCGAACAATTACACCCACTAACCAACCAATCAACCACCCACCGGCCGATCCCCTTCCAATTTTACTCCAAGCGAAACGATCGATTGAGGGGTGGAGGAGGAGGTTGAGGATTGTGGGTAATAATAACGATTTTAGTTTGTTTTATAGGTAGCTATTAATTCGGTTGAAAGTCTATGTAAGAATTGTAGACCTTTAAATAGTAGACGTTACGTCATTCACTGAAGCCGGTACTATGTTGATACTAGGGCACGCGTATAGCGTGCACGGAATATACAAATAAACAAATATCAGCTGGGATTTTTTTTTACGTAAATCATTCTCTTCTCGGACCTTCTTATAAATCTTTTAAGCTATTGTTCGTATTTTTTATCAGTAATATTATGAATTCTAAACTGGCGTCTAAAACTACTTCAATTGGAAATGGAGAAAGTGATTTTTGTTATTTTTAACGCTTTTTTATATTTAACGGACACAAATTAAGTTGGCAAATTTCTTATAAACATATTTTTACTTTTTCAATAGATATTAAACGGAAAATTAAAGCATTTTCTTCTTGATAATCTTTACAATAGGACTGATTCCGTAGACAGGTAACATAGGTCTAGAATTTCGCATGATTTTAATAAGACACGAACCAGATTTTCGTGCGCGCCTTTAAGTAACTGCTTTTCCACTTATGCACCTATGTTTACACAGCTGATTATTGCAGTCAAGACATTCATTTATAGAGCTAGAGCTAGAATCTCCGTCCCGCTATGTCTTAATACGGAAAAAATCATTAAATTCATCGATGTAAGGCAATAAACGTTGTATGTATATAATGTATATATTAACATATTAATAGTATTTATGTATAGAACATAATAGATGTGGACCGCTGATCTTTCTCCGCGATGTAGATTCTTTTTTGATATTTAACAGACCTTTTTCATGTTCTTTTATGTGTATGTATATTTGAAAATATACATGTATTTTAGCTTTTATAATTATTTATATAAATAGAAACACTTTTTGCTTTTCATACAATTTTGACAAACAAAAATTGAATCACAAATCGGTTATAGCTGCCGATGTGAAGGCACACTCACACATGCAAACAATTTTTTCTATAGACATACACTCTGAGGTAACTGAAAATCCACCTTAGAAATTTTTTGGCATTTAAGTTTTCATTATCTTACATTATGTACAGAAACATAAAATAAAAGTAATAAAGAACATTTACAAACAATATAGTGCAATACTAAGTCGATATAAAGAATATGTATAATCTATATTACAGTTGTTGAACCTTCCATCTCCAGTCAAGAGCTTCGTAATGACGGTCGAGGGTAGACGGCTACGCGTAATGTGGCGTCGTATTCTTCGCCACCGCTTAAATCACCTTCGGAGCTGGCTTCTGATTCTTCGCTGGCTCCTCGGTTTGTGGAACAATCTTCAAACTTATCACCTTCCAAATAATTTATCGCGGCAATTATTGTTTGGATATTCCTGGACGACATACTGCTATCTACCACTCTTTCGGGAGGTTTCGACGGTTCTAAAAGGCGGTTTTTCAATTCACGGTTCTCCTCTTCGAGTTCTTTTCGTTTCCGTCGTTCTTCTTCGAACTCTTGACGGTAATCTGATGGTAAACTTTCGTCCAATGCTTCGCTTGTATCACGTTTCCGTCGTTTTTGAGGAGGACTGTCTCCGTGACTGAGCTGTCCTAATAATTTTTCGTTTTCCTTCTTAAGGTTCGTTCTCTCTTGTAAGAGGCGATTTAGATAATCCTTAGTTCTTTGAAGTATGCCGGCCTACAGAAAAAAATCGATAGGAATGTCTGGAATGTAAAAGAGAGCCGCTCCCGCCAAAATTCGACCTCATGAATATTCATTAATTACACTGGCCATATGTTGTACCCACTGACCCCTAGACTAGCCCTAGTGAAAATATACATACCTTACTCATCTTCTCATCAACTAATGGTAACATAGTTCTTAAACTTTCAAATCCAGCGTTAATACTTTGCATTCGCCGCCTTTCGTTATTATTAGCGATTTGCCGTCGAATTTTACGTTGTTTGTCCATGTCTTGAATATCCGGACTTCTATTTTGAAAATTTAACGAATTTTAAATAATCATTTAATATGTCCGCCAAAAAATTATAGTCCGTACCTATCACCAATATCTTCTTGACAGGAGGCTCGGCGTTTAAGGGAGGCAGGTAGAGACATTTGAGAGAAGCGTCTAATTTATGATAGTAGGAGCAGTCACTACGCTACAAATACGTTGTACTACATCGGCGCCAATCGCCAGAATGAGAAACGTGTTTCGTAGACGATGGCGGGAATGATGTGTTCTTCGGTTGTATTCCTTCGCGACGAACGCTGTAAAAAAGTCCTCTTTTGAAAATTTTTTACAAGTTCATTTATAATACAAAATAAAACCTCAAACGAATAATATTTTTTATAAAATCACAACCTTTCTATGACAAACTGGCCTTTGTTGATGTGGAACTATTTTTTTGTGTCTAACCAATCACCAACCAATTAGATTAGTCCTGTTTTACATTGACTGATAAATATTCATCAGCTATAGTAGACTAGGGAGAAAACGTCGCGTCTGAGCACTTTACTTTCCCTTATATTTTACGACTCACTCTCTAAAACCACCGTTTCTTGTTACTTTCCATTTTTTAAAACAATTAACTATTGTATTCCAGTGAAAATGCCTACTAAAACTGACTGTTTATACCTAAAAGTCTATTATTTTGAAAGAATTCTCTCTACTTCTTATGACGCACTCAATCGAAATTGGGCGGGGCTTGGTCAGCTGATTGCGAGAAAATGGCCGAATCAGCTGAATTTTTAAAAACGCTTTTTCTCGCCAAGAAATTTATAATGTTGTATTTCCTAGCTATTACACAATAAAAAATATTTACTGTATACTTTCAAAAACGTCAAATTACTTAACATTCTATATTAAAATATACGCTAACTATTATATTCATTTTGTAATCGTTCTATTCTTGTTCTATTTTTTAATTTTCATCAGTCATAACATAAATTAAAATGTATTTGTTGAAATTTTATATTTCTATAAATATCTTTGAGTTTTTTAACGTAAATTCATTTGTCTTCAAACAAGAAAATAACATCCAAAGTCTTCTTTTACCACCAAAATAAAATTAGTTAACAGTGTTGCCATCTATCTTATTCTACGTAAGTAAAAGTCTGTGACAGTTATTGCGCATGCGCCGTATAAGAGGTAAAACAAAGGAAGAAATGCGTATTTTTTTTAAAGATTATATTAATAATTAGATATACGATATAGGAAAATGAATATAAAATGTCAATACTAGATGATCATAAAGATAATAGTAGAATAGGGTTTACTAAGGATGAGAAATCACAGGATCTTCCAGAGTCTTTTATTTGTTGTTGGGATGATTGCAATTTACAGTTTTGCAATTTGCAGTCTTTAGTGTATCATATAGAAGAAATTCATGTACCATGGGCAGGCAACAACGGAAAGAAAGACGATCAAGGTAGGAGTGATTAAATAAAGACTTTATTAAATTGAATTTGCTGTTTATTAGGTGTTAATCAATACGTTTGTGGTTGGAGAGGGTGTCGGAGAGCTGGAAAGACTTTTGATGCAAGGTTTGTTTAATTTCTAAGACAAATAGATTTATTATATATATATATATATATTTAATTTAAATTTCTGGTGTCAATAATTGGACCAATATTAACTCTAGAGATTGCTGACGAGTCACACAAAATGCCACTATTTTATTGACAAGAATAAGTTCAACAAATTAAATTCAAACCTACCTTCCATATACTTTTTTTAATAAAACATATACAGGTGTATATTTAATAACATTCCAAAAAGGAACAAAATTTCATATAGGACTGTTTTAGAACTTTTATTATAAAGTTGATAAAATGAAAATTCTATTCCTAATTTGAAATTTTAGTTCAACTAAACTTTATTCTTACTCATTTAGAACTTGAAGAAGCGATTACGCATAAAAAAGTACTGTTGAATATACATATTTATCTGCTGAAATAGGCATTTAAGTGCAAATATATAAAAAACAAGAGAGGGAAAGAAAGTATGTTAGAGGATTAAACATTTATATTAACTAGTACTTATCCTAAGTAAGCACTTTTTTTATGATCCATCTTTTATATATACTTTATAGATGAAGCTAGTATCTTTCTTATCAAATGATAAAATGATTAAGGAATTGAATTATTTCAAGTTGATCTCTCATAGCAACCAATAGTCATTTTAGAGCATAAGTTTTACTAGTTTAAGTGACTTCCTCGATTGTTAACTCACCTACTGTCTCATTGATATATACAGTTTATATACTGTGTATATGGTGTGGCTAAATATATATATTCTATTATATGACGGAAATAACCTTAAGGTTTAAACAGCTTCCCGGAAAGTAATAATGAGTGGAAAACGATTCAAAGACAATAGTTTATTTAAGGCCAACATTTCTGCATGTCCATGCATATTTTAACTAAAACTATTGCAGTTTTCTATTTTCTTTTACCAAGACAAAGATAAATATTATTATTTATTTTCTCTTTTTTGATGACAGTCCCGCCTTTTTTCCTAAGTTTTGCCTAAAATTTTCCTTCATTTAATAAAGTAGAGCTGAACAAAAGTAATATTGGAAATTCAAACTTTTTCTTAGTTTAGTCTTTTTCTTTCGTTTTTCTACACAGTTTCAACAATTAAACTAATAATTAAATATAAAGTCAGCTTTTTTCATACTAAACCCAATCAATATATTATATATAAATATGACCTTTAAAAGAGAATTGCTACTATTTTTAAATTAGCAAGTCCTATAATCTCGACTCAATTTTAAAATAAAACTTTTCCATTAATTAATGTTTGATGGGGGGTGTGTGAAATATAATGGATATGCTGGTGCTATGATCTGATAAGAGTACTTCGTGGAAATAAGTTGACTTTTTCCTTATTTCACCTACGTGTGTTGAAGGATAGTTGTAATACGATACGGAAAATAGAATATAGAATATAAACGATGCTAATTTTCTCATAAGCAGCACGCTATGGTCAATTATTATATACAATAGAACTGACTCTCATTAAGAGATTAAATCATGAATAGTCCCTTTCAAGAGCCCTTCCCAACAAAATATTCGAGCATTTTTGCATTTTAAGCAATCAATACAACTACTATTTTTATTATTAATCATTTTAATTCGTTCTTAAATAAATCATTAATAAAATCTATAAAAATGTATATAACCGGAAGTAAAGTATGTGTTAGTCAGAAGTAAAAAATGAAATTGACAGTGTGTCTTTCTTTTTTTTTTTATACCAATTGTGCTAGAATTTATATTGGCTATTTATGCAGATACCGACTTCTTTTGCACGTTCGGACTCACACACAAGAAAAACCATACAGCTGCAAAACATGCGGCAAAAGTTTCGCTCGTATAGAAAATATGAAAATTCATGAGCGGATGCATACAGGTGAAAGCAAAACGGCTTTGAGTTAAAAAATTTTGCAAAAATCAACGTGTTTCATAAATCAGGCGAAAAACCTTACAAATGCCCGCATAAAGGCTGCACGAAAAGCTACTCGAATTCGTCCGACCGTTACAAACACGTGAAAACTCATCAGCAGCAACGACCCTACTCCTGCAAACAGTGTACGAAAAGTTATACGGATCCATCGAGTTTGCGTAAACACTTAAAGAGTCATGCGAAAGATGAACCGGCTTTAGAAGTTGAGAGAAAGCCAGATTTTCCCGGTCTACCTACTCCAGATTTACCATTATTTACGAGTGGTGGGAATTCTACAGCTCCCGTACCAGACTTTAAAAATATTGAGGACCGCAAAATTATCACACTACCACATTTGACTTCAAAGAATGTTTGCACGTCTTAACGATAATGACGAGTCATGCTTTTTTACTAATTTTTTTTCAGTTTCTCTTTTTCCCAACAGGTTTCTTTTCCCTTTTTTTTTAATGGATTTAAAACGATTTCTTTACATTTTCTTTTAAATAAAGTTTATTCGTTAACGAAGAATAGTTTTACAATAAGAAATAGTTGATAGAAGGGATTCGAAGAACATACTTAAAAAAGAATTTCGTTCATTTCAATAGGGCCAAAAGTTGACTCGATACCCTTGAAAGATATTCGGTTTAATTCCCTCAAGATTTTACTTTTTTATTTAAATCTATTCATTTTCTACTTTTCTTTGTTTGTTTCTATTTGCTACTTCTTGAAAAGCAATGAAAGAAACGATTGTAAATTGAACGATGAACTTTTAACATTCTCTCTCATTCACCCTTATTACTTTATTGGCTCTTAAGAGGGAAGGGGAGAACAGTCGTATAATTGATAATGCCGATCTATCGACTTAAACTCGTCTATTTCTTTTATCCCATCGATTCTAGCGAGAGAAGAATGAAAGTAATATATTGAGATGTTTGCGTGTTACTTTCCAGTTACGACTTGATCGAATTAGAGAATAAAACGAAATAGTAAAAAATTAAGATTTTCCCATCGGATATAAATCCAAACCAAGGCTGTCAGATGGCCTTGTTTTTATTGGGAAAAGCTTGATATTTACCTTAACTGAATGACATATGTTAACCTTTTACATTAATCTCTGACTTGGCATCAATTAGCTTTACTCTTTTTCTTTTTACTACTCGTTATTTCTCTTTAAACTGATTTAACATTTAAAAAATATATATAAAATATAAGGAACCCAAACAACGACTGCAATCTTTGGGGAAATCCCTGGTTTTCTCCCCTTGTTTTTTATAGTTGGTTATTCGCTCTTGGCGAATTTTTGCTTCTTTTTTACTACTCTATTTGTTATTATCTATCTTACTTTCCTTAAAAACTTCCTTTTCTAAATACTTTCCATTTCTCATACAACTAATCGATTTCCTATAATATTCTTTTATAATTAACATAGGAAATGGGAAAGGGACGTAAAGAAGACGCTGTCTGTCAGTAGAAATGGGGACGCTTTATAAAAAAAAGAAGAGAAAAATACACTTTCCTAGAATAAGAGAGATGTTATTCACCCTGAATAATCTTTCATAAAGCTATTACCCGTATGTATGCGCATCCGCCACTTATCATCTTAATTGTAATAGAAATAATAATAATAACTATTACTTGAACAAGATTAAAAACAACTTCCTTTGTTGATAATTGATTTTTTCAAAGCGTTCTATTAAATTTTTATCAAATGATATTTTTTTATTTATTAATTTATCAGGTTCTACTGTAATCAAATACGGTTACGCCAATATCAACTTCCGTTGGCAACCATACTTTGGTTAGAGCAGTGAATGAACTTGTTATATATTATCATATTTTTCGAAAGATAAGCTATCGAATGACCTCTTTGTACTTATAACAAAAAAATAAATGAGAACAGAGACAGATTCTAGTACTTGAAGAAAAGATTAATAGTTGATTTCCTCCGAAAAGTGAGAGAAATGGCAGATGTCAAACATAAAGTATCAAGGCAAACGATCGATGAAAAAACATTAACAGAATAAATTCGTATACATTCCAAGATAAAAAAAATATAGATTTTCCACTAATACTATTAAGTAAAAGTTGGAAAAAAGGACTACAACGTATATATGATCATATACTTAGGGAATTTAACATCCTCTTTGTACATTCTCTCTTAATACCTTTTGTATATATATAAATATTTTGTCAATTTAAAAAAATGTATAGCATGAAAGACATGTATACATGTGAAGCAAGAGAGAGAGAGAGAGAGAGAGGGGGGGAGAGAGGGGGAGGGAGGAGACAGACACACAGACAGACAGACAGAGATAACAACGAAATAAGACTTTTGAATGGATAAAAATAATAAAAAAAGTTATTTTTGTTTTTCTCTTTTGTTATATAATTTGTAAGGTAAAAAATCAATGGTTCACCTATTTTTTCCCATTGTTGCAATGCATTTTATAAACTTCATAAATAATAAAAAAAATGATTTCCTCTAGTTTCCGTTTAGCATCATCATAAATTTTCGTTGCTGTTTGTTTTTATTCTTTTTTTTTTAGTTTTGCAGTCTTTCGGAATGATTGAATACTTCATTCAAAAATTTGTATATCTCTCATAGATATTACTATCCTTCTTATAATCCCCTTTCCCCTAGTTAATGAATGAATAAAATTATTTGTTTTCTTTTAGTCTCTTTTCACGTTGATCAATTATATCGTTATTAGTAATATTTATTATTAAACTATTCCAAAAAATGCATATATCTATACAATTCTATAGTTTTTAGTGATATTTTTAGTAACATAGATAAAGTAATGTAAAGAGATATATTGTTTTTGTTGTATTGTAAATTCACTCCGTCTATGACGCTTTGAGCAATGTTCACTGAAAATTAGCAAATATTTACTGCTATATAAATAATGCATATTCATTTGGAAAGAACGATGAAGCGTTAAGCTAACTGAGCTACTAATGTGTCTCTCTGTTTTCTTTGTATGGGAAGAGTTATTCTTTTAAAAAAGAATCTCTTTTTTCATGATACGTTTGTACGGCCCCTATTCTTCGTTTCTCTTCTTTCTTTGCTATTTGCATTTACCGTATTCGTTGTTGTCATTAATCATTAAAATAATCATATATCTCTTATCTTTAGCATGGGAATACATTGAGAGGAGGTATGCATATGCGTACGAAAACGCAAAAATAACCCTTAGCCGGTCGACCATATTCGTTTAATTTGTATAAATTCATACTATTCAAAAACGATTTTCTAATATGATATAATATTACATTGTTAAGATTGTTTATTAAAAAACAATCTTGAACACTGCTTGAACGAGACAGCGCCCTTTTCAATAAAAAATTCATATTAAACATTCTCTTTAATTTCGCTCACGAAATTTAGCTATTTTGTTGTTTTGATTAATTATGAGAAAATTTTGCATTTTTCTTCTTGAGTTATAGCAATAAACCCCTCATTAATATATGTTTGGTATTATCGATCAGTCATACGATAAGGGTTAGGGAATCTGCCTAAACAGAAAAAGTGTTAGTCATAATACACTAGAGAAGAAAGAGAAAAAATTGAGAAAGAGAAGAAAATAACGAGGAAGGAAGAAAGAGAAGAATAAAGGAGACTTCAATGCGGAAAAATGGAGGAAACTAGCCGAAAAGAAGTACGTAAAGCCAGTTGATATTTTCTAAAAATTATGGATACAATATTAATTGTTGAACGCTTGAAATTTTCTCTTTATTGTAAAATTTCATTGACCAATATGAATATATTTTTCTATCTAAAATCAATACAGAATGGAAAAACGAATGGCCACGTTAACTTTGGTTTTATAAAAGAAGAGGAATTTGAAGACGTACAAACTGATAAATGTTGCGAAAATATTCCCGAGGGCGTAGGCGATAGTGGGCGCAAAGAGGAAGAAGATGGAACATCAAAGGATCTACATAAATTCAACGATGTAAACAATAATAATATCGGTAGTGGGGGCTTGTATACGAAAAACAGATCATCTTCTGTATCGTCAAGTAGGAAGAAGAGAAAATCCTCTAAAAAGCGTAAGAGTAGAGCATCTGAGACATCGTTTTCGGATTACGAAGATGTAAAAGATAAGCCATGTCTTACAGCTCATTCTTTAGCTCTTACAGCTGATTATGGGAAAAAGAAAAGTTCAATCCACGACCATAACATCAGACTATCGCATGAATTTAGAATAAGTTTAGGTGATTTAGTACGTTCAAGAGCGAAATTTGGAGGGTCACGGCGTAATTTGAAGGAAATCTGGATATTATTGGCCGTTGTCTGCAGTCTATTAGTAATAATGGCTATTGTTATTCCTGTTATATGGATAAAAGGTATTCTATCTTCTATGTTGCTTAATGAAATATGTTGTATTGTAAGAGACGAGTAATATTGAGAGCATAAGCTTTCTCTAGGATATATAATCTCTCTTAAAGATTTTGTCGATAAAAATCTATTAATAAAGCTTTTTCTTACTTTCAGAAGAAGACTCAATGAACGTTACAAACAGCACAAATAATGCAAATCATACATCAAGTTAATAATAGTAAAAATATTTAGTAATAAATGCAAAAATGAAAAGATGGCGCCATCGTACAGATCTATTTATTACATAATTATAAGGATTTGTTTTTGTTATTATATTAATATTTTATCGTTGTTGGAGAAAAATCTTGACAATTTTTAATTAAAATAGAAATAAATTAAATTATACAGAAATAGTTATCCTTTTCATCTTTCCGGTAATCTCTTTTATCTATTACTTTCCCTTTACCTTTCGTTTTATGCGCAAAAATTCGGAAAGAGACTGCACTATTTAAAGTATTTTATACATATATAAAGTATACGCATACGCAGTTGAATATGTTTTATATAAGTGAAAGTACTACATTGCGTATTTGTATCTATCTATTTCACTCTCACTCTCACTTTCACTCACTCAATCACTCTCCCTTTATTCCCTCCCCCTCCGCGTCTCTCCCCTTTTCTCTCTCTCTCATTCTTTGTTTTAATCTTCTCTTTACCCCACGCTGGCACCTTCCTTCTAAACAATTAGAACTTTGTCATAAACGGTACTATTGATGTAAAATAACTAATATATACTTTGTCCAATTGGAAATATCATCAACCTTTCTATATAGAAAAGAACTTCATTGAACCGAATGAGTCTTCCCTTTTGAGCACCCGTTGGTATTTAAGGTTTTAGGGTCAATGATGGATTTAGACCGGAAAGGGCCCTTTGCAATATAATAGTTCCATCAAAAGTGCAAACCTATCTCACTATTTCTCATTATTCGTCCAATATTGTGAGATGTTTTATAAAAAAAAAAAAACAAAATTCCAAGAGCCAAAATGAAACATTTCCCTATTTGTTACATTGTATTCAGCAATACTATACATAATATAAGATAGCGGGAAGTTAGATAGAGGTGGAGCCAAAGATGTGGAAGAAGGGAACAGGGAAAGTAAAAAATAAAGAGAGGAAAGAAAGTAGTTTTTCTTGAAAAGAGAAAAGAAAAATAGGAAAAAAGTAGGAGAGATAGACAACCAAGATTACAAATAGTATCTTCCTAAGTACTATTTTAGAGATAGACTTTTATATTCTATTAACTTAAACTTATATACAAGGATCACTTTAAACAACGCTCTCTTTTTATTTATATCATAATGTTTACAGTAATTTTGATATTTAAGATAATTTTAATGAAAAGTAAACAAAACGTGTACTGATTTATTGCACTATTATCGTTACTATCTATCTAACGAATCATAAGGAGAGATTGGTTAGGAGAGAGAGAGAGAGAGAAAGAGAGCATAGAAAGTAAACGATTCTTGTACGTTTGTGTGTTTGTAAATACATTCAAAGGAAATTTAAATATGTAATCAGTTGGTGTTAATTTGAATTTTGCGTGTAGGTTTTATAGGTAAGGATATATCAATACATTATCTCCTTTTAAATAACAAAGTTAACCGTTTAAAAAAGAGCCAAAATAATAGAAAATATTATGATTATCAATGTCGATAATAAAGTAAAAAAGTAGATTAGAAAAGAGGTAACTACAATAATATTTGTGTATTGAATATAATATATGATTAAAGTAAATTGGCAATTAATAATAAGTGAATGAAAATTAATTTAGTTATTTGATATTATTTAATAAAATTATATATTTGATGAATCTCTATGTTTCGTACGATTCGATATTTATTAACAAATATACGAAACAAAAACCTTTAAGTAATTAACAGTAATTGAACTCGAAATTTTCGCTTGTATTTAAGGTTATGAGTAATTCTGTCTGATATAAATATATTTAATAACAATAACTTACCAAATGCAAGACAGTAAGAATAAACTAAAGATATATACGAGAATATATACAGTTTACTTGTGTATTTATTTTTAAAACAGTCCATAAATGATCGGCTTTTTTCCAGGAATTAATAAAATGATTAGGCGTTGACGCTAGAGCTAAAAATGACGTCCGATCGTTTATGTTTGGCTGATGGCCAATAATGGCATATTCGTAAAAAGATTTACTCCGTCATTAAATCGTTTCTAGTCGAAATTTGCCATCATTACACTAGCTTATATTCTTCGATAAGATTAATAAAAAGCATGAAAAAATCGTAAACAACCAATCTAAAAAGAAATCCAAGCTTCCTCTCTTACAAACTTTCACCTTTAACCCAACTTTTTTCCTCTCCTTTTCCCAATAAAAAACATTTTAAGCAAACAGACTAAATAGAATAGATTTTTACAAATTTCTCCAAGCATCCTTTTTCTCTCTGTTTTTTTTTCTTCCCTTATCTTCTTCTCTCTTTTATAATAATGTGTATAGCTTTCTCGCCTAAATTAGACAGATAACAATAGGAAGAAAGAGATAAAATTAAAACGCAAAACAAGTTACTTTTATAATGAATTCGAAAATAGAAAGAAGAGAATAAATTGATCTGTTTAACTGCTTGAAAATCGCCTTAATATATTCTACACTTAGAGTGTTGTTGTAGTTGTTGAAGAGAATTTTCGTCAATGATGATTAATAGGAGTAATTTTTGACTTGAATAGAGAAATTATTCAAGATAAAGAAATAAGGAAGTATTTTTTCTTTGGTAAACTGTATAGGAAAGAGTTAAATTGATTTTTGAAAGAGAAAGAAGATATTAATCTTTCTCAGTAACATTTAATACTTTTCCCTTTTATTAAAACTTTTACAATGAATTAAAAAGTAGCCTTTGTGATCTTTGTGCAGAGTAAGAGCGAACAAGACAATGAAATGGCTATAAGTAGAAAAAAATGGAATACTGCATATACTGTATGTGCATTTAAAAGGAATATAGAATATTTGTTCAAGCTTCTCTTTAAGGAAACAAGAGTTTTATTTATTATAAAGTTCACTCTTTTTACTTAAAGATTTAAAAATAATTTTTAAAATCAACAAGAAGAAAGAAGTGGTAGAGACAGACGTATAGATAGATAAAAGAGGCGAAGGTACGATATGCTGAGGCAAAGACAGTAAATAAAGAAAATTACTCAATCTCAAGTGGATAGCAAAAGAGGAGGAGAATTAGGAGAAGGATAAGAAGGGAGAAGAAAGAGAAGGGGAGGGAAAGATTGCAAATTAAATTGATCTTATTTAATCAAAAAGCATCAGATACTGTAAAAAAAAAACTTGCAACACTAGTATAGCATAGAATTTCTAATTTACTAAAAACATCTCTTTAAAGCTTTCGGTCAATGACCGATGAGAATTTTCATTAGATGTAAAGTAAGGTTAATTGCAACATAAATTAGAGTTAAATGATATTAGCATAAAGATTTCAATAATAAATTTCAATTATTTACAATCGTAACAAGCTTAGAGCTAATGAAATTTGTCGATCGTGTTATATAAACAGCATGCATACATACATAAATAGAGATAGGAAAAAGGGGGGAAAAAAGCAAGTGAGACAGGGAGAGAAAGAGGGAGGGAGAGACATACAGGCAGATAGTCGGATGGGCGGTGGATAAACAGAGACGCAGTTTATTCAACATATACTTGTATGAATATTTCATATTTTGATTAGCTTTCCATAATATATCTTTACTATTATTGATACTATTCGTATTAAAAGTTAAATGTGGAAAGATGTAAAGAGATTTACTGTAAAGGGATATAGCATAAGGAAAGCATTCTTGTATTGGTTTGTTCGTTTGTTTGTTTGTTTCATTCCAGTAACTCTACTTTCAAATAATTCCATTGCAAAAACCAATCAGAGCTCTAATCGAGTTTGCCTACTCTAAAAGATTATGTATTCTTGGAAGCTTCGCTGAGTTATGATGTAATAAAAATAACACAAAGAAAGCGTGCAGGTGTAATAATCGGCATCGGGGACGTGCTTCTAGTTTTACAACACCAAATTATCCCCAATTTTTGACAGTTCATGACGATATTTATCGCCTTCGTTTGTCATTTAACGGAATACATTTCGTCATTAAAACCACTTTATCGTCTTTAGATTACAGAGTAGGATCATTAACGATTCCCGTCACGTGCCCTATTTGATTTCAAAAGCTAGAGTTATATTGCTTTGACTACACTTTCACGTAATCTTTCCATATTGAGTGTATCGGTAGATGTCGACAGGTGACAATAGTTAGTTAATTCACTAGATGGCGCCACGACAACACAATATTCAAAACAAGTTCAAACTAGAGCGACAAATAGTTACTTTAAAAATTACTCAATTTGTAATTATTGTTTTTGACCAAGGTGTATTACTATTGTCATAAATAACGGACAAAATACCATTGGTAGAGGGAATAGGAAAACCTTGTCTCTTTTAAACTGTTCTATTCTAACAAAGAGAACAAATCAAAACATCTAGTTGTGAAATTAAATAGTATAGATACATATATATATGTATAAATAAAGATATACAGCATAAAGAACAGACAAATATTTCAATAAAAACATATTTGTCAATATCTAGTACTTTTCCCAGTACGATTACCAAATATAAAAGTGTACAATGCCCCTGATGATAACTTTTACAAACTGTGATACACGCAAATAATAGAAAACTTTCATTTAATAGACATTTAATACATTTATTACATAAAGGAATATTTTTACTTTAAACTCATATAGTAAAAATATTAAATTCAATATCTTGTTCTGTAAAATTCATCAGTAAAAATAACTGAACAGTGTACAAATATAGCTTTTACATATAATCTTTATACGTTTATCTTCATTTCTTTTATTTTTTTCTTCGTTTCAATATTTAAATGCATTTTAGTACGAATTTTCTTGTGAATACATTTAAGTTTTTTCCCTTAGGTTGTTATAGAAGATTAATTATGATTCTAACACACATACAAACAACAATACGTGGTAATGAAAGTAATGAAAAGAAAAGGAATTGAATAAAAGTAAATAAAAGGCTTATTTTTCCATTTCTTCTGAATTGCTCTTATTTATTTTTATTGTTAATTGACGTGGGAAGATTCCTTTTCTTTTCACCCTCTTTTACTTTTATTTAGATCGAATGAATCTTTTAAGAAAGATCATTTTTGTTTTACTTTTTTTTACATAAAAGAACCATCAACTTTTCTCTAAATTCTTTGTTCTGAGCTTCCAAGTCTGTAACTTTACGTCTCAGGTCTTCATTTTGCCTTTCCAAAATGACGACCTCCTCTTCTTGGGCAACATTTTTCGCCTTCCTTATTTGTCTAGATCTCTTGGATGCTATATTGTTCTTCCTTCTCCTTTCGCGATATTTAGTATCTCCCTCTACATAGTAGTTAGCTTCAATAGCTTCCGAGTCGAAATCTAGATGTGCCCTCTTTAAGCAAGGTTCAGAATCAGAGAGTTGTTGATCCTTAAGGAAAAAGAAAGCGTTGTACATAAATATTAATAATTGACTATTATTATAATTTATTACATCGAGCACTCCCACTTCTTCTTTAAAGTTAGCAAGAAAGTGATCAAAATCAAAGTTCTTTTCGAAATCTTCCAAATTTTGACTATTTTCTGGCTTCATTTCCTCTTCAACAAATTCACTCTCAACCGGCGACAAAGGCAATTCCAGAGTAGGGTTTTTTATCAGTTCGTCGATGTTCAGGTCGGAAAGATCTTTATTTAAGAAGAAAAATTGATTGGATTAATAATATGAAACAATTCAAGATGATTACGAAATATAGATTAAAAACTACGGGTGAATTATCCTATTCCTGCTTTTTGAAATTCGCTTAATCGAAAGTATAATATCATAGAAGATTTTAAAAGATAGTTTCGATAAGCATTCATGAAGGTTAATGATAAAAAAGGCTCATTGTAAGTATTTAACGATTCACTCTTATGGTATTGCGAATCTGTTGTGCAATTCTTTCGCGCATGCGCACTTCGGATTTTTTGTTAGCAATAAATATTTACATAGATTTATGGTTACCAAAAGTTATGAATCATGAGAAGAAAACATTATCTCTTTCTTAAAAGTATTTTTATATAGTATTTAAAAGATTTACCGTTATCGTTAAATTGGCCACTTGGGCCATAGTTCATTCGCACATCCATCTCTTTTGTCTCCAGAATTTCTGGGAAATTCAAAACATCCAATAAAGCAATCTGCTCCTCCGAAGAGTAAGCCTGGGATTTCAGAGTCGGGGTTTCCGTTTTTCTCAGTTCCATTGTTGTACAAGTTTTTAGATTCTGCAAATTCTGACATTTTTCAAAGATATCTGATAAATCTAGGCTGTCGTGGGAAGAAATGGTGAACGATCTCGCTGACTGCGATAAGAAAAAATTAAATCGGCTTTCTTCGCCTTCTATGTTGCTTTGCTAAACGCCTGAAACAGTCAAAAAGACAAATATTAAAATTATGGATGAGTCATCGTCAGGTGAAAAATTATTTTCCATGATTAATTTCATCATAAATAGGTTACTATCGTCTTATTTAAGCATTTCAAATACTATTATATAATATTTGTTTCTTTTCACCTGTTTTTGTTTTACGGAGGCCGTGCCTTCCCGATGCTCCTAATCTCCCTCTTACGCTTAAAAAGTTACTCTCAACTATGGACTCCAAGTATCCGGTTTAGAATATATATCGAAAGGAAGTTTCTATTAATAGAAATGACGATATGGTCAACCAATCACGATTCTCTTTACTGTTGCTATTATTGGTAGTTGACAGTCGGGGCGGTGACGTATATCATGTATTTGTGTTCTGGCCAAAATTTTGGGCGTGCATTAACTTGATCGGAAACCAAACCAGGCCTTTTTCTTAACAAATAAAAAAATAGTTAACAACAAATATAGTTCCCTTATGACAAAAGTGATCGTCGTCGATTTAACCTTGGTCACCGGTTGAGAGTGACTGGAGCCGTACTAGTAAGAATATTTTACCAAATAATTTCCCGCCAAATCCAATCTAATTCTAAACATGAATTCTGAACCAAAAGTAAATGGAAATTCGATAAAGTAAGGCACGCTGGTTTAAAGAATAATATACAATTAATGACAAATTGTCTAATTGCGTTGTTTGCTGAAATAATTGATAAATCTTTTTTTGAGCGATAATAAAATATTTTGTACAGAAAAATTTCTAAAAGAGACGACTATTTAGAATGGTCCGAGTACTTTATGGCAATAAGCTTCTTATCAGCCCAAAGAAGTAAGGATCCGTCATCGCAAGTATTAAAATTTGAACAAATATGTATTTTTAATCAATTCCTAAGCTATTCAAATTTGATGTCTCTAGGTTGGGGCATGTATCGTTAACGATGAGAACAAAATAGTCGGTATTGGTTATAATGGAATGCCAAATAGATGCAGTGATGACGAACTACCTTGGAATAGGATTGCAGAAGATACTTTAGACACGAAATATCCATACGGTTTAGATTATTTGACTTTTTAATCAAAAAATTCTTATTTCTTTTTCACTTTATCTAGTTTGTCATGCTGAAATGAATGCTATTCTCAATAAGAATTCGTCAGATGTCAACAACTGTACAATCTATGTAGCTTTATTTCCTTGTAATGAATGCGCAAAATTAATTATTCAATCAGGAATTAAAGAGGTGTTTTTAATTCGTTTTTTTTAAAAGTCTTTGAACAATCATTATCTTGATATATGTTTAGCCAAGGTGTGCTAACTGAAAATCTTTCTTTTGTAGGTAATTTATATGTCTGATAAATATCATGATAGGCCAGAAATGATAGCGTCACGAAGACTATTAGATATGGCAAAAGTAAAATTCAGGTAAAAATTACAATTTGAGAGAATATATAGGCTAATTTAATAGAAAGAGAAGTGTCTACCGCCGTTTAATTATTATTTCTAAATCTTTCAGGCAATTTAAATTAAAGAGGAAGCAGATCGTTATAGATTTTGAGTCTATCGATAAATAAGACTGCAGAACAAGAGTTAATACGAACTTCCCAGTTTATTCATGAGCATTGTTCAAAGATAATAACTATTATCATGTGTTCCCACCTATATATCGTAGGTGTTAAAGAAGTAGAAGTAAATGCTATGTGTATGATTGTGTGTTCAAAATATGTATATTCCTTTAGTAGAAATGTTTAATTACTGTTAAATATGTATATGAAAAATACTATACAAGTAACATCTTGTTTTAATTATTTAATCGAGCATCTCAGAAGTTGCTTTTCATTCATAAAATCTCTTTTTTGTTTCAAGCTCTTTACGTTAAGATTTATACAAAGCTGAATAAATAGTATCTTTTAGTTTGTTTTATACACAATATACGAGTTAGCATAATCAGCATATTTGGGTATTGATTCGTGTATATTTATGAAATAGAAAGTAGAGGATTTTGTCTTGAAAGTGGGTGAATTTAAGGAATTAAATTTCTGAAAGGCGTTTCATTAGGTAGTTTGAGAAAGAACAAGGTTAAAATTTAATGTATATCTGTATAGAAACTGTTGATAAGTTATTTAACTGAATTAGATATTTGTACTGTATATATTCAATTCTTTTCATAACTATAGATAAGTTAATTATAGGATTATACTAGAAGACCTTTGCCAAAAGTTCAACAATCCTGTCGAGCATTTGTCTTGTATTCTCTTCCTTTCGTCATCCTTTCAGCTATTTATAATGAATGACCCATTTACTGAGCAATAATTTGTTAGATAAGAGAAGTTAGTTGCATTGATATGAACCGTTTTTTCTCCCTAATAGAAAGAAATCTTGCAGGAGCGTAGATCTATTGATTGATTAATAAATAATTAACAGCTAAGTTTTTGCTTGCAATAAATATCATAATATAAAGAATCGTTTATAGTAATGTATAAGGTGTTTTGTATTAGAATCGATTCATTTTTGTTGATAAGACGAACAACAGAATTTCCAGAATTAACTTGCTAAGATAATATATTTAATCAGTCACCTTTTCATCTCGTCGACCTGTTATCAATGATAGCCTTTGTGAAAGAAATATATTTTTACAACTGTAGTTAAAATTTTGTTACCAATTTTCTTACTGAACAATCTTTTACTGTTATACTGAAAATAGCACTCTACGTCGTAAACAGTTTTGCTGTTTTTTTTTTCTGAAAGCAATACACGGGACACTCGAATTGGATTTTTATACGAAGTGTAAAACACGTAATATATCCAACTAATTTGTGAACTTTTCAGAAGAAATAAACGATTAAAACAGCAATTGGCAAGTGTCTTTAGGAAATAAATAAACCACGTTGTTTTGCAGTTGGAAAAGTATAGATGATTCATTAGTTAATGAGATTGTACAATTAACAGCGAACTTTATAATGAGTGTAAAGGTTTAATAATATAGAATGAAAATAAGCACCGTAGGCAAATCCTAGCAAACATAAAAGTTCAATGACTCACTGGTTTTCATTATAATATATTTGGTTATTTCGAAATGAAAGAGAATGTATATTTTATTGTGTAAAAGTCGAGCTAGTTGAAAAATCAATAAAATCATCAATAAGATATGGATGATAAGAAAAATAAAAAAAAACATCTTTTCAATAAATTAATCGATATAAAAAGGTTGAAATACAGATATACTGTATACTAATGTTATTTAGTAAAATTTCCCAATAGCCCTATCTATTTATAATAGATTCTCTTTATCATTAAATATATGCTGGTGAACAGTCATTCGTTTAGTTTAGGGAAGAAGAAAGTAGAAAATACGTCAAAGTTTTTAGCTAAACTATTTCATTTATAGCAAATTAAGCATATTTTTTTTTCTTTAGTACTTTTTTTTTTCATTTCTAGTACAAAGTTAGCTTTGTTCAATACAAGCTATATTGTTATTGCGTTATTTATTATAGAGTAGATATACCTGTTCAATATTTGATAAGTTGCTTAATATATAATTAAAATGGGATTTCTATAATTATATATATATAGATATATTAATAATTTTTTATGTAAATTTAGAATACTTAAGAAAATTTTTAACATATTTCTATACTGTATATATATATATATATAATAATAATTTCATCTAAAATATGGTTACTTTCCTTCAGTGCTATTAACTTTTTTGTTATTATTTGTTTTTTGTTATTTTTTTTTTATAAAAAAAAAGATAATACTTTTTAAGAACTTTTTTCTAAAGTTTTTTGCCAAAAGATTTATTACTTTGAATTATATTTAAAAAGTTTTTTTTTCAATAATCAATATTGATTAAATCATTGTATTCAGGGCACTCTTCTTTTTTTTTACAGGTATGTGATATCCTTAAATAAACATTTGCTAATTTACATAAAAACTTGAAGAAATTTTCGCTTTAATTGAATTTTTTTTTCATATTTAAACTATCAGAGAAAGGAATAAGTCTTTACTCTTTATTTTTTTTCTTTGTTATTATGATATTGTTTTTTTAACTTTACCTTATTCTACTGCAAAAAGTTATAAAATATAAGAATAACTGCAAAATAGATAAGGTATAATAGTTTTAATAGAGGTTATTATGGATCAATTTCAAACGAATACCAATAGAGATAGTTTACATCAAGCGTTTCTTTTTCAACCTGTTACTAAAAGTTTATCTAGTTCAAGTACAAAAATTATTTCGGATATTCCGGCTAGTTCGACGTCGCAGCTAAGAATTGAGAAAAAAGGCACTAATGCTTGGAGAGAAAATGGCGAATACAAAGTTGAAGTTCCCTTTCAACTGTTCGCTTCTGGATCTATACCCAATCATTCAGTTAATCAGGACAACTTACAACAGAATCAATTGCAAAGTATCAATTTGCAGAATAGCATCAATGGGCAAAATTTTCGGCCAATCTCATCAAGGGATTCAACAAACAGACAATCACAGCAATATGGGTCGAATGTTGTATATGTTACAAGTTCGAACGAGCTAAATCGACTTCCAGCAAATGAGAGTGAAAATATTCACGTAAGTATCTATTAAACGTTTTATGAATATAAGGCTTATAATCGTTTTTCAATAAAAAACACTATTGAAGGAGAGAAATGTTCATATTACTGAAATGAATAAAGGAGCACCTCACGCCTACACTGGTATACCACCAACAATTGAAATGCATATAAATCAAAAATTACGGGTTAATTGTCCAAATAACATAGAAAGTACAAGCAAATTTAATACGGTAAACAGCAGTAATTTTAATAGCAGCAATGAAATGAAAAGTGGAAAAATTGTTAAAAATGTTCAAATAAATGAACCAATAATGGTAAATCGCAATATGAATTTAACTGAAAGTTTTGGAAGTCAGAATAGCTCCTTTAGAAAGTTTGATAACTCTCAAACTAAAACGGAAACTATCACAAAGAATATACGAATAAATAAGAAACCTTCAATGAAGAAGAATACTAAGATTATCGTCAAAAGAAGGTCTAGCGATGTTGTAGATTTCGTAAATTCTTCTACTGAAGACAGAGAAAATTCTGAATATAATTTAAGCGATAATTGGAATTCCTTTCTTCCAAAAGCTAGTCCTATCAACCCATCGAATACTGAAAGGCAAGAGATTCTAAGACTTTTATACGGTGCTCCGTCGACTAGTATAAAGCAGTCTATTAACGTCGAGAGGGAAGAAGAAGAGATAACTGGTTCCGTATCTTCGTTCGATCCCTTATTGAATTTTGATACTGTTTCTGAAAAGGTAGATTTATGCTTTGAAAACGGTATAGCAAAATTACAGGTAAGCACTTTTCTTCCTCTTCCTCGTTTCAATTTAGCTTTTATGGCCTTTCCTTTTCATTCATTACAAAGGTTAAAGTTCGATGTGAAAGAGTCGTTCCGATAGAGGGAAGTGAAAACCTTTTTAAGAAATCATCTGTAATTGTAACGAGACTCATTGATATTGATTTAGAAGTTACTCCAGAAAGGAGGAAACTACTTGAAACGGTAATGAGAACTTCTCATAGAGAGGGAGGTGGTAGAGTAACATTGTCAACAACAGATACTTTCAAGCTCTACCGAACGTTCATGGGAATGGCCGAAGAGGGTGAAGAGATAAGAAAACAAACAATTGCCGTAGACGAAAAAGTCGACGAGGGAATAAGACCAAAAGAAATAGATAAAGATATAGATTTAGAATCGATATATAGCGAAGAAGACGACTATTACCAAGCTACATTAAACGAACAAAGTATAGAAGCAGATATTCTTTATTAGAAAAGCTCTTTAGAAGATTGTTTTGTAATTAGTTTAATTAGTAAATAAATAAACAAAAAACGAAAACTATTGCTTCTCTTCCTCTGTAGAGTATAAAAATTCAATTTTTATTGAAATACTTAAATCTTGGTTATACAGAATATATATAGAACGAATATAAAACATATTAGTACTAATATATTATATGCTTATATATTTTATTCAAATATTCTATTTATAAATAACATTTTAGTCTTGGAATTTCTCCTTATTTAAATAAGGATCGAATTTGAATGTGTCGAAGATTTATACTATTAATTTAATCATAATAGAATAGAATATTTCCCTAGATTTCTTATTTAAACTAACAATTTCTTAACAATTGTTTATAATATACTAAGATATTAGGATTTCATAAAGTCACGTGACTTTCATTTTTCATTCCTTCTCTTTTGAAAGTTTACTATTAGCTGATAAATTCGTACAAAAGAAAACAAAATAAGAAGTTTTAACTAGACGACGGCATGAATTTCGTTGTTTATCGAGAAAAACGTCGTGACCGTAGGGAGTAGAGAGAGAGAGGGAGAGAGAAAGAGATAATATTTTTTTCAATTACTATCACAGTAGCAATGAAATATTCAATTTTATTGAATTTTTCGTTAGTTTATCTGTTTATTTCAATTATGAAAATTGATACAATTAGCCAAAATTTTTGTGATACCAAAGAATGCACAAGAGATGACATGACTGTGGAAGAATGTCAAAGGCAAGGAGGTTCTCTTGTTCATTTAGATGGTTTAAAGTACTGCTATAAAATCGTTACAAAAATTCCGTCGAGTTGTAATAATCAAAGGGACTTTTGTGCCAACCTCGGTAAAGAATGGTCGAAGAGTATTGTAGCTGAATTTTGCCATCAACCGCACGGAGAGTTGCTTAAGAATTTATCGTCATTTGGTGGATCTTTTTGGACTAATATCGTCGCGGATGATCAGAATTCTATTTGGACGAATTGTAATTAAACTACTATTATATATTGTATATATTTATGATATAAAAATTAAAAGGGTCCATGTTTCTTTTAGCTGAAGGTACAAAAAAACTCTTTCAACAAGGATGCTATGGCGACAGTTCAATAATTAGCGATTTAGATGTGAGGTCACCTCTAATTTCATTGTATATAAATGAAAAATCTTGTTCGGAGATTTGCTCTAAATATCCAGTATCCAGTAACGGAAGAGGTTATTTCTATAGCGGCATTCAATTCGATGGAGTAAATATCTTTTCAATTCTCTTTTGCCATTTACATTTATAATAAGGATAATTATCATCTTTTTCCATTTATAAAAAGGTTATAAATATTTGCTATTGTGGTAATTCTTTTGGTAGTTACGGATCCTCAGCTGATAAATGCACGATTAAATGTCGAGATGGATCGAATTGCGGAGGAAACGGTTATAATTTTGTCTATTCCAATTACGATAGTAGGTAAATTATTATATAATATTAAAGAGTTTTATATTTCATTTATTGTAATTATATAATTGATTTAAGTAAAATGTATTTAGAAATATTCCTGTAAGCCTACGTTTTGTAATATACAGCAAGTTGTAGAGAAATAAAATGGAAGATGGGTCAGCCTTTAAACAATAACATTAAAAGTTGCGCATTCGCCAAAGAAGATGACGATTTCTCTCTGTCCGATACGAATTGCGTTTGCGGTGATAAAAAGAAGTTTGTCTGCATTAATTCCAGTTCGTATATAATCTAGTTTCTAATGTAGCATAAATGTAAAAAAAAAATAATAACATTTCATCAAATCCATCGTTTAATCATTGTAATATCATAGCTGGATTTTATTATCATGATACTCCAGTTGATTGGTACGAGGCTAATTATAGATGTCTTTCAAGCAATTCAAGATTGCCGAGTTTTATAAATTGCAATGAAAAAGCCAAGGTTAAAAATGTTTTACCGTCCAATACCGAGATTTGGATAGATGCTGTAAAACAAAAATGGAAATGCAAATGCCAAAGTGATTATTACGTGGGCGGCCAATGCGAATGGGATGTTTGCCAACCGGAAATTGACAATTTTAAAAAATGCGTTATCCTTGAAAATGGAAAGTGTAAAACAGCCGAATGTACTGAATTGAATAATATTTTATGCTTAGTCGGTAATATTGCGAAATACAAATATAAACCTTTTATAATTCTAATATATTCTTTATAAAGACTATGCCTTTATTTATAACAGAAATTTGCGATCCAAACAGTTTAATATGTTCTTATGAAAGAAAAAATAAAGATCAAAAGTCGAGCTATTTTCAAACAGGTTAGCTGTCGTATTTTAAAGTTGAATTAATTAGATAATACGCTTTTTGTTCTTCAATTTCAAACAGCAATAGCTCTAATTGTTATACTGGCTTTTATTGCTATTTCATTGACAACCCTTTTTATACTGTATTATAGAGCAGCGAGGGGTTTATGGACCTGGAAATTCCTCTCACGGTTGACAAGAAAACTGGGAGATTCTCAAGTATCTTCAATACATTTCGATATTAAAAAAAGCAAGGGTATGTTAGAATTAAAAATGACAACTCGTAAAGTGTTATATAATTAACAGAACAAGAAGAAGGAGAAGAAGGAGAAGAAGGAGAAGAGGTGGAAGAGGAACAAGGGAAAGAAAGAAATGACGACGATGAAGAGGAAGAAGGGGAAATAGGAAGAGGAAAAGAGAGAAAAAATATAAAAGCACCATCAGTGAATTAATAAGGAAAAATAAAAACATTATATCAGAAACATTTAAATGATTATTTAGATAGAACGTGATTATTCTATTTTTTCATATTTATGGAATATATTCCGTCTTACTCATCATTATTAGAAGAAGAAGAACATGAACAAGAACGAAATTGTGTTAATATATTCAATAGAATTCATGCCGCCCTATTTCCTTATCAAAATGTATTTTAATAGCAATACTTAAAAATAAAAAACAACAATGACTTAATATATTAATAATAGACTAGTATATTAGGAGTAGCTTTAAATATTGTGTACTTTAAAGCTCTACTTGTTTATACCATTCCATTATACATATCGCATACAAATTAATCTTAGTCTTTTCCCCCATCCTTCGATCAATTAGACCAGCTAAATTAGAATGAGATAGTTAACAGTAATATTAATGATAATTTGAAGAGTTATTTAACATAATAAATCATGTATACTGTTTATATATATATATATAGCTTATATTGCATAGAATATCACAAGTTAGATAATTTTATTAAGTATTGAAAAAGTACCAAGTAAAAATTTCCAAGAAAAATCATATATATTGCTTTTTAAATTTATATGGATTATACTGTAAATAGGCTACAGTATAATTGAATTAATTGGTAGGAAATGTTTTTATATACAAACCTATTAAGAACGATATTTTTTTTCTCCTTCATTTATAAACTATTGTACTCTCTATACTCATAAAAAACAAGAAGGTTAACTTAAAGATATTTCATTATATACATTTTCTCGTCGATTAATCGTTTAATAAGACATTCATCAACTATATATACTGCATTTTATAGGAAAATAGTTGTCTTCAACTTGAAAGATTTGCATAAAGATCTAGGCCTCTTTTCCCTTTATTATAATTTTTTACATTTTCTATAGAAATTATTGATGAAATTGTGAATTTAGTTTGTCTTAGTTCCTTTGAAAGAAAAGGGAACTAAATATGGAAATATTAATGGGATGAGTAAATTAATATAAAAGAGCATGTGCTGAGTAAACCATAGTATATTATCTAATGTAGGTAGGTAGGAAAGTTAGACAAGAGGGAATCATATCAAACGATAAATGGCTATCATACTCTACACTTCTGTGTCAGTTAATATTTAAAAAGTACAATATCGTCGATTGGGTAATAAATTCAGTTCTATTCTCTCCAATAGAGGGAGAGAAAGATTCCAGATATAGACCTAAGGTACAGATAAATATTATTGCGTATATTTTTGGCAGGGGCTAGATGTTAGTGTAATTTTATACGAAAGTATTATTGAATGGAGCAGCTGCCTTCCTAGTATTTCTAAAGAAGAAGGCATAGCAGGGAATGAAATTTCTAATAGATATAGAAGGTTCCGCTATATGCAGTGTATTTATGTTTATATATTAGTATATTCAGTGTATACGGCATGTGCGGTATATATATATGCATATTTATATATAGCTGTATATACTGAATCTATCTTGATATTCTTTTTTTACTCTTATTACATAAGAATTCAAAGTCCAGTTTTCCTTGGTCATTCTTAGCTTTAACGTATCATTTGACATACATGACTCTTTTATTACCTCCTTTAATCAATAGTAATGATCACAATAATAATATTAATAAAAATAGGAAGAAACATGTAATAAACATAATATAAGGTGACGGCTAATTAAATTAGACAGGTACAGAAAGATAAAAAAAACTAGTTTAATTTTTGTCGTCTCTTCCTTTGTCTTATTTCATTTTTAGTAATTTTTCTTCCTCTTTTTCCCTCTTCTTCTGCCTCTTCTCTATCCCTTATTCCATACTGTGTTTTCTGTTTCTCTTCTTTGCAGTTCTGCTTACATGATATGAGTGATAAACGTCGATTTTTTTTTACTAAATTGTCTTTTAGGGGCTATTTTTATCTTGTTTCTACTTTCTAATTTATCACTTGTAAATTAAACAATCATTTTTTTTATTATGATATCAGAGTCTGTACTTGTTACATTTAGGATCTCTTTTACAAATCAAACAGGGGAGAAAATCGATCATAGTAGGCCTACGGTCTTAGCGGTTTTTTTATTACGGCAGTCGGCGTTTTGCAGGCGAAGATGGCCGGTAATACTACAGATATTAACCATCCAATCTTCAACTTTCAGTGCTTTATTTCTACGGCAATGAGTTTAGGAATATTGTTAGTTAATTGTATTATTTTATTAGTTCTTTTCAAATCGGAAGGTGTTACAGCCGTGAATCGTAATTTCTTTACTTCAATGAGCATAGCCGATGCTTTAATATCCTTTATCATTTCTCCATTTGTCACTTGGAACGGAATATTTCAAGGATGGTTATATGGAGCAGCATTTTGTCATATACAAAGTTATCTATGTGCTATATGTTGGCTGGCCTCTCTATACTCTCTTATGTGGATGAGTATTGATCATTACGTCGCCGTTAATAAACCGGATAGATACGGAGTAATCATGACTGATATGAGAAGTCGATGTTGGGTTATGTTTGTCTGGATAGCGGCTTTTAGTTTTTGTTGCCCACCTTTATTTGGAGTTTCCAGAGCAACCTATTACCCTGATGCCTTTATTTGCCTAATTGACTGGAAAATGCAAAAAGCATACTTTATAGCGTCTGGCTTATTAGTGATTACACCACCTACTGCCGCTCTAGCCGTTACAAATTCTTTCCTCTGGTCAAGACATTTTAGATTAGCTCAGAGGGTTTGTTCAAAAATACCGCAAATGGCGAAACGACCGCAAAAATATGCAATTTCCGCTGCTTTATGTCTGCTATTTTTTGTGTCCTGGATACCTTGGTGCACTTTGCAGTTGTATGAACACATAGGCTTGGACGAATGAACGATATAATCCCCTAGAATGAAAATCAATGATGGGAGGGATTAAGGGTAGAGAATAAAAGGGGAGAAGGCAAACTAGAAATCAAATTCGGAACACTTTATCTCGGGCATCTAGCCAATTCTTTAACCTTTTTGTTACAAAATATTCCTCTCGTAAAGATCAGGTTAAAATGTAAAGATAACACATTTTTCCCTTTCAAATTTTTCAACGTTTTACAACATTTTTTCTCCTTCACTTCTTCTTCGTCTTCCTCTTCATCAACTTCTCCGTCTTCTTCTTCATAGCTCAATCTTTTTTTATAAATCGTGCGATTTCTATTTGTTTAATATGACTATATACAAGTAAATAATTCAAAGTAAAATAATAAGAAACATTTTATTATCAAGGAACGTTACATATTCTCTGCGTCATTCCTTTCTTAATGGAAAATCCATCAAATATAACATCTATATAGGATAATTTTAAATAATCAATCTATAAATCATATAGATTATATATGTTAATACTCGGGGAAAAATTCAGTCCACCAAACTTCTTTTTCCAATTAACCAATAGTTTGCTCTATATATTCATTCGTCCACGCTGCCAGGTGGAGAAGAAGCTTCTGGAAAACTGCATTTTTACTTAATGTGGTTGGCTATTGGTAATTGTCTATGGAAGTTTGTTGTTTACATAACACTTGATGATGATTTTAGGAAAGGGATCAAGTTTATTTTGGGAATATTAACCTGCAAAGAACAATTACCGGAACCGTACAATGCATGATGGAGGAATCCAAAAAGTATTTCAAATCTTTCACGAAAAACGAATATCATGTTGGTGTTAAAGTTTCATTTTGGATTAGCGCTAATGTATCTTTGTTTAGTCTGGCGTCTTTTTAGTTTATTCATATAATATTTGTGGTCAACTATCTCTATCTACCAGTTCATCCCTCTCTCTCTCTCTCTCTCCCTCTTTCTGTATATATCTACATTTTAATTTTTTACTCAACACTCTCCTCATTTTTGAAGTTGTCCTCCTCTTCCTACTGCTCCTTCTCTTCTTCCTCCCACTACAACTACTTCTTCTTCGCTACCATTACTACTCTTCCACATAAACTGATGAGAAACTGAAATAAGACTGTTCAACTGAAACGACTGTTTAAGTATTGTCAATTAAATTTTTACACAGCATTTTCTAATGTAATATCTGTCTTTTTTAGTTTGTATTTTTTTTTGTTATAAGCGTTCAAAAGTATGGTTTATTAGAAGTTTATATTGAAAATTGAATAGAAGAACTACAAGAGTATTATTAAAAAATTTTAGAAGGGAAAAGCCTAAAAAAAATATGATAAAATGGAATCGAAAACTGAAAATATTTCTTTATAAACCCTATCGATAATCAAATGAGTTTGAATATGTCAAGATAAAACTAAGGATTTGAACTAGTTAAATAATTAATATATATATATATATCTTTATTTACACAAATAGATAGCGTTTTTAACACTATTTAATAGATTATGAAATACATACTGCATAGATAAATACAACCAATAACAATATGTTCCTTTTTTCTCGTGGCAAAGCGAAGGGCAGCAAAAAAAAGGATATTATTATACTCTCTTATATCTATGAGATATTTCTAATAAGGCTTGTTATTAACATATTTTTCTCTTTACCCTTTCTTATCTTATCATTGTAGAGAGACACGTTTGCCTTCTACCTATTCTTAAATGAAACTTTTCTAAAGAATTTAGAGAGAGAATTCCTTCTTCTCCTCTTTCTCTCTTAATAAAAACATTATAAATAAAATACGATCAATTCGTATATTTATGATTATATATTCAAGTATATTCTATATATTGTATAAAAAATGTAGAAATTACTTGTAAGTGAATTAATAAAGAATTTTATGCAAATCAAATTCAAGACTCTTCCTCAAAGTATCAATTTCTGTCATATTTATTCATTTAGTTGTGTCTTATTAGGCAAATAGGCTGTTCATAATCCAACTATAAAAGCTTTTTATACCTATAGTAATGCCATATTTCTAATTATTTAAGGTGAAAAAGCTTTTTTTATTAACCCATATTCGTAGACTAAAAAGAGGAAAAGAATTTACTAATGAGAAAAAAAATACTCTCCTTTCTCCCCCATCCCCCTTTCCCCTTTCCCTCTCCTTCTAGAAAGTTGATTATCAACTTTAGGACTATTTACTCTCTGTTCCTTTTTATAATTATATCTTTATAAATCATATTTTAAAAAGAATAAAGCAAATATTATTGTAGTGGCGTTTAGACCTGAGTGTTTTTGTCGAGTGAGAAAGCTGGGGAAGGTCATACCTGATGAGGTGATACATGCTTTATATTTACACTGTACACTGTATTTTTAGTACATTGGTATGCATATATTTAGGATTAAAAAAAATAGCAGACGGTTATTTAAATACAAATAATATTGATCTCTAATGGAAACACAAATTTTGATCAATAAAATGTAAGCCTATTCCACGGTTTCCAACGTAAACACAATTGAAATAGCAAAAAAAAGGCAAGGATTTTCGTCTGTTTTTTTTTGCGTAAAGAATTGCCTTAAACAGCATATATTGGATATTTTTACCAATTGATGGGCTGTGGAGGGTCAACGCTGAAAGAAGAAGAAAGACATTATAAAAAGATTTCGCCTGAAAAAGAATTGGATAGAGAGGAGAATTCTAAACAAAATAGAATAAATTGTCAAACGTCACAGAACATTTTAAGTAGGAGAACAATAGATAAAAACTCAATTGAGGATAGTAAACATTTAGAGAATTCGATTGAGAATAAAGAAGAAGAACTACTGTTGGAAGAAAATCAATCTAGAAGGGAAGAGTTAGAAATAAAACAAGGTCAAACTGAAGGTTGATTGCTTGGAGAATAAGAAAATATAAATAATTTAATAGAAAAAGTTTTTATTACAGAATCTATTCAAAATTATATCGACATGGATCAGGAATCTTTTCAATTGGCTCTAAAGTTAGTATATTACTCATTGAGGATCCTTTCAAAAAGATGATTAAATTTGATTTAAATAATAAATAAGATATGCATCGAGAGCAATGAAGAAGGAAAGCTTATTGGAAAAATGTAACAAAAATGTAACAGAGTTTATAATGAAACAAGCGTTACCAAACAACATTTCGCTGATGTCTGTATTAGCAAGGATTTCCCACGTAAAACTTCTTGATGTGTCTAATAATAATTTAGCACCACCGTCCTGCCGATTACTACTTATTTGCTTACGTAATAATCGTACGGTTGAAATTTTTAATATGGCAAATAATAAGACCGATACGGATACGGCTGTAAGCTAAAAAGAAAAATTTTTTCCATTTGTTTTTAACTCTTTGTCTTCTTTTGTTTCCTTTTACAGAAATGTATTGCAGATTTAATCGACTGCAATAAAACCATAAAAAGTTTAGATATCTCTGATAATGTATTAGGCAAAGATTTCTTTTCGAGATGTTCATCTGATCAATTAAAGAAGAACGTTACCCTTGAGATTCTAAGGTTAGAAATATTTTATGTGTTTATATTAAAATTAGTTTAAATAAATCAAAGAGTGAGAGAGACAGAGAGAGAGAGAGAGAGAGCAAATCAAATCTCTTATTAATTATTTCAACACGAATAGATGCGAATCGATTGGTCACGTTGATATGTCTGAAATGTCTAAAGGAATCAAATGTAATCGATCATTAACTGAAGTTATATTCAATTATAATCAATTAAATCGTAACTGTACGGAATTTGCTAAAAATTTAACTGAATGGATGCAATCGGATTTCTGTTCCTTAAAAGTTTTATCGTTGAAAGGCTGTGATTTGAGTTCTAATGAAATGAAAATACTAATTGAAGGTTTAAAGGATAATAAGGGTTTAGAATACTTGAATATGTCTGCGAATCAGGTGAGAAGATTTAGTTCAATTACACAAATTCTTTATCTAATTTTTAATTCTATGTACCTCTTGTTTATATAATAAGTTGGAAAACTATACGGATTTGGCCCTTTTATTGGCGATTTCTCTTTCTCATCCTCGATTAAGAGATTTTTTTATTGAAAATATGAAAATTAATTCTACAGATGGAGCTTCTACTCCAAGTTTGTTAAAATTCATTCTTTTATGCTAGAAAGTTAATAAGACGTTAAAGAATGTTTTCATTTTAGAATACAAAATTTCCAAGGGATCTACAATTGAAACGTTAAGCCTTCTCGGAACGAAATTGCATATTTCAGTATTTCAATCATTATACAACTGGAATAGAGAATGTTTGAACAATCTAAGAGAAATTAAATTATCGTCGACAGACTTAAAATTAATAGATTTTATTGAATTTTATTCAATGATTGGTTATTAATTTATCATTTTTTACCTCAGCTATACAATTTATTAAAAAGATAAATTAACTCATTAATTTTAACTTTTTATAGGAAATGTTGACAAACTAACAAACTGGAACTGGGCTGATTGTGATAAATTAGAAGAATATATATCATATATGCCAAAATTGAAATATTTAAATATAAGAAACTCTAGTATTGGTAAAGAAAAGTATTTTACTAAATTTCTTCAAGTAAGCTATTCAATGAACTCTAAAGTTATTTGCGATTATATTTAAATAATCTTTTAAAGAAATTACCAAGTTTATCACTTGTTAAATTAATTCTAGACGGTAACAAACTTTCAAATTCAACCATTGTTGAAAACTTAGCAAGTAAACTATCTATAATTATTGTAAATTTTCGCTAATAAATCATTCCTATTTATTTATTTACTTAAAAGAAAATGGTGTGAATTTGGAAGCAATTAGTTTAAGTAATTGCTCATTGACTGACAAAGATATCGTCTCAATTGGAAATTGCCTTAAAAGCGGATCCCTGAAGAGTTTACAGATGATAAAATTATCAGCAAACAGATTAAAGGATACAGCTCCTCTACTTTGCTCTAAACAACTACGTCTACTCGATCTGTCAATTAATGAGGTTAGAATAAAAAACTTTTTAGCAGAAATCTCGCTGTTATATTACGTTTTAACTACCTTTTCGTTCTCTTTCTCTTTCCAGATCCCTACAGATGGAGCTACGGCTCTTGCAAACGCTCTTACTGAGAAAACAGTATCAATCGAGACTATCAATATATCTAACAATCAAATAGGTAAATAAATTATTTATCTGGAATACTACGTGAAAGAGACTAATGACCGTAAATAATTGAATTAACCGACATAAACTTTAGAAATCGAAGGGCTACAAAATTTGATACTATGCTTGAATAAGACTTCTTTAAAACATTTGAATATTGCCGATCAATGCGTTTCGTTTGATGAAGATGAAATTGAAAGATTGTATGACGATTTGGCAACAGCCATAGGTATGGAAAGCCTATATACATGCACACATATATGTAACTGAAAGCCCGATACTTTTAGATATCAAACTAGAAGAAGATAGTAATTCGTTTAAGAGTAAAGAATTTTTCATTAAAATGACTGGATTAGGGGGTTTTACCAATGAAAAATGTTCACTTTTAAATTGCCAAGCTATTCAAACCGACTACAAGAATGAACGATGTTTAAGCCTAAACTTTAACGATATTTGTTCTATTTGCGTCTATTTACGAGGATATGGTGAGTTTTCAAATGAAGCTATACAGATCCATAAAGGAGAGAAAAAAATAAAATATTTTTTATTCTTCCTCACGCAGATAATTCCAAATGTATGATTACTCAAGATGAATGGAAAATTATTAATGATGCAGCAAAATCTTCTCCCGCTTGGTTACAAATTCCGAGTAATTTAGAAAGAACTATTTTCGTATCAAACGTACCTGCTAGTGCTACTGTTAGAACTATCGAAGATGCTTTAGAAGCTGACGCAAACTGTAATGTAGTTGAGATTTTTATGTGTATAGATCAAATTTCAAAAAGTTCTACAGGTACAAGTCAATATAATAGAATTTTAAAATTGTAGGTAAACACTAAAAAATCCCTATTAACTATTAAAAGGTGCTAGTTGGATTCTATTAAAAGATCAAAAAGACGTCAGTGAAGCTATGAAGTGGTATCATTCGGGAAAAGCAAAAATAAGGAACGAATCAATAAAGATTGGCTCATTAGATGTCACTTTAACGAATATAGAAGACATAAATCATTTAACAAAGAAAGCCGAGGAAGAAATTGAAAGACGTAAATTAGAGCAAATAAAGCTGGATAAAGAACATAGAGACCTAATTCAAAGATCATATAGAGAGAGTCAGGAAAGACACGCCTATAGATTGGCCCATCCAGCCTACGCTGATGGTAGAATATGGTAATGCGATGAGTAAATGCAAAGAATATGCACCAATTGTATTGTGTCTATTGTGTCTATGTCTTATTTTAAGACGTTTTTATATATAAATTGATCATGCCTAAAAATATGCAATTCAATGTTATTTTATTGTTAATAGTTTCTTTCAAGACGTTTTTTACTTATAAATAAAGTAAATACATAAAATTTTCCAGAAGAGTCGATACTGCTTGATTATCCAAAGTAAATATATAGTAAATGAAATAAATGATGAGGTATTGAGACGAAACTCTCTTAATTTTTGCAGTTGGATAAATAAGGTACAGGAGTGTATAAATCAAATTCACTATGATCAAAGATTTCACCCTCTATCGAAGAGTTGGTTAGGTAGTATAATTTACAGATGTTATGTTGAGTACTCATAGCCATAGCTCTATAATTTTTTTTATTCAATTCCCTTAAACAATGCGAATAATTTCCATACATTGTAAATGATACAAAGTTGAATTTAAGCATTTTCTGCTTTCTTACTTTAAAGTATACTGTACAGTCATATTCAATAGAAAGAAAGTTATTGGTGCTTGTACAGTTATGAGACCATTCTAAATTCTCATTCGTTATGTTTATCATACAATAATCGGGAGAGTATTTCTTACAATGATCCATTAGCTTTTGTTTATTCAGTTCCATTATGCTAATATCATTCAAACACATTTGACACTCAAGTAAAGATGATGAGCAATTGCATAGAGAGTTATTTACCCTGCCATAATGAACAGTTAAAATTCTGATGGAGTTGCCTTGTTTACACCGTATTTGCGTTGTTTCGTTCATACAACTGTTTAGTTGAATGTAATTAAACACTAAAGTAAACAAAAAATTATTAATAATTATATAAATTAAAGAGAAAATAGAAGGAAATGTTTGAAATATCTACCCGAACTACAATAAATAATCACAGAAAATATGGAACATTTTAATAACATGAATAGTTTCATCTTGTCTTCTTTCAGCGAAAAATAATTGTGAATTGCAACAAAAATGTAATGTTACATTTATATTTTGTCGCGAAAAATTTAAATATATGTTATTTTTCAACCGCAATTCAAAAGCTCTTGAATAAAAGACAAAGGTACTATACAATTAAATACCACGGTAATAATAATCATTATTTATTAAACTCATATTTTAAGTTCCCTAATATGAAATTATGAATAATTAAAGTCGATAATATTTAATGGTTAAGCGGTTAGCATATATTTTGTAGAGGAAAATTAGTTTTTTTAACAAATGTATCAAAGCTTAAACTTGATTCTAAGTAAGTTTGTGATAATTGCTCATCATCTGAAGAATAAATAAAACATATATCTTTGTAGTTTGTTGACAAGATCAAATTTTTAGTGTCGTTGTCAATATCTTTGAATTTTGAAAAGCACTTGAAAAAATTTGATTCTTCATATTTATCCCAATTTACATTGGCCTTTAGTTTCGTATCTTTAATATATTGTATCGTTGATACTCCGCAATAATATTGTACCTTTAACTTTTTTAAATAACCTACGCAGGGATCGCCAAAAAGTCCATTGTTTACTTCGAAATTACATTTCTTTTGGTTTTCACAATACATTTGGATCGAATTTGTTACATCTTTCTTATTACAACTATCTGAAAAGTAATGAGCTTCTAATATAGCTATGTATTTCTTAGATTCTGTACATTCCAGTTGAAAAACTTTATGTTCAGCTTCAATGAGAAAATAATTAGAATGTTTAAATTTAAGAAAGGAAAAATACTAACACGTTTCAGTAGATTCTGTTACATTCCCATGTATTTTTTCAATGATTAATCCGTTGAAAACGATAAGAAAATTTAAAAAATAGCCGTGATTGTACATCGTCAGGTTTAATTTCTAATCGTTAGCCTTTTGCTATGGATCTTTCAGAGTAAAATATCTGGTAATACTAATAATTAGGACTCTTTCAAATAATACTGGCAATTGTATTCACTGATATTGGATTTTCAGTGTCTTTTTCATCAATAATCGGTTGGAGTGAAAATGCCGCTTTTGAAGAAATATTTAAAAAAAACTTGAAGCTAATTTAAGCAAAACTTCAAAGTAAAAGCAATTTATTAGTTCATGAACATTTCATGCTTAATTAAAGATAATTACAAAATAAATATTCAGTCATATTCCGTATTTACAACTCTAACGCCATCTTTCAGATAATTGAATATATAAACTAGGTTTTTTACCATCTGTTATCTGATATATTTACAATAAATTAAAATTACTATAAATTCTGTACAGTAAAAAATTCCTTTCATCCAGGTTAGCTTATTTTTTTTGTCTATATTCTCTCTTTAAAAACAATTTATAAACTGTTCTCCTTCTCCTTCTTCTTCTTCTATGCTGTTGTCGTCGACATCGTCGCTAATGCCCTTGTACTTTTAAAGGAAGACGACGACAAAGAAGAGGAAAAAAAATCATTCAGAGTACAATCGTATTGTAAATTCGATAAGTGAATAGAAAGAGAGTGGGGAAGAGAGAGAGAGAAAGAGAGAATTGAATGAGATTTTTCAAAACTAAGAATAGAATATTATAAAGTATTCAATTATGAATGAATTAAATTTTTAATATTAAAATATAAAGTTATTAATAGTAGAAAGAACTAAAAATATAGAAATTATCTCTCTTATTTCCATATTAAAGCAATTTAAAATAACAACAAAAACAACATCGACAACGACAACAACTTGGACATAAATATTGCTATGGATACGACATCTTTTATGATACCATTTTTTCAAGATTCACCTATTGCTTGGGGTCAAAATCTATGTAATGGATTAAAGGTAATTAATCGTTTTAACATCAGTTTACAGTTTTATATGTAATTGTGTCTATATCGTATTTAATGTATATACATTTTGTTCACAAGTCTCGAATATATCATTACTTAACATATGTTGTGCAGTATTAAAATTAAACAAAAAATAGTGTAGATATATACTGTATATACAGTATATACTATTTCTTTACGCATGCGCAGTATATTTTCTTTTTTTTTGAATGTTAATGATTACTTTTATTTGACATAGCTGCTGGATGATATTCGAAACAAAGTTGACAATGAACTAAAGTTAAGGCAAACGTTAAATGATCTAGAACGTTATTTCAACATTGAAATATGTATGAGAATAGAAAAAAAGGACCTAAGAGAACCTCTCTTTGTGCAATCATTCCCTATATTATTAAATGCAATAAATAAGGCGTTGGATCAGAGTCCAAACAATAAGAAGTTATCACAGTTGGAATGCGATCTGTCGGATTATATATTATCTTGTGGTTTCTATTCGCAACTTTCTATAAAGGGATGCGACGAAGCTCTATTGAAAATTAATCATATTTTTCATTGCCTAAAGAAGAACAAAGGTACCATTTCTTTGGATGTAGTTGTAAAATGTTTAAGAGAACTTCACGGGGTTCGATTGGCAATATCCTACGCCCTTTTCGAGAAGATCAGTGAAGAATTTGAAGAGATTGATGACTATTTGAAAGAATTAGAATTCAAACTTTGGGAAGAGATTTTCAAAGATTTTCAATCCTATGTGTCCCAATTTCCAACAGATGATGGACAAAATTCCGAAACAATGTTTTTATTAGAACACCACGTTCATCCGGGAACTAGAAGATGGATTGTTGACCTTGTAGTGAAATGGTCAAGAACAAGTAAAAAATTAATGCTGATATCTGGTAAAGAGGGATCTGGTAAAACTGCAATATGTTCAGTCTTATACAATTTAATTCCATATTCAATATTGGCTATTCATAAAGTTGAAAGAATAAACAATTCTTCAATCAGCGAACTAATAGTATCAATTTTTAATCAACTAAGATTAGCATCATTAAAATTTCGAACGAACACCAAAGATTTAAAGTCGTGTGGAAACTGGTGCGAAGATTTTGAAATTCTTTTAAAGCAACCATTAGAGTTGACATTTGGCTTTGACAGACAACCAAAGAATATCGTTGTTATAGATTCGCCGGAAAATGCGTTAAAATTTGAAATTAAAGAATTTATTGCAAAGTTTGTTTGTGAACTTCCTCCTTGTATAGGCCTTATTTTAACAGTAGATACTCGCTACGGAAGACAGTTCTCTAACAGTTGTGATCATGGTAGTGAAATAGTAATATTACACGAAAGATATTACTTATCTAAACACGTAAATGATTTGGAAATTTACGTTTCGGGGGTTGTTGGAGCGCTCTTGGCTGGAGAACACGACAGAGATATTCCTACGCATGCTTGCTCGGATGAAAGGATAGTTCAAAAGTGCGTTGACGAATTATTAGGAATGTCTGGAGGAAGGTTGTTGTATATTTAAGGAATTTTCATGAATATACTTAATATGAATTATTTATTATTTAGATTCGATTACGTCAAAGAAATGATGACTGTTCTTGTAAAAGAAATGGAAAGAACTGGAGAATTTCGATCAAGCGTTAAAAAGGCATCATCTCCAGTTGGACGTTGTAAAGATTTACACAACAGATTGATAGATTTTACAAGCTCATTTAGATTTTATAGAGATCATAATAGAAACGGTAACGTATTCTTAAATAATGTAACTATAATAATAATTATATTATTTAGATCCATTTCTATTTTCCATCTAAAAATTACACCAAATTTAATGCATATTTCATTCATAAATGTATTTACAAATGTATTAAACGTTACTTTTTATCCTTTCTTTCTTTTCTTTTCTATTGTATAAATACTTGCTCCGTTTTTACCTGCCTTTTCCTTTTTTTTCTATTCCAGATCCCGCAAATTTCAATCAGCCTATTCAACTTGTACAAAAGTCTCGTGTAGCACTAGTTAAGCGATTGTTTAATGATGATGATAATAATGTGTGAATGAATTATAAAATAAATTGTGATTTAATACAAAAGTATAAAAACATAAGCCGATGTCAGAGACATCTATCGATAAACTCTTAATAATGATTCCATTCTTCATCTCCGCCCAGAAAAGCATAGACAGGCCTAAGCTAAGTGTGTACGTATGTGTGTGTGTGTGTGTGTGTGTGTGTGTGTGTGTGTGCGTGTGCATGTGTGTGTGTGCGGGTTTTTGTAGACGCCATTGTCTACCTTTTCTAATAACGTACGTGATGAACTTGAAATTGTCGAGTTCGGCGATTTTAAAATATATACATATTTAGCCTTCGTCATTAAGTTAGAATATTAAATGATCAGAAAGGATAAGAGATTTAACTAGCTCAAGTAAGTGCTTTTTCTCTCCCCTCATTGTCACAGTTTAAAGGATGTATAAAAGGAACAATTAATTGAAACAAAAAATGGAATACTTTTTCCGTCATCTAATCATTTTTCCACGTGATTAACATATCTCGGATGATTTTTATCTTACTGAAATCAACTCAACTTAATCGATAACTAGTTATACAATAAACTATTGCTCTTTTCTGTACCTTCTTAAATCAATTCGTCTTTGTATTATAATACGTTAAAACCTGATAATAGCCTATCCCTACTTTATTGTAGAGACTACTTTATTTTACTGATAACTTAATAACTGTACGTAGCAGACGGGTGAATGAACGAACGCATTTAGTACAAATTACACATACAGTACATGTCTATAATTTTTCTTATTTAGTAAAAATAAACTGTATAGTATATGAGTGAGCAGAAGAAGTAATAGCACATAGAGTTTAACCTTACGGAGCAGGAGAAACTTTTGATTTTACCTTAATCTTTTAATCTAAAGTTATTAAAAGCTAATTAAGTTATTTTGAAACTAACTGCTCCTTTCTTGCAAAGATATTGCTTATTTTTTTATCAGAAAAGATAAGTGAATTAATTTTTGTGTTTGTATATTAAGTGCATTTAATTCTGGTGAAAGGCAATAGCAATTACTGGCATATTTTTTTATTGATTTCCTGATTGATTAGCTTGCAATAAATATTATCCTTAAAGGCATTTTATTAAGAGTAACCTTGATTTTTTATTCAATATATCCGAATTTAATTAGTTTCGAGACAATTCATTCGTTTTTTTTTCTCTTTTCTTTCGTTTTCTCTCTTTCTGCCTCTCCTCTTCCCTCTCTACCTCCTTCTTTTCCTTCTACTCCATAGCCTTTTCCCTGTACAATGATGTTAATACATTCAGTCCTCGCATGCATGCAAATGTATATATATATATATATATATACAGTTTGTATGCCGTTGTATTCAACCTTTAATGCACCGTTGAAACCTTTTAAAGACAAAGAAAACCATTAGCTCTATAACCAGGACGTGAAAAAAAAAAGCGATATCACAAAGTCTTTTCTTTTTCTATATTTTGCTAATTTCTTAAAAATGATAAAAGACTAAACAGTAGAAATTGATGGCTGACTACCTCTAGGGTAAATGATACTTTTATTAGGCTTATAGGCAATATATTTCGTGAAAGAGAGAAAGAAAGAGAACAAATAAGAGAAACAAGCCTTTCTCAATGCAAACCGCCCCACCCATAAATACTATTCTCCCTTTCATTACTTTAATTTGTTTTAAATGTGAAAAAAAATTGTACTTGTAATAGTTACCAGAATAAAAATGTGTACGTGGCTTACGCCAAATTGACTATATTCAATTAAATGCTGTTTATTTCCTTTTATGCTGTGCAGAGAATTCGTTAAAATCATTTTCGTTTACCATTCTTAACTTTTTGTTTCTTTTCTTCTTTCTCTCAGTCTTTATATAAGGGAAACACTACTATGTCTGGTGACGAGGATAATGCATCAACTTTAAGAAGGCAGACTTCTAGCAAAGAAAAACGTCTTTCGAGACGAGGAAGGCGTCGTTTAGTATTTAAAAATGGTGAATGTAATGTTTCTCACTCGAATATCAGAAAAAGACGACGGCGATATTTATCTGACATTTTTACTACTCTAGTAGATCTTAAATGGCGATGGAACCTATTAATATTTGTTCTTGCTTTTACTTTATCTTGGATAGGATTTGCGCTAATATGGTGGCTAATCTGCTTCTCACACGGAGATTTTGAAGGCGATCAAAAACTAGTCTGCGTTGAGGAATTAACCGATTTCACCACCGCTCTTTTGTTTAGTATAGAAACTCAACATACAATTGGATACGGTTATCGTCATGTGACATCCAACTGTCCAGAAGCAGTTTTGGTAGTGATGGCTCAATCTTGTTTTGGAGTAATTATTCAAGCTTTAATGACGGGTAAATTCTTCACATTTGCTTGTTTTGTGTGTGTGTGTAGGGTAGAGAGAGAGAGAGAGAGAGAGAGAGAGAAACAGAGAGACAGACAGACAAAGAAACAAAGAGAGAGGCAGAGACAGAGATTATTTTAAATTTCATACCAGTACACTTTATACAATGTAAATCCATGTAAGAGCTTTTAGCCAACTTAATGTCTTTTTTTCATAAAAGCTTCATAAATAGTTTTGTCGATGAATATAAAAAGAAAAAGTGTACTTTTTATTCCTTAATTCAGTTTTGGTGTTTATTTTTTTTTAATTTATGAATATTTATTAATAGCTGAAGAAAAATTAGGTTATATTAAATTACTACTGATATTATTATTAATAATGAAACAAATATATTATACTTTATTTATACATATATACCTTTTTTTCTTTTTTTATAGCTCGTATTTACTCTAGAATATTCCTGCCATATGCTTTCATTTAAAAATATGATGCTATTTGTATTGATGAATATAGTTTTTAATTAACTTTTTAATAGTAAAGTTAAATTTAAAGATTTTATTTTTACGATGATTAATTTAGGTAGAATGAAAGAGACGGATAAGGAAAATTTTCATTCAAAATTATCAGACGTTCGTTACACCTTTATTTTCTGAATAAAGCAATACAAATATACTGTTTATATTAATAGATAACTACTGCAAATTCCAAAAATGTTCATATGATATGTCGAGTTGAAGGCAAAATAGCTTATTAGTAAATGTATAAGTTGCATACTTTCTTCAGTAATTAAAGTAAAAATATGGAATGATTATTTTATGAATAATTTATCTATTAAAATATTTACATTAATAAAGCTTTCATAAGTGATGAAAATTTCTTTTTCAGGCTTGGTGTTTGCTAAATTATCGAGACCAAAGAAAAGAGCTGAGACGTTAATGTTTTCTAAAAACGCTGTTGTGTGCGTTAGAGACGGTCAACTTCGATTACTCATACGAGTCGGAGATATGAGACGTTCTCACATAGTTGAGGCTCACGTTAGAGGTATTCTTATCAAGAGAAGAGTTACAAACGAAGGCGAAGTACTTCCACTTTGTCAGCATCAAGTTGAGTTGGGGGCTGAAGACGGCGATGAAAGATTATTTTTAGTGTGGCCTGTTATTCTTGAACATAGAATCACGCCTGATTCTCCTTTTTATAATATGTCCGCAGATCACTTGTCTAAAGAACAATTTGAACTGATTGTTATTCTAGAAGGCATTGTAGAATCAACGGGGATGACAACCCAAGCAAGAACTTCCTACCTCCCTTCAGAAATTTTATGGGCTCATCGTTTTGAACGTTTAGTAACTTTTCAAAAGAACGACGGCGAATATCAAATTGATTTTAGTAGATTTCATAACACAATCGTCGTTCCAGATACAAAGAGATACTCTGCAAAGCACTTGCGAGACATGCAAAAACGGGTATCATCACCAAAAGAGAAAGATACATCAATAGATGAAAGAGAAAATCAACAAAAAGATATTTTTACCCAAACAGAAAACGATATCGAAGAGGATTCAATATAGAACCTCTACATCTCTGTTTAGCATTTTCTTGTATGGTTCGTGCGTATATATTTGCAGCTGAACGAAGCAAATTAGATAAGGCTTTTGGAAATGAATGCCAACTCTCCTACATTTTCACTTTTCTTCACTTCTTACTTCAACAAAAACTTATTCAAGTTAAATAAAAACCTGAGATCAAAACAAGCAAGATTATTAAATATATACACCATATACTGTATATTCATAAATTCCATCTCTTTTATTCTACAGACGAAACAGAATAATTCATTTTATAAAATTCAGTTCTGATATCAATCTGTCTATCTTGTTTAGTTCTAATCTTTTTTAAATATATACTGTCTTTGTATACAATATGACATAATAAGTGTTTACGTATCTATCCACCTATTTATCTACCATATAAGCAGCCTATGAATAGGTTAAATTCGGTATTATTTATGTAATTGCTTACGTAATGAGATGCTACACACATCACACATACATTTTTCTTAATCTTGTACACTGTGTAACTATATACATTTTGAGAATTGTTCCTGCAACTATCTCAATTCCAGCTCAATGTAATCTTATATAACCTCTTCTGTTGCCTTATGTAATTCAAAGCTATTGTCGACCTTCTTTACCACAATAAAATTTTTTATATTTCAAAATGAATGAAATGAACGCTACAACGTTATCACTTTCAGTCTTCCTTGTTCTCATTTTTAAGCAATTAATTTCACACTAGTCATCAATTTTTTTTTCCATAGGAATCACATAGCAAAAAAAATTACTAGTTAGTAATTTTGGGTTTTATTTTCTAACATCTAAACTTAAAGTATAGCTTGCCAGTTTCCACTTACCCTTTTCATTATACCTTATAATTGTAAATACCTCAGTCAACCTTGAACTATGGTACAAATCATCTCTTCTTGCTGAGTTTTATTACAATTTCCAAAAATTGTGACAAGTAGTCTGGTAGCAAAATACTAGGTAAAAAGTGTGATCTGAGTGAGATACAGCATACCTGCATCAGCTGACTACCTCATGTGGAGAATTGAATATTTTTCGATTCTTCTCCCTTTGTTTCAAAGTATAAAAACTTCTGTACGTGAAAAATATTAGCGCACATAATTCCTTAATGTTCATAGTTTATTACTATTATTGTTATTGTTTTTGTTATTGTTATATATAGGTAAAATTACAAGAATTTCTTCCATTGTTACTCGTTTAGTAGATATTAGGAATTAAAAAACATGGCATCTCAATCGATAAGAGAGTCAAAAAGCAACTAAGCCCTTGTTAATGACACTCTATTGAGATCAAAGAAATATTAAGTCGATAAAATAAAATTAAATATAGCACACCTTATACTATTTCGGCAACCGATAGAATGACTTTTTCTCGATTTTTAACCGACTAAAGACTACAGATAAACTTATGAAATATGATAAATAATTCATAGAATTCGTAAGATTTACGTTAATTCATCATTATAATTTCTATAAATAAATAAATTACATGCTAAGCTTTTAGGAGAAGAAGTACGTGTTTATTTGTACGTTATTAAATGTTTAGCATCTTTTCTTTCAAATAAAACACGTATTACAAGAATATTAGACGAGTAGCTAATAATTGTAGTTTCTTTACTCTTATTGTATAAAAAATTCAGATAAGATATCCTTATATTTTGAATATATAGTTCAACAAATAGAAACTCTTCTTTTGTCATAAATAAGGAAAGTCCATTCTTTTATTACGAATAATTACAAGAGAAACAAAACCAAACAAAACATGTTGGTTTTATTTCCTTATAGAGAATGTTAGTACTAATTAAAAATAGGAATTAGCTTGATAGAATATTAGAGACTGCCGTACATGAAACAATAGTAAAATAAGAAATAGGTATAAAATAACAATTTCTATAGGCTTATTTATCATAAAGTGCGCTTTTTGTATGGGTTCCTTTACTCGCAAGGTATTTACTAACACATAGGTAGTATATTTCTTTTAATTGCCTTTAAATGTACAGAATGAAAACACTTTCGGGCAAGAAAATTTTATAAAGACATTACTGCAAAAACAAAAAATCTTAATATTTTGTATTTTTACAACATCTTTCGTTAGATGGCGACTGAGGCGTAGCTTAACATAGTGTAGAATATAATAAACTAAGAGTTCAACATCGAACGAGATAGCTCTTCACTTTTATCTAACAAAAATATAAATAATTAAATATCTAATTTCACTAAAAAATGAAATAACATCAGAAATGTGAATACGAATAGGAAAAACTAATTAATTATTAAATATAGAAAAACAACAATATTCCTTTAGAAAAAGAAATAAAAAGGTGGTATAAACTTATATACAAGTATTACATAAATATAAATACTGTATACTATATGTATGTATATGTACAGCACCTAGTGTATATTCAGTACATATATACTCATAAACAATATACTTTAGTCTATAGATATACATTCTTAAATATGAAACTAGAAGAAAGTACTAAGAAAACTTTTTCAAAGCTTTATGATCTCTTATGATATGTGAGACAAGACCATCTTTATAATCAAATTTGAGTTCACAAATTTTGCATGAAAACGTCCTTTTTCTTGCTGAAACATCATTTCGATCTCTTTTTTCGGGTTTCTCACCATTTTTTACTTGAACTGAAATTATTTCATTTGAGCCATCCGGTGTATTCCCACCACGGCATGACTCCATATGTTTATCATAATTTGCTTTAAGATCAAAGTGAACATTACACGCTGAACAGCTGAGAGCGGTTGAACTGTCGGTATGATGTTGAAATCTTTTATGCCTGTACAAATTACTCTTCCACGTAAATGAGGCTTTACAAATGTTACACATAAAAGGCCTTTCTGGATTACAAATTCTTTTTCTCTTATTTAGAGCAGCTTCAGATAATTTTAAGCCAACGCGGTTTCTCTCTAAAGATGTTCTTACAGCAGATCCTCGACTCTGAAATACGGAATTGTTTATTATATTAGAAATGAAATACTTTCTCAGAGAGGATTTACAATTAAATCAACTCAGTAAAAATATTAAAATTTTCAATTAAAGCAATTTATTTCAATACCTTGTTGGTGTTACTTGACTGAGCAAAATTGGATGATTCACTGATAGCTTGAAACCTTGTTTTTTTTTTTTCTCCGTGAACGATTCTTTCGTGCCTTAGAGCATTATTTCTCCATTTAAATGCCGAATCGCAAAATGAACACAAAAATGGCTTTGAAGAATTGTGAACGACTTTATGACGCTTTAATAGAGACGATTTATCAAAACATTTTCCACAATCGGTGCATTGATAGTCTTCTGTATTAGCTTCTTTTTTTATAGTCAGCAGTTGAACCTTTTTATATTCAAGAATAAATTTCCTTTTCATCACAGATTATCAACAAAAAGAATAACAATATTTACCGGGTTAGGACTAGTTTCTTCATTGGAGCAGTTAATAACTGATCGTTTACTGTCAGTATCTGTTTCTGAGTCTCTCCGATTCAATGCATTTGAAGAATTTAATGAAAGACTATCACTATCATCATCCCAATTAATGGAAGACGAAGAATCTTCTTGTTTCTTTTGTTGATTTTCCTCATCCACTAACATTGGCAAAATATCAAAGTTGTTAACATCAGGCCCTTCATCAGCAGCCTTCGTTATAGCTTCATCATTTAAATTTGTTGGACTTTCTTCATGAATTCTACCATTTTTATTGATAATTTCCTCGTGAATTCCAACTAAAAATATTCTATCATTTGGCAAAGAGACACCTATGGTTCCATTGATTGTAAATCTTTCTTCTTTTTGAAATTCCCCTCTACATAGTAATTTAATTGTTTCTGATAGGGTTCTTTCGAAGTTTATTCTTCTTTCGTTCATTGTATTTAAGGTATATATATGCATATATAATTATTATATATATATATACATATATACATATATATGTATATATATATATATACTATATATTAATAATATATATACTATATACAGTGTGAACCTTCTTCAACTTCTTCTCTTCTATTATTTCATTAACTGATAATTATAGAATATCAATTAGTACTTTGAAAAAATTCGTAATATTAATATAATAAACTATACTAAGTGATGGAACTGTTTTTCTCTGAATTTTTCTAGTTGTTCTTTAAATCATATTATCGCTCATACTCCTATACACCTACTCAATAAAATCTTTTCTGTTTTAAGTTAGATAAGTGGATTACAGTCAAATAATTGCAAATATAATACTATTGATGGGAGTGCATACTGATAAAAAAAATTGTACCTCTTTAAAAGACATCAATAGGCGAAAGACATTCGATCAGAGTTTATAAAGAATAAAGCTTATCCAGTTTAATGTGGCCCGTCAAACAAGCAGATTAGGAATTTAAAGTATTCTTACTTAAATATATATGTTTTATTTGAATGAGTCGATTTGATTTCCAACAGGAAAACAACGGCTCAGATCAAAATATAGGCTTGCAAGTATTAAATGCAGCCAGACACAAATCAATATAATATTCGCAATGCCACCTATGGGATGTTTTTTAATTTATTCTTTCTGTATTCGCCTTCGCATATACACACGCACAGATATATACTGTATACACGTGTACACCAAGCACGCGTCCGTCTTGGCCTTCTTACACTCCCTACCCAATATCTCCTATCTTAGAATCTAAATTGTAACAAATTCCATAGACATTTCAATAGCTGAAACAATAACGAACAAACTTTTTCATTTAGTTCATTTCATTTTCTTTCTTTATGTTTTCTTATTGAAAATAAATATATTAAACTCTTTTCTTGTTAGTAAAATATGACTATTATATTAAGACTTGAACAACTAAAAAAGGAAGAAAACTTTTTTGAAATTATATAAACTGTTCAGTATTTCTGTTTGTAGCTCCGTGCAGTAATCTTTGGTGTCTTTCAAAGCTGTATTTCCATTTAAATGATGCATTACATATTGAACAGACGAAAGGTTTTAAAGCAGAGTGGACGACCACCCTATGTACTTTAAGATAGTGATGAGTTTGAAAGACTTTGCCGCAATCCTTACAGTTAAATGGAGAATCGAAATTTGATTCAGTCTGAGAGAAAATAATGTATATATTAGTAATATATAACATTAGTTTATATTGTATAAATATATAAGTATGAACCTTTCCACTAACTGATGTTTTTGTTGATTCAGATAATCCTCTTTTCAACTTATCATGGACCAGCTTCTTATGTCGACCGTAACTATTTTTCCATTTAAATTCTGCATTACAGTAAGGACACTTGAACGGTTTTTCGGTTGAATGAACGACTTGATGTAATTTTAATCCATATTTTGTTGTACAACATTTCCCGCAAATTTGACATTCGTGTTCCGGATTTTCACAATCAGTCTGCTTCCAACAGATTAATGAAAGATTATTATAATAAATAGCAGTTTAATTACTAAGTTACCTCGTCCAACTGTTGTTCACGGTCAGTTGATAAATGATTACAATACTTTTTATTTGATCCAAATAACATATTCTTTGACGATTCAGTGATTGATTTGAAATTTCTTTGATGAGCATCAGTTGAACAGTCCTTTCCTTTATCTGACTCAATATTTGATTCATATTTTAATGAACTTCCCATAAATCTTTTACTATTTTCACTGTTCTCGAAAGCGGATAGCATTTGAAAATTATTATCATTGTTTCCATTCATATTTGAGTCGCTATCATCCGTGTCGTCCGATTCATTTACTTCGATCATATCTTCCCCTATACTATCTTTATTTATAGCATCTTCATTTATACTGAGCAACATAATTCGATCCTCCGACAATTTAATTCCAATAGTACCGATAATGGAAATCCTTTCCTCCTCTTTAAATACATTGTAGCAAAATTTCTTTATTTTTCTTAAAAGTTCACTTTGTAGCTCTTTCTCTTTCATGGTTTCCTTTTTGTAATAAAATTGAAATAAGTAAAGTTATTCAATCAAAACAGTTATTAATTAATAGTTATATAGGTTAATGGAAAGAAGGTAAAGGTAACTATTAATATTCATTTTAATGTTTTCTTTATATTCTCTGTTACAGAGGGAGATGCTAAAAGAGTAGAGTCACTTATATCATTTTTAATAATTTTACTATATCATTAAGATTTTAATATTTATAGTTATTAATTTATCGTAACTTACTATACAGCTATAAATACTTATCTTTTGTTCTAAATTACGCTCTGAATTACATTTACAAACCACACAACACACATAGGCGGCGCTTGTTTTGATAATAATCGGTATGCTTAAAACTGGTCTGACTTTGTAGATCAACTTTTATCTTAGTCTTAAATTACCATTTTAATTAATTTTTTACGTATTTTTATGTTGTATCTCTATTCTTCATCTTTGCAATTAACATGAAATGTTCTGAAAGAAATAATTTTGGTGGAATATTGTTAAGAATTTATCTATTTCTTACGTACTTTTACAAATTGATATCATGATATAGTTATAATCTGAATCGTATTTTCATAACATAAAAATATTACACATTTCTCAAGTTATTTAAGTAGTAGAAATGAAATTATATCAATATTTAGGACCATGCGTATTCCCGCATGGCATTAAGCTATAACCGGACACTGCACACGACGGTTTTTATGGACACGATAATAGGGATAAACTACTGACTGAGAAGTATGTTACTTAAATAAAGGAATATGTAAAAAAATTGATATTGAGAGTTATACAAAATTAGATATTACTAATAAAGTGGCATCTTCTAGCAAAATAAGGAGTTTTGCTTAAAAGTTACACAAAACTTTGTAAATGTTGCAAATATTTTCAGGATGTTGTCTTGTGCCGTTGATAAATGCAATCTAAAACACGATAGTGGTAAGAAAAAAAGATATGCATTTCCTAACGATAATAAAAGGTAATAATTTTTCAAGAAAAGAACGAAGAGAAATAATTTATTTAACAACTTAAATTGAAATTTTCCCTTTTTAGATGTGCAAGATGGGTAACAAACACAAGATCAAGAAGTCTGGAACAAATATTTCTCAATAAAGGACCCGCCTACCTCTCCCAAAGTTATTTTATATGTTCCAGTCACTTTGACGACTCTCAATATGAAAACGTATGAACATAATGTTTTTGTTATACGCAGAAATAATGCAATTAAATATTTCGCAGATAAAAGATGCTATTCTAAAACCTACTGCTATTCCAACATTAAACTTTAGTGACTCTGAAGATATAGGAAAAGAGAAAGAAGGTGGAGATGAAGAAGGAAACGGAGAGAAGGGAGAAAAGAATTTAACTATACATCAGAGTGAATCATCAAACTTTTCAAACTCTACTGTAGACCAAGCTAATGGTCCAATTGCATCCACTACAAAGAAAGTAAATTCAGTAATATCAAATTGTTACCCTGGCTTTCGACCCATTGCTCCTAAACCAATTACTAATAATCCCATGCATAAGGATTACATAACAATCGATTCTAGTCAGTTTAATAACGCTTTCCGAAGATCCGGGCATATTGATTTAATATCACCCGCTTTAATAAGGCCAATAGCTAAGTTTGGAATTAATGAACAGTCAACTACTACTCAAAACAACGGGGATAGCGAGCGGACTGAAGCAAATGCATGTGACGATAATAAACAAAAAGACGATGCGGTTGTTTGCAAAATATCCAAGAAAACAATCGAAATTAAGCCAATTGAAGTGAAATCTCAAACAACTGATGAGTTTTGCAGCTCAAATGAAAATGATAAAGAAAATAATAATAGCAATGGTCCAAATAATCAACAGTCTGTTTCAAATATTATAGGTACTTACATGTCAATAAAGAGAGAGCAATCAGAACCAAACAGTGCAGACAATGAATCATTAGAAAACTCTTCTTCACACCAAATTAGAAATGAGCTTTGTGCCACTGAGGTAATTAAAGAGGAGCCGTTAAACGATAGACAAGACGCAGTACTTACGCAATGTTGCCAGGAAGATTCGAGTACATCTGAAAAGGTTAGAAGTTATCAATCAATTAGATTATTAGCATTTCTTTTAAATTTATTCACTTTATTAAAACAGTCTAAAAAATTAAAGCGAGTCTTCAATCGCAAAAGAAATCATTACGAAAAAAGAATACAATTTCTAGAAAATCGAATAAAATTATTAAAAAGGCAGCATAGTAAAACTATTGCTCTTTTTCAACGAAAAAGTATATTCATCTATCATTTTTTACGATAAATCCAATAATATTTTCATTTCTTAATAGAAAATAAGAAACAACTAGCCGATGATATCGTAAAAAACAGTCAAACCATCCTAAATAAACTTCAACAACACATCTTGGAAAATATTCTTCGTTCATCTTTAACTAAAAAAAAATTGCATAGCTATAAAGAGCCTATTATTAACTTTTCTATTGATTTGTACGAAGCCAGTCCTCAGGCTTATGAGGTAGTCTTCCGTATATTTCGGTATTAAGTTTCAATTTTCAGTGTTTGTTTACTTTTAGAAATTAAGAAAAACCTTAAGGCTACCTGCAAAACGATCGATAAGAAGTTGGATAAGGAATAAAAATATCAAGATCGAGGTATCCATCAATTAATTTTTGTTTTTGCTATTTCCTTAAATATTATATAATATACCAAACGTTCTTTTCTAGAACGCTAAAGATAATAGTGAAGATAAAAAAAGAATTAAAGAGGAGCTTTTCTCATTCAAACTTCTTGAAGATATAGAAGCTGAGATAAATAGAATATGATGTTGAAAAAACATCAAGTCTCTTTGTGTTCACTGTCATGCAGAAACTACATATCAAAGCTGTGAATTCTTTTTAACCATAGCTGTTAAAAGTAAAATCTCAAGTAGATAATAAACAATTCAACCGAATGAAAAAAGTTTATTTTTCATTATAAAAAGATTTTGCTGTTCTATTAAATGCTTTTTTCAATTATATAATCATAATGATTATGAATAATCATAAAAACTTGTGATTTTATTAAAAATACATATGTTATTTTCGTAAAAAAACAACTTTATTTTTTTCAGATCTAATGATAATATTCAATGATTTCTTTTCTCTTGAAAGAAAATGTTCTGATACAAATGTTTATCTTTAGCATTAATTTTAAAGCAAGAACTTTTGATTTTTTTTTAAGTTGTTTACTTGAAAGGAAACTAAACTTTTGATGTTATTTGTCCCAAATTGTTACATTTGTTCCTCTATTTATCTTGTAACTATAGCACCGAATGGCTTCTCAATCACTTTCTAAATACTATAGATCAAGAAACTAAACGATAAGTTGCAAACTTTTGACTCTAATTAATAATTGATTGTTCAACAGACATGTTGAACTTATTCAAACAAATGAAACGATTTCAATATGTTATTGTTAAGATTTTGTATAAAGATAACCATTAAACTGTCACTGCCCAGTATAAATGACATTCTATCTTTTATTCTCGCTCATACAAATTTATTTAATAGATTCAACTTGCGTAATCCGATTAAAAATGGATTCGTAACTGATCCCGGCCATACAGATCAAAACTTGTTCAAATTTAATAACGTTTACAGCAATTCAACTCGCTCGCTTTCTTGGTTAATTGTTAAAAGTTATTCGAAACTTTCTTCTCAATTAAACCTGAACGGATAAACTGGTAAAATTTTTCAATCAATAATATTAGAATACGCGAACTTCAAAGAAGAGATGTCTCTACTATATAGCAATCCGCTAGGAGTCGCTGAATCAATGGAAGAAAAAATGACCGCGGAATGCCCTAACATGAACGGAACGCCCACATCAAATAAAGAAGAAAAAGAAGAGGCCATTCGAGAAATAACAGAAGCTCTTCTAAAGCGTCGTCTTGAGTCTGAAGTATATGATCCTGTAAAATGTAAGCATCTTAGCCATGAAATAGCTGGAGAACTGATGAGAGACCTCAAGCAACTCCAATACTACCGTTATAAAATAGTTGCCGTAGTGAGTTTAGGATCGGCTGGTCAGAAAGGTACGAAATTTGGATCAAGGTGCTATTGGAATGAGAATAAGGACTGTTTTAAATGCGTAAAATATTCAAATGATACACTTTTTGCTATGGCAATGATTTACATTCTTTACGTTGATTGATATCTTAATTTGTTTTCTTCCAACTCCTTCGTTTGTGATTGACTCTTGTTTTTTGAACCTAGTCGAACTTTTAAAGGATCAGGGATTTGAGTAGATATTTTTGCAGGTCGATAAAGATTAATGCTAGGTATTTGTTTGTTTGGAAAGCGGTCTCTCTCTCTCTTTCTCTCTCTCTCTGTTACGCTCATTCATTCATTCATTCATTCATTCATTCTTTTACTGCAGTCTGTATCTCAAATGGTCAATTTTATTGATCTTAAAGACCGTTATTATTTACAAATGTTTAATATTAAGGTGATAGATAGCGAAAATATTTATCAGTTAAGGTAAATGCACCAATTGATAAGTATACTATAACAGGAAAAGAAAAACTAAACGAAAAGGAGAATAAAATGATTATTTATATTTTTTAAACTTCATTTTCACAAACGTTTCCAACAAAAAGAAAGAATAAAGAAATAAATAATAATAAACTCTATTTTACTATTGTTTTTTTTATTTTTGTTGCTATATCTTGTTGCCTTTTTTACCAACCAAAATTCGATTCTTTTAAATATGTTGAGCTACCGCAATATATTCCTGCTGGTCGTTTCCGTAACCGAAGTTTAATGTTCTTACGCTCTGGGTCCAAGCTTTAGAGAACATATCTTTGAAATAGGAACCCCAAGTTTCACCTTGATTGTCCTTTTTATTGGGTGTTGCTGCACCGTATTTTATTAGTAATTTTACTATATCCGTATGACCATTGTGATAAGCTGCCATTGCTGGTGTCAACTTTCCTTTAGCTTTTATATCAGGCATAGCCCCCGCCTTTAAAAGACATTCAGATAGTTTACGATGTCCATTTCGACATGCTAAATGAAGAGGTGTTATTCCTTGATCATCGGCCGCATTAACATCGGCCCCGTGAAACAGTAACAATTGAGCTAATTCTAAATCACCCCTTTCCGCGGCGACTGCAATACAACTATGCCCCGATGTAGTTGCCACGTCGACATCCGCATTAGCCATAAGCAAAAGTTCAACAATCTATAAATAATTATCATTTTAAAAGGTTAGCAAACAAATAGTTATGTAATAAAACATTTCTTACTTTAATATGACCACCATGAACAGCTAAGAGTAGAGGACTAACCCCATCCAAACCTTGAACATTTGTCTTGGCCCCAGTTTCTAATAATCTTTTTACAACCCCCGTTTTACCGTATTGACAAGCAAAAAATAACGCTGACCATGCAGCTTCATCAACGCATGCTATTGAAGCTCCAGCGGCTATTAATACTTCGACAATCTCCTCATCACCATTTTGAGCAGCAATATGAAGAGCAGTAAATCCTCCGCAAACTGTTCCGTTAACCTCGGCTCCAGATAACAAAAGGATACGAACAACTTCAAGAAAAGAATTTTTTGCTGCCAAATAGAGTGAAGTTAATTCATCCGTAGTCTTAGCATTTGGATCAGCTCCAGCATTGAGAAGCGCTCGAGCTATAGAGTCTCTTCCCTGTTAAGTGTTTTTTTTTGTTTTAGTTGAATTTCTTATATTGTTTAATAAATGAATTTTGATTAGTTAGTGTTAAATTTCACCTGATCTGCGGCAACATGTAGTGCAGTTACACCACTTGTTTCGAAAAGATTCGGCTGAGCATCATTTTCGAGGAACATTGTTACTAACGGTTCGTAGCCGTGCTGACTGGCAATCATTAGAGGGGTATAGCATTCCTTGGTTTGCAGGTCGACATCGGCTTTAGATTTGAGAAGGAATCTAACCGTATCTTCTTTATTGTGTTTTGTTGCGTGATGAAGGGGTCCCCAACCATTATTATCTTGTTCGTCAACCGAAGCTCCAAGTTCAACTAAATATTCAATAACTTTTTGTTGTCCAACCGTGCTACATAAATGTATTGTTTTTTGCCCATGATTGTCTTCAAGATTAATATCTGCCTTAAACTCAACCAGCTGCTTGACCACTTCTAAGTGACCTCTTTGGCTGGCTAAATGTAAAGCACTGAAACCATGATATGTTTTTCTGTCGATATGAATATCGAAATCTTTTAAGTTTAATATAACATTTATCATATCGGCGTGACCATCCGCAGCCGCAGCGTGAAGACAACTCCAACCGTCGAAATCTACTAGTGAAGGATCACTTCCGCGAATATAAAAATCATCAATGCAGTCTGCATGACCAGAAGAAGAGGCTATCCATAAAGGTGTTCTACCACCTACATTTTGAACATCAATTTGAATTCCTGGAATGTCTAATAGGAGTCTTAAAGCGTCAACATTTCCTATTTCAGCGGAATAATGCAAAGCACACCAGCCTATAAATAAAGAAAAAAGTTCTAAATATTCGTTATTTAGTGAATTTTCCTCATAGTCACCTCTTTTATCTTGATAATTTATTGGAAGAGCTTTATCAGAAGCAAGAAGTTTTTCGATGAGTTCCACACAGAATTCTGATTGGCATGCTGCGTGAAGAGGCGTTAGACCATTTTCCTCTTCCTGTACACTTACAATTGCGTCGTTTTCTATCAATAATTGGACACATTCAGGGCTTTCATTCTGAACGGCTACCAAAAGAGGTGTATGACCCTGTTTTGTCTTTGCATTTACGTTGGCCCTATTATTCAGTAGAATGTTTAGCACATCTGAGTGGCCATTTTGAGCTGCGTGGAAGAGAGCAGTCCATCCCAAACCGTCTTTTGCCTCAATATCTGCTCTATTTTTTAATAATAATTCAACAACATCTGAATGGCCATTTTCTGAGGCAACATGTAGAGGTGAATGACCCTCAGAAGTTTTAGTGTTTACATCAGCCCCATACTTAATTAAAAGCTCGGCTATGCTCACATGACCCTCTTGAGCAGCATAATGTAATGGTCGCCACATATTAGCTGCAACGGGTAAATCTTTATCTGCATTTCCGGCTATTAAAGTACGAACAGTATCGAAATGACCATTCTGACTTGCCACGTGAATTGGCGCAAAACCTGTAAAAAGAAAAATTAGAGATAAACCTCTGGCATTAAAAATAAAAGATGAAAGATATATTTCAATTTATAGTTTGGTGTTTTGGTCAAATTAAGGTATTTCTATTATGGTCGAATGACTAAGAACGGATTAACTACTTAACGGTTCATATTGTTAAATTTCTCACCTGAAGTTGTGTTTGCAATTGCGTTAAACGGAAAGAATAAACAATGTTATTTGTATTTAGGTGCCGAAACGTGAAAAGACCGGTTTATTTAACCGAAAATAAAAGACCTATTGGATTTTTCTATGTTCAAAAGCTAACCTTCGTCCGTTTCAGCAAGATTTGCCGCTGCGGCGTGATCTAGTAAAACTTTGCAGGTAGTCGAGTGTCCTTGTTGACTAGCCAAATATAATGCAGTAACACCTGCTGAATTCTGAGTATTGACATCTTTGGCTCCACTTGCAGCTAATAAAACTATTATACTATCAACTGAACCATTAGATGCAGCGGCGTGTAGAGGGCGCCATTGTTCATCATCTGTCATATTTTCATCAGCTCCAGCTTCTAATAGAATTTGAACGATAACGGCAAAATTATTTTGTGCCGCTAAATAAAGAGGTGTTGCTCCATCTGTCGCTTTCGAGTTAACATCTAACTTATATTCTAATAATTTCTGTATCATTTCTGGATGTCCTCCATCAGCAGCGCAATGCAAAGCATTCCAACCTACAAGTAAAAAAACATTAATGGATATAATGAACTAATTAATATTCATATTTTTACAAAAATGTAATAGTATTTTAAATTTTTTAAAGCTATTTTTCAATTTTTCCTTCTTTACAATTCAAACTTAAGCTGCTAATAGAAAGAAAAACAAATAGTAATACTAAGTAAACAGTCTATTTACATTTAAAAAACAAGTATAAACATTGTGAAAAAAATATCTCTTTTCATTTTTACCTTCTCCATCTGTTTCCGTAAAATCTTCTAATGAATATCCATTTTTCAACAAAAATTCAACAGTATGAATATGCCCATTTGCACATGCGCAGTGTAGAAGACTAGAACTTCCGGCCGAATTTCTTGACCTCACCGACGCTCCTTCGGTGAGAAATAAGGCTAAGATATCATTGTTACCTAATTCAGCTGCCAAAGTTATTGATGACCACCCAGTTACGTCTATTTGTTGACTTAAATAGCCAATATCCGGTCGTGATTCACACAGTTCTTTTATTGTTTCAATATCTTCTGAACGTACCAATTGTAATAGATCACTTACAAAATCTTTTAACTTTTCATCTTCATCCTCCTCTTCTTCCTCTTCTTCTTCTTCTTCTTCTTCTTCGTTTTCTTGCTCCTCTTCTTCGTTAGCATTTTCTATATTTTGCTCTTGCTCCTCCTCTTCATTTCTGTAATATAATTATCAGATAAAGCTTGACTCATTGTATATTGTCTTCCAATTGACAGCAAAAGTTTCCAAGTAGCACGATTAAAATGATAATCAAATGGTTAATTGACAAATATGCAAATTAATTATCCTTATGTTTAATAAGATGACAAGTTTCCTACATATTAGTAAATATTTATACAGCAAATAAAATGAAATCTTACCTTTCCAATTCATCCATGGAAGGTGTAGTGATTAGTAAATGCAACGCACTAGAGATATGTCAATCCTTAAAAAATGAATAGAAGCTCTTACAAATTGAAATTAATAAATTAACTTTTGAGTTTTTGTGTTAAATCACTCGAATTAAGATAAATAAGCAAGAAATATTCGAGGTGTTTGTTGTAGACGTCATATGCTCTATGGTATCTACCAGTTTTCATATCCGATATTTTGAATATTTCACAAACTGTTTTGAAAAAGTCGATTATTACTATTGAAGAGACTTCTATTGAATACTATAGAAGCGAAACTAAGGTTGAACGAGATGTTCTTGATAAAATGGAATATTTATTCAAAGCAGAGAGATAAAAAGAGGAAGGTGAAGAGCATATTTTTATATTTAAATAACAAGTAAAATGTTCACAACTTAAGGTTAAAAAGGAAAAGTGGGAGGAAAATGATAATGCGATGTAAATTAATTAGCCAAACAGCTTGAACTATTTCCAGAAGATTTTTTGTTTATATGACATAACGTAAACAATTTGAACAGTCGATTTTTCACATATTCACGAAATAATCTATTAAAACAAATATATAAAACCGGATTTATAATTGATGTTGAAACGATTAAACCAGTAGAAATTTCCGTTTCAATATTATTAGTTAAATCTTCGCTTTGTCTAGCAACATCAACAAGAAATTTAACCTACACAGGAAAAAACAATATTAGTAAAATATGATATATAATGAATATTCATTAAATAATAATTATATTATAATAATCCCTTACGCCAAAGGGTAAGTTTAGTAGACAATTGACCAAAGCAATAACTTTTGTTAATAGGGCAATTTGATTCTTTTTTTCCATCTTTTCCCTTTTAATATCGGCTACTCTATTTTTCTTCAATTTGCAAGCAATTAAGATGTTAGACGCTACTGTAATAATTGACGAAATAACGTGATTTATACCAAAATATAAAATATAAGCGTTTTGTTCTTTGTTGGTTTTAGATGCCGTGAGAACAATTGTACACAATCTATTCTTATCGTAGTAGACGTAGGGTTGCGCAAAGCCGAAAAGTGGTAAAACAGAGTATAATATATCTGTAGTATATAGGATTACAGCTGATAAAATTATATACATATTCCTTCCGGTACAAAATGTTCTATGAAAAATTGGACTATTAATCATAATAGCCCTTTCAACAGACATTAGACAAACCAGGTGTATAGACCAGAATAACGACGTTAAAGCCAACATCCCTCCAACGTTACAAAAGTTAGAATGTCCGTAGCGATCGCAAGTGAACGTATTAAACATGATAAAGAAAACATATAGGAAACAATTAATTAGATCGTTGTACGATATAAGTTTAATAGTCAAAGGAACTTTATGCTTCTTAGATACTAGTGTAACAACTGTTGATGAACATATATTTGCCAAAAAACCAACTATAAATGGTAAACTTGTTGGAGAAGATAGAATCTTGTTAGCGCAAGTTTTATTCATTGTTGAATTCTCCATCGCAGTATTTCGTAAAGGAATAAATGTGCCTAACACCTTGGTGTTCCCTTTTATAAACTATTTATAAATCAATAGATACATTATCCATTCCTTTCTAATCGCTTAATGTTAATATTTCTTAAAAAACAAAGGGAAGAAGGATAAAAAACAGGAAAAAAAATAGCATTGATTTTCGAAAATTATGACCTAAATTCTAGATTTTCTCCTCATTTAAAGTTCTTATACAAGTGTTTTCAACTTGTGACCCTCTTGTAAAAAAAAAGACGAGAAAACTATCCACCAGGAACCTTATTGCTTTGACGAACTTTAATCAACGCAATACTCGTGTTAATACCTTTGTTATTATGTAATATTTCCAAGAAACTTAAAAATAAGATAGATATGCTAATAAGAAAAGTAATAATAACATAAATAATAACAGATTGCTTTAAGTATATGGCTTTTTTTTTACACCGAATACGGTATTAAAAGGATTTTTATTGAAATTCGATGAATATACTTCATTATAAATCAGATTATTCATTCGTTCAAGTTTTTAGCTATTTAATGTCATTTTAATTGGTAATTTTATAATAACTTGAGTATATTAATATTATTTTTACATATTATATCTTTCCTTTTTCTATGGTACTTTCTTTCCATTCATTTTTCATTCTCTATTCCTCCTTCTCTACCTACCTCAGTGTGTATGACCTTTTGTTTAAGTTGTATTATACTTTCTGTATGATATATATATACATAATATATGTTATTCAATAGACATAGGGAAAAAAATAAATGTAGCTAATGTTATTCTTAAGAAAAGTCGTTACTTATTGAAGATTTCTTTTTTTTCTTCTACGTTTTTATAAATGCTGCAAGAAATTTACATTGTTAATTGTTAAATGTAATTTAATTAATACGCCTTTGTTTTTGTTTGTAGCTAATAAATATTATTTTTCATTCAAATTTAATATCTTTTTTAGAATATTTGATTTAGTTGTATTTATTATCTATTTTTTATATTATATAAACTTTGCCGCCTGATAGCCATTTTTCATTGTCACGTGCTTCCAATCCCTATAGCACCGCAGTTTAACCTACTTCCGGTTTTGAGAAAGGCAGAAGTAAACAAAACACTAAAGTCTAAAATCGAGTGATAAACGATGATTAAACTACTAATAAGCGTTTTAGTTATTTACACTTTTCACGTTGCATTTAGTGAAAGTGCCAACATTTCAACAACACCAAAACCCCAGAATGGTAAATATACATTTTCGGAATACTGTGACAATTATTCATAGAAATAATGACTGCTAATCATAGATAGCTGTGCCACCCAAACTACTTGTAAGGACTGTACATCGATGAAATTTTCGGTATTTATTACCTAAATTACATATTTTACAATATCTCATGTCTTAATCGATATCTTTGAAATCAATTGTATACTATTTTTTGTTGAACAGCAATGCTTATGGTGTTCAAGCAAAACACCCAGCTGCATAAAATTTTCCGGATCCATACCATCGAGTAAAGTCTGTTCTTTGAATGATGCTAAATATTTCAGCTGCTCAAGTAAGCTAGTTTTTAAATACATTTGCTGAATAGTTGCTATAACAATTGATTATTCATTTCAGTTAATGTATTGGTTCTTATTATATGCATGGTATGTGCAGGAATTTTGATTATTCTAATGACAATCTGCTGCATATACTGCTGCTGTTGCAGAAGTGGAGGTTCAAGAATGAGAAGAAGGTTTGAATTACATTACTATTTTAATTGAATTATTCCGTGAATTTCAAGAGTCAATATTTCAGATCTATTCTTTTAACAGGTTAGCGAAAGAAGAAGCTAGAGAAGATAGACAAAGGAGCGAAAGATTGGCGGCAAACGCAGAGAAAAAAGCGGAAAGAGAAAAGAAACGAGATGAAATTAGAACTAAATATGGTTAGTTTTGAAAATCAATATACCTGTATAATATAACCATTAAATAATCTTTAATATTGAACAGGATTGAAAAAGAACGATGTTCCTTACACCAGATTTGATGAATAATGGTACCCAATACTACATCTTTCTTAACCTAATTTCTGTTTATATATTATAGTTTACGATATAACTTTATATATCTTAAACAAATGATCTAATAATCTATCTGTCTATGAAGAATGTAAAGAGAAAGAGTAATATTTTGAATATATTAATCTGTAATATTAATAAATATATTTTTTCATTCTTTTTAAATAAGAAATCATTTATTTTTTAATATGAATAAATTATAATTTCATATATTATATAATAATAAATTAATTACCATATTAATTTCAAGTAAAGTCGCTAGGCGATATATATAATTGCAAAAAGTAAAGTCGAGTCTAAAACGCAATGGTAACGATAATAAAATAAATGTTGATATCTAAGTGTATGGGACTTTTGTTCATATTCCATAATCTTTATTTTAATGGTTACTTTCTATTGAACCTATGTACTGTATATGTCAACATGCACGCGACTTGTTACTAGCAAAACAATATTAATTAAGTTTATACGAAAATCATTTCATTATTATAACTTAAATTTTTTATTCTTAACATATATTTTAATTAAGTTTAATATTTTAATAATTTAATAATTTAATAAAAAAATTACGTAACTTTAATCTTTGTCTTAAATAAGTTGACAGTTGCTCATTACTTTTTTTGTCTTCCGCTTTTTGGGTAAGCTTATCCAATCACCATCAACGAAACACTTAATTGAATAATTAGAACTCAGATTGCTGGGGTAACGTGCTTATCGTCCCACGCTACTTTTTGAGTCTCTTTTAAATAGTACTAATTGATGGTATTTTGTAAATAATAATGTAATATCTTATAGTGTAACATTTATATAATTGTTTGAAATAGTTTAAAACTTTTTTCAGCCACTTTAATTCACCAGAAACAGTTGAATATTATGAGAATAAAGCAAACTGCTAGAAAGTCAACTTTAGGCTCTGTCAAAGATTTATTAGTGTCGGCTAAAAAGTCCAAACACAGTTGCAAACAGGAAGACACATCGGAGGAAACAAGGGAGGAACAGAGTGTTCCTGCTAGGAATGTTAGGAGGAGGATTGCCTATAGGAAGACCCTGGCCATTAAGGAGATAAGACGCTACCAAAAGTCAACCGAGCTACTAATTAGAAAATTACCGTTTCAACGTTTAGTTAGAGAAATTGCAATTGAATTTCAAGCAGATATTAGATTTCAATGTCTAGCTCTAGACTGTCTACAGGTAATTAGGCGACTTGAATTGATAATGACGATTTTTTTCAATTTACTTCATTTTTTTTATCATTCTATCCCATCTATCTACATCTACCTACCTATCTACCCGCCCTACCCTACTTTCCAGGAAGCAGCCGAAGCGTACATTGTTCAACTTTTCGAAGATACTAATCTATGTTGTATTCATGCTAGACGTGTTACTATCATGCCTAAAGACATACTGCTTGCGAGTAGACTTAAACGTTGATGCCTATAATCTTTGTAATAAAAAAAATATATTTTTCATCATATTAATTTCAATACAATAATACAATCTTTATTTGTTTATAAATCTAGCTATACCGACAATTGAACAAATTTTAGTCATACCGACTATGTCATTATAACCACGGCTGTCGTGATAAAACCACGCTTACAGAATCTTTAAACTTCGGCACAGTTCTAATAAAAATATGATGTGCCTGGTAAATCGTCATTCTAATCACAGTGAACTAAAGTAATCAGCCCAAAAAATATTATTTATTCATTTTTTTAAAAGTAAGTAATCTTTATTTCAAGTCTAATAATCAATACAAAATGTTAATATGTTTATGAAACGTATACAGTATATACAATAACAAATAAAACCATAATTTACTAGATTATTCTTATCTTGTTATTATATAACAAACAATTACGTAATAACACTCATATCTAACTCTTGAATTGTAACCTTCAGAAATAAAGAGGGAAAGAATTATGGCTTCCAGGCATATTCTCGACGATCACGAAACAAATTTCCCTCAGAACTTGGAGAGAATAGGCCATTGTGCCAAAGCAATTGGTGATGTTGTTATTATTATGGGAGGAATTGGCCTAAATGTTTGTTTACATATTGATTATTTTGTATGTAATTGTTAATAATTTTTATAACCGATTTCTTTCGAAATTGTTAATTAGAGATTTGGTAAAGAAAGGACAATAAAGGAGGGAATTGTAACTTTATATCATATTGAGCTTAAGAAGTGGTTAGTTATAAATTATCCTATTTAATTGATTAGTTAATTAATCTATTTACTGGTAGTGCAACACTCTTTGCAAGCTTTCCAGCCAGAATTAGAGGTCTTAAAACTTGGAATAATGTTGAAACAATAATTCAAAGTAATAACGATATAATAATTAGTGGTGGATATAGAACGCATTTATTAGTAACACCGCTGTGGAAGATGAATGGTACGCATTGGCAACAGATTATGCCTTCTGAAGCATCTCACGAAATTCCAGAAAAAGCTATTTATACAGTATACCAAAGCTGGTTTTATAATGACAAGTAAACGTTCTATTTCATTTTGTTCTTATGTTCTTTTCTCTATCGTTTCTAACAATATGTCCATTCAAAAGAATATATTTGTTTGGTGGTTATACCGATGTTCAAAACGAGGAAGAAAGCTCTAGCGAAGTACTCTCATGGTTTAGGAAAAATTCCAAAAAGTTTGTCAGACACGAATTAGACGGTTGCTTATCTCTTTTATATTATCTTGTATTCGTTTTTTCATTCCTACTCTGTTTTTTTTATTATCATTATCTATTTAGGTTGCAGCTGGACTAATCAATTATTGTCTTTCGATTTGAATGAAAAGCTATGGGAAGATGTTGAGAGTCACGGAGACGTTCCTTCTCCAAGAAGCCGATACGCTTGCGCTTTGGTTCGGGACAAACTATATTTATTTGGCGGGAATGGTTCTGGTAGCGAATATGGTCTACCTATGGACGACTTTTACGTCCTTGATATGACAAATTTTACATGGAGAATACTTAATGACATTAGCGGGAGCAGACCTCCTGCACGATATCAGCATAGTCTTACATATGTAAATCATATAAATTCACTTTTCTTGTGTGGAGGTTTATCCGACGAGTACGAGGGTTTAGGTAAGTTTTTATCAGCAAAATTGATAATTAGAAAACACGAGCAGCTTCATTTTCAATTTCATTGTAGCCGACGAATGGATATACGATTTGGATAAGAATACCTGGACCAGGTTATCATCAGGCGAAGTCGAGCCCAGGTGTTATCACGTTTCAGTTCCTACAGTTTACGGATCAGTTTTATCAATTGGTGGATCAACTCATGCAGAATATGGTGAAGAGTCTCTCTCAGTGAGTGTACACTTTTAAAGTTAACTTACGTAATAATCAATTATTTCTTTATCAATGCTTAGCCGGCCACTGCTGTAAAGGAACATATGTTTACAACAAAACCTTTGAAAAGATTAGCGCTAAACGTTGTCTATACTTTAAGGGATTGGTGGTATCTTTTGCCTCACAATATTCAAAATGAGCTTGAAAAATGGTATAAATTCGAGTTAGCTTCAAAATCTAGTCCAATTTTAAATGAAGACTTATTAAACTATTTAGACTTGTGATGTATATTTTGCTGAAAAAGATAAAAGATGATAAACTGACAAAATAGTTATCTTTAACAAAAAGTATTCAATTATTTTCATATAAAAACTTTTTCATTTTCTTTTAAATGTTATTTTTATTTTAGTTTTTTTTTTCTTATTACAAAAATGAAGAAAGTTTTAACATTAATTTTTTATATAAAGTATAAATTTATAGCATATTTTATTGTTTAAGATAATGGATATTTAATTAAATAAGAAGGAAGGAGATAAAGAATACGAAAAGAGAGGACAACGGCCTATTGTAATCATAATGTGTACTGTAAATTGTGCAGTACAGTATAAACAGCGTACCTCATTTTTTTCCTTTTTTTGTCGTTCCATTAAGAACACTTGAGAAGTTCTCGGTGTTTTCTTTTTAGACTGTAGATAAATCTCTTCTTTATTCTTCTTTTTCTTTTTAAAAGGAATTAGCATACATATAATACAAAGCCCTTTATAGGCCGTCAGACATTGGTTTCACTTGTATGGTACGGCAGTTAAGTTTACATTTGGCAAAATACCGAACAAGTATCGGCAGAGACACCTAACGATTATGAAGTATTAGTCAACGACAACAAGTTTAACTGTGATCTGATAACTTTGTATTTCTTAAAATGTGCTTTCTTTTCAGTTAACATTAACACTTATATAAACAAACTTCCAACAAGTACAAGAAACTTTAAGTTATAGGCTTTCTTCTCCATTTTGTTTTTTTTCAAAGCAGAATAATTCCTTATTATTTCTTCGTCTTTTTCCTTTTAATAAAAAAAAATAATTACAATTTTTTCTTGTGTAATTTTCTTACTTACATTTTCTTTTCACGTTTAGATACTTCTTCATCCGTACTCCCCTTTAAGTGAATGAATGACAATATGTACAATAACTTATATCTTGTATAGATAGATAAGAGAGCTAATGATTACGTACAGCTTTACTTAATTTATCCCGTTTAGTTACTCCAGACATAGCACTGCCGTCGTCGAATGTAATATCTCTCTTTTCTCTTGATATATGTCTAGCAGAACGTCTTTGTTCATTGATGTTATCTTCGGTCTCAATAGGTTCATGAAATGGAGCGCTACTGGGTTTCCTACGTTTCAAATCTAAATGATACTGCTGTTCAGGATGTTCCTGTAGAGTAGAAAGAGTATATAATTATTTAGTTTTATTCAGATTTTTTGCAATTCGCACTCTTTTTCGAACGCTATCCCTTTCAGCGATTCGCCCTTCTGTTCGATCATCGTTTCTACGCTCCGAACGATCGTAAAAGAGATTTGTGGGTGAATTGTCCTGAAACCAATCCAAAATCCACTTTCTGAATAAGGAACAGAGTAAAATTTTTTACTTACGCGTCTTAAATTCTTGGTGTTTCTTTTCGTGGCTCTAACATCCCTAAAATTTTCTTCATTGGGCGATATTCTCCGAGGAGGTGAAATTTGCCTCTGAAGGTTCAAATAAAACAAAAGAATAAAAGAGAATCCCATTCAACATTTACTACAAAAAAAGAATGTTACATGAGAATTGTCGCTCCTAGAACTCCTTCTATCATCAAAGTACTGAGGCGATTCCCTGGGACTGGAGTCAATGCGTCTCTTTTTTTCTCCGCTTCCTCTCTTTACCTCAGCGCATCCGAACAGATTATTAGGTGATGCCCCGGATTCTGTATTTCTTTTTTGAATATTGGATGATCTACCTTCGTCTTCAACAACAAGTTTTCTTCTTTTTTCTTTCTCAGAAGCTCCCATGCTTCTAGACGATTCTCTTGAATCAGCCCATTGATCAGATTGCGTTTCTTTTATTCTCTGCCTAGAAGATTCCTTTGTGGTTGATTGTTCACTAGACGCCATCTTAATTTCGGCCTTGGATCTTTCTTTTTCCCTTGCAACATCTTTTTCGGCTTTAACCTTTTCAATATATTCTTCTCTCTTCTTAATACCCATAAAATCAGACTGCTTTTGAGAGATTTTACCTTCAGCTGAAGCTTGGTGTTCAGTTTTATCAATTTTGCGCTTAGTTGCTTTTCTGTCTTCTGTTGTTTGTTCAATCTTTGAACTGGAGCCAGTCGATGAATAGAATGCGAATTTTAAATTACTTCAACTACTTTGAAAATAGATATTTACCTATTATTGTCAATTTCCTTGATCTTTGTCATTTTCACTGTTCTTTGGCGTTTTTCATCCACTTTAGGAGAAGAGGGTGACAGTTTATCTAGCGGCGAGTTGGTGGATAATGCGTCGGATTTTTTAACGTAAGTTTCTTGCTTTTTACTTGATCCTTTTGGATCAGCAGTTTGATTTTTTCCATCTTTCTTTACACCATTAACCTTAGCAGCGAGATTCTTTTTTTGTGATTCTCTGGCATGGAATTGTTCTTCTTGAATCCAAAATTTCTTTTTGGCTTTTAGTTGTCCTGAATATCTATAAGTTTGAAAGAAAATTTTAAATTCTCTATACTGTATACTTATGATATATAAATGATAAAAAATTTTATTATTAATACTACAAACCCTGTTCCGAGAACGTGTAAGTCAGGTCTTTTTTCTTTTTCCTCTTGGCACATCCGATCGATTCTCCTTTCTAATGCAAGGCCAAATTTGACAACTTTTGGATAGTGTGGTAGAATTCTTGTCAGAATAATTAATGCATTGCGAATTTGAATATAATTGTTCGATTCTAAACAGGCCACCATTGCCTGTAAAGTACAAATAAGCAAAAATAAATAAATGTTACATTAGTTTTTATTGAATACATGTGTCGTTTTATTTACTAATTACTTACTTTTGTTATGCTGAAGTGCCATTTGTGAACAACGTGTCTGTAATTTTGATAATCTAGATGATCACTGGCTGATTTAACAGCAGCACGAAAATTTGTTATAAATCCTGGTGTAGCGGCGCATTCTTTATCGAAGTTAGCTTCGTCTTTATGCCAATGCATGATTGTTTCGAGTAAAGAACACAGGAATCTACCGTATCTGTGTGCTTCGTTTTCTGTTCTACTTGTTACGCAATAAGTCATATCGCAAAAAACTCGATCAAAAAATATGAGAGTTGAGAAGTTAGGTGTTTCTAAATGATGGAGAGTTTTTACAAATTCAGCGCAATAAAGCGCATCAACAGCTGAGAAGCAGGCCCTTGGGAAGATGCAAACTTGTAAGAATTCCGAGACTGTTGCATTCCTAGATGTTTTTAAAGCAAACCATGTGTCTTTTGCCTAGTACCCAAAGAGGATTTCATACAGTGAGGCGAAATGGAGAGGTTGCCGAAGAATCAAGCAGCCATTCCCATCAATAATTATTTTTTTTATATAAGAGTCATATTTTCCCTATTTTACGAGTTCTTCATGAAAGTTCTAACCAATAGCTTTGCTCAGTTTAAGAATATTTAACTGTTTGCGTTAATTTTCTCAATAAATAAGTTGGCAATTCTTTACAGTCTGAATTAATTTTCAGGATAATTTGTCCTTTACAGAAAATTTTACATATCACCTTGAACTTAACTTCTACTAAATAGCTCTCCTAAAAGATCATCTATACGTTATAAAGATAGCCTCTGTATGTTTAATCCTCTTTGTACCTTTTTAAGATATTCGCGAACTCTGTCAACGTGTTCTCTTTGTTTTTTCTCCTCTTCCTTCAGTTTTTCAATGTTAGCCGAGCATCTATCCATTTCTCGTTTTCTTTTCGATCCCCCAACTTCATTACTGTTCTCCAGTCCTTGCTTTTGTTGTTTGAATAGTTGGATTTGTCTATCATAAGCGGCTTCTGGTACTGTGAGATCGGATTTTTGTAGGGTCCAAAAAATTAAATAACACTGCAACGTTAAATCATTGCAAAGTCTAACAGTGGTTAACGACGTTTCCAAAGGACGTAAAATCTGTTCAATTGCCGTTTGGAATGATTCTTTTTCATTAACCTTTGCTATAGAATGAGTCAAATAAGGTCTGTACAAGGCGAAAGCAACGTCTGGAGTCACATTATAGGTTGTGATGAGTTCCTCTAAACTAGGTAATTTAGTTTCCAGTTCATCCATAGAAACTTGCGTAGTTACAAAGGCTGTAAACTGGTATAGAGTGTCATTACACTGGTCGTAAACTTTACCTAACAATTTCACATGTGTTTCTTCAGAATGCTCCCTAAGATTATTGAAAAATTATTAGTCAATTTTAAAGCCTCAAAGAAGATTAAAAATTTGATACTTTACTTTGTAGTAAAAACAATACATGATCTTTGTTGGGCCATTAAAAGACTCAAAGCGATATCTAAATTATTATCGATAAGTGATTCCCTCAAACGCTGACAAGACCGTTTGATGTTCTTTGGTGTAAGAAAATTTCCACCTTCGCTCTTCAGTAGTTCTCCACCGTATAGGCATTCCAGTTGTTCATCGGTAATTTCCTCCGAAACTTCAACATTTGCCATACGTTGAAGGATTTCTCGAAGAACCAATAAATCCAAACTTTTATTAGCTTTCAGCTGATTGGCTACATATTGAAGAATACCAGATAGATCTATCGGATATTTTTTGAAAATTGTGGCGCTAAAGTTTGCAAGACTTTGTAGCCAGGTAGAGATATTAGTATCATCATGCTTCATTCGCTCTTTTTCAGGGCTGGCTAAAGCTTCAATAATAATATATGCCAATAAATCGGCAGATAATGAGGAGAGGTATTTCAAGGAATCAGCAACTGGACCAATAAGATTATCAAAGGTTTGAATTTGCGATAAAATCTGTTAAAGGGAAAAAAAGGATTCTTTGTAGATAACTATCAAAAGACACACGATACTTAATCAATGTAAAAAATTTTCTTCTCTTAATTACGAAATAACAGAATTCTTAGATTTCACAAAGACAAAGTTAAAAGATGAAATTAAAAACATTAAATAAAAAAAAGACATATGCTTTTAACAAGATCAAATTTTTGTTGTCTAAAAACTTTCAAAGTTAACAATCTTTTTATAAAAATTCTGAATAGAACATCAGTCTAAGCAAAACAAAATCCTCATAATTATAATAATTATAGGAATATGATATGAATATTTATCTTTTGTTTCTTTTTTTTTAGTGAATAAGAACAACCTATACCACTTCAAGGTGCAGAAGAATTCCATTCTTTAACATATATTTCCTTTTCCGTTCTATGGTTTTGTGCGCACGTATACAAAAGTATGCCATAGTATAATTAAGCTTATACTACTGTACTGTTTATCTTATCTATCATTAAAGTAAAACATTAGATATGAGCATGCCTTTTACATAAAACAAGACATGTTAAAAAAAATCTCAAACAAACTCTCTGAATTTAATTTTGAGAAACAGAAAAATTAATTATACTGTAATCTAAATGACATTCGTTTCGTATGTTTCATATAAACATTTTTAAACATTTTCATTTACTCTAGTATCAAGACAATAATATGAATATTAAGACAATTATCTTGTACCTTTCTTGGCCTAGTAAAACTGGAATATTGATGGTGCAAAATTTAATATAAAATATAATGTAAGCTAACATATATTTAAGAAGTTTTTTGTTACTAATATTAGTATTGTAATTAACTTGAAACTTTATGCAACTGATTTTCTCTTTATAACATCGTTTCAACATCTAAATTTCTCATCAAAAATATTCATTTCACAAAAAAGCAAAGTAGGTAGATTCGTAATTATATGTTGTTTGTTTCAACTAATCAATACAATGTTTTGTTATTCAGCTAACGCTTTGTAGACTAGCCGTTAAAATAATCATGTTTTCGACACAATTATTACCAACTTTTACAATAGAAAAAAACAAGTGTATAATTAAATGTTGTAAATTTCACTCGATAACAACAAATTGATAAGCATAATATTTCATATTTTCTTACCAAAAATATATATTCTACTTTACAATAAATTAATAATTTGGTAGTAAATCTAACTTACATATTCGAATAATATTGCTGGATTCGAATGACTTAATTTTCCAAGTTGTCTTCCTATTGTCTTTACATTTTCTTTAGCCAATCGCCTGTTAACGAAATTAAAAATATTATAACATGTTGCGTCTTATTAATAAATATAAAATCGGTAGCTAATCTGTACCTCATCGAATGTTTGCTCTTCTTCAAACAATCCGCCTTTGCTCGCATTAATTTGGGATGTACAATGTAAGATTCATTCTTCCATTGCCCATACATGCGATAGCGATTTTGATAAGTATAGTATTTCAAGACACTCCAAATTTCTTCACTTAGAGGATAATTAGAAGGTAAAAGAGACAAAGACGGCAATAGAACCTCATCGACTATTGTTAATATTCCGCGATATATATTTTCGTATTCATCTGTTGTAGAACCTTTTTCTTTTAATGACTTTTCTCTCTGGAATATGCAAGTGTTTGTTTGTATTTAACAAAAGAGTATGTTTTGCTGAATTTTTTATTGTTTACCTGTTTTAAAAAGCATGAGCACAGTCTACATATCTTGAATAATAATGTAGGATCATTAGATGCGTGGGGTCCAAGATAGCATAAAACAGGAAACAGTTTTTCTCTTAACTCAAGGACAGTGTTCACTCTGATTGATTCAATAGCTTTTGTTATACAATCGTACGGTCGACGATTAGAAACAGCGCATGACGTTATCTATAAAGAAAAAATAGTGTGTTTTTTATAGTTTAAAATAGACTGTACTTAACTTCAAGATTATATAAATAGTTTGTCGGGTATTATTATACAAACACTAAAAGAGAAAACACATAAAAATAAGATACGTACATTCTTTTCAATTTTTGAATATAACGGTTCCAGAGCTTTATGACCAATTTTACATAAAGCTTTCGCAACGTCACAATTTGACGTTGCAAAATAGGCTGGTAGACGATCAATCAATTGTTTGGCATGAGTCCAGTCACCAATTTCTAGTAGGTATTGAATGACGCCAATTTTCTGATTATCTGCAGGCTGTGAAGGGGGAAAAACGTTTCTATAAATTAATTATGTTAATTATTTACTCTTTATACTTACTGTGTTACAAACCACATCATCCTCTTTGGCATCCTCATTTTCAACTTGTAAGGATACAGTATTAGTTTTTCGCACATAACTCTTACTGTCAGCTAGTTCTTTCCTATGGAGTTCTAAAATTTCGTCGTCATGAGGACCAAGCTATAAAAGAAAGAAATATAAATAATTTTTGCATTGTAAGAGACCTCGCCTATCGTATTAATAATTGTCAATTAAGATATTGCACTTTAAAGAGGTTTTTGACTTTTATATATCTTGCTGGTTCTATATTTATATATCGCTAGTTTTGATATGTCATTTAATTTCACTTCTATTAATAGAGCCAAGTGAGATATTGTCAATGTCAGAATTTTCAAAACAAAATACGCTTGAACGGAATAGACACATAATGTATTATAGAAGTAAAATGACAATTCCCAAAAGGTTAATGACTGCAGACAAATTCCTTTTCAAATACTTAAACGGTAAATAAATTCTTATATTGTCCGAAATATAAGTCAATTGCTTTTAATCGTATGATAGAATCATTATTTACATTTGTTTTAAAGTACTTGAGGGCGTTTTCTTGTCGTTGACAAAGATATAAAAAAATATAGAGAGGGTAGTATACTAAACAATTCCAATCCTTTAACGATGGGGTTACACTTAAAAATAAGGGGTAGCATAGATATAGAGATTACAGCAGGTGAGTTCAAAATAGTTGTTAGACAGCAATAAAAAACAAAATCAGTACTAGTCTTGAGAAAGTAGGAAAAATATCATTTTCTTTTATAATAAAATAGCCATATACAAGTACACACACATATACATATAATTTATATATATATATATACATATTCATTAAGAAGAATACAAGCGTTTGCTATTAATAAATGAACAAGTATTATTACATAGAATGCACATTGCATATAAAAAGAAAACAAACAAACAAACAAAAAACGCCATTCTCTTGTTTCGAATAGTTTCTTTATTTATAATAAACTATACTGTATATTACAGATTGGGAAAGGTCTGTTTTTTTTATAATTGGGATTGGTTCTATTCAATACAATAACATATTAAAGGATTTTTTTTAGTGAAATTAAACGTGTTTAAAAAAGAAAGCAAACAATTAACTTAACTGAATAGATTACTTAGCAAAAAAGAGATTGAGTTTTCGTTGAATAAATACGATTTTTTTACATAAAATTAATAAAAATAAAAAAAAACAACAAGACAAAAAATAGACAAGATTATAATCTAATAAGATAGTTTTTATTAAAAGTATGTATGAATCAAAGAGGAGTTTTTCATTAAATTATTAAACTTTCTTTATACATATAGAAAATGCATAACGTAGCAGTCTATTGTCGTGTTTTTTTTTACATTACTGTATCGTGTCTTTTCTGCTAGTAAAAGGACATGTGGTCACCTAAAAGAATTGATAAGCTGGCTTTTAAACAATAAGATTGCAGATATTAAGTAGTCAACTTAAATAATCTAGTAGAAGTTTGTCGTGTGAAGTGTTTTAGGAGAGGTCAAGTCTTCAAAGAGAATTAAAGTACACATTTAGTATACGTAACTATTACACATAAATCAATGTGAAACAAAATATTCATGCTCAGTTAGACGCTAGGTGACGCCCTGAGGGAAAAAAATACCCACGACTATTTACACACACCTGCAAAAGACACGCCTAAACTAAGAGAATGAACGATTCGAACTCTACTACTACGTCTATCCTTACTTATACAACGGATAAAGAAAATTTTGCAGAAAATTCAGAAAAAAATATTTTAAATTGGTGTCTACTTATCATTGTTTTAATGGCAATAATTTTGAATTCGTTTATTTGTCTAGCTATTTGCAGAAATTACAAACCCCAGCGTTGTGGTTTGAGACAAACACTTTTTTCATTTTCCTTTTCTCATGTTATTTATTCAACAATGGCAGGATCATTAACCCTCTATCAAACAATATATTGTAAGTATTCAAAAACTAGTGCTGCAAAAAACTTGACTGGGCGTGGCATGTTAGAATCATTCATTCTGGTGCATGAAATTATGAACCATATTGATATTCGCTTAAAATTTCATCTCTAAGCGAAAAAATATAATAAATATAATAAAGAATTCTGTTCATAAATAATATCAATAATAAGATTTAATCTAATCTAAATTTATTATTTTATAAACAGCATACAGTATATACATATATACAAATATATATATATATATATATATATATATATACTGTATATATAGGTATATATTTATACGTAAAAAACATATTTACGCCCACATGACTAAAAAGAATTTGAAGTAATCAAACTTAGCTAATGAAGTATTGAATAGATTCTCAAGCCGCCCAGAATTTTTTGGCTTAATATGATAAATTCTATATTTATATATAATTGTTATTTATTTTTCAAAGTAGCCGATATGTCGCCCTGGGCTTGTAAATTATGGCAAACGGCGGAAAACTGGTCAATGACTCTAATCATAACACATATATTTTTTATTATAATGGAAGTCACTCTTGCTGTAGTGAATCCTATGATTCGTCAACGTCTACAAGAAAATTTTAAAATGGCGATTTTAATTACGTGGCTAATTGCCTTTCTCTTTGTTATACCACCGTTAATTTTTAATTTACTGGCTAAAAGTTCGTCTATTGAATTCGTAGAATGCCTACTAGTTACATCCACTTATGCTTTCTTGAAGCCAATATTTGTCTATTGTTTACCTTGCGTATTAAGTTTTTGTTTACTATTTTATGCTTCATGTTGCGTAGAGAAGCAGAGGCAAATTGGAGAAGAATTATGTTCAGAGAATAGCCCTCTCCAAACAAATGGTCATCTTCCGACAAGTGTTACTATGGTAAGAACTGCTGGTGACACAATTGCTATAACCACACAGCCAGCTACACCAGACAGCGATACAAACAAGCCTTTCTCCTTAGCATGTGAAGTCAAAGACAAAAAAGTCATTGAACCATCTACAAAAGAAAATTCTGTAGAAAATTCCATAAATAACAATCAACAACAAAATTCTGAAAACAGAAACAATATCTGTTCAGAAGTCAATTCTGCAGAGAGTTCAAAAAATGACAAAGTTGATAACAACAAGGTTGAAACCAATTTGCCTGATACTTCTGTATCCGATAATGCTAAAAACTTGGAGCAAAGTGAAACTTCAGGCAAAGTAACAGAGGAAATGGAAATAATTTGTAAGGAAGCTAAAATTCAACATCGAAATGAAACATATATTGCGGAAAATGAAACTGTAGAGACATCTAATTCGATGTACAATGAAAACCAGCCTGATTTTGAACAAAATAAGGAGTCTAAGGAATCTAATGAGTCTCTTGTTGAAAGTGAGTCTAATCTTGAAGACAATAAGGAATCTACTGAACCAGGAGAGTGCCATAATGAAAATGAAACAATAAAAAATACGTCTCCAACACTTTTAGTAACAGCTAGTAGTGTTAAGAAAAAAGATGATGACAAAACTGCAGATAATAAAACTTCTTTTCATGAAGTTTTTTCAAAATCCGTTAGTGAGGATGATCCTAATTTTGACATAACGGACTATGTCTCAGACAGGAAGTCTGGTAAACATCAACTTAACGCCAAACGACGATCTTTAGAGCGGCAAAATTTAGTTTGCGAGGATGATTTGGTAGTGGGAATTGATAATCCAGTATTTGATAATTCTTTAGCTGAGGAGATACGTGTTAAAGATCATCCTGAACGAAGCATTTCAATGGATGGTCAGCCGTCTAAACGTGAGAATGTTAGGAAATCTATTTCGCTAGACGAAATTATTTTAGAAAAAGAACCAAAGCTACGACCTCGTCCATCTATTTTATCCAGAGATGGAAAACGAAGACAAGGAAGGAGCAGAAAGTCAGTTAAATTTGGACAAAATGAAATGAGAACTTATAACGTAAAATCGGGAGCAATGAGTCCAGTATTTCCGGAACATGAACTTAAAAATGAAAATACATTAAGAAGAAAAAATACTCCTCGCTATCCTCGACGTAACTCTTCCTTACAAAGACAAAATGCCTTAGAAAATGGAGAATTATCAAAAAGTAATGGTAATGCTAAATCACTGAAACCCATGTCATATATGCGACAAGTTAGCCAGGAGCAAGGAACGAAACTCCTTCAAAAAACAAGACAAAATTCCGCTATACTCCGTCTAGCCAAGTACTTTCTCATTTCTAGTGTGTTTTTGACTATACCTTTCTTGATAGTTGAACTTGGTTGTGGTGTTTCTCAACAATTTCGAGATGAAACTTCCACTCAAACCATCTTAGCGTTTAAATGGACCTTCATAAGTTCATCAATAATCCATCCTATGATTATCTACACACTCAATGCAGATGTAAGAAAAGCCTTTAAGGTAACATGTTGTTCTAAATGAACAATTGTCCTATACCACTGTGTGGCAATTTACTTACATCTATTGCATTATACTCCAAATAAAACTTCCTATATACAGTTACTTCAATTAAAAAAAAATTATTTACTTCCTTAAAACAACAAAATAATAGATATAATATTCTATTCGCTACTAGAAAATTCACTTTTAGAGCATTCTAGGTATTATATATTATTTATATTTAAAGTTAAAAAAGCCACCCATCTTTACTAATTGTTTATCCGGCTAATTAATTAGGTATGCACTTGACGGTTAAGTTAAGCATGTAAGAATCTCAGAAAATAAAAAATAAAATTCAATTATTCACAAAGAAAATAGAAGAAACTACATTAAGTCAGTAATTTGCCTAAGACGTAATAATTAACTATTAAATCTTGTTTTTTCGCAACATACTGCCATCTTTCGGCTAAAGTTACAGGTTTATTTTCTCACAAGAGCAAATCAATTATCACCTGATGAATAGAATATATTCTTTGGCAATTGTAATAGAGATCTTAAATAAAATTACAACGTTTAGTTGCTGAGAAGTTACACGAGGCATGGGCAATAAAATTTGTTTGTCTCTGTATAGCAATGATTATTTGAATTTTTGAGTCTGACGCTAAGGTAAAAAAGAATATGTTGCCCTAATTATAGCCAAACCATTCGAATCAATTGGGTATATGGTACGTGATTGTCAAGCACCTATCATATTTTCTCTGATAATTATTATAAGATATATTAATATATACTTATTGACGACTGAAAAATCAGACTGTATCAGTAATGAGAAAAACTTCAAAATGTTGATGACGATCAATCTAGAGATTAATCATTGGCGTATCAGCTTTTTTCATTTACATTCTTTCAAGTCTCTATGAGTTAAGTTCCTATAATTAATGATTTGTGTAAATATCATAAAAACCAAGTATCGTCTTGCAAATTTTTTAATCCATTTAGGACAATCAGTTAGACACGTAAGTAATAATAAGTTAGAATATAATCACTATACATTATGATAGAAACTGCAAAGGTAATCGATGACAATATGATATCACTTGTGCTATACCTATCAAAGATAATCAAGAACCGTACTTCAGAAACATTTGCAATAATACCAAAGAACTCAAGAAAATAAGTCATACAGAGGTACATAGTCCCTCTAGCGGGAAACTAAGCACCGCGTTAGATTGACGACAGACACGGTTAGATGAGACTTTATGGAATACCTTATTGTGAATAAAATGGTAAAATGTGAAAATCTATGTGTTTTATCTATCATTTTTTTAAAAAATATTTAAAGCAAGATGAACTGGACGAATGCTTCTAATTTGGAACTATCGAAAGACCGAAATTGGCCAGCGGTTGCTCTATCTTTTGTAATAATCTTAGCAATTGGTGGAAATGTGCTGGTTTGCTTGGCGGTCAAACGAGAAAGAAAATTACATAATAGATTTAACTATTTTTTAGTCTCTTTGGCTTTTAGCGATATGCTGAGTGCACTGCTTGTTATGCCTTTATCAATATATCGAACAGTCGCTTTTGATGATACTAGTAAGTTTTTATATATTTCTATAAAATGAAAATATATAGGCAAATATCTTACAGAGGCAAAATAATTGTTTAAGTTTCATGTGAAAAAGGCCCTTTGTTTGCTACATTTGAGCAAACTTACTTTTTACTTAACAATTTCAGCCTATCTTGACGGATAGATGCAGGCATTTCTGCTCGAGATTAATCCAGCCTTCAAAATACTTTCTCTAAATCTACAACGCTATTGTAAAAATATCGCTAATATTTTATATCAGTACCTAAGAAAAGCAACTATTAATTAAAAATCTTTAAGTGACTGAATTACCAGTCAGTTCCTTGACATATGAACACGTGCTCTGTTTCCTAAAAGTAACACATAAGTCTTAGATTGTAAACTATGTGTTACTGATTTCTTACAGAACATAATATTTACCTATCCATCAGACAAGCTTCTATTAAGACTATAATAATTCTATTTAACTGTTTTGTTTTGGCGAATAACTACATTTTTAATCTTTCTCTTTTGATAAATTAAATTTTCGATCGGAGTGTGTAGAAAAGGTTTAACATCTAATATTAAACAAACATTTTCTCTTTACTCCCGCTCAGCATTTAGGTTTAATCTATTAAGAATTAAGAAACCAATCAGTAAAGACATTTTTATAATACAGCTGCTTTTGTAGTTGCACATTGTTTCTTTAAATTCTACTACTTTTAATTGAGGAAAGTTTAAGGGAGAAAGTCATTTAAACACTTCTAAATTTCGTAAAAAGATCATGTCAGTATTGTTATATATATATATAAAACTTTTAATTATGTAATAGATATGAACTAACGTCAAAGACATGAAAAAAAATATACTCTCAAATGCAATTACACCAATTAACTTTGGAACAATTCCGGAAGTTTTAATTGGTCAATTGGAGTTTTCACCTTTCCTTGAATGATATAGATACTATTAAATTATTTTTACGCCTTGCCCACATTTTAAGTAAACTCAGTCTCATCAACTAGATGTCAGATTGTGAAATGATACCGTTTTAAAAGAGTTAGAAACACGAATATGGTAGACCAAGGAGTTGTAAAAGGTTAAAAAAAACCAATTGAGTTTAATATATACAGGCGGTTGAAATATTGCTGAAAATTAGTTGAAAGAAAAGACCTCAGTTTCTTTAGACCGTTACGAACTTTTGCAATTAGTGATAAGGCCTCGCCAAACAAAATGCCAATAGAGTGATGATATTGCGAGCTTCGAATACTAAATCAACGAAAGAATGGCATGCGCTTCGATTTTCGAAGGAAATTTCAAACATTAGATCATTAATCACTTTTTTACGTTTGGCTTGTTACTGATTCTACTGCTCAAAAGCCTGTTTCATGCACTAGATTTTACAAGAACATTTGTCGGGTTCTATGAAGAATAAACTTGTCTTTATTATAAAGTATTCCCTTTATATAGATGGGCTTTTGTTTGATATTATCTTTTCCTAATATGTCCTGAAGAATGAAATTTCTACTTATGAATTACCACCATATGTCGAGCTTCTAATTGTTGAAGAATACAAAAGAAAGCAGATTCTAATGAAACTTTCTGTAAAATAATAGATGTTTAATGCCCTTCTGCTGTTGAGTCCATAAGGAAAAAAATTGCTATAACCGGATTGGGTTATTGCTTAGTTCTTTAATATATAAGCTTTCCTCGTTATTTTTCTTAGACTATTCACTTTAGGAACAGCTTGCTATAGCAATAGCACAATTAAAAATATCTGTTGACGACAGCCTTTATTTGCAGGGCAGTGGTATGTGGGATATAATTGACATGTATAACTGACTTGAATAGATATAACAAAAAATTAGATGATGTGATTAAAGTGATAGTCATACGTTTACATTATTTATTGGAAACTTTTCCATCGTATAGTTTATTATTTGATTTAATTTCTATCAAATACTTTTTCAATCAACTGTCTAAAATTTACTAAGACAACTTCGGTGTTTATTTGTTTTTAGGCAGACTATGATTTTTAATCTATTAACTTTCTACTTAAGTTTTTCTTTTAGTGAAGGGTCTTTAAGTCATAGTTCTAGCAAATTAGAATCCATTAGCAGTTTACTACCATTTTTTCATTATTGACAGGGACATTGCCGAAGACGATGTGCATAGCATGGTATGCTCTAGATGTTTTATTTACTTCGTCATCAATAATACATCTCTGTATGATATCGATTGATCGTTACCTATCTTTACAATATCCCCTCAAATATGGAAGAGTTGGAAAATCAGGAACTTGTCGAACTGGCTTTGAAATATTTATTGTTTGGATTTTAAGCTTTTGCATAGCGGTTCCGTTATTTTTTAGCAGTGTTTACGCAGATCATGGTGACTCCGATAGACAATATAAAGGATGCGGACCCGAAAACGCCTCTTTTGTACTTTCGGCATCTATATCTTCATTTTATGCTCCTTTGCTCATAATGATTATTATGTACCTTCTAACGGTCAGAGCACTCCAACGACAGCGTCGAGTCCAGAGATCTATTAATGCCAATACTTTCGTAAAGCCAGATCAAAAGAATCACCCTCTACTCGATGTCCGATGCCGGTCTAATGAAAATAGTACTACTACATTAAGGCTGGGTTTTATTGATCGTCGTTAACGCTTTTTAAATAATATTATTCGCAAGTATGGGTAAAAGTATCAAAGAGAAATATTCTTTATCATTTTTAAATGTTAACTTACTTCAAAAATTATTTATTTAATGAGCCAGAGACATATTCTAACTAATAATGCTATTTATAGTAATTCTTAGGGAGACTGAGAATCACTAATAGAAAGTTTCCCTAATATAAATTATGCTTCATACAAAACTATAAGCCAGTCTTCATTTTTTAGCTAAATACTCAAAAGAGCATATTTTGTTAAGCACTTTTGTGCGGAAATAGATCAAATCAATCTCTCGCCTATAAGAGGCATGATTGATGGCAATAATGACGATAATATAACCGCCCTTAGCTTGTTACAACCCGAGCTCCCACAGAATCAACGCCCAGCTCGAATATCACCCTCCCGAAGGATTACTTACTTGGATCGGTCAAAGCGTGCTGTTCAAGTTTTGGGAATACTATTTGGAGTCTTTGTTCTCTTTTATCTACCATTCTTTGCTACCCTTGTTATAAATGCCACTATAAAATCTGTATCCGATCAATTATTGATGACATTCGAATGGTTAGCTTATGGAAGTGCTGCTGTAAATCCAGTCGTTTATCACGTATTTAATCCAGATTTTCGCCGAGCCTTTCATAAACTATTCAGCCGACATGGAGATGAACAAATCGGCTGAGTTTCAGATATAAGTGAAAGCAGAAAGTCACAATTGAATAATATGTCTATTACAAGCGAACTTGTTCAGAAGCAGTATATACAGTATACATTATATTGTTATAATAGGATAAGATAGAAATTATTGTTTTACTGAAAATTGCTCGTTTTACCTTTTCTCGCAGACATCATAATTAAATTTTTGTAACATATTAAAGTTAATAACTATAACTTTCATGGATTAAATAGCTTAAATACTATTTAAAAAATATCCTGTTGTTTTTATTTAAATTTTCATACAAGGCTTAATTACTGAAATGGTAATTACAAAATTACTCGTGAATATTTTATTAATGCTCTTTTGGATTAATGATTGTTTAAAATTAAAACAAAAGAGAACATGGAAGAAAAGGTTCGAATTAAAGGAAGACTATATGGAGGGAAGACTAATACGATCAATCTCCGTGATAGTCACGCTTTCAAAATTTCAATTACAGTAAATTCTCATAGCTTATTCTTTAATTATTTTTCGTAGTTAAATATTTAAAATATCCAATGTATTGTTTTTAAGGAAATAAAAGGAAATTCTCTAAAATTAAGAAGATTCATTCAATGTTAAAGTAAATCAAGGAAATAATCTACTGCTTGTTAATTCTAAAAAATATAGCTACATAAATTTCACCCGTTTAAAAAGAAAACTGCATCTATTTAAACAAACTTGGGGAAAATAATAAATTATGAGTATTGTTTTTACTTCAAAGTCTTTGTTTACATATCAGTCATAATGAAATGTGATATTTGCTGAAATAGAGCAATAAAACAGATTTGTTTAATATTTTAAGTGTTAATAACTTCTAATGATGAGTTAGTCTTTATAATAAATGGTAGCTTTCACTAAGAGAAGATTACTTTTTTTTACTTGTTCTATGACTACTAACAATAACAAAAATAATACAATATACTAAACAACTTAGAACCGCCATCCAAGATAAATGGAATGAGGATTGGGCCTGTTTTCATCTTATATCATCACATCTCATATCCGTTAAAAAGTAGCATTAAATATCTTTATATAAATTAAGCAATCTTGCGTTAAATTTGAATATCATACGTCTTCAATAACTATCTCCAAGGAACCTAATCGTTGTTGTTTGCGCATCAGTGCTTAATAAATTAAGTGACTGCACTAACCTTTCACGAAATGCACTATAATTGTAATATATTCCGTATTAATGTACTTTTATTCGTATAAGAAAAAAATTTCCTTACCATATGGCTAACGTTTATCTGATGGCAATGCTTTTGTGCGTATATTTATATGTATAATAGAGTCGTAAAAATTGTCTCATCTTTTACCTATCTCTGTCTTAAGAGTTTTATACTTAACTAATCAGTCGAATATTCTTAGAATAAAATTTTACAGAATATTATAAAACTAACAGAACAAAGATGAGAAAAAGGGAAAATGTCTCTGATGATAGCTGAAAGTAACCATCTTGTTCAATTAGATCTATGTATTTTCGTCAACAAAAGACTTGGGTAGATTATTATTTTTTGATAAAGGAATGCTTATTTTAGATCAATGATTATTTCAAAAAATAGAATAGAATGGAATAGAATAGAATATAAACTAAGCATGCATGTCTTTATGTTGCGAAATTAATAAGATTTGGATTTCTCTTCGTTTTTTGACCTTTTCAGGAGAACCTTCGCGGAAATATTTTATTCACCCAATTCTTTGTTTCAAGTATAGCATATAAACTTCAGAATTGGTAATAAAGATTTGATAAAAGAGCATCGAATTCGTCCTTTAGAATTCATATCACTCAATGCAAAAGGATATAGCAACCTAAATTATAAACACAATTTACGATAAAACTATTCTTAACAGGAAAAAAAAGAAAAAAACCTCTCATACATCAATATAATAACGTTTGGCTGTAAACATAATGAATAAATTAAAAGGAACCCACTTTTGATATTTTTAGGGATTATTTGATACTTAAGGAAGTAAATGAATCATAATTGATACTCCCCAGTCAACAAGTTGCGTTTATACGGATTTGATATTTGATTTTAAAAATAAAAATTTTGACTTGAAAAGAAATTGCCAAAAGTCAAGTATCGCTTTCGCCATACTACAAAAAGAATTCGTGGGTAAACGCAAGTAATAATGTATTTGACTCTAGTGATTATCCCCTGGCTTATTTTACATATAGAAAAGTTTCGTAATAAAAAGTCACTAACCTGTTGATAAATTGCATGACAGGGAAGTAATTCGTTATAAATTAACAAAGCCGAGAGTTTGTAAAGAGATGTTGGTGTTTGTTGATTTTCCGTCTGTTTACAAAGAAAATATATATATATACATTTTTAACCATGATAAATTCAACTTGTTTGGACTTAATCAAAAAATATCAACATACAACGTAATATTTGAACTTAAACCCCAATAAATCTGCCAGCGCCAAATGATCTGCCGAGTATTCTGTTAGTAATTCGCAGAAGAATTTCTCATGTTCCAACTGTTTTTCGAACATTTCCAAAATGATATCCAATACTCTATTGGGATCGATATTGAAGCATCCTGTTATAAGAAGAAATAGTACATATGAAAATCATTAAGATAGCATTTGAATGTTTGCACTTATCAATTATATGATAGTAATCTCTATTTTAAGGGTAGCTATTTCTACAACTTTACATACCAGTCAATCAGTTAAAGAAGTAGTAACATAATTAGATAAGATAAATAAGACGAAGTAACAACTTCTAGTTGTAAATCATATATAAATAGAAAATAAGAAAAAACAAAAAAGGATATTGATATAAATTGTGTAAATTTACTCATTCTCTATTATGTTTTACGGCCACTTAACTTGTTCAAATTATGTGAGAAAAAAAAAATTATCATAACGTACCTATTAATGACTGAATAGTTTCCAACATTTGACGGGTAGATGGCGCTGTTTCACTTGAAAAATCTTGATGTAATTCTGTCATTAGTTTAGAGAAGCCCTCTGATTCTTCTCTTAGCAAATTAAACTTTAATTGTTTATAACTGTTAGAAAAAATTATATTTGATATGAAAATTTCGGATAATTATTATTCTCTTTAATCTTTTTTCTACTTACAACATCTTTGTTTTGATCTTGATGTAATTTTTATTGAATTTTTCTTTTGATTCAAGAATCTTCAACTCAGTAAGAGTTTCCACATCCAATCTTTCTTTTAAAACGCCTTCTGGCACAATTTCCTAGTAAGTTATTTAATAAAAATTTAGAATTATAACAGAACCTGTATATTAAAACTTACGAAACATTGTGGCAGTAATTTTATGAAACGTTGTCGGTCCTCATTTCTTGTTTGTTGTTGTGACAATGTCATTGAATCTAAAACAAATGATTACAATGAAAACACTAACAATGAACTATTATTCATTTGAATTGGAAAAGCAACTGATTTATATTAGCTACTTCACTTGTATTCATTTAAGTATCGGGAAATTACATATTTTAGTACAGAATTAACAATATTTGAGATTTCTTTAAGCAAATATAACAAATATTTTCATCATTACAGAATAAAAGAATTCAATTTAAGAATAACTTACCAAAAACGCTAAATATATCAGCCATGAGAGATGGAATAGCTTGGTGCATATTCTAAGAATATATATCAAATCGTAAGGTTTATTGCTTAATTAAACTGATTAAAACTTACGCAAACTTCTTTGATTGCAGGAACTGCATTTTCGAGCCGGTATATTCCTTGGCAATAATTACCGATGAAGCTCGACAAACATAATCGCACATCTTTCTCTGCTCCAGGATTTGATATTGAACCTTCGCGAACTTTTCTCTGACAGTCATTGATACTATGGGAGATCGGGAAAAAAAGTTCAGTTTACAAAACGTGAGCGGCGTTAGGGTAACAAATACAGAAAGTTAATATTACATTGTAAAAAACCTATAGATCGCCATTTTAAAAAGATTTTCCGAATGTCTAAACACTTATTATTTCAATTTTAATTATAAAATTTAAACTTACAATGGTTGTGTACTAATAAAGTTACGATTTTTCGAGTCGCCAGAACCACTAGTAGTAGCCATGTTTGTTCAAGGCACAATTCCGTTTCCGGTTAAAGCTATTTTCGTATAAATCAATTTATACGATAAATTCCTTTTTAAGACGTATATAAACGATTTAACAATGTCCATTGAAGTAATACATGTACTAAATTATCTTTATAGTAATTCATCTTACTATAAATTTTATTTGAAATATATAGGAAATAAATGTGCATATAAAATTTACTTTCACCGCTTAGTTACGCAATAAAAACAATTATTTAAATTTCATTTTAAAACTTATAGAAAATACTCTACAATAAATCTTATGCAAATCGAGTAAAGAAATGAATATAAGTACAAAAAGATAATAATTAATAAAAGAAACATTAAAGCAGAAAGAGAAAAATTAAATATTAGTTGTATAAATAAATAGAAATGAGGCGTAGAAATGACGTACATGCAAATAATTTTTAGATTTCGATAGTTTTTTATACAATAGATTTCATTTTATGTTCTCTTATCAATAAATGTATTAAAGGTTTTGTTCTTGACTTAACGCAAAGAACTTAACTAACGCCGTCTGTATGATTTTGGCTTATAGTTGAATAAATTTGGCAAGTTTTCTTAAAAAATAGATAAAGTACCTAAAAAGAAAAAGTATTTCTAAAAGATGCTAACAAAAAATAGATATAAATATACTTTATATACTATATATACTAATAATATATGTATAAAGTGGCTTATGCTACTGATTATTGTTAAGTAAGCTATAGCCTAATTTAATCAAAGTAAAAGAATCACAAATGGTTAATAATATAGTTCCTATAATATTTCATTGAAATATACTTCTACTTGTGTAGATACTTGTATCCTGTAAAAAAATCTTCACTTCATCTTTAAGACATGTTTAAATAAAACAAATCTATTAAACCTAATCTTTTCGTTGAAGTTGAAAGAATTTAAAGTTGTTTTCTTCATTCTGTTATTTTTATTCTTCAAGTAGATTTCCTTCAGTACATTTTCTCAATAATTGAAAAGATTCAAATTATGGTAAAAAAATAGAACAACTTAATTATTTATAATGGTTAGTCTTTTATTTGTGATACGAAAACATCTTTCACAATTGTCAAATTCGTAAGAGTTTAATATTTACAACTACATGATTCGCAATCACATCTGGTGTGAAATATTACCTTTGACTGGTAGCATTTATATTTACTACTGAAGTTTTTAGGACAGTGTTCAGGGTTACAATTACAAGTTATTTTCCCTTTTTTATAATTAAAATTTCCTCCACTGTCTTCAAAAGAACTTAAATTACAATGATAGCCTTTACAGAAGCATATTTCTCCTCTATCCCCATCTTCAGTTGGATAACAAACTGAATTTAAGTAAGGTACATCATTTATGTATGGCCTTGGAATTTTCCATGAACAAGGAGCATCTTCTAGACATCCGCGTATAAATTTGTTATTAACTCCTTTCTTCGTAAAGCAAATATGACATTTTTTAAAATATCCTCCATAATTCAATATATCATTATCTGTCAATGCTCCGCTTGTACAATGGGAACCGTGACAGACGGCGCAATCTCCTTTTTATCGATACAAAGGAAAGGGGCAAGTAGAGAGTTAATTAGACATTACATTTTTTAAATTATTTAAAATGCTAACCATTTTTTTCAGGAAGGTCTTCGCAGTTTACTCCCCGAGAAGGCTGAAAACACATGCAAATGTAGCCTAATTTATTCGTAGCTTCAACACAATGCCCACCATTAAAACAGGGACGTCTTTCACAGCCGTCTAATAATTATATAGATTTTCTTATATTAAAGAAGAATAATAGGATTTATCTTGAAAATTGAATTGATTACTAAACCTGCTTTTATTTGACAATTTCGTCCTCGAAATCCTTTCCTACACGAGCAAATATGCCCTTCAATATTCTCAGTACAGCTACCACCATTCAAACACGGACTTGAATCGCATATTTCTATTAATTCGGTTCAATTTTAAAAACATTTATGACTGTGAAATGACAAAGTAGATTAAAATATACTTTTATCACGAAGTTGACAAATTTGACCAGAGATACCATCAGGACAAATGCATGTGAAAAAATTTCCATCAAATATACAAGTTCCGCCATTGTCACAAGGATTGTGAGTACATGGATCTTGAAATAGTTCATCAAGATAATAGAAAAATGTGTTTAAAAACATTTTTTAACTCACCAAAGACAACCACTTCGCAACGTTTACCTCTTGTTCCAGTTCTGCAATAACAAGTAAAATTCTCACCATCCTCTTGACAAAAACCTTGGTTTTCACAAGGTGAACCACGACCCTTTATATTACATGGGCCATATTGGCATTTCTCTCCAGAGTATGGTCTTTCACAAAGGCAGTTTCCATTAAAGCAAACACCTCTTTCACATGGATTCGGGTTACAAGCTTCTCCAGCTATTAAATGACCAATTCAATAATATTTAAAAAAAGAGGGCTAACAATTAGTTGTACTAGAAATAATATTAAAAATAATAAAGATATCTACTGACTATTTTCACAATTTGGTCCAGAAAAATCAAATTTACAGTTGCAAACACCTGCTTTGCAATCTCCATTATTATTGCAATCTTTAGAAGAAGTGCAAGAGGGTCTATCAATTTCAATCAACTTTCCATAAGCTACAAGTCCAAAAATTGAAAAAATAATGATGGAATATTTAAACATTGCGAATGCTGTCCACAAGAGAATTTGTAGTTGTCCTTTGTCTTTCTATCTGAAAACCTAAAGCAGTTCTGACTTATATACGAAAATTTCTACCTCTTTGAAATATTCAATATTTATTTAAGTTTTCTTTTTACCAGCCTATATTTTCAAAATCAATAAAGATTTTAAATTCATTCTTTTAAATTTTAGGGAAGGTTTATTTTAATTTTCTCTTATTTCTTGTATTTTGGACAGTAAAGTTTTAGAATTCCTGTTCTATTTCATATCTTTTTTTCTTTTTTTACATCAGCCTTAAGTTTCAAATTTTTCTCTTCCTTAACTTCTATTTTTAATTCAATAGTACTTTACTTTCATTATTTGAAACGTTATTCTTAAGTAAGATTAATAGAGCGATTAAAACTGTTAAGATCTCAGGTGTATAGTTAATTCAAATTTTAATTGTATTGCATTAAAGCCAGAAAGTTTTATTACACAAGAGAAAACACTCAATATTTTCAAGTGAAACTAAAATTAGGCAACTAAATTATTATATATAATTTATATATATTATATAGATATACATATATATATAAATTTATATATATATATATATATATCACATTAATTCTAACTTATAGTTCAAACATTCTTCAGAAAATATGCAATTTTAAATCAAATGTTCATAAATCTTTCCAAGTTTCTATTTATATATCGTTTACCAGAGCCAAGAAGCCCATCTCTTTCTACGTTTAGCATTCAAGCAATCGCAGTTTTGACAGTCGCATTTTGGAATGAAACCATCTTTGTAGCACTTGAATGGGTTGTCGGCTGAAGGATTGCTTGGACAACTAGCACATTTACAAGTGATTTCCTCCTCGAAGTAATTATGACCTCCTCCAACGTCGTTAAATGACTGCATGTTGCAGTTGTTTCCTTTACACAAACAGACTTCGGAACCACCAGCCTCATTCATTGGATAGCAGACTGATCCTCCAGCATCAGGGATATCGCTTGTGCTGACTTGAAGGGCTGTTGTCCATTCTGCTGGGATATCACTAACACATCCTCTTTGGAAGCTACCGTCCTTATTCTTTTTAGTGTAACAAGCAGGACAATCTTTGATAGATCCTCCATTGGTACCATATACGGCGTCAGCATCCATTGCTCCAGTAACACATCCGGCACCAGAACACACACCACAGCCCTCTATAAAAGCAAAAGTATTATTTTATCATCAACATTAGATAAAAAGAATTCTTACGTTCGTTTCTAGAGGCAGTTTGACAGTTATTTCCAGTGAATCCACTGGTGCAGGTACATGAATAAGCACCATTGACTCCATTAGTACATTGACCACCATTTTGACATGGGTTTGAATTGCATCCAGGAGCTAGTAAAGAAATCTGATGAACTTTTTAAAAGTAAAAATTTTAAACTATGTTTATACCGTTTCCGCAGTTGGTTCCCCAGAATGAATTTACACAAGTACAAGTGTGACTGTTACCATTGGCGGTACATTGTCCTCCATTCTGACATGGGTTTGGTGCACATGGATCTGAAATTTAGCCATCAATTAATTTTGTTAAATTTTATGTTTTTCAAAGCTGGAACATACTTGGTGGAGTTTGACAGTTGTTTCCAGTGAATCCATTGATGCATGCACATGAATAAGCACCATTGACTCCATTAGTACATTGACCACCATTTTGACATGGGTTTGAATTGCATCCAGGAGCTAGTAAAGAAATCTGATGAACTTTTTAAAAGTAAAAATTTTAAACTATGTTTATACCGTTTCCGCAGTTGGTTCCCCAGTATGAATTTACACAAGTACAAGTGTGACTGTTGCCATTGGCGGCACATTGTCCTCCATTCTGACATGGGTTTGGTGCACATGGATCTGAAATTTAGCCATCAATTAATTTTGTTAAATTTTATGTTTTTCAAAGCTGGAACATACTTGGTGGAGTTTGACAGTTGTTTCCAGTGAATCCATTGATGCATGCACATGAATAAGCACCATTGACTCCATTAGTACATTGACCACCATTTTGACATGGGTTTGAATTGCATCCAGGAGCTAGTAAAGAAATCTGTTGAACTTTTTAAAAGTAAAAATTTTGAACTATATTTATACCGTTTCCGCAGTTAGTTCCCCAATATGAATTTACACAAGTACAAGTGTGACCGTTGCCATTGGCGGTACATTGTCCTCCATTCTGACATGGGTTTGGTGAACATGGATCTAACATTTATCGATTAATTAATTTTGTTAAATTTTATATGCTTTTAAAGGTTCATACTTACTTGCTGGAGGAGTTTGACAGTTATTTCCGGTATATCCATTGATGCAGGCACATGAATAAGCACCATTGACTCCATTAGTACATTGACCACCATTTTGACATGGGTTTGAATTGCATCCAGGAGCTAGTAAAGAAATCTGATGAACTTTTTAAAAGTAAAAATTTTAAACTATGTTTATACCGTTTCCGCAGTTGGTTCCCCAGTATGAATTTACACAAGTACAAGTGTGACCGTTGCCATTGGCGGCACATTGTCCTCCATTCTGACATGGGTTTGGTGAACATGGATCTAACATTTATCGATTAATTAATTTTGTTAAATTTTATATGCTTTTAAAGGTTCATACATACTTGCTGGAGGAGTTTGACAGTTATTTCCGGTATATCCATTGATGCAGGCACATGAATAAGCACCATTGACTCCATTAGTACATTGACCACCATTTTGACATGGGTTTGAATTGCATCCAGGAGCTAGTAATTTTTGATATTTAAAAATTGGAAAAAAAAATTAAAGTGTATTTCTACGCACCGTTTTGGCATGTTGCTCCATGATAAGAGTTGACACAGGTACAAGTGAAGGAATTGCCACTGGATGTACATTGTCCGCCATTTTTGCAAGGTGTGAAAGAGCAAGGATCTAATTAAATAAAGTATACTTAGGTAATCAACAGTTTGCTTTTATAAAAAATGCTATTACTTGGTGGAGTGGCGCAGGTAGCTCCGGTATAACCTCCTGTACATGTGCAAGTGAAAGTGTTTCCATTTGAACTGCATGCTCCGCTGTTCATACATGGATTTGGAGAGCATGGATCTTGAACTGTGCAAACGCCTGATTTAATTTTGCTGATAATCGATGTCAAGTCAGTAAAATCAGGTGCGGTGAAGGTAGATCCAGCTTTGGCTTGTCCCAAACCGGAGATGGCATCCAATTCAGCTTTTACGTAATTTTTGATACCGACAGCATGAACTTCAATACCAGCTTGTCTTAAAGCATCGGCAGATATTTTAGTTTTATCTGGGTATTTGGATTGACCATCGGTGATGACAATAACCATTCTTCTGATGGATGGATCAGCTGGTCTCCAAGTTATTCCAGCAGTGTTTACCAAATCCAAACCAACATCGGTGTTAGTTCCTTTCCTCATGTGAGTTACAGCTTTGATTTTGGTTTCGAAATCTTGTTGACTTTGAGGTGAACTAGCTCCAGACACTGGGAAACTGATTTCGGCTGCAGAACTGAAAGTTACCATACCGAATTTGGTCTTGTCATCACCAATGGTGAAATCCTTAACCAAGTCGATGATGAATTGAACTTGAAGGCCCCAGTTAGTTAAACTAACAGAAGCACTGGAGTCGACAACAAAGAGTATATCAGCCTTTGCGCAACCTTGGTTGGGAGTTCCTGAAAAAATTAATTCATATATCAAGTTCCATTTTATAGCAAAATTTAGAGATAAATGCTTACCACCACCAGTACCACAAGTTCCTTGAGCCAATTCATTAGCAACGTTTCCTAAACTATCAAAATCTGGGGCAGTGTAAACTTTTCCGGCATTAGTTTTTCCAATTCCAGCAATAGCTTCCAATTCAGCAGCATCGGCATTTCTGATTAATGAAAAAACTATTTAATCGTCTATAGAGACGTAAATAATAGAACTTACGCTATTCCAACAGCGTGAATTTCAATATTGTAGTTACTTCTAACTGAATTGGCAATAGTTGCAGTTTCAGTTGGTTTAATTGATTTTCCATCAGTGACAACAATGGCTAGAAGAAAAGATATATTTATATATAAGCAGAATTATGCCGAAATATTAAATTTAATTACCGAGTTTCTTAATTCCAGCTGCAGTTCTCCAGCCACAATCAGGTGCCAATCCCAAACCTTCGTGAGTATATGTACCCTTTCTCATGTGGGTGATGGCCTTTACTTTTGTCTCGAATTCAGCATTAGTTGAAGCAGATCCAGCACCGTCGATGGGGAAGCTTATTTCAGCAGTTGAACTGTAAGTGACAGCACCAATTCTGGCTTTATCGCCAATAGTGAATTTTTTGCTGAAGTCAGCGATAAAGTCCAATTGTTTACCCCAGTTGGAGCCAATTGAAGCACTGCTATCGATAACGAAGCAGATATCAACTTTTCCACAGTCATTTGCAGGAGCTATTGTTTAGAAAACAAGATTATTGTAAATTCAAAAATATACTATTTAACGACGTTTACCAGTTTGGCATTGGTTTCCAGTGTATCCGTTGACACAAGCACAAGTGTAACCAGAAATCTAAGATGTGAAAGAGTTAAACGTATTGAAACATAAAAACTGTAACAAACTATACTGACAGTTGAAGTACAAGCTCCGCCATTCTGGCATGGATTGGTTGGTTTGCAGTTATCAATGAGAACATCACATTTGGTTCCTTGGTATCCTTGGTTGCAGGTACAAGTGAATCCACTTACGGAACTGGCGCAAGTTCCATGTACACATGGGTTGGTTGGTTTACAGTGATCAATGAGAACATCACAATTAGTTCCTTGATATCCTTGGTTACAGGTACATGTGTATCCGCTGGCCTGGCTAGAGCAAGTTCCATGTACGCATGGGTTGGTTGGTTTGCAGAAATCTTTTGCTGTGAACGAACAGTATCATCTTTAACAAGAATCGAAAATGCATTCTTAGTCACTTACGTATATCACAGGTAGGTCCGGACCATCCATTAACACAATTACAAGTGTAAGAGTTAACTCCATCTACGCAGACTCCTCCGTTCAAACATGGGTTGGGTTTACAATCGTCTATGTCTATACGAGATAATTGTATGTTAATTAATATATATTGTAACTTAAAATATTAATTGAATAATATCTTACTGGTTTGACAGTTATTTCCAGTCCATCCTGCTTTGCAGGTACATTTATAACCGTTACTGATTTTTGTGCAGCTGCCTCCATTTTGACATGGTCCGCTGAGACAATGGTCAGCATCTTTTATAGGCAGAATATACAATTGGCAATTAGAATATTAATTGTGCTATAAACACTTAAACTGTACCTGATGTTTTACAGGTTCCTTCCAATATTTTTGTGAGATGTTGGTTAATTTCATTATAATTTTTTATTTCAATGACAAATTCTGAATCAGGATCGCTAGCAATACCTTTTACTTCAGATTGTTTAACACCTGATCCGACAGCGACACAAAATGTAGAAACACCCAAAGTTGTGTGTTTATGCAATAACTTGGCAGCTGGAATGGTATCATCCTTGTCTTTGTTTGATTCTCCATCAGTGATAACGATAGCAATGTTTGGCTTATCAAGTCTGTCTCCACCAGCTGGGGTGAAAACTTTTTCAATAGCTCTCCTGATACCTCCAGAAGTATTGGTATAACTTTGCATGTATGAAATTCCATCGATGGCTGTTAAAAGCGAAGCTTTGTCTTGGTGTTGTTTGAAATCAAAATCCAATCTAGCAGTAAGACCGAAAGAAACGGCGGCAACTTGACTGGCAGTTGGTGAAATATCGAGTTTATCACAGAAATCGCGGATAAATTTCATTTGTTTAACATAGTTGTCCTTTCCAATTGAGCCACTGCTGTCAATGATCCAAGCGATATCGGCAACTCCACATCCTTTGGAGGAAAAAATACAGATAATCATTATAATATGAAAAAAATATTATTTAGTAACAGCGTACTAGTTTCACAATGCTTTCCTACGTAACCAACTTTGCATTCGCAAGTATAGGCTCCATTTCCACCATTAACGCATTTAGTAGTACCAGGATCATGGCAAGGGTTTTTGTCACAGGGACTGGCTTTTGCAGCAGTACTCTTGCAGATGGCATTCAAAATTTTCTGCTTGATAGTGTTTAAAGCGGAGAAATCGTTTACAATGAATTTATGTTCATCAACTGGCAAGGATGCAAGAGCTTCAATTTCTTGTTCATCAACTCCGGCCGAAATACCTGGATGTAAAGAAATATTTATAAAAAAAGTAACGATAAATATAAATTACTTCTTTACCAATAGCGAAAACTTCGATATCTTTCTTACTCCTGAGCAATGCTGCGTTCAAATCGAAATCAGGTTTGTATTGTGAGGAAGTTTTTCCGTCAGTCATAATAATCATGATATTAGGAACAGCTGGTGTTTCAATTCGGTCACCATTTCCTTTGGAGAAAGATGTGGTGGCTGCACTGAAAACAGCAGCGGGAGTGTTTGTACCTCCTTTTGCGTAAGAAAGTTGCGAAATAATTTGCTTGATTTCAGCCTTTGTTGGTGTGTCCTTCAAATGACGAACTTTGTTGACTTTGCTTGAGTAGGTAACATATCCAATTCTAACTTTGTCGGAAGCAATTGGGAACATATCAACAAGTTCATTAGTGAACTCCAATTGCTTTATCCAGTTAGGTTCGGTTACCGAACCAGATTCATCCAAAACAAAGACGATATCCGCAGGAAAGCATTCTGAGATTTTCGTATTGAATTATTAATAAAAAACCAATCAATAGAGAAATAAAATTACTAACGATTTTCACATTTATCACCGGTGTAGCCCATATCACACGTACAAGATCCACCGTTACATGTTCCATAACCACTACAATCAGTATTTGTAGTACATGTCGCTCTCTTCGACCGATGATAGGGTGAGGCGACAATCTGTCCAACGAAGAGACAGACTAAAAGTGTCTTTAACATTTTTATCTGTTAAAAAAGAAATAGGAGACGATTTATTCAGAATTCTAATGAAAACTGCATCATTTTCTATATTCAAAATATACTTGAAATCATTTAAAAATTATCGTTTATAATGAAAAATGTCATTATTTTTATTATATGAAAATAATGGAAATTTAAAAAGATACATGAATGAGCCAAACAACTAAATCAACAGATTATTCAAAGAAGAAACTAACAACATCTTTGGAGAATAATCTTAAATATAAAGCATTAACTAAATGCGGATTTAAGTTAAAACAGAATCTTGGAAGTGGAAGTTATGCAGTTGTAAAAGCAGGCTATTATGTACCGTGTAATAAGGAGATCGCCATAAAGATTATTTCAAAGAGGAGAGCTCCAATTGACTATTTGGAAAAATTTCTACCAAGAGAATTAAGGGTGGTAGGTGCTTTAAGACATCCGAATATAGTAACATTTTATCAAGTAAGTAATAGCTTTCTTGTAGTGGTCAGGGACTCTTTTTTTTCAAATATTAGGCAATTGAAACGGAGAAAAAAACTTATTTAATTATGGAAAGGGCTAATAAGGGAGATCTGTTACACGAAATTAGGCAAAGTAGGTTTGTCAGAGAACCACAAAGTGCTATATGGTTCTGGCAGTTATTGGATGGTATGGACTACTGTCATAGTCGTAAGGTGGCGCATCGCGACATAAAATGCGAAAATCTTCTTTTGGACGATAAACGAAACATAAAAATTACAGATTTTGGCTTTGCTAGAGCCGAAGTAGATAAAAAGACTACACTTAGCGAAACGTACTGCGGTAGTTACGCTTATGCTCCACCTGAAATTCTCATAGGACAACCATACAAACCATTAACAGCTGATGTTTGGTCCATGGGAGTCGTGTTATATATAATGGTTATTGGAAGGTTAAAATAGTAAAGAAAGCTTTTAGTTTACTATGTAACAATTAAATGTTTCTAAACGCTTGTCTTAAAATAGATTACCATTTGATGACACTTGTCATCAAACTCTCTTGAGAGAAGTTAAAAGAGGGCCACGTTTCCCAGAAAAAAGAGGCGATTGTAAAGCGGATTGTAAAGAATTGATAACGCAAATTTTGGTAAATCATGATATGCGTCCTACTGTACTCGAATTAAAGAGAGATAAATGGTTTCGTAGGCAAATTCCTATTATTAAAGCTAGTTTGAAAGCAAAAACTAAAACTTAAATCTATGAAAAGTCACTAGTAATAGAATAAAATTCTTTAATTGAACACTTACCTTTTACTTTATAAGTGCAAGGTTTTCTAAGCTCCACAGGAGAGGATGAACTAAGTTGAGCGCACCTTTTTATACTAGCTAAGGAGATTTCAATGACGCATTTATCAATATCGTGCAAATGCTTAAAAACTTGCTCGAAGATTTAAAAGGGCGTTGTTTTTGTTGATATAGTAACGTTTCAAAGTTCATTACTTATTCAACTTGTGCTACAAATATAACGGATAGTATCTTACTAACATCTACATAAAGATATTAATCCTACATATTCCAAAAATTATTTCTTCATCCTATTTCAATACATTAATTAAGTTGAACTATAAATAGATTATAAAGATATGTATAAAACATTTGAAAGAGTGAAGGAACGAATGAGTGAACGAATGTAGAGACGGCTTTTAAAAGAAATACGTTGTTTCTATTTACAAAAGCGAATAATTAATGATAACAAATTGATTAGTGGAGAACATTTAATGAATGAACAGACGTTGTTTTCCTTTAAATTTTCCTTTAAGTGAGAGCAAAGGACTTTAATACTGTATAATTATAATTCAGGTTTCCGAGAAAGTTTTTTATCTTTTTCTTTCATATTATACAGTTGCGATATTAAGTAATTATAACAAGAGTAAAAATATCTAAAATTCGAAATATCTTGATTTACAAATGAAGTTTATGGTTAGGAATAATTTTTTCTTGATAGGCAAATGATTGTAAATGATAAAATTTTCAAATTTTATACTTGGTATGTATGCCTTTTGCCTTTCTTACTGCATTTAGCCTCCTTTCAATAGAGGCATACAATCCCTGTATCTCAAAATTTGATATTTTGAAAAATTCCTTCTCAAAAATTTCCCACAGCTCTTTCAAATTTCTCCTGGCGATTTTATGTGGTCTACCAGACATATGCAGGTCATTTATTGTTTTAAATTGCTTGAACTGATTCTTTATATTCTGCACTGTAACTGGGCTGCAATTAAATTTTGCTGTTATGCCTTGAATGGTCAATTTTGGCCTGCTTAAGTGGAAGAGGATATCTTTGCAGATTTCTAAAGATAGCTGATGCATTTTTTAATATTTCCAAAAGAATTGTATGTTGTAAGTTCAAGGGAACAATATTTGTAGACCAAATTTTTTTTCAATGATACTACTCATAATTATGAGGTCATAATGATGATGTTATAATTACTTAATAGCTGTCTAAATTCATAGTATGGTAAAAAAGAAAGATAAATTGATTCTTAAAATATAGATATTTATCTGAAATTTTCCATCATGTTTCACAAGTCATCTATCCTATACAAAAAAATATTCACAACCATACACTTTATTCCTAAATCAAAATATTTCGATTTTTAGACATTTTTACTCTTCTTATAATTACTTAATATCGCGACTGTACTGATTCTATAAAAATAGTATAAGTTTGCAGAGTTTTGCTAAAAAAACTGCCTTTAAAGATACACTTTCTTCGAGATAAAGATAAACAATTTGTATTTTTAAAGGTATTAAAAAGCCTTTGTTTAAGAAATTATGTCTATAAAAGATTTATAAAGGTGTCTTATTTAAGTTATGCAAATGAGAATTGGATTGGAACGCCCCTAAAAAGAGCTAACCTTTTTTTTTATTATTTGATGATAGATACAATAATGTCTGCATATTTGCTTTAAAACATTCTTACAAATATAATATTTGTAGAGATACTAAACTATCGGCCGTCCCATTTTACATGTATCTACAGTATATATATATACTGTATATTGTATATATTTAAATATATATAAGTTTTTATATAGCCATAAAGTTAAATATTCATGTAACCAAAGAGTAATGAACTACATGATTTGTCTCTAGCAACTACTTTTTCCTTAAACAATATTTGTTGTTCATATGGGATGAATGTAATATTTGTAAATTGTATTTTCGGAAAAGTACACTAGATGATATATTGTACATAAATAATATAGCATATACGTTGTATTGTTTCATTTTTTATATACTAATTTGTTTTTTCCAACTGTTTATATTTCATTAATTACATAACAAAAAACACAATTAACCAGTATAATAAATTAAAGCTGGCAAATAATAATGGAAAGAATATTCTTGAGAGAACGTCGACCATTAAGGCTTTATCGTGCTTTAATCTTTGAAACCTTGATGGCCTGTTGATAAAATTCAATGGCATTTATAGTTGGCTAGCTGTTTGTAATTTTCTAATATATTTTCACCTGAAAACTGCAGAGGGCGTAGCACTTGGGCGTCTTTCGCCATTAGGTATCTCTACATTATCAGGCCGATGAGCACCGTTAGCGCTAGCTGTATTGATTACTTGAGAATCATCTTCGCTTTTAGGTTCTCCAGCCTCCTGTTGAAAAATTTATGTTGTTTTATATAATATTAATGTTAAATAAACGAAGTTGTCAGTTGTCTATAATTTTTGTTCGCCATAAACTAAATTAATAACAGATTAGCATCAGATGCTGAAACCGTTTTAATAATGATTAGTACAAAAGGAGCTCTGAACTTTGCATTGACATGTCACTATGGATGAACTGAATTCCTTTCTAATTTACTTTTAATGAAGAGAGAAATTACATCTACATGATTATCTTTGAAATGTACACAAATTTTTTAATATAGTAATCATCCCCTCAAGTTAAAAAAGACCAATTTGTTTAATGATAGTTGTTTTATGAATTTGATTGGCATTTCCAAGGCAACGTAGAATTAATATTTTATAAAGAAACAAATAGAAGGAAACTCTTTAGTTTTATTACTAATTAATAAACAAAAAATGATTTAGTAAGCGTAATATTACCTTAGAGAGTGTATAGTGGTTAATTTGAAAATAAATGAATTTGCTCTTTATAAAAGAATCTTAATTTCATTAATGAACAACATGTAAAGCCATATTGCTATACAACATACCAATTATCAACACTTACGAAATAATTACAGGTAATATGATTTATAAGAGAGCTTTCATACGTTTAAAAACGTAGAATTTAATTTTTATGATATTGTATATTATATATATATATATATATTTCATATAAATCTATAACCAATATATACAAAAAGATAGTGTTACTCTGGTTCAATGAACAAATAATTATTTTTTAGGTTAGAATTGGGAAATACACAAGAGGAATTCTTTATATAATTTCTATATATATATATAAATTTATATATAACTATATATATAATTTATAAATAAATAGGGTAAATTTTCGCCAACGCAAAAAACAGAAAGTGAAAATAAAAATAGATAAATTGTTTGTTTGTTTATTTGTTTATTCTTTTTTTATTATTTTGCATGCTCCAAGTAGAGAAAGCATAAGAAATACCTTATCTAAAAAACGCTGGAAAATCGGATAGGCTGATAGTTTTAAAGCTGCAACGGCTAGCTGTGGAATTCGAAGGTGATTCTTACAAAAATACAAAAAAAAAACAAATAAAAAGAAAATAATTAAACGTGCAAGGAAAGAAATGATATATCTATAACTATTACTATTATTAATATATCAAATATCGAATTTTGTAAGAAATGTGTGGCTGAAATATTTCAAATAATAAAATGTTTTCCAGGTAAAAAAATAAACATAACTAAAAATATATTAAAAGCCAAACTTAAAGCCAAACATGAAGGAAGCTTTTACTCTCTTTTTTATTGCATATATGTAAAGTAATCGAAAAGCTTACCTCTTGATCATGACCCTTCTTCCTGACGTAAGTATTGTATTCTCTCCTACTGAGAACGTTTACAATGGAATATTCTATTAATGCTCCAAAGACGAAGATTAAGCAGGTAACTTGCCAAATATCAAGTGCTTTCACGTAAGAGACCTTATATGGGCGGAAAGGGGATAGAATATTATATTTGATTGATTATTATTTTATATATATAGTATATTGTATTATATAGTATTTTAAAAGATAATTCTATATGGAATAAAATTAGCTTTAAGGTTAGCTTTCTCTCCTTTCTTTTACCTTAAACAAAAATAACCGTTAATCTAAAATTAACAGCTTTGTTAATCAAAGAAATAGGATTACTGTACATTTTTGTCACTTAAGTTAGATAGAAAGCATTAAAATATTGGAAAACTCGCGTAAATAGAAAGTAAGAAGACTCCATTGCATATATATATATATATATGTAATGTACCTTTGGTAATCTTTCGGACGAGCTGGAACTCTGAGTACTAATCGTTAAGACAGTTAATAGGCCTAAAGTTATTCGTGCTGGAACGGCGTGCCTATCAATCCAGAAAGAAACCCAGGAAAGGAAAACGACGAGCATAGATGGAATATAAGTTTGTATGAGGTAGTATGTAAATTGTCTTTCCAAAGTGAACGTAGCGTTAACACAAGTAAATGCTCCAGTTATATAAGCAACTGTGCAATTGCCAAGTTCCGACTTTGTCAGATCGAATTCGGGTAGTTTTATATCTTTATTAAGCTGAATAGGATCCTCTTCTCTCCAATAAAATTGCAAATCTTTCGTTGTATAGCCGTCTGTATACGAATATGAATAAAGAAAGATTTAAATCCAAAAGCCCTATACTAAAAAATAATTTCCTTTAAACTAACAGCTTTCCAAATAGAGCGGACAACGCTGAACGTCGAGCGGAAATCTTCCGAGGTACATATTGCAGGATAACGTCAGTGATAATCTGTATGAAAAGATAATAACCGAGTTTCTTTTATGCTATTATAGTAAATAAAGTGATCTTGTTTAGTTTGTTGATTTATTTCTAGAAAATTATTTGTATTTTGTAGGCTCAATTCAGGTTCATTGAGTGGCATGTCAATCTCTGCACACAAATAAAGAGGGCCTATCTAATATATAAACACATACTAAACTCTGAATATTTACAACAAAAAAGTTGTTCTTTAAGTAAATAGGCAAGATTTTACCAGGAATAGTAATTTTTCTCTTTCTCTTTCGTGTTCGCTCAATTTGATCTTTCTCAACAATAGATGATTTGTTCTTTTTAAGGCAATAATCCTTTTATTTTTTTCTTCTAGGTTAACAGTTATATACAAATAATATGGCCAAAATGGATTAATAATAGTAACTATTATAAATAGTAATAAACTTATCAACTTATCACATAATTAAGGCCTATAGTCGCTTTTTTTATTCATAAGGTTTGCTCTTTAAAAAAAATATTATTTAATTATGTTTACTTTTCCAAGAAAAACAAGTATTTATACGTATATTTTAAAAATTAATAGCTTAAAAAGTAAACTTATTGATTGGATCCTATACTAATATTAATCTATTTATATTATATATATAAATATATATATATGTTTATATTTACCTTTGACTGTACAATACTGTCCCATCCGAAGTTATTGTGATAAGTCTATTGGGAACTGCAATATCATGAAAAGTTGCTTGCTTTTCATTCTTGAAGAATAAATCAGGTACCCAAAGTTTATCACCGTATTGATGACTTAGAGTGATTGTTGAAAAATTATGCTGCAATCTAGGATCAGTCCATTTTTGCCTCATATATATGTTTATAGTATATTCCTAGATGTTTGTAGAATAAAAAACATGTAAGATATTTAAAATACAAGTATTATTATTAGATCTTTTTCTTACCATATGGACTTCGCTCAGAGTACTTATGGTGTTTACGAAAAAATTCATTTCAACCCTGACTGGTATACCTATTAGTTCAAAAGATTAGAATTGAGTTAGTTGTAAGTCACGTGCCTCGGGAAGATAATATTGAATGTGGCTGGGGATGCTTTAGATATACACAATATGGAAAATTAACATTTAATGCTATAGAATATTAAACCAAATTAAATAGAATGCGCATATATCCATACACTTATAAACATTGAAACATAAGTAATCTTTTTTCATTTACATTTAAATATATATATATATATTATAATTAATTAATAAAGACTTTGTGTACCTGTATCGATATTGGGTCGAACTCGATTATCGTATTTAGCTTGATCTAAATATTTGATGAATTCAGTCATTTCCGAAATATTTGCGTTTTTGGTATTTTGAGCGCTGAAAACAAAGATATAAAGCATAGAATTCCAATAGCAAAATAGCAATTAAAGAATAAGAGAGAATAGTTTGATAAACTGATAATATTTTCTACTATTGAAAAGTGTATTTTAGTAATAAAATATGAATAGAAAAGTAAATTTCTCATAAATATATAAGTTATTCTTATTATCTCTTTTGTTTATATACCTCTTGAAAAGAGCAAAGAAAGAAAATAATAACTTACGTTACTTGTAGACTAGTTAATAAAAGTAAAATGCCGAGCAATCTCTCCATTCTTAAACAGATCGAACCTGTAAGAAACGTAATCGTAATCAATCAACAGCTACACTATTAATGCATAATCCATTAAACGGTCGATATTAATAGCATCATTAGAATGAATTACAGAATTTTCTAATAAAGAAGTCTTTTTAGAGCTTTTTATGAAATAGGTTTCTTAAATTCTCCTTAATATTTTTTTTGGTCTAAATAAACCGCTTCACAACTGCCAATTGTCATAAATTATTCCGTATATATTCCAGAGCCTATATAATATTCAATCTATTGATATAGCGAGTCGGTAAACTTTTAGATCCATTCAATCACACGTGTTTTTACATTTAAGTAATTCTAATCGATTTTATTCTTAGACTATAAATATTCAAATTATATAATTAGGAGAAAATTTCTTATAAGTTCTACGATTAGATAGTATCAGCAATTTATCTATCTTCCTTTCGATGACTTTATTTTGATGTTAAATAATTAATTTTAACACATATGATCTATATATTATTATTAATTCGTTTCTGATCTCTCTTACCGCTTTGTTTCTTTTTTGGAGGCATCTATTCAAGACCATTTAATATTGTCCCATAGTGTTTTTCCATGTTTCTCATCTCATTCTGCATACGTGTTAACAAGCTGAATAAGCTGAGTACATCAGTATAAATTATCAATTACTCTTTGTTTTTTTTGTCCCAACGATTCTCCTATTTTTATTTCACTTTCATATGTTGTTGTGTTTTTGTTTTACCTCTCTCTGTCTCACTCTCACTTCTACTCTCTCTCTCTAACTGTACCACACTCTATTATTCATTTTCCAGCATCTCTCTAGCAAAAGCTGATAATTCTACATGAATTGCTGACTTATTATAAAACAGCAAAAGCGGTATTAAATAGCTATTGTCTTTTTATTACAAAAATTGTTTACAAATCTATATCTAAACGAAATGAAATAAAAAGGTATAGTACATCATCTAACGTTAAATTAAGCCCTTTGTTTATTGTTATAGGGGGAAAGTAAAGGAAACACCAAAAATGATTAAAGGAAGAGATTTCTATTAATTACAAATACTATAATTAACATATCTTTTCATTATCTGAACATTTTCTTAATTATAGAGGAGCCAATCATTAGACTTCAATTAATCACTTACCATGAAATGATCTATTAAATAAAGAGTCTATTGTATATTAAAAAATTAATATAAATATTATAATTAACTAATAATCTAATTGAATATTAAGATTGTTAGAGTTAAGCCTATTGTATTATTACACTTTTTTAATAATTAATAATTTTTTATATATGTATACCACATATAGTAGTATTTCATGTGCATGTACTGTTGTATTTATATGTATAGATGAAGAGGAGAAACCAGAAAAATATCTATCGGAAAGAATTTGTTTTTATTAAAAAAAAAAGGTAAGTACTTTTTACATGAGTACCATTAGGTTGAAAAGGGGACATATCTATTTCCTAGAAAATGTAGCAGGCGTTTACAGAGAGATTTGGAGATTATTTAAGTTATTGTTTTGTTGACTACAATAAAAAAATGATAGATAGGAAAAGATGGAAAAGTACATGTTATATAGAAAAATAAATGTAGGGAAATATAGGCTTATATTAATATTGTTAACGTAAAAAAACTTGACATATTTATGGCAAAAGCAAAAGACTATATGGCTATCTACAATGAAATATTAATAATTAGCAAAGAAAAGGGTTATTAATTAGTTATAATTATTATAAAAAATGCTCTCAAAATATCCGATCAAGTATAAATAAAGGATGAAAAACGTCTGCTAGCTAGTTTAAAAATTCTTACCACATTCCTGGTTCATCTTGCTTTTAATCTGATTTCAGTTTCAATCTTTGCGGTTAGTCATCATCCAGTGAGCGAAGATTTAGATATATCTGTAGCGTATGACGTATAAGTGAATTACTGAAGGAGAGACTAAAAATGCACCCGTTTTTGTATCTAATACGATCGAATCAAGTGATTTGCATAACTTAGGGGCGTTGGAGATACATATTAATATTAATATAACGGCGGATTTAGCGGATTAATAAAATATATTACTATCAAGATAAAGTAATCATTTTTTTAATACAGTCTTATAAATGATAAAGAAATTTGAGTATTATTCTACAAAGCGTAAAAGTTTATAACTTTATCTAAATGTTTGTTAAAGTAGGAAAACACAATGGAAATTTCAGTCCTCAAATGGGATCGCCAACAAACACTAACCACTTTTCTTATACTTCTAGTCGATATAATACACTCTTTCAGTATAAAAGACATACTAGTATAAATATATAACTATACTATAACTATATATAAATATATATATATACATACATATACAGTATGGGCCAATAGTCACTGTTACACCATGAAAAAGTTATTTATTTTTTACTTTTTCTCTTTGCATACTTAATGAAATGATATGAAAATCTTATCATTCTAGAGAGGATATATATGTTTTTTTGCTTTATATCTCAGAAATATGATTAATTTAATGATGATAGGCCTATTTTCAATAGGAGCATAAGTAGCTGTTACATTCAGAAAATTTCATCTAAAAATTGACAAAAATATTTCGTTTTTTCTTATTTCTACTTTTACTTGGTATGATTTTAATATTTCAAACAGTTAAAAATATATATTTTTCATAGTATAACAATGACTATTGGCCCATACTGTATTCTCTAGGTACTATATAATATATACTCTGTATAAATGTATAGAACAGGGAAAATAGTTATTCATTTGCTTTTTCTTAAATATAGACAAGCAAGAAAAAATGAAACACCCGTCTATTATCTACAGATTATTGTTCATCTTTTCAATGTATTTCTCGAGTATGCCATCTAGCGATAAAAGTCTCGTAACGTCTTGTCTTCTTAGGCTGTCAAATTAGTTGATGCTTAATATATTAATACATGAATAAATACGATAAATAAATTACATCAATTGCTGAATATTACTGGAAAAAGAGTTGAAAAGAATTACATTTCGACAGTAAAATTATATTAAAATGGGACGTCAATTAAAAATATAATTAATATAAAAATTATTATTAATAATTGAGTGAAAAACTGAAAATATTACCTCTTAGGTCATTAATAGAAGATTATGCTTGTATTTGGATTACTTGTTCAAAGACAGTACTGTAAAAAAAAGACTGCTTGAAATATAATAGGCAACCCACACTTTTAGTTCTTTAAGTTGATTTTACTATTAAAGATATATTAATAATAATAAAAAAGGGAGGAGTAGAAGAAGAAGAGAGAAAAAAAACACGAAAAAATTCAAGTAAACTAAATACTTTACCCTATATATTTTATATTCTAACCTTTCTGATCGTCTGTTAAGTTTATCTTTCAATTTTTATATTTTCTTTATCTTTAATAGAAGAATTGATTTTTAAAAGTTTGTATCTCCTTTTAAACAAAAGCTACGCGAGGAAAAGTCAAGTGACTTGATCTATGGTGTCGGTATATTTGCTAAATGTTATATTTTCATTGCAACAAGTGATACGATTTTATATGCTAAAAACCGTCTGTTAATGAATATTGTAAAGATCATTAAGAAAGCTTTTACATATGGTATAAGCGTAGAAGTATGCATGATTTTTATTAGTACAAAAATAATTGACAGTTGATTATTATAATAACATAAAAAATAGCAAGAAATAAAATAAAATAAGAAAACAATATTTCAACATGAACCTTTATGAATTAGTAAAATATCTATATGCAACACAATCTACGTGGGTTTTTATGTACAGCGGTATTTTTATAGTTAGTATACATTTATTTAGACAATACAATTTTTTCTATAATATATATGTATATTAATTTTCTTTGATGTCAAACTCTTTCAAATGTTTGTATGAATGTTTACAAAACTGTTTTTACAGCTTTATACATTCATATAAATACTATATAGATTTCTTGGGTTTTGGCTGGTTTAAACAAATAGATATATGTTGAAAATTATTCCTTATCTATTAGAATCGGACTATAACATTCTTAATTTATCAAGAGAAAGATTCTAAAACATTTTCAATATATAAATATCGTTTTTGATAATGTAATAGCTCACAAATAGGCAATTACGTATATTTTAGCCCTCTTAAGAACTAGTAATCGATCTAGGTCTTATAATATATTTGAATAAAAGCTTTCTTTCTTTCTCTTTTTTTTTCTGCCATTAAACTAACAACAACACAGCGCAAGATAGGAAGAAGAGTATTTCCTTTAATAATATATTTTAACTATTTTATCAGTATTCTAAGTTAGACTCGGGCAAAAGAAAAAAATCTATGAAAAATCGTTATTCTTGTATTAACGTCAAAAACTTTCATGAACTATATGGTATAGAAATTTGTATAACATTGTACTCGTTAATATAATATCAATCGCATTGTCTACCTTAAAATGTTAATTAGAATTAACAATTATGCCTTTGTATCATAAATCAAACACTATCCAATTTCTTTATTCTTTGATTTATCATTAGCTAAGAAGACGATTGTTTAAATAATTTATTACACTTTCCTAAGAATTCGTTTCAAAGATTTTTAAAGACAAATATAACGTACTTGTCTAACATTACACTCTCTCCCTCTCTCCCTCTCTCTCTCTCTCTCTCTCTCTCTCTCTCTCTCTCTCTCTCTCTCTCTCTCTCTCTCTCTCTCTCTTTACATAATGTTTCTTAACTTGTCGATTAATATAGGTCAAAATCTAGAACGATATACTCTTGAGGTTAAATCTTTAATTCCTATTCTTTATTCTATAATAAATGACATATAAGATATCTACTGAAAATGAAGTATCGACCTGTTACTAATCTTCACTTATTCAATGTATTGTAAGTTAAAGATTTTATATCCTGTTCTATCAAGGAAATGAACTTGTTATAATTTAAATATCATATTTTAAACACGAAAGATATAATAGATACCTTAATAGTTAAGAAAGAAGAAAGTTGTCATACAGTGTTATAACGATGGAACTGTTTGAACGCAATTTTACATGAAAATCAATTAAACAAAACATGTGAAAAACTTTTTCAAAAACACAAAAACGAACACGCCTCTTAAAAAGAAGAATAACAGTTGAACAGAGAATATTTTCAATAAAATTGAAACTGGGTCATTAATTAAAATTTTTACAACGGCACTTATTTAATAATCCTCGAAATTTTGATATCATATAGTTTCTATGTAGTTTATTAAAACATATATATAAGATTGGGTTAACTATTGCTGTTGAAGCGACTAAGGCTGCTGTTATTTCCGTTGGTCTGCTGTTATGCAAGTTCTCTGATTCTCTTATCACGTCAACTATAAATTTTACCTGCCATAATTAGTATTTATAAGTATTCGTTCATAAAAAAACACAGCAAATTTAGAGTTAAATAACTGAAGTATATTAAACACTTACCCCAACAGGTAAATTCAAACAACAGTTGACAACTGCAATAATTTTAATAAGTAATGATAAATGACTGGCTTTATCTTTCTTTTCCTTTTTATTGTTTCCCTGAACTTTATTCTTCTTATCCAATTTACAAGCAACGACTAAGTTACAAACAACAGTTAAAGCAGTTGATCCAATGATGTTGAGTGATAAATATATTATATATACGTTATGTTCCATACTATGCTTGGATGCAACAAGAACAATTAGACATACTTTATTTGTTCTGTAAAAATGGTAAGGCAAACCGAAATCAAGAAGAGGAAGAAGAAAGAAAATCACATCGGAAAGGAGTAAAATAAGAGAAGAGATAACTATATAAGTATTTTTTCCAGTACAATATTGTCTATGAAATATAGGTTTTATCACCATCAATAATCGTTCAAATGACATTAGACATACTAAATGCATTGCCCAAAACATAGATGTTATACCCAACATGCCACATATCTTACAGAAAAGAGAAGCGCTATATCTTTCGCAAGTATAAGTATTAAAAAGAATAAAGCCAACGTAGAAAGTACAATTAAATAAATCATTATACGAAATTAACTTCACAGTTAAAAGAACTTTATGCTTTTTCGATACAGCTGTTAGAATAGCAACAGAACATATATTAGCCAACATACCGAAAATAAAAGGTAAAGTTGTTGGAGAAGAAAATATTGTAACATTACAAGTTCCATTAGACGATGACTTGTTCATATTTTTACAAAACAATGAATCCAAATAACCTATTTAGTTTCTTCAATTTCTTAATGTATATAATATTACTTGTAGCTTCTTTTTTTTTACCTTTTAATCAGTTAAGTATTGAAGTAAGAATAATAAGAGTTTCAACTAATAGAAAGGCTCTTTTTCTTTCTTTTTCATTTATAATTTTCAAATTCCTTTTTATTATTTTATTGTTAAGTGTTTTTTTTTCCAAAGTATTTAGTATTTGCTTCTTTACGTGTAAGAAACAAGTCATTGAGACAGTATGAGAAAATACACCCTCTAGAAGTGTATCGATATTCTATCCATTAGTTCTTTTTTAAGCTTCTGTACCAGTAGGAAATTCAATCTATAAGCATCCATTACTTTTTTCTCTTCTTACATTAAATATTTGCATTATAAAACTGTTATTTCCGATGTTCTTTTCTCTTTCTTAAGGTTAACTAATTAATTAATTGATAGAGATTTGAGTGAAAACCTGTACAATCACTTTTAAAGAATCCTTTAAGAATGGAATTATCAGACTAGTACATAGATCTTATTTCAACATGAAAAGTCGATCAATTAAAGCTTTTTAGTAAAATATTTCGTTAATGACGGTGGCAATTTTCAAAGAAACATACTATTGACCAATGCCATTATTATCGTCATCATCAGCGTCATCGTCATCATTATCTTAAGTTGTTTGAATTAAGTTTTACAAAGGTAACCTTGAAATAAATATTTCAGACTTTTATCTAACCTAATAAAAGTTAATAGAGAAGTATATTTACAATCTGACAAACAATAAAAAATTTTCACTATTTCTTTCTCATATTTTAACAAAATAAACTGTTGAATAATTTAAAAAAAATTCATTAATAATTAAACAGAAGTAAAACAAAAAAATTCTTTAAAATTTATCGAACTCTGATTTACCTGATAATATCACTCTATTCAGGGTTAATAATGCTCTATTATTAATGCTTTGTCTAGTTTATTATCTAGGCCTAGATACGTTTCATATTTTGTATAGATTTTTGAAATAGTAGGTAATAAAATTTTAGTGGTTTGTAATCGTTTGTTTTGTTTAAATTGTCAAATGTTTTTTGTTCAGAAGATGGCACCACCTCTATTGCTTATCTGCGTCATCTATGTTCAATTTTGTATTTATGAGTAAGCTTGGTTGGGTTTTTATGTTAAAATTATAGCTGAAAAAAGGGAAGAGGGAAGGGGGAAGAAGGAATGAAAAGTATTAATAAAACATACATTTAGGGTAAGAGTTAGTTCCATTTTGAAATCTCGACGTAATGAGGTCTTTTATAGGGCAAAGAGGAAGTTAAAATGATTTTACGCCGTTTTACTCACAGTCAATTACTGTCGAATACTGCCACCACCTTCTTGGACAGCTTAACTATTGAGGAAACGCGTCGTCAATACCCACCAACTCCCTCTCAAGCATCGTAACGTAATCTTTCTAGTAAAAAGAGTCTGACCTCTCGTTAAACGCCTTATCGGGATTCCTATATAATTCCCATAGGTTCGAGAGTACGAGTTTATCTAAAATTATAGGATTATTAATGATCTGTGACTATTTCCGTATTACATAACGTATTAATAGACGAAGGAATGAGAAAATGATAAATAAAAAATATATGCATATATATACTGTGTATACAGAGAGAGAGAGGGAGAGAAAGAAAGAAAAGCAGACAGAGAGCCGTAGATGCAGAGAACTTGATCATTTATTCAATATGATGCTTGAGTAATAAGTCTCGTGACTAACGGTTGGTTTATGATCAAAATAAAGATTCTGGTAATTATATCCATTTCACAATGTATTACTCGACACGTAGCCATATTTGATGTTTAATTTAACGAGATTATATACTTTTTTTATCTACTTTCTCAGCGTTTACTACGAAATTATAAACGAAATGTGAAATTTAAACGTTATTCATATTCTAATGAAACGTTAAACTGATAAATAGAATATGGGAAAAGCAACAAACGAAAGATTTTCGATTATACAAATGAGTAACGCCTATACGGTATATAAAACGTTTTTCAGTTGATCCTAGGTGCTTTATAAAGGGGCGTAGGCCTATGCATATAAATTAGACTGCTTCATAGTTATTTGTTTTGAAGGCGCGAAATCTACTTTCCACTAAAGCTGGTAATTAAGTATTTCCAATTGCCTACTCCCCTATTCGATCAATTTCCAAATCCGGTAATTAATAAGCTTTTAGAATTTAAATTAATATTTTACTCCAGATCCGAATTTTATTCACAGATATGCATAATATATCTATCAAGACTAAACTTTCTATTAACTCAATCACGTTCGAAGTCTCTTTTATTTTCAGAGGCGAAATTAAGCTCTTATGTATTTTTAAATGTGAAGCTTACTCTAAATTCAAACATTTATGCATACGATATATAAAAAATGAGAATTTTGAAGAAAATTCAAAAGAATTCGCTTAAACCATCTCTTGAGATAAATTTGCCCTGCTCTTGTTTTGAATTCTTTTATCAGATCCATAACCTACCCATAATCCTCTTAATACGTCGGCCGATACAAGATGCCCAGCGTTTACGGTGATTAAACGTAGTAAAAGCATTCCATCCCTTCTTAAATATCTTTCTACAAAAGTTTTAGCAGTTCTTATCTCTCTTTTACCAAACTCCAAAGAGCTCAATGTTTTCCTAACATCCCTTACCTGAGCAGGCCAATAGGATGCCTTATAAGTGCACTGCAATAGAGAAATTAAAGTACAACAAGATACCATAACTAACCAGAACCAGATAAATATAAAGATTTTCTCATTAAAGAGATTTATTGGAAGAACACACTGCACTGTATATCTATGAACATTCGTTTGCTGCCTTACTTGAAAGTCGCAAAGCGTCACTCTGGGAAAAATTGGAGACGCTGACCAACGGCGACCACCTAAAAGTCAAAAAAAAACATATTGTGCAATATTTTCAAACTTTAAGGAGGCTGCTAATCCTTATTACCTTTCATAGCGTTTCTTAATAAACGAAGACCGTAAACGCTGTAACCACCGCCAAGGAAGAAGTCTAATAGAAAGAGTTGACCGGTAGAATTTATTAAATATGCAAATTTGGAGCATAGGTAAACAGTCGTTAGATAATTGCCATGTAATCTGGCGGGAAATAGGCAACAGTATCGTGCGAAGGTGGCTCTTAGCTTTGCAAAACCACTTCGACTATAATCCCTCTGCTGTAGTAGATAACAATCTATCTGGGCAACAACGAAACGGGTCGTCTTTTCCCTAGTGTCAGCATACAAAGCACGTTGAGCTGCTCTAGACGCTTCGATAAGAGAACATACGTTTAGACCACAACGTCTATGTAAAAGTTTCCACAAAACAGCCGGCAAGCAGAACATTGTTGCCTGAACCAATAATAGTATAGGAACCCATTGATAATAGCTAATATCTTCTCTATTGTATTTTATTTATGAAAGAATAGAAATTGCTTATAAGAGTGTTTCTTGCCGTAAATTTTCATCATTAACAAATAATGCAATCTCTCTTCACACCAATATCTATATAAATGAACTGAACAGAATAGAAAAAACATTCTCAACTAAAGAAAATTCTTTTTTAGAATGTCAGTAAATCATCAACTAAAATCCTCATCACGACCTTTTTAGTTTGTTGTAAGAGTTTGCTCAATTTCTTTAAAATTCCCATAATGTCAAAGTTCAGTTTAGTGTTAATCATACAGAAATGCTTAAATTAATGAATGTACTAGTACAAAGTATACTGTATACTGTTCAGTATGGATAAACTTATCTTCATACTTTCCTAATCCGCTTTTTTTTTATTCTAGGAGCAAAAACTACTGATTAAATAATTAATTATTATTTTATGTATTTCCCTTTAGAATGAATTTGAAGTAAATATTAATTAGAGATAATTAGAGATAATTAGAGATATAGCAAAATTCTTCATATTAACTGCTATTTATAATTAAAAAAATAACAAAATTTTTTTAATCGTACTGTATTTGCTTCATAGAATAAAAATGATATAAGTTTTTTTTGTATTTGTTTAATTCATTTACAATTTCTATTCTTTCTTTAACATACCTAGGTTCTTTTTCCTTCGGGGCAGTTCTGGAGAAAGGAACGTAATATGTATCCGAAACCCAACAAACCGTATTTGTATAATCGTGATGACTCGGAGTAAATTGGGCTGGACACCAGCAACTAATTGGAGCTCCAACGTACTGCTTTATTGATACCAAAATCGTAAAAAGTGCCATCAAAGTTGGTGTCCATTGCCTATTCAACCGGTCAGTAAAATCATCATCCCTTTTCAATTTAAATTCCCTGAGTTGGAAAAGCGCCTTTAGAAGGCGATCCATACCGGATCCGATCATGGACGACAAGTGGAAGCCGCTGTTTTTATATAGGAACCCTAATTATAGATTCCTAATGCATATTTATAGAATAGCCAAGCGCTCATACTTTATGTTAATGATCTTTTAACAAACACACGTCAGGTTTCAATCAAATATTGTCATCAAAAACCTTAAGGGTATTTTTTTAAGTTAGAAGAAAGAAACAAAAAAAGCAGGGATTTCTTTTAAACAAAATATCTTCTTTGATGTTTAATTTTAAGAAAAAGAAGCAAAAGTTAATTTATTTTAATTTATTATTCTACTATATTAATAATTATTGTTATATTTTAAATCATACTTAATCAATCATTAATATTACTATTACGACTGTTATTATTACTAGTTTTTGCACAAAGTCTTTTAATAGATAATGATAAATTACTAAAAAATTATTAATCCTTTCCAGTTGGATGGTAGCCTATAATCTAGCTATTTGAATCTTAAACTATCTAATTGAGATATTTGTCATTTATAGTTTGGTTGTTTGCACATTTACTTTATATAATTATGAATTTTTATTAAATTTAAGTAAATGCAAACGGTTTTCTTCTAAAAATGTCATCTTTATTTACCTATTACTCCTACTGTTTTGACAAACTGAGATTATACCAAACTTTTAAAAATTACTATGAAAGATAAGTTAACCTTTAATAATCTTACCTAAATTAGACTCTTTTTTTATCCATTTTTTAATGGCAAACCTATAGAAATACCAGTTGTATGCCTCCCAAGAAAATACTGAACGCCTTAAGGCGGGAAGAAACCAGCTTGATAATAAGATTAATGTAATTATTATGCAAAGTGCGTCGATGCGGACAGAACCGCACAAATGTATTGTGGCTTATTAAGTCAGATAGGCTATTTATTTCTCATTCTTATCTACATATTGTCAATATAGATTCGTGCTTATAGACAAAGTAAGAAGGACTTAGGAGCCCTGGCGCAATTTCCGGAGGACCATTCTTGTGAATGCCATCTACTGGATATATTTGATTTTCTTACCCCTCATCGATAATCAATTTTTTCAATAATTAGCAAATTTATTCACCAACTATTAGCAAATTACCCAAGAAATTCGGAAATTGTAGAAAAACTACAACAACATATTCACAGATATGCTTTTCCTGTCTTCTTTATTCACGTAACACTTTAGTTAGTGTTTAACATCTTTCATTTCCCCCTTTATTTATATATTTCGTTTGCAGCTATATAAATCGTTTAACCCTATATCAATTTTTTTCTAATTGTTTTCTTAAAATAGTAAACATTCTGCTAAACATCTAATTGTTTTATTTAAAGAAATTCTTCTGTCTTGTTTTTTTTAATTTTTTTAAATTCACTAATGCATATATATTGAATTTTTATATAAACATGTTAAACCTTTTAATTTCTCATATCAAAAGATCGCGTTTTCTATGATATATTGTATGATTTAACAATATAATAGTTTATAAATCGTACTCAGTAGTATTAAAATAGTACCACAAAAGATAGCAATATAAGATGAACACTGAACACTGAACCAGATTAGCAGCCGTTACCAAAAGTTGTTGTGATTCGTCGAATTTTGTCACGTGATCTAACAAACCGCCATATTGGCTAAAATCAAATTGCAACTGTGGACGTTTTCTGTTATTCGTCGATTTTAAAAGCCAATATCGACGATTTCTGAAGCGAATTATTTATTAACTGTTATAAGCCTTCTTTTTGTTAGAACTTTACAGTTTTTAAAATAGCGCTTCTCAGAAACTTCTGTGAACGATACTCAGTAGGAAAACATGTCAAAAGTTATACCCGTTAAAGTTGCTCTTCGTTGTCGTCCTCTAGGACAAAAGGAAATTTTAGAAGGCTGTGCTAATTGTATAGATTTTGCATGCGATGAACCTCAGGTAATTTCAAGCGAAATATATCTCACTTCAAAACTTAAACCAAGTTTTAATAGGTCATTTTGGGAGGGCATAAAAGTTTCACATATGATTATGCTTTTCCTGCTCATATGGGTCAAGATACAATCTATCAAGAAGCAGTTGCTCCTCTCGTCGAAGGCATATTTGATGGTAAAAAAATGTGTAATCATGACTAAATGACAAACTCAAATTATATTTCCAACATTCAGGATATAATGCTACCGTTTTGGCATACGGTCAAACAGGTAGCGGCAAAACTCACACTATGAGTGGATCTGATCATTCACCAGTAGAAGAAAATAAAGAGGGAGTTATTCAAAAAGTTATTTATGATTTATTTGAAGGTATAGTATTGTCATTGTTTACATTATTGTCTTTGTTACTCTTAGTATTGAAAACTTAATTTTTAAAAAAAGGTTTTCGAGAGAGAACGGACTTCAATTATACTACAAAAGTGACATATCTCGAATTATACAACGAGAATTTTAGAGATTTATTGGTCAATAGCGATGATCAACGTGAAACGATACAAGTCAGAGAAGATCCTAGAGGAGGAATTATGGCAACAGGACTTCATGAGATGGTAGTAACAACAGCGGAAGAAACATTAGCTTCTTTCAAAGTTGGCGTAGGCCATCGTTCAACAGGAGCTACAGCTATGAATTTAACTTCTAGTAGGAGTCACGCGGTTTTTACTATTTATATATCGAGGACGAGAGCGGACGATGTGTACGTAGGAGAAAATTACATTATAATCTTGTTAGTCATTTTTAATTTTATTTTAGAGATGATATTTGTCATGCAAAATTTCATTTGGTCGATTTGGCAGGATCAGAAAGACAAAAAAAGACAAGAGCCGAAGGAGAAAGATTAAAAGAGGGTATAAATTATATATATATATATTAATACATTCACTAACGGCCAATAGTCGTTGTTACACCACGAAAAATAAATATTTTTTTATATTTTCACTTTGTATACTTAAAGAAAAGAAATGAAGGCTATTAATATGTTTAATAATATTCTTCTTGTCATTCTAGAGAGAAAATATATGTTTTTGCTTAATATCTCAGAAAAGTAGTTGTTTTAATGGAATGGGCCTACGTTCGATGGGAACATGGGGAACTGTAAAAATCAGAAAATTTCATTTAAAAACTATTTAAAATATTTAAACATTAAAATACTTAATATCATATCAAGTAAAAGTAGAAATAAGAAAAAACGAAATATTTTTTAGATGAAATTTTTCTCACTGTAACAGCTACTGTAAATGCTCCCATTGAAAATAAGGTATATTACATTAATATAATCATTTCTGAGATATAAAGCAAAAAAAACATATATATTCTCACTGGAATCATAAGACTTTCATTTCTTTTCATCAAGTATGCAAAGAGAAAAAATTATATTTTTCATTTTGTAACAGTGATGTATTAGCGGGTACTGTATATTTAAAAATATATCAACACTTTCATAAAATTCTTTTCTTAGGAATAAATATAAACATGGGTCTTCATATTCTTGGTAATGTTATTGCCGCTTTATCTGGAGAAAATGGTAAGAAAGCTCGATACGTTCCATACAGAGATTCTAAACTTACAAGGCTTTTGCAGGGTATGTTATGATATATTTCATGATAATTTAATGCCATAGTTATTTCCTTTTTAAAGACTCGTTAGGAGGTAATTCTCAGACTCTTATGATAGCATGTATCAGTCCGGCTGATTCGAACTATGATGAGACTCATTCTACGTTACAATACGCTGATAGAGCAAGGAAAATAACAAATAAAGCTAAAGTCAATCGGGATCCGATTCAAGCGGAATTATTTAGATTAAGACAATTAGTAAGTCTTTTATAGGAAAGTTTTTTCATATTGATCATTCATTACTAATTATGTAGCTACAAGAAAAAGAGAGACAGTTGGCACTTTGTACTTGGTAAAGTCTAATTATAATCATGTTTATTTACTTTTCTTTAATTTAAATATTTTAAACAGTGGCGCTGCGTCAACAACTGCTGTTGTTCATGAAAGTTCAACGGGAATTACTCCCGCTGTTTCCAAAAAGATAGAAAAATTAGAGGTATTAATTTTGAGAAAAATTGTGAGAAAAATTATCTTATTAAACTTTCCATTGATCAACAGGGAGAACGAGACAATTTACTAAATGAACTTACACAAGCTACAGAGATTTCAGCAACCCTACAGGAAAAAGTCATTCAATACGAAATGGTTTTAGAACATTATCAATCCAAAATAGGTCACTTAAAGGAGAGGACAAGGTAAATTTATCTATATATATATATATATATATACACATGCATACAGCTAATATGTTTTTGTAAAACAGTCGTTCAATTGGAACCATAAAGCCTGAAGTCATTTCCGAAAAAGAAGAGGCCATATCATCTACAACAACAGAAATTGGTACAAGAGAAGTTTATTAGTTAAGGAAATTAGTTTTTAAGTCATTTTATTAACAGAAGAAACAACGGAAAATCGATCAAATCACACTTTTCTTCATTCACTTGTTCAAGATTTGGATGAATTGACAAATATTGACCCAGAAAAATTACGAGATACTCAATCTCATACTCCAGAAACTAGTGATGATGAGGAAGATCATGACCAAGATAAAAAGGATTTAACGTGCACAGCCTTTACTTTACGCAGAGCAAGAATGAACAAAGATGTTTGTAACATTTTTTTCCAATATGGTTTTTTTTTAACGAAAAGATTAACTCCATTTTAGATTGAAGAATTAACAGGAAAATTGGCAGCAAAACAAAAACTAATCAAAGATATGACAGAAAATGGAAATAAGATTAGCGAACTAAAAGAACATTATGAGGTACGTTTGAAGTGAAAGCCATTAAATAGTATAAAGTTTTTGTATTTTAACTTCAGCACGAAATCAAGAGACTCGAAAATGAATTAGATCAGCAGAAGAAGAAATTGGACGAAGTTAAATATGCAGAAAAGAATTCAAAGTAAAACTTATAAACATACATCGTATACTTTACTTATACTAACTGTATTGCTTCACAGGGTTGCTGAGACGCATCGCAAGCGTTGCAAGGAATTAGAACAAAAGATTGGAGATCTACGGAAGAAAATGGCTGACAAAGATAGGCTATTAAAAGTAAGGAAATATATTATATTAAGATGCAAAAAGTAAGTTGGAAAAAATTTCAGATGACAAAGGCTCGACAAGAAGAAATTAATAAGATTCAAAGCGAAATGATATCCTTGAAAAGAACCAGAGTAAGATTATTGAAGCAGATGAAAGAAGAATCTACTGAGTATCAGCGAATGATGCAAATGAAAGATAAAGAGATTATGCAGTTTAAGGTAAGTGCTACAAAATATTTTAAATGTTATCTAAAGAGGAAAAAAATTAGGCGCAGCAACGAAAGAGAGCCGCTGAAATGGCTAAGGAATCGAAAGTGAAAGATAAAAGATTAGCCGTTCTTAAACGAAAAGCTGAAGAATATCAAGCTGTCAATAAAAGACTACAGGAAGCAATGGAAAAACAAAAGCAAGCATTGGATGAAAGGAATAACCATCAAGCTAAAGCAGATGCTGGTGGCATAGGTCAAAGAACAAGAAAATACATAAAAAGAGAATTTCAATTAATATTGAGTATTGAAGAAGCTCGAGAAGCTCTAAGTCAAGAAATGCGTGAACGAAAACATTTGAATGAGGAGCTAACTAAACTAAAATCTAGATTAGATCCATCAGGTCCTCCTCTCAAGCGCCAAATGTTGACAATGTATAAACAAAAAGATTCGTCAAATCTAGAGTTAAGGGAGAAGATAAAGCAAATGGAAAATGAAGTTATGACAAAGAATGCTTTTATTCAAGAGCTTCAAAGGAAAATATCTGATGCTGAAAAATCTGGTGACAAAATGAACAAATGGGATGGAATTAAGAGTATCGTCGAAGCAAAGTGCGCATTGCGCTGGTTTGCAGATACGGCTCTTAGCACAAAAATAGACTTAAAAAAAAAAACAAAATTATTAGAAGAAGCCAGAAAGGAAATTGAAAGCAACTTTTCAGAAATACAAGAACTAAAAGATTTACACCAGAAAGATATGGAACGATTGAGGAGAGATAATGAGAACAATGTCCTGGCTTGCCTTCAACTAGGTACATGTAGTGTCGAAACACAAACCAAGGACAAAAGTTACGAACATAGACTTTCCGCTCATGTAAGTACATCAAAACAACACATGTTTATTATGAACATCAATAGAGTTCAATCATGATTTATATAGGAGGAAAAACTTCGTCAGCTTTCCAGCGTTTACGAGGAATTGGATGCCCTAAGGGAAGAAAATGAAAAATATCGTCAGAGAATAGAAGGCCAATACATAAAGATGGAAACTGACGGTCAGTCTGAGGCAGCGTTAAATTCAACTTTTTCAATTGATACAATTAATATGGAGGAGAAGCAAATAACCGAATGTGACAGGCACAATACAACCTTCTGTCACCCTGTATCACCTTCAAAAAAGGCTGTGAAAAGAAGTTCATCAACTGATAGTGATGGAACTTTGGATAATTATACATGCCTTGAAAGTGATGAGGAAAATCGCGTTCCATCACCAGCAAAATCAACTGATCCTAATTGGACCCCAGTATCACAAGGAAATCTTAAAAGGGTAATTTATTTCTTTTCTTTATTTATACAGAATATTCAAATATAATTAGTAAATTTAATGGAGAAATCTTGTTGTTTAAAAAAATTAATCCCATCAGATTAATGTCTTTAATGTTTTTTGTCGACTTTACCTTGTTATTGACGGAAATTTAGAATATTTTTTACAATTAGATTTATAAGTTTAAAAGCGTATTTTTATGCATGCAGTTTTCGACATTAATGGTAACGATTATAAATGGGATATGGATTGCAGGTTTTCCGTTTGACCTGCCTTTAACCCCTTTAATTTTTTGTTCAATAACACTTTAGCTTTACTTTTTCCCTAACAGCGTCTGACCGTTTCGCGGGAAAAACCACAAAACAATAATATTTCCAACCCTGTGGCGATTTGTAAGTGTAAAACGTCTTGCACAAAAAATTGCGGTTGTAAAAAGAATAACGTGGCTTGTACGGAGAGATGTAAATGCTCTACCTTTTGTCTAAATAAGGAAACTTCTCGGGTACGTTAATTTACTAAAACACACTATAAACATAAGGTAAAAATCTTTTAATGAAAGGACTAAAAGTCAACGGGTAATATAACCTTTTTTTTACGTCATGTCCTTGCGATTTTTGTTTACCATGGGATTTTTGGTTTCTAATTTACTTTACCTGCTATTGGTTTGGGATTTTTTAACTAAAAATTTGCGTATATTTATCTCTTTTTACTTGATTTCTAACTTTTAATAGTGTTAGATTTCAAGTGAAAATTAAACAGAATCATTGACTGAAATAAAAAATAAATTTAAAAAGGAAATCTGTTAAAAGAGAAGTTATTAGTTTTTTTCGCGACTTCAGTCATGAATTCGTAGCGAAAAGTAGATATTATTAATTGATTTATTTTATTTACAGAACATCGAAGAAGAAAAACTATATGATGAAAATTATGCATCGCCTGGAGGTCTCATGTCCGGCAAGCGGAAAACTGTGAATCAGTCCTTCTTTCCAGCGATTCCCACTTAACTTCTTTTTAAATTGATTTTAAAGTTGACTGAACATAGTTTATAAATGGAAAAGTGCGTATATTTCTTATAAATCAAATTATTTTTCAACAAGCCTTGTACAATTCTATTTTGAAGTGAATACAATTTATAAGTAAATTTTCTCTCAAACAATTTTAATAAAGTATATTTTTAAATTTGTTTTGTGGTTTGTAATAAATTATTCTAGAACTTATATACCGCGTTATTTATTGTTTAGTTAACTCGAATAAAAATATTTTTTACAAAGTATCGTTCTATTTAATGATAGTCACTCAATCGTATATTTATCAGAATAAACTTTATTTTGAATTAAGTGAGGATTATTTAGCAATATATCCTTGGATTACGGTAGTTTATAAACTAATCGAAACACGTCTAAGTTTAAGGTGGAATATTCTGTCAACTCATTAATATTCATTATCCCGCAGAGTAAAGATATTTTTTAGCAGTTTGTGCGGAACTAGTTTCCGCTTCCGTTCGGTAGAATTACGTCCTTATGAAAAATATGTTTAAGAAGCCGAAACGTAATTTTAGGGGACGTAGGAAAAGTCAAGATGACGATGAAGATACAGAAAATCGAGTTATACCCAAAACAAAAACTGAAGATCCGGAGGAAGAAGGTAATGGCGAAGAAAATAAACCTGAAGAAATATTAGAAACTAAGGGTCCTGTTATTAGTTTCTCAATTGATGATGAAGCCGGTAAGTTAGGTTAATTAATAACGTCTATTTCGTAACGATGACTACCTAATAGATACGGAGGAGTTTAAAGTCAAAAAGTCCAGTCAAAGTCGTCGAATGGCTCGAAAACACAAACGAGAAAAAAAGGATAAGAAAAAACAATTAATCGAAAATGTAAGTTATGTTAAATATTTTTTTAAATAGTTACACTGTTGATATAATTCACAAATCCATCACAATTGTGATTTTGGCTGTTGGTATCATTATTTAGAATATATAGTATATGCTGACATACGCTCCATGAAATATGCACACATATTCGATGAACACTTTGCTTTACAATACAAATTTCTATATTGTAAAGTTAACTTATAGTCGTTGCAGAAATTTTTTATCTCATAAAATATAACGTTTTCACAGTAATTAACTATTCAATTTTAGCTGAGCGATAAAGGGTTAATTATGGCAAAGACAACACTACTTTCGAAAATATTTATATAAATTCATATAAAACAATAGGAAACTAAAACTAATATTTGGTTGCAGCAAGTTGGAGAAGTGGCTGAAGAAACATCTTGTGCCCCCACCCCACGAACACCCTCGCCTATTGTGGAACACGAAGAGGATGAGATTGATGACGGTCGAGAGCATACTTTTTCCACGAGATACAGAGATGTTTTGAGCTGTCGGTATTGTCTTTTTGTTGTTAGTAATTTTGAGATATATTAAATATAATGTTTTCAGTTAGAATTAGCAAGCTTATATCAATATCATTTGCACGTTTGAAATAATTCTTATTTGCAGCTGGAACCATTCCGGATGCAACATTTATTCATAACGCAAAGAAAAAGCGACAGCTGGCAAGGGAGCGAGGAGATTATATTCCTGTAGAGAAAGAAGAACCGGATGATAAGTGTGGGCGTTTAATCAGGGAAGACGAAAATGATGCTTCAGAAGATGAGGAACGAATTAAATTTCACGCAGAAAAAGATTTTGAGCTAGAAAGAAGAGAAATTAGTAACACTATTATGGCTGCAGAACATGGTAAGAATTGTATAATTTTTAGTGCGACCTTAAGAATAGTCAATTTCACAATTTTTTTATCCTCAGAAAATGAAGAAACTGAAAGTTGGGAAGATCAGCAAATCCGTAAAGCTGTAAATGTTGCTCCTTTGAAAAGACGTCCTATAATAAATGTGTCAGATGATGAAGATGTACCATCGCCGTTACGGAATTCTAAAACCTCTGAAAATATTTTAGGCAACCGACCGACATTTAAAAATACAGAGAACTTGAGGGAAATATCTGTCGAAGCCATAAGATTGAAGATTGCTCAGAGGTAACATTACCTTAAAACGATTTGATTGATCTAATATGATTGCATTTTATTAGGTTAGAATCAATGTCAAGTGTTCATAGTGGTCATGTTCAAGAAAGAAATTCCTTATGCGAACGTCTTAAAGATGTCAAACTTAGTATGGATGAAACATCTGATATCTCGCCAAAACTTGAAAAAGACTTTGAATTTTATCAAGAAACGAGAGCGTATGTTCAAGATTTAATAGAATGTTTACAAGAAAAGGTATATATTAAAAATAATACGTAAGCATTTATTTATTTATGCTTTTTTACTATTTTAGTTTCCGAAAATTGTTCATCTTGAAGAAAGTTATCTTAAACTCTATGCACAGAGAGCCGCTAAACTTAGCAAGCGCAGACAATTAGATATTAACGATGAATCGTTAGAATACGGTCCAGCAGGAAGTGAGTTGAAATACAATTTTAAAACTGTAGTTCTTAATTGAAATATCTATATTTTTAGAGCAACACACGGAAGAAGAAAGTATCAGTAGAAGTACTGAACGAGAAGCTAGACGGAAAAGAAGGCGACAGAATAGACTACGTTTGAACATAGTTGATCACTTTGAAGGTACATCGACAGATGAAGAGATGATTTCAGGCGAATATTCAAAATTTGAGGCCGATAAAAGTAATCGATTTATATTTCTATAAAAAATAATACATCTGTTAAAAATCTTTTTTTTTCTTTAGCTCATATTTCAACCGAGGCTAGCCGGCTTTTTGAAGATGTAGATGACGAATATTGTGATATTCGTTTAATATCTAAGCGCTTTGAAAATTGGTCTTTAGAACAACCGAATTCTTATAATGAGGCATATATTGCTTTATGCCTTCCGAAATTATTTAGTCCGTTCGTTAGATTGTCTCTTGTAGACTGGAATCCTCTGGAATCGAATAAAGTTTTGAGTGAAATGAAATGGATACATGAACTAGCAATGTATAATATGAAAGCGAATTTATCAGATGATGAAATAAAGTTAATACCCACAATTATAGAAAAGACTGTTGTACCAAAGCTTACTGCCTACATTGATCAAGTCTGGGATCCACTTAGCTCAAGCCAAACGAATCGTCTACAAAAGCTTGTTAGATATTTATTTTATACCTTTCCAACTTTAAACAAGAACAGTAAAAATTCGCAGGTTTGTCTATTTTTTGAAAGCACTTAAGTGAGTAATTTACAATAATATCTCATTGTTTTTTTCAGGAACTAATGAAGGCAATTGTAAAAAAAATTGAAACTGTCATTAGCAAGGATATTTATCTACCTTTATATTCAAAGAAGTAGGTTTTAAAAAATCCATTTTTGTCGTATATTAACTTATTATTTTTCTCTATTTTTTAGTTTATTAACAAAAACGAGTCCAACATCGCAGTTTTTCAACAGACAATTTTGGAGTTGTATAAAATGCTATTCATTAATATATGGATGGTTCAATATTTTATCGGATGAAATAATTATGCATCTGGCTTTCGACGGTCTCTTAAACAAATACATTTTATTGGGTATGTCGTGCCTACCTGTTGACAATACATTTTTCGTAAGATGTGAGAAGATAGTAACACCGATACCGAAAGAATGGTTTGACGATTTAAAGGAAAAGAAAACTTTACCCCAATTAGATATGTTTTGTAAATACTTGGTTAGAATTGCTGAGGGTTGCGATGTCAGTGCTAATGTTAGCGAGCAGAGTGTCAAGGATGCAAGAGAATGGATTAAACAAATAGCTCAAGTACTGGTTATTGCTGGAGCTGTTGATTACGCTTCGTCTTTAGGAAATAAATATTCGTTTCGAATCTGATCAGTTATTGTGGTTTTTATCTGTAAATAAATCTGCAATTGAGCATTAGTTATTGATACTTTCAACTTTTATTCTATTCTTTTCTATTTCTGATTCTATTTTTGCAAAGAGTCGATATTCTTATCGATTGTTGTGTATTTTAATAAAACTTATACAAGCGAAACTAATTTAAAATTTTGATGTTGAGGTTCTGGTAAAACATGTACAAATAGTTTTTTAACAATTCTTCCCGCTTGTGTGGCCGGATATAAAGGAGAATACGGATGAGGTGATAATTTCTCTACACTCCACATGACCTCTCCTTTTTCTAGAGCAAAAAGTGTTAAATCTCTACCACAACCAACGTTTTGTCCAGGATAAAATTTCAACCCTAGTTGTCTGGCCAAAATCATCCCTTTTTCTACTTGATCTCCATCCCATTTTTTTAAACCTCTACTCTTTCCTTTCGTTCTCGTTCGTTTATTTCTTGTGCTACCTCCAGCCTTTTTTGATGCACTTCTGCTTATTACAGCACCTAAAGAGTATTAGACAAATTGATTGTATTAAATAGTAACAAACTGTCGAATTGATTACCTAAAAGATTAGTAAATTGAAAAAGTTTGTTGCCCACGTTTGTTAAAGACATTGTTAAAGGTCAAGGTTATTAATATCATAGTAAAAATATCTTCGTACTTTCATGCGAACGAGCGGACTTGCCACGAAATAATAGTTCAATAAAATTTCTCAGCCTCCGAGGAAAGACATCATATTCTGAAACCATGACTAACACACGTATGGTAAAAGCTGTAGTTTTGATAGGAGGTCCTCAAAAAGGTAAAAAAAACCATAACAAGACTGAATACTTTTGAAAATAGCCGAAATTTTGAGTGATTCTTTATTTCGTTTCATAATAGGTACCAGATTCAGGCCACTTTCTATGGATATACTAAAGCCTTTATTTCCTGTTGCCGGTTTTCCTATGATTTATCATCATATAGATGCTGCCAGAAAGGTAAAAATAGTTGACAAAACGCAATAATGAAGTAATCAGTAATTGTGTTTCTTATACAGATTAAGGGTCTGAGAGAAATTCTTTTGATTGGTTCATATCAACAAAGTGATGCTCTTCATCGATTTATTATGGAAGTTCAGCATGAATTTCGCATTCTTATTCGTTATTTACAAGAATACGCTCCATTGGGTACCGGAGGTGCTTTATATCATTTCCGAGATCAAATTTTAGCGGGAAATCCTGAAGTATTTTTCGTAATGAATTGCGATGTTTGCTGTGATTTTCCTCTTGCCGAAATGCTTGAATTTCATAAATCCCGAGGACCGGGTGTTCATCATACAATTCTTGGAACAAATGCTACTAGACAACAGTCTCTAAATTACGGTTGCATTGTTGAAGATAGTGAAACTCATAGAGTCAGGCATTACGTTGAAAAGCCCGAAACATTTGTTAGTACAACAATAAACTGTGGAGTTTATATATTTTCTCCTGATATTTTCAATTGCATCGCTAAACAACTTGAGAATTCTAAAGAAGCTATTAATTTCGATTTAACATCGACCGAACAGAATCCGAATATTGTTAAATTAGATGATGCTATTGCCAAAATGACAACTGAAAAAGATTCTAATGGAATTATTCACGTATATCATACTATAAAGTTTTGGTCGCAAATTAAATCCGCTGGAGCTGCCGTTTTTGCTAATCGTCATTATCTATCAATTTATCATCGAACTCATCCAGAGAGACTTGCTAAACTAGGTCCAAATCAACCAAATATTATAGGTGACGTATTTATACATGCAACTGCCCGAGTTGATCCAACCGCGACTCTAGGACCAAACGTAACAATTGGTAAGTAATTACTTTGTTTCGTATTTTTTTCTTTTGTTATTCTAAACTTCAAGATTATCCAATAGATGGTGTTACGATTAACTAGTAATACTATTAATATTCCAATCTTACATATACAGTATAAGAGAAGCTTCTTCACATTTTCGTACCGACTAAACTGAACTCTTCCTCTCGTTATTCGTTAAACATAAAATAATATAGTGTAAAAAATACTCAAAAATTCTGTTTAAGAATAAATTAATATTTAAAGTATTAAAAATTAAAAAAGCGATTATTTCGTAACAGAAAAAAAGAATAAATGATAGCATTTGTAAAAAAAAAAGACATATTATTAATGTTCACATTATAATAAATTAAAAGAGCTAAACTAGAAACGTTAGGTGAATGTTTGGGTTAATTCAATGAATAAGCAATTCTCGAAACTTACGCCTCCGTAAGTCTCTAGGCTATTAGCAATTTGAATGAATTAATCAATCGTATGGAAGGCGAGAATTGTTAATGAATTTATTTCGGTCTTTGCTACTTATATCTATAAAAATTACAAATAAGATATATACACATATATATATATATATACTAAATTTGTTTTTTATGCAATCTATTTAATGTGAAAAGGGAGAACATTTGAAAACTATTGTAGAAAAAAAACTACAACTATATAAAATAGGAATAGGAAAAGACTTGTAAAAATATAATAATGATAGCTATACAGTCTAATCTATATAAGCTACTTAATTTATTTTCGTATTTGATATTAATATATAGTATATCAGTATAAATTCTTTATTTCAATAATTTTTGTTAATCAGGCAGTGGAGTTACTATTGGAGCTGGTGTTCGAGTTCGTGAGACTCTTATATTGGATGGAGCTATTGTTGGTGATCACGCGTGTATACTTTATACGATTATTGGCCCGAGAGCGACTATTGGACAATGGACTAGAATTGAGGGCACTGCTAATGATCCTAATCCAAATAAACCTTTCGCCAAGTTAGACGTTTGTGGAGCGTTTTCGAATGATGGACGCCTTCAGCCATCTATTACGGTTATTGGTTCAAGTGTTTTTGTACCCTCAGAAGTTGTGATACTGAATAGCATCGTTCTTCCAAATAAAGAATTGAGAGGAAGCTTCAAAAATCAAATCATATTATAAAACTATTAAATTTCTGTTAGAAAAAAATTTCATAAATTTCTTTTTTGATCTCTATCTCTCACCCCGCTCCCTCCTCCCTCTGTTTCCTCGAATCACTTTTAGTGATATTATTTGACAAAACCTGTTTCTATGGATTTCTAAATAATGGAAGAAAAGAGAAATTAAATATTTGAATTGATGAATAATATTATTTTATAAATTAAACTCGAATAAATGATAGAGAAGATACTAGATAAGAAAATACGAGAAACCTGTTCGATTGGTTTTTTTTTCCCCATAAGCTTATTGTGTAATATACTTTATAAACTAGACCTTATCCGCTATCCACGTATAAATTTTCTTTGCTTCTTCTTATTGCGAATACTGAAAATTAAATACCTACATTTGTTCTTCACAGCAGGTAATCTTCTAGCTTAACCTTGTAACACTTTTTTCTAAGTATTAAAAGGGAACGATAGGAATTGTTAACATTCAAATGAAGAACGATTATGAGTTCTTAACTGAAAAATTAATAATAAAAATCAAAAATCAAATTAAAAAACACAAGCTAAAACCAATAAGCCAAAGAGAAGTAAGATACAGGCAATTATTTGTAATACTGATTTAGAGAAATGGACACTTCGAGTAGCATAATGATGATCTTTCATAAAAGTAAGCTTTTTTATATTTTTAAATAAAAAGTTTACTAATTTTTTATTTATTTTTATTAAAATTTATGATAAAAATGATTGAATGTAATATTTATATATAATAGTTATATATACAAGTATCAACTACTACGGTGCAACCCAATTATCAGTCTGTCAGGTAAGGGGCAGCTGAGGAAAAGGTGAACACTTATGGCAAATACGTACATAGCCTATTCTAGTGTTCACATTTCGTCTTTTATGATAGTAGTTGATAGTATTAAGCAGCCAGTGGGCTGTTATATAAAAGACAACAAAGCAACTGAATGATTAAATCTTTATATAATAAAAATGGACAAAATTGTATAGACTAGAATATACACTATATAGATGTATATATATTTGTTCACTGTATTACTTTATAATCGAAAAAATACGTTTAATATACTAATTACACATTTCAATCTGGCGAACGAAACGAATATGACAAACAAAACAAGCCCATAGTAAAGAATGATATTTTTTTTTGGTTAAACTCAGGGAGTGGAAGCAGGTGGGGAAAATTCTCGTATCACGAATAAAGAATAAAGCATTTTATACTTAAACGTCCTTGTCCAAGTTATAGTTGATATTGAATGCGTTTTATTGTATAAAATATTAAAAAAGTGTATATATATATATATATTTATATAAAGAAAAACAGCTTTCTTGAAATCGTTCAAAATTAAACGATAGCAAAGCAGAAGAGGTTCATATCTAATGCATTTTAATAGACATATAAAGAATTAATTATTTAAATTATGTTCATTTTTTAATTGATTGAATTTATAAATTACATTAGAGACAATTTTATGATTTGTTAATTACTTGGATTTAATTTAACCTATATAATAATCAACACGTGTTCAGTATGGTATTACGTACGAACGGTTTACAGTAATACGTGTTTGTGTACGTGTATTGAATTTGTTGTATCCTTGACACAAAATTTAAGTCGTCTTTCGTAATTCATCGACTAAGACGTTTTTTTCTTATAGAAAAGTATAAACGGCCGCTATAAATTTCTTCTTTCTTCACCCTGTTCATACATATTTGCAATATTTGTATATATGCCTTCCATTCTATTATCCTTTTACAGACACATATATACTGTATATATATATATATATATATATATATATATATATATGAGCTATAAATACAGTATATATATATATATATATATGTACTATTTAAATTACAAAATCTAGTATAACTAGACTGGATAGGAAGATTTTTTACACTTTTGATATTGATTGACAGAATCAAACATATACAAACACACATATATACTCTATATATATATATATATATATTAGACTCGCTCCTTTATTATTTAACTATTTGGAATAAAATAAATAGATTATTAACTAAATGATAAAGAAAATCAAAAGTTCTTAATTTTTCATATAATATATTCGTCCATAAATTTGGGTGGAGACTTTGTTATTGTAATAGCTTAAAGATATAATTTTCAGTTTATAATAAAGAAACACAATAGAAAAGAGTTGGTCTGCCTGTGTGTCTGTGCCTATATCTTGACAATCAATAGTTAATAGTTCATATTTCCCGCCATGTCCTATTTAGTTAAAATAGTTGGTTACTAGTTCTACGAAGCTAGTGAACAAGTTTATTGATAGTCTTATCAATTGGACTGGTATTCACGTAAAAGTAAGATAAAAACTAGTTTTAAATTTTTGATTTACTTGAAAGTATATAGTTTAATAGAAATAAATTATTAGCGATCTATAATATTAGAATAGAAAGCTGTCAGCATTGATGATAAAGGATTAATGTGGTATCCTGTCCAATTGAGTAACGGCCTTAATTAAATCGGCCAGGTTCAGAAGTGCATGAGTACTGGCAGTGACTACAACTAACTAATCAACAAATAACTCTAAAATTTTCACTATTTACGACAATTGTGACGTTAAAATCAAAGTGGAATAATACTCAACAATAAACATAAAAGGCATATTCTGCTTTTATAAAACATTTGTTTACATTATCGTGAAAAAAAAAAGAAAAAGCCGGTGGATTTTGTTTATTATTCTGGCGGAAAAAAATGTACATTGTATTTTTCTATAATAAATATGAAAATTCGAATTTCATGATAAGAATAATTGAAGTTCATCGATAAATATTGACACAAATAAAAATATAAGAGGAAGGTCAAAGTTGAAGGATATAAATTTGGAAGAACAAAATTCCAGGTACGATATTATTTATATTATTTGTTTTGTTCAAAAAAGTGTGTTGATCAATTGTATTGTATCTTCCTTTTTAACTTTTTAATCTTGATAAACAGAGAGGAGAAAAAGAGACTGTGTATAAGATTTTTAAATGAAATACAAATTTTTTTTTTGATCAATAAGCAAGCGGGTTGTCTTTATAAATCAGATTGTTGACTTAGGGGGAAAAAAGTTTATTTATTATTAGGGAAGAAGAGAAAAATTATAAAAAATATCATTTCCTTTTAATATAATAATATTTAATCTTTTTATAAAATTCTATCATTTATTTCTTTAAAGCAAACATCTACAAACATACTTGAATAAACGTGTATATCATTACAAATACACATATACACACGCACACACAAACTGTATATATACAGTATATGTAGATTGATTAAATTTACTAATTATCACTCTGGTATAATAATCCTAATATTTCAAATCAATAATATCTAGGTCAAGGCTTTTACTATCGATTTGCTGCATCCTCTAGGGTCTACTATGGATGAAAAGTTCACAAAAAGGGAAAACAATGATAATCGTGACAAAGGTTGGGCTTGGATGGTTGTTCTCGGAGCTGGCATCGTCTGGTAAACAACTTTTATTTTATTACTAATTAAACTGATTGTATACCATATATAACATACGACCGATTACTAGTTATCTCCCTTTGTTGAGAATGTATTCTAGTGTAAATTCTTTCAATCTCATAAAATATACATTCAAACGGAATTGCTCTTTGCAGCAAAAAAAACTAATACAAAGTAGTAGATAAACTAACTTTTATACCTATATCTTTAACAATCGAACTCTTACAATAATTAAGCGATTACTATTGTATTATTATTATTGTTATTATTATTATTAGTCGGTTTCTTTCCTCTATCACTCTTGTTATTTATTGAATAATTAAATCAATCAGTTAACTAATCTATCAATCAATTTGTCGGTCAATTAATCATATACTCCTACTAATTCATTCATTCATTCAGAATTTTTTACTACTAAGTTATCTGAAATTTCGGATAGATATATTCAATTTTTACTTTAAATTGTAGCAAATGTTTTTCTATTTCGAAATATTAAAGAAAATTCTAATAATAATTTGTTTATTATGAAAACAAATGTTCGTTATGAATGAAATACTGAATAATAAAAAAAACGATAATAGTTTTATAATACAATCATTAAACTAGTTAAAAAATATTGTTATAAACCTCTGAATTCTTGGAAAAGTTTCTTTTTTATATAAATTAGATTTATTAAAATATTTCTAAAAATAGAATTTATAAAAAAAATTAAGTATCAAACTATATACAGTAGAAATTTGATATTCTAGTTTCAACTGGAGAATTTAATTCATTTCCCAGAAAGGAATGTATAGTCTTACTTGAACTTCTTTTTGGCGTCTGTCTTTCGAATCGTACGCTAAGTCTGTGACTTTTAAACAGACGTTATCATCTAGGCCTAGAATAGTAAGAAAGCAAGTTTCGTGTTACAGAGAGAAATTTTACAAGTTAGAATCTCAAATAAAATATTTATATTAGTAGATATGAAAAAAATTCAATATTTGAATAAAGCATGTATATTGCTTTCAGATTTTCTATATATTAATACATCTTTTCAGGTTTGTTATGGGTGGTAATGTTAAATCGTTTACGATTCTTTATGAAAAATTTAAGGAGCGATACGAAGTTCAAGATACGCAATCTAGTTGGATAGTAACGTTAAACGGTTGCTTTAAGATGATGACAGGTAAAGAAAAATAAATAACAATTACTATACTAGGGTGCATATTTATAATTTTGTCTCTTTAAACGTTTAGGTCCTATTGCCGCTTACCTTTGTAAACGTTTCAATTGTCGAACCGTCGTTATGAGTGGAGCATTGATATCTTGTATTGGACACATTCTTACTGCTTATCCACCAATTGCTTCAATATATTTTTTATATGCCTCATATGGATGTATTGCGGGTGAGCAGGTTTATATATAATGTATATATACAGTATATATTTATTCTAAAGTGTTGTGAAATAGATCCGAATATTCTATTATTAAGACCTAATTTAATCGAATTAACAACAATAATAACTAATTGTTACAAAAGATCAGTAACAAATAGAACTTAAAATTAAACTTAAATGGTCTCTGAATTGTATAGTCTTACATGTTTATTTGAAATGTATACTATATCTTAACCATATTTTTGTATTACTCTGATATATTATTTAAGTAGATAAGAATCGGATTTATAGATACAGTATATGTATAATGTATACATATACATATACATCTATGCAAAGTACTACTATAACAAAAAGGAAGTGTTTTTTTTATGCTTTATTAATTCATTACAGGTTTTGGGTCCAGCTTAATAATAACGCCCACACTTATTATTATACCACACTACTTTTGCCGTTATCAGGGACGAGCTATGGCTATAGCCCTTGCCGGTGGAAGTTTAGGATCCTTGGCAATGGCTCCCCTGCTAACTTTTAGCTTTGAGAAGTTAGCTTACTCTGGTATGATACTTATCTCAGCCGGATTAGTTTTGCAGTGCTGCATCTCTGCTGCCCTATACCGTCCTGTTAGGCTAACAAAAGCCCATGAACTTGCCAATTCACACACACTTGTTATGTCTACTATAGATAATGGAGAGTTGGATTCTGAGGAAAGAATGAAAAGATTTACAAACGGAAAAGCTTCTCTAATAAGGAGTAGAACAGTTAATGATGTTAATGAATCTGTAATGCAAATTAGGGAAGAAAATCATAATAATGGAGACGCTGTAACATCTCCTTCTGATGAACTACTGGTCAAAAAATCGAAATCATTCAATGTAAAAGCTAAAATATTATCGATTATAGATCTGACTTTACTCAGAGATCCAACTACCGTTGCCTTTTGCTTTCTAATGCTCGTCACCTTTTCCACGTTCAATGTTGTTACAACCTACCTTGGAGGATTATGCTTAGAAAGAAAATTAACTAATTATGATCTATGGTTAATTCTTAGTATATCGTCAGTATTTGAAGTATTTGGCAGGATATCCTTAGGATTAATATTCGATTATAAGAAAGTACGACCTGTTAGAATACAACTGTTAGGCATAGTTGGACTAGTTTTTGGACTAGTTGTAACTAACGTTCCAAACAGTATTGGACCAGGTGGAATTTATTCTATATTTATGGCTAGCGCCATGTTCGGTAGTGCTTTCTACAGTCAACACGCATCAATCTTATCGGATTTGGTGAAAAGTAGACAAGTTGAAGATGCCTTTGGTTTAGTTAGATTCTTTCAGGGTATAGGAATATGTATCGGTCCAACAGTTGGGGGATATTTACACGATAGAAGTGGTAACTATGATAAGACATTCTATTTTGCCGGTATTTCGATGTCAATAACATCCTTCATATTTATTATTGTATCACTGGTTTGTCTTCGACATACAATAGGAATCAATTTGAAAAATGCTTGGCGAATGGAGAAAATCTAACTATATATCTCGAAAAAAAAAATAAATAAATAACAGGCCTTCATCAGAGAAAGTTTTATCAACTAAAGCAACTGATTTGTTGTGATTGCTCATTTTTTAATTCTGATTTTACCTTATCAACTTGTGTTATTGCAGAGACTGTATAGTTTTCTAATATATGTATGTATATACAGAGTCTAGATATATATATATATATACGAAAATTGACAAATGACTATATTAAATATTTCACAAAGAAGAAGAAAAATTAAAACTAGTTTCGTTTTCTATGGGGAATTTTTTTCACCTATTCCGTCTCAAAGAGAGGAGAATACAATATCATAAAAAATATTGTGTATACAATTACACCCGACTAATCAATGGCATCGCGGCTAATAATCAAGCTTTAATTCTTTACCTACTGTTACATACTGATATAATTTAATTATAACGAATATTTTTTTTGTTGAAGTAACTCCTCAACAGAGATGAATTCTTTTTTTTATATAATCTTTGTTTATTTTCTCGTTATTTAATGCCATGAATATTAATGAGCATTCGTTAAATGAAGAACAGATAGACAACTGCTAAAGATAGAGAAAAGAGTCTAGTCACGTTATATTTTACGAACGACTTGTTCTGCGTCTCGCTTTGCTTGCTTATAATTTTAATTAATCCATTCTTTTTTTTGAAAATGTGTTTTTGAAATCTTATCCAATAAATGGAACATTCTTAATCAACTGTCCTTATTTTTATTATTATATCAATAGATAAGATTTGTTCAGAATTTTTCTTTCTTTCTATTAATCAATTTTTTCCCTACTCTCTCTCTCTCTCTCCTATGGATTTCAATAGTAATCTCTACCTAACTGAGAAAGAAAGACATATAGAAAAAGTTCAAAAGTTATATAAATAAATTACCGACCCTTTATTGGCCTCAAAACAATCATCATTGGGTTTTTACGTACACCTTCGCTTTTCCTTTATATGACAATTAAGATGCTGCTATCGAAAGATCTTCATTGCTTCTTAGCTGTCTATAAATCTATATATATACAGTATATACGCAATATTACTGTACAACCTTTAACTAGACCAACAATTAACTTGATTTCCTTTCTTTAAATAGCACCATTTTCTTCGTTTCAATTGGATTCTCTCTTAAAAAGAAAGCCTAAACTCACAAAATATTTAAGCACATAGTAGAAAATCTGTCAAATTCACTATTCAGACCTATATCCAGTGCACTACTGGATCAATTGCTGTTCAAATTTTTCCCTTTAAGTGCCTTCAACTTTAATAGAAAATCTTGCCTGGTCAGTTCATGTAGGTTGTACAATAACTATATAATCTTTGATAGAGTTTTTTTACATCCCCCTGTCTCATTTCGATAAATTTCTTATAAAAGACTTCTCTACACTATATATTTCATGTCTCTTTGAACGTCTGTTACATAGACTCAGTGTAATATATCTTGTTTCTACTAATGAAACATACAAGTATACAACTATGTTCATATGCTCTTATCGTATCTCTTCAAGTAGAAATGATATAACTAACATAGTTCTATTTGATAAGATAAGCATGTTTCCTAGTATATCTCACCTTCAATAATTTATATTTAGTTTAACTATACTGGTACAACGTTATTAAATTATGGCAAATAAATTTTTGTGATCAATGCCAAACGCAAAAGGCATATAGAGGCGCATTACGTTTATTTATATATGCTATATACGATACACTAGTATGAGAAAATATTTATATCAGAACGCTTATAAATCTGTCAATTAGGTGATTGTATTAGGTTCTCTATGGTTATATTTCTTTCCCGATCCTCGTCTCTAACCATACGTTGCAAAAGAAAAATTTAATTATTATTTTAATATAAGTGACTTATTTAGTTGGTTTATTCAGATATAAACATTTGTATAAGTAAAAGCTTTGTTCTTTTATCGAATATTACAAAAAATAAATGAACTTAATCCAAGGACTTTTCAACCATTATCCACGAAAATGTCCTAATAATACATGACAAAATGTAGAGGTTTAACATTTGATTGAGAGAAAAATGTCATTTGCAAGAGAAATAATTAAATATCAACTCTGAAAGAAGAAAAATACAATAGAATATTATCCTATACATAAATGAAAACATTTGAATTATTTGCATATGTAAATGAGATCATTTTTTTTTTACTTATTTCAATTATAAATAAGGTGAAACTGAATCTGGAGATGATTTAAAATACGCTAATATTCTAATATAGTATATGAATTATAATAGAGACTTTTTACACCATTTACAACAGATAATTACAATTTCATGTAAGGTAATGATTGATAAAATTGTTACCTACGCGTTAATTAGCAATAGAGTGAAGAAGAAGAGAAGTAAGAGTTTAATTTAATGCTTAACAGCATCTTTTACAAATGAAAGTCAAAATTAAAGTTGAAGCACGTTGAAGCTATGATATAATTCAATGTCTTTTATATTACTTCTATTCGCATTGTTAAAATCGTCTTTATAAATATTTAAACGGATCTACATAATTCATCTTAATATTTCAATAAAATAAGTGAAAATGTATTTGAAGTTTGACCAAATATTAGTATTTAACTGGTATCATTGTCGTAATGTTCCACTATTCTTATTGAGATGCTATGTTCTTTAGATATTGTTTTTCTTAGCTGCTTTTCTCTTTGTTATTTAATTGATAAATTGCACGTTTTACTGCTTTTTAGAAATATGGAAAACGTCGAATAATTCCTTGAAATTAGAATAATTTCTATGAATTAATTATCCATAAATGAAAGGTGATAGATTGGCCAATAGGAGAAACAAAGATAAAGGAATATATAAAATATGAACTATATATAAATATAAAGAAGATTAATTTTGCATAAATATCTTATACTCTAAAATGTATATCTTATTTGACATAAAAGATATATACTTTTTTTCTATTGTTAGTTTCTTTCTGCTCGTTTTTCTCTTAGATTTCAGAATGAATAGAAAAGTCTTACGCATATGCAAATTAGTCACTGTGACTTATGAACTGTAGGAGAAAATATGAATGAATATTCTCTATATATTCTTCATTTTCAACACTCTTTCTTGGAGGAGAGAGAGATAAGCGAAAACGATAAAGATAGAAAAGTTAATTAACGAGTAGAGGAGAATAACGACGCAGACAAAAGAAGTAATATTAGCGTAAAGGAGTAATTTAATATAAATCAAAGCTATACTTATAACTTAAGCTTTCGAAGTATACTTTTACTCTTACAATTATTTAATGTAATCAATGTTAAAAGATTGTTATTCCCTATAAATGGAGTACTTGGTTTATCGTATTAGAATATTAGTTTCTTATCTTTATTGCTATTCAATCTGATTGATTGCTATTTCTGTTTCAAGTTTATTACTTGTAGTTCATATCTAGTTTTCTGTTCAGCTAAATCATGTATTCTATTATGAAAGAATATCAAGCAAAACAATAGTGTAAATATTTCAGTTGTTCAAACAAATTGATAAAGGAGAAGGAGAAAGGTTTTTGGCTATGGAGAATACAAAGGGGAATTATAAAATACATCATTAAGATAGCTATACTAAAATCAATATTAAACTGAATAGAAATACTGCAAAAAGGACTAAATATAACAATTTTTTCCACATCATTAAAACACAAACAACTACTTTATTAGTTTTTTTTAGTATGTAAGCTTAAACTTGTCTAAGATGAAAAAAAATAGAAGAAAAGTAACTTTAAATGGCTTTTTTGTTATTATTTTATTAATAGAAAAATGTGCTAAATCACACAAGATGAAAAGTTTTACTCCAAAGACATATTATAGATAAAGAGAATATTAAATACACACACACACATATATATCTATATATAATTTATATATAGCCATATAAAGGCAAATGTGCAGATGTCGTTTAAAAAAGAAAACATGTCATTCCTTTTATTATAAAAGACATTAAAGATTCTCTTCTCAACAATCAAAAATGATCATTTCAATAAATAAAAATGAATAATATTTCGAATAATCCCTAGATATTTAAATAATATCTGTAATCTATTCTATCTAAGTATTTTAATCCTATATTTTCCAGTTTTTAAATAGTCTTAAAAAAAAGTTCAGTGAACTTTATAAAATACAAAAAATATGTTTAAAGGCTGTTTGTTTGAAATAAAAAAAAATAAACAAAATATCTATATATACTTTTATTTTCTTTCTTTCATTAAGTTATTGAATTACGTATATTTATAGAGGAGAAAAAAGCACCCTCTCCCCCTTCAAGAAACGATTGCATAATCAACTGTAATATAAAGTTCTTTTTTAAAACTTTAAGCATTTTTAAGATAAATATCCAATCCATTTTATTAATTTCTCCAATGTTATACAGTATACAGTGTCGCCAACTATCGGAAAACGCTATCAATTTATATTCATACATTCTGAAAATATTGCTAAATGATAGTTGGAAAATGATAGAAATATTGAATAAAGAATATTTCCTTCAATATTTCCTTACGACTCTCTTTGAAATCAATAACAAAATTGTTATTATCTTTTTTCTTAATCTTCTCTAGATAATTATCTCAATTAGTATGCGGTAGAGGGGAAAATGTAGCCTAAGCGATACTCCACCTAGTGACCATTGGCAATACTCATTGTCAATGGATTAATCAGTCGACCTGGTAACGCCTATCGAGACGAAATGGTTAAGGGTAAGTTGAGTTAATTAACAGATATCAATAAGTATTTCTAAGAATAGAATATATCTATCTTGTATAGAATCCATCTAAAAGCACATGTAAAATAAAAAAACCATACAGGGAAACTTTCTAAATATTTCACTTTCTTAATTATAGAACAAGATCGAATAAGTCAGTTGGCAACGCCAAGAAATCGGACGTATTATTACGCAAATCATAAGTAAGTAGTTATACACTTTTTTTTCAAATCCTTATTAATCTATTTAAAACTACTTTGGATAATAGTTTTATAGGTAAAGGATTTCTGCTTTAAGTTCTGCAAAAAACTAATTCAGGCCTATTAAAAACTTTATTAACTGCATATATGCCATACAAATACGTTTCATAAAGTATTATTATCATTTATTGAACAAAAAATTAAAACAAAGAACAAGAGGGAGAAAACAAGAAAGAAAGAAAGGAATAGAGAGAGAATTTGTATTTGTGTATGTGTGTGTGTGTGTGTGTGTGTGTATAAATATGCGTGGGCAGGGAGAGGAGAAGATTAGAAATGAGAAAAGAAAAAAAAAGAGAGAGATAAGATAGATTTCTAATCGCTATTGTTTTAATTTTATAGGGAATCGGTTTATATGCCTGATAGACAACCTTGGCAACCAGGAGGCGGATTTGGTAAGTCTTTCTCTAGCTTATTATACTATCGTTTCCTAATGAATTATAAATATAAAACGATTGTGTAAATCGATCAACAGCAACAAGCGAACGATTGGATATACTAGCAAAGCCTAAAAGATATACACCAAGTACTAGGTAAGCCTATTAGTATTTTTTAATTAACAGAATATATTTATTATATTTCCCTGTTTAATTAGCTTTAAGATACTTCAGTGTTATTAATAAATGATATAATCTGCTCTTTAACTTATTGTTAAGTAATTTTTTTCTTTTAAGTTGAGGAGAAAAGAAGAATACAACCGCGTTTTCAATGTATTTAGCGTAGACAGAATAACTACAAGATTTTACAATGATCCGTTATACAGTATTGCATAATATTAATCGCATTAAACTGGTACGTTTGCAGATAGACAATATATAAGTATATAGATATAGTATATTCACTATATTTACAATCTATACTTTCAGTATATAATAATATAATTTATATGGTTTATTTGCTGTATAATAATAATAATAAGACTAAAACAGCCTTTGCTAAAGTTATACGCTTACATCCTATAAAAGGGATTAAGTAATGATTTATTTCTCTTTTCAATTCAATTCTATTTGAACATTGATTAGACCAATGTAAACTTTTCTAATTAATCAATCTCATTCATCAAACACTTATATTTTATATTGTCTTATATCTTTTATTCTAAAGACAAAATCCTCAATGGCCAGTCTCTAATTCTGCAAAAGCTGCCGAACCTTCTGAACGCGTCACTCTTCTAGCTTCACCGAAACCTTTGCATAGAGAATATACGCCATTAAGACAATTACCTACGCCAGTTCCCGAAACAGCTCGCAAAGCGACTGCTTCACCACGAATATGTGATATGAGTAAGCCGAAAAAAAGATTGCCTGATACAATCGATTACGGACCTTTTGAACAACCTATTTGGTGCGTAAGTCCAACAGCAAAAGCTGTCAACTCTTCCGAAAGGGTAGCTTATCTCGCTTCTCCGAAACCATATCAATCCATTTTCGATAGAGATCCACAAACGGAGGTGAGCGATGCGGCTAAACGAGGTTATGCAACAGTTAGGGTACAAAATTTGGCAAAGCATAAAAGAAAAATAGACGTAAACGATGGATATGATTTTTACATAGTTTCCGCAGCTGCAAGAAGTCACAGAGCTTCCGTAAGACTGGCAGAATTGGCAAATCCTAATCCAAGAAGAATTAGACAAAAATACGCAATAGCTAAAGCTAATTAGTAAAGAGAAAACAGAATGAACGAATGAATGAAACGATAAAAGAATGAAAGAGTGGAAGTAAGATATAATAAGAGGAAACACTAAGCCCGATAAGAAGCTATTACTTTTAATAATGCTTCTAAACCAGATGGCGTTATTAGAAAGAAACCAACGAGAGTTTGTGTGTATGTCTATGTGTGTATCAACTATCTGAGCAGACGATGAAGTTGCATTTTCTTTTATTTTTATCACTGTTTTATCTCTGAATTACGTTTCAGTATTAAAATACCACAATGTGTCATTTTTATTTAAAATGATGTTTATAACTAAAGTTAATAAAATATATACTTTGCACAAAAAATATGAAAGTTCTTCAGGCATAACACGTTGTTATTTAAAAAACATCAGCTGGACCTCTTAAAGAGACAAAATAAGTAGTTTAATACAGTTGAGCTGTATTTCTGTGAGTAAAACAGCTCAGAAGACACACAAATAATATAAGAAGGTGGAATACTTACAAAGTGACGGTAGGCGAACTACGAGTTTTGCAGTTCCGGCTCAATTTTTTCGAACAATGAAAACGTCACATATCCTTTGGATTTTTAGTAGTCTGGCTGTTCTTGGTTAGTATAATAATTATAATTATTCATTATTTAACGAAATAATTAAAATATTTCTTTATATAAATGGAAAATTTTCGTTTTTAAAAGATACAATCGGTTCGTTACTCTTTCAAAAGTTATCCTTCCAGTATAAATTCATTTAATTAGCCTTCTAATTAAAAAGTTTCAAGATGCATCTATACATTTTCGTGTTGAATATTCTAATTTCTATTGCTATTTTTAAGGGATGGTAGGAGGTGGAGCGGTAATAGATACACTTATCCGTCAACTAGTTCATAACCATGACAATCAAAAAGAGTTTCCAGTATGTTACAATTTGTATCTACCAACTGACGATAAAATTCTTCTCTACCAAGATGGCAAAGTTTTTTTCAAGATCGTAGGTCAACTTCACAATTACAATTTATTAAAGAACATACAAATTTTATCAAAGACAAACATCACCGTGACGGTTCGTTTTTAATCGTGTTATTTTTTTAGTTGTCGTTCATTGTTTTTGATTTCTTTCTAATCTTATCAGCTCGATTGCATTCAAGTCGAAGGTTTACAAATTGATTGGCAGTCGTCTGGAACATGGATATTTCAAAATGGTATCTTACTTATAGAATTAAAGGATGAAGTTTTATACGTTGATTACGTTACACCGACAAGATCACTCTCTATAATTCTTATTAGGCAAAGTACCAGAATTGGTAAATATCTAAATATATACATAGACAATGTCGATAGAAAAGTTTATATGGACGAATTTACATACGGATTATTTGGTGAAGTGGCAAAGAGAAAATTTGAATTTTTTGAACCCGTTCAGATAGGTGAATCGAGAGCTGCCGTCAAAATAAATAATATGCCTTATCAAGCAATCATAGTGAATCACAGAGGATTTAAATGTTGGTTGTTAAGAGCATCCGATGTCTTATATCCGGATACTATGATTGATTTTATTTATCACTAATACAGTAATTTATTCACAGAACTAGTCATACAAATTTATTTTTTATTCAAAATATTTTTTTTCTATTTTTATTATTTATTTTCTTTTATTTTTATTTTTATTTTTCGTTCAAATTTTAGTCTATTCAAGAGAATTTAGAAAAAGAAGATTATAACAGTAACAGTGTTCTTATTATTTTAACTTAACTCTTAAGCAAAATAAGATAAGAAGGAATATTTTATTTTTTAGATATTTTTTTTTTAATAAAAAAAAAACTCAAAATAAAAAAATAGTTTTCATTTTTTTCTTTTGGGTTTTAATTTCTCTTTTGAGTAAAAACAAACAAACAAACAAACGATTTGAGGAAACTGATTGTTTTTTTTTTCTTTTCAATATAATCATTTATACTTATTATAGTATTTCAATTTGACTAAGAGGATCTCCAGTACTAGCGTCAAAAGTGAAGCTGAAATATTTAATATCACTATGTAGAATATATGCGCAATATCTCTTAATGAAACTCTTGAGATAGTCGACTTAAATCTTGTCTTTTCGAATATTTTCAATTTAGGAGTTGATAGAAACTGTTTTTTCCATTTACCAATCATACCTGAATGTTGTGCTTTCAAGATTCTGTTGATTATACGGAGAAGAGGGGATATATATTATTCTATTCAATTCACTTTACATTTACTTACGAATTGGACATTAGAACGTTATAGTATGAATTTTTTTGAACACCAACGTTATAAGTTGAAAACGATATACCCATATTCTTGATAGATAATTCCGGATGATTGTTGATTATGGGCTCGTATCCACCCGTAAGAAATACGTATCCTCCCTTTTTTTCATATGATGGAGAATATTCATGTAATGCATTGTTAACTTTAAATGAAAGCTTATAGATAATATATTCATACTGACATTTAGGACTAATTGTATTATAACCTTCTCATCCGTATGTCTAACATCTGGATTATCCCTAGCAGCTTTCGCTATTTTCGCCCATAATGCTTGGTATGTCCAACTTTTACTATTCTATAGTTTACGAATATAATCAAACTGTTACGCTTACTGTTTGATATATATTATTGGTGTTTAATTTGTTTTTAACCTTTAATAATGATTCGTATGCGGCATCTCCTAAAGTGATTAGCGTATAATCCTTACTATAAACCAAATCTTCTAGCGTATCGAATGGATACTTGGCTTTATAAACAGCCAAATCCGCTATTATTTTTCCAGAGAAAAAGGCGACCATTGTTATTGAAAATATCCACCATCCGGATAGGATTATTCTTACGTAACCTTTAGAATTTATACCGTATCCTCCTCCTTGATTGAATAAAGTTCCCAAAAAGAATAAGTGTTCAGTGCTGAAAATATAAGATTTTTGCTTCTCCAAAGCCATTAACAGGAAACCCATTACAGCGACGGAAACGCATATCAATATCCAGGTAATATTCGAAAAAGGTTGAAGAAAAAAGAATTCCCCACGCTCATTTGAATTATTCTCATGAAGATGATTTTTAAATATTAACATTGGCCTTACAAAATGATAAGGTAGCGAAAAGTCCATTACATCTTGCCTATCTTTAAGAGGAGTTAGAGGAGCAAATACTGCATCAGTTTTCTATTTTAAAAGACAAGAGAAAGGAACAACAGCAATTTTTAATAATTGAACTTATACTAATAGACCCTACATTATCCATTAACATTTTTATTAGTCCATTCCACGTATTATTCTCCAAGCTACCCCATTTATCATCTTCTGGTGTTTGTATTTTTTCAGTACTGTATTAAACAATCGCGTGAGAAATAGATACGTCCAGTATTCTATTTTTACACCTAGCTGCACTTACGTGAAATTTAAATCATTCATGACATATTTCAATAATTCAATAGACAGTCCTTCAAAGTTTCCAATATTTTCATTCCACGCAGAGTAAGCTGGCCACTTTGAAATGGCGAAACACATTTTATCAAAGACAATTATAACTTCCTTTGACTTACTGATTTCGTTGCTATTCTTAATTTCATTTTATTCAAACCATAGTTACAATATGGAAAGAGTAGTAGATTTGACAGAGATCTATTACCAATGTTACCCCAAAACTGCCATAGTCTATTTCCATTATTGTCACGATGAAATGATAAATTTGAATATTGAAGAGTCTTATTCTTTGCCTATAAATTTTCAATTAAACAATAGATTTTATTAATAAAAGAGAAAAGAGAGATAGATAGAACGAAAGTCAGCAAGAGGGAGAGAGAGAGAGAGAGACAAAGAGGGAGAAAGTTTTATTAAAAGAACCTGGTAAATAATAGCAATATTGACAATATGATTAAATTTAGTTAACGAAATATAATCGTATTGAAAATTTTCAATTAAAAATATCCATTTAAATTTCACAATCGAATAAGTTTCATGTACAGAAGTGTAAATCTGTAAAAATAGCATTTATAGTTAAATTATTAATAACTTAAAAAATATATTGTATATTAATATGAATAGAAATATTAAATATATCGATATTTAACGATGTCTTGTAGATTATACTTTTAATAATTTTACTAATGATGATATTTAAAATTATATATACCTTTCTAAATATGTTATAAACATTTATAAAATTTCCATATATTAGTATACAATCAATTTTTATCTTTTCCTCTCTTATAGACTTTTCAAATAAATCCATCTGACTTGATAAATTGAATTGATCTTCACGAGAAGTATATTGAATATCTGGATAATTATTAGGTAAACAGTATAGACAGTACAGTATATGTATATACAAGAAAACTATATACTAGTTTATTTACACTAATATACCTACTGCAATTATATTTTGAACATATTATTGACGTCTGAAAGTCGTTCCAGTTGATTTTCCATTTTACTGAGATCAACAAATTTGTTGAAGAAATTGAAAATAAACTAATCAAGTATAAAATGCTAAGAGCAACCATAATTTAGAGATTGTATTTATCCCATTTATAACAGCAATGAGAAACAGAAACAAAACGTATGCAGGCGAGATGCGTTCTCCTGTGACTATAAATCGTAAATGAATAAAAACGATTACTATTAATTCCATGTATGTGCTATAGGTCTATCTATATTTCATTTCTTTCTTTTTTCCTTTTACATCCTGTATCTCTTTATCTTTTTCCAATTTATATAATAATACAAATTCAGTTATTAGATTAATGGTTAATGTTTAAAACGTTGACCAACAGAATTATGTTTGAAATATTATTGCTATATGCATACATTAATTAAATAATATCCGTACATAACCTTATTAATTATGTCAGCAGTAAAGGCTCTACAGACGGAACTAGCAGCTCAATTAATAACATAAGTAATATTTAACTACTCCACGCGCATTCATACGATACAATAACAATCCATGTAGATGATAGTATAGCAATTGGCAAGCTATAAATAAAATAATGCAAAACACCATTTAATTCATAGAATTAATTTATAAAAACAACAATGCTATTTACTTCTTTCCATTTTATTAGTAATAAGTATCACTATATATTTATCTACGTCCATAGACAGTCCATCTACACTACTATAGTTTTTATAGGTTATATTGTATAAGTGGTTCATTTAAATAATAAATACACTAATTAATTTTTTTTTACACACAGCTGTTCTCGGAAGTAAACGAAAAAACAATTTTTGTAATAAGAGCTATTTGTTTCGTACAAAATACGTTATTATCTATGGAATAGATATACCGTAGAGAGAATGTTTCACTTTGAGAGAGACAGAGAGGGAGAGAGAGTTCTATCAGAGATTTTCTAATAAGTGAATTAATGCGAGCGATAACTACTTATAGGCTTTCATAGCTAAAAATGGAAAAAACAATCAATCTACGAGAGGGTTAATAGTTGTGTAATGTTTTCCTCTATGGTATTATTTCAAATCGAAAAAGGAAAAATTATTTAAATATGCAAATTTATTCATAATGAGTGGAATTTACTACGTTTTTTTATTGGCTGTGCACAAATAAGTTTAAAGAGAAGAAGACAATCGCTTAAAGATAAAAAAACTACACATATATTTTATATATATATATATATTGTTGCATGTATAAAATCTTCAATAAATTCCTTATATTGTATATACTAATGTATATTTAAACTAATAGAATTGAGGTTTATTCTTTAAGACTAATTTTATTATTTCAGTATTGAATTTTTGCATTTCTATTGAAAAGATTACAGAATTTCTTTGTGAAAAAATATTTTAAATGATGAAAATATCTTTCATAGAATAAAACAACACTCGATACGAAAAGACCGAAGAAGAGAACGTAAAATACTTCAACGATATCAAATAAGACTATTTTACGTATATACGAATGAAATCCTGTTGATGACTCGGATAAATAGTGATGTTCTCGAAATATTCTCCTTTCCCATAAATTTATCAATCCATTTTCGAGAGCCTTGAGAATGCTATTTGTTTGTTTTTTTTTTCTTATTAGTTGTTTCAACAATTCATTTTGATACTTACGACTCTGATATGATATATTGATAATACGATCCTGGCTGTACTGCAATGGCATAGGTGGAGAATGTTATTCCAATTGTTATAAAAGTCAAATCTCTATGTTTTAGAGCTTTAGTCTCAAAACCATCGTCTAAGAACGCGTAACCACCCTAAATTGTTAACATTACAATTGTTATTAGCAGTTTTGCAATGCATTCAACAGCAAACCTTCTTTACCAATCTTGTTAATGCATCGTAATCTGACGTAAACATATCCGGTGTCTCTTTTGCATCTTCCTGAAGTTGCTTCCATAATTTTTTATAAATTGTACTATTCGATTCCTAAATTTTTATAAAGAGTTTTTATTATATAAAACTATTAAAACTTGTTTACAACTTTAAAAATTAATTCATAAGCAGCGCCCTCTAGTAGAACTAATCTATACTCGTTGTTTTCGGCGAGCTCCTCCAAAGAATTAAACGGATATGATACACGGCGAATAGCGAGATTAGCAATAATATTCCCACTATATGTAGCCACAATTGTTATAACAAACACCCACCAAGCAGATAAAAATAATCTACTAGCTCCTCTGTTGACAGTAATACTTCCTCCTTGATTTATCAAACTTCCAAATATAAATAAATGCTCAACGCTGTATATGAACTTATTAGCCGGTCTTTCAAAAAATCTTAAAACAAATCCAACCAAAAGCGTTACTAAACCTAAAAATCAGTACGATAACGCCATCTATCGTTAATAGCAGCTTTTTTTTCAACATATAGCGATATAATATTGAATTATTACCTAGAAGAACCCATAACAAAGACGAAAAAGGCTTTAAGAAGAGAAGTTTTCTAGCAGTTTTCGAATCTGTTAGATGGTTCTTGTAAGATATTGCTGGACGAAAAAAATAATACGATGTCGTAAAATCGACAGCTTCAGCTCTACTTTTAACAACAGTGAACGGTGCAAAAGACGCATCAGCTTGCTAAAGGGAATATTTAAGATATTTCAGTTAAAATTGATCATAAAATGTATCTTATTTCTCATTTTATTATATTAACTTTATCGAGTAAATCTCTTATCATACCATTCCATGTTCCGTTTGAAGAGACACTACCCCATTTTCCATCTCTTGGTAGAAATAGGTCATATCTGTAATAATATATAGAGTATATATAATGTCAAATATAACATATCCTTTCTTACGTGAAATTCAAATCTTTAGCAACATGTTTAAGTAGGTCAATAGCTATTCCAATGAATTGTCCATCTTCATTCATTTCGGAAAAAGGTGACCACTATTGAAATATCGTATAATTATCTCTATTTGCTTACTACACAATTAATTAATAAACGTGTTCATTACTAGATTAGTTAATATTTTTAATTTCATTCTATTAAAACCATAATTGAGATTTGGATATAAATTAAAAGGATTCAAAATGGCTTCTTCAGTTCTATTTACTCTACACCAATATCTGTAATTATTCTTATCAAATGCCAAAGTATAAATATCGGTTGAATTCTATAATTTCAACAGAAAAAAGAGAAGAAACTTTTAAATTAATAGGAAATAAGAAAAATTTAAATAATGAAATTCACCAATCCAGTAACAGCTATATTAATAATATCATTAATGGGCAGTATATTAAAGTTATCTTTCAAGTCATCTATATTATGGAAAACGAACAACCATTTAAATTTTATTATTGAATAGCTTTTGTGAATAGACGATGAAATCTATGAAAATATATACCAATTGATATTATCATTATATAGAATATTTACAAGTATATATGATATTAGTAATAAATAAATTAGTTTACTTGTTTAAACCATTCAATTATCTTCCTTTTTCCTCCAACTAACGTAATCAATTCAATATCATTTTTTAACTTTTTTAAAATAGTGACAAATTCATTTAAATTTGTTAATTTTATTAAATTTAATCCATCGAATAAAGCGTTAAATTCTATAATGAAATATCTCTTTTAATGGTAAAGAGAGAAAGAAAGAAATAATCTACCTTTTAAATTTTCTCCGTAAGCTGCAACTTGATCAAAAGATGTCCAATTAATTGATTGCTTTATTAAAATTGATGATTGTGAATTTACATCATGTTTTAATAAAATCAGCATATAAAATATGAAAAAGAAGAGAATTTTATACATGATCAGAAGCGTTCTCTCCCTTCAATCATTATACTAGATATGTCCAAATTAAAAGTAACGTGGAATTGAAATACCGCTAATCGAACACCGAATGTAAATAATACTATTATTTTTTCCCCCTTTATTAGTATTATATACTTAATTATTAATTTATCATTCTAGGCTTAAAACGTAGAAAAGGGAGAAGAAAATCGTTCAAGTCTTTGTTTATTGTAATTAAGATACAAGAATTAGCATTATCGATAAATAATAACTCTTTTAGAAGAAAGATGAATTTATTAGTTTGGTAACAATTTTTATAATTAATCAATTAACTAATTTATCTTAATCAATGTACCAAAATAGATGATACAATCTATACCGATAAATGCATAAACTATACTTAAAATACTATTCTTATTATATTATCGTATAGTGTATCCTATATGGAGAAAAGTATTCATAATATTTGGGTCTAGGTCAACAGCTAGACAAGATAACTCGTAGACAACATAATTCATAGATGATATGATTACTAGACAAACAGTCCTTCTACATTGTATCTTAGGTAACAAGATTCAAATCCTTCTAAGAAAATCAAACAATAGTTTTTTTTGTTGGAATAGGAAAAACAATATCAAGTTAGATTCGTGTTAGAGGTTAGAAAGTATGAAAAATGTAGGATAAGCGCCATAATGGTGTCGAGGTTAGGTTAAAAAATGCCATCTCTCTATCTTGTAAAGTACCTTATTACAAACACTACTTGCAAATTACATTAGGCAAAATTCTTAAATATTAGTCTCATTTAATTTACCCTATTCTCTCTACAAGACTCTATTTCACATGAAATGCAATGGTTCCTATAGATCAAATCGGATTCATATTAAGCTACTCTATCTATCTTTTGTCTCGTTCAAGTCAATTGTAACCACTTTAACAGATCGATCACACTTCACTTGCTTAATTAACCTTTCACCATTTCCCTTTTTCATAGTTCTCCTAACTCTTCTTCGAGCGATTCTCTTTTATAATCTTCATCATTTTTATTATTAATTTTTAACATCTTGCTTAATAGCTGGGTTCAATTTAATGATAAAGTGATATCAATACATGTTCAAACAATGTAAAGTAGAAATTCAAATATTTTATTTCGCTACTATTTGAGGTGAATACCGGCTACTTTGATCTTTGTTTAATAAGGTTAAGAGTCGCTGAGGTAATTGCCGCAATGATAGAAAACTCATAGTTCAATTTTTCAAGTCATTTTTGAACATTGTCTAAACTGTTTCACTTTATAATACTAGAGTGTAATATAAAACCGTTACAGTTGACGTTGGTGTATGTATTGGATATATTTATACTGTATATTTACATATAGTATAGTACAGTTTTTTCTTTTTTTATTGAACAGACTGTTGTAATTTTTTAGAATTCTTCTCATGATATTCTGCATTTTATCTTTATTATCAATATCTCTACTATTAATGTAAATGATGACAATAGAATTCCCACTCCTAATACATAACAGACGCTCGATAAATCTTTTAATGTTACACTTAGAACTATTGCATTAAAGCCAGAATTTTGCCTTGAAACATCATTATTCTTAATTTTCAACCAGTGCCTTCTCCATTTCTCTATGAAACCACTTTGAATAGCTTTTAAAATTCTATTTTTAAAACAATTGAACAAAGAGTTACATTAGCTGTTAGTGATAATTTATTAAAGTGTCAATTATTGAAACGTACGAGGATGACATTAGGTTAGTGTAGTATGAGCCCTTCTGGAGGCCTATGATATACATTGAAAATCCAATACCAGTTGGAATATTTGTTAATTCAGGATATCTTCCCCTTATATCTTCACCACCACCATTTAGATAGGCTATTCGACCTTTTAAAGTGAATCGTATCATTTCCTCAAAATCAGTAGTTTTTAGTTCTGGTCTCCGTTGAAGGGTTTGTTCTAAATTTCTATAAAGTTGTTGGTATATTTCATCTTTACTATCCTACGAAAAGTGAAAAGATTAAATAAAGTAATTAGCCAAAGTAATCAGCCAATCATCATTTATGTTATTTTCTAAATTTCTCTATGTGTCCTTACTACCATATAACCTATATTAATATAAGAATATTAACCCTAAAAACTGAATTAAAAGCTCCTCCCGATAAAATTGTAAACGAGTATTCTTTATTGTCGATTAACTCTTCAAGAGATTCAAAAGGTAATTTCTTTGAATATACAGTCAAATTCGCAAAAATATTCCCGCAATAAATAGCTATTGCAGTTATTACAAATAACCACCAACTTGACACAATTATTCTTATAGCGGAATTATCAAATTTATAACATCCACCTTGATTTAATAAACTTCCAACAAAAAATAAATGTTCCCCACTAAAAATGAATTGATTTTGACATCTGTCAATAATTCTTAGTAAAAGTCCCATGAAAGATACTGCAACAACTGTATTAATCAAAAGGGGAATGTCAGAAAAATGTATATTAATGAATATTTTAAAATGATAAAAATAGAAGAACTACCTAAAGAAATCCATACATTCAGTGAAAATGGCTTAATAAAAAAGAGACTTTTGTCGTCAAAATTTTCTAGATGATTACGAAATAGTAGAGAAGGTCTAACGTAGTAATATGGTACTGTAAAATCAATTATTTTTTTCCTATTATCCGTAGCCGAAAATGCCGTAAATACTGCATCAGCCTTCTATAAATAAATAAAAAAGCATATATTTGAACAGGAAAGTGGTATGTTTCATATAAAATAAGCTTTGTGTTTATGTATGAATAAATAACATTTTCTACTAAGGCCGCAGTCAATCCATCCCATTCCCTATTCTCAGGTAGGAAAGGACCATCGTAACTATTTAGAATTATTCGCAGAATGGAAAAACAAACAAAAACATTCAATTTAGATTGACATTGATTTATTTAATGATATCTTTCTTACGTAAAATTTAAATCTTGCGCAAGAAAATGTAATAAATCAATCGATATTCCTTGAAATTGTCCATTCTTTCCGGGAATTGAATCAACAAAGAACGGCCACTAGTTTTCAACAAGAAAGAAAACCATTAGAAAATAGTTAATTAATAATGATATATGATATATAAAGTTATATACGATTTAATTTTACTTTTAATCAAAACTATACATTCTATTTATATATATATATAACACATTACTTTTTGTTTCTCTCACTTTTTTTTGTTGTCTGTTTTTCTAGTTCTAGTCTTTTATTCCCCTACGTATGAGTCCAACTCTATCATTTTTTGTAAGATATTTTTTATATTATCATCATTTTAGGTTATTTTTTTATATGTCTGCCACGTCGTATTTGGTTAATTAGTGGAAAAAACAACTAATAGGCTTTAACTAAAACAAGGTTAGTGTAACAAAGTTATTTTTATTATATATTTTTTATCGTCATATTGTTCCCTTATACTTTTCTTATATTATCACTTATAATGTAAATTGAATTTTGCTAATTTGTTAAGCCTTTTAAGTGATGGCATTACAAAAAAATATTCGTACATATGTACATACATATATACATATATACAGTATATATATATATATACGTTATTTGTCATAATTCTTAATTTTATTCCATTTAAACCAAATTTGGAATTTGGAAATAAACTCCACTTGTTCAAATATCCATCTTTTAACTCTTTCCAGTATTTATGATTCAACTGATCAAACAGAAATGTGGAAAGTTTCCAGTTTTCCATTCGCTGCAAATGAAAAAATATATAATCATATACTATAAAATAGGAAATAAGAGAAATATGTAATTAACCTTATATGCAATGACGGCGTGAGTGAGATTTTGAAAATAATCAGCAAGATTATCCAAATTCGTCGAATTATTTTTATCATTTATCATGAACATCCAATGAAATTTGGAATAGGAAAAACTTGAATGAATGTTTTTAATTGTCTAAAATTATTCGAAGCAGAATTAGAATAAATAATTGAAACAAAAAATGATGATAATTTTACTGCTTTAAACCATTTCTTTATATCCTCACTATTTCCCATAAAAACTAGGCAATCAATTTCATCTTTTTTCCATTCAACATGTTTGATAAATACGCTGAGGTTTCTTATATTGTCAATGTTTGAAGAATTAGGGCGAATGTTTAAGGCTGAAAGTTTTACTCTTTAAATTTTATTACCGTTATAATTTCGTCAGTTATATATTAAATTGAATACATCTTGATCTATGTTAAAATATACGCTGTGCAAATACAGAGGAAGACAAGAAACGAGAGAGAGAGAGAGACAGAGAGAAGAGATGGAGAGAGATGTTTACCTTCATTACCACCATGGAGAGCTACTCTTTGAAATGAATTCCATAATATACGATTTTCGAATGCTGTTATCACTAAAAAGTTTACCATGAATGAGAAGGAGAGCGAGAAGCTGAGACGCATCGCCTAAACTTTTTGTCTATCATTACTGAATGAACAGTTTGTAGGTTGCAAAGTAATATACTGAATATTTCATTTCAACTTTTATTCTAATATGTCTACTGAAAGAAGAACAATCATTACTAAAAAATGATATTCATACAGAACATTCTCTTTAGTCTTAAATGCTGAGAAAACATTATGAATACACATTCGTAAGTGTAAAATGTTTACTTCCAGCAAATATTCTGTAATTCCAGTTTTATTTTTCATCACTTCAGAGTTCTTTAGTTTGTATTTTCACGTTTCTTTAAAATAGATCTGCGTTGAATATCTATGAAATGAGGCAAAAGGATAGAAGCTATCGAAAGATTTAAAAAATATACAGTATAGGCTATATGTTTTAAACCATCTGGAAAAATTATTTTTTTTTCTAAATTTTGGATATGAAGATATTACTGGATATCTATTTTGAATTGATAATAATAATTATTAATATTCCATCAATTGTGGAATAAACTTATATGTTCGCAACTTTAATAGAATTAGCTTTATTCGAATGAATGTACTTCTTGTATAAAGTACCATTCCGGAAATAGTTCTTTTTCAAGATAAAACTTTCTTCATCAACATTTCAATAACTGGAAAATTATAAACTAATAGAAAATGACAGCTGCAGACGTCAATTCTCCATCGTTCTTAAAAAAAATGCTTCCGTTCAAATTGATCGCTATAAAAAATTTGTAGCATGCTTTTTTTGTCTTTCAGCTTAAACAAGTCCAATGATTCCTTTTTTTTCTCCAATAAAAAATACTATCGCGTGGCAAAACATCCGAAAATAAATTAAAAAAACTGTTCAAAGCGACGAACTCACTAAAAAAGTGATCTAGATAATTCCGATATTCTTGCTATAAAAGCCGATGACTTTTCTTTATCGTTGCGTTGTAGCCATAACGTCGCTTAAGGAAGAAAAGACTCTGCCTTAAAACTATGTAAGTATGAATTTTAACAACTTCTTCGCATTTTTTATTTATTATTGACAATATTTTGTCTTTTTAGAATGTTACGGGTTATATGGGTTTGTCTCCTTCTGGGGCAAGTCATCGTTTCACTAGGTGATGAGACTTCAGTATTGAATGAATCATCTGCTGAAAATGGAAGAGTGTCCCTGACAACTGATTTATGTTCCAAAAATCCTTGCTTTGCAGGAAGGTTCGTGAAGTGTAATAATATTAAAAACGATTTTGAATGCATATGTAAACCTGGTTTTGCTGGAAAACGATGTGAGCTCGGTAAGTCAATCGTCTCAATTTTATAACTTTAAAAACACTTATTATTGTTTCAGAATGCGCTCCAGTAGATCTTTGCTGGATTATAGATGGCAGTGGGTCAATTGGATCTAGCAATTTTAAAAAGCAAATGGATTTCATTAAAGGCCTTACCGATTCATTCGATGTAGGCCCTACAAAAACACGAGTAGCTGCAATTATTTTTGACCACAACGCGATTGTAAGGTTTGATCTGAATGATTTCAACTCTAACAAACAACTTATTCTAAACGCGCTTGCAACTACCACTTTTCCCAATGGAGGTACACGAACGGACCTAGCACTAAAACTTGCAAGAGAACGAATCTTTGTTCCCATACATGGAGATAGAATAAAGATAAAAAATATTGCACTTGTTTTCACAGATGGTGCCTCAGCTAATCCAGGGGGTACTAAAACACAAGCTGACTTATTGAAGAAAGCGACTAATCTTGGCGTAACCGTATTTGCTGTTCCTGTAGGAAGCAACATAAATAACAATGAAATAGAAGCAATAGCAACAGATAAGTCAAAAATCATAAAAGTAAACAATTTCAACGATTTGGAAAAATATAAAGCAATAATACTGGATGAAACCTGCAAGGCAACAGCAAGCGATTGCAACCCTAATCCGTGTCAAAACGGTGGAACTTGTAAGCAACTGCCAATCGGCTATTCATGTACGTGTCCCAAGGGATTTAGCGGAAAAAATTGTGAGCTTGAAAACGAATGTATAACGAAAAAACCATGTAAAAATGGCGCAACATGCATTGATCTACCAGTTGGATATTCATGTTCGTGCCCCAAGGGATTTAGTGGAAAAAATTGTGAGCTTGAAAACGAATGTATAACGAAAAATCCTTGTAAAAATGGCGGAACATGTAATGATCTACCAGTTGGATATTCATGTTCGTGTCCCAAGGGATTTAGTGGAAAAAATTGTGAGCTTGAAAACGAATGTATAACGAAAAAACCATGTAAAAATGGCGCAACATGCATTGATCTACCAGTTGGATATTCATGTACGTGTCCCAAGGGATTTAGCGGAAAAAATTGTGAGCTTGAAAACGAATGTATAACGAAAAATCCTTGTAAAAATGGCGGGACATGTAATGATCTACCAGTTGGATATTCATGTTCGTGTCCCAAGGGATTTAGTGGAAAAAATTGTGAGCTTGAAAACGAATGTATAACCAAAAAACCATGTAAAAATGGCGCAACATGCATTGATCTACCAATTGGCTATTCATGCAAGTGTCCCCTGGGTTACTTTGGAAAGAATTGTGAAATCAAAAATAGCTGTTTACCAAAAAATCCTTGTAAAAATGGCGGGACATGTAATGATCTACCAGTTGGCTATTCATGTTCGTGTCCCAAGGGATTTAGCGGAAAAAATTGTGAGCTTGAAAACGAATGTATAACCAAAAAACCATGTAAAAATGGCGCAACATGCATTGATCTACCAATTGGCTATTCATGCAAGTGTCCCCTGGGTTACTTTGGAAAGAATTGTGAAATCAAAAATAGCTGTTTACCAAAAAATCCTTGTAAAAATGGCGGAACATGTAATGATCTACCAGTTGGATATTCATGTTCGTGTCCCAAGGGATTTAGTGGAAAAAATTGTGAGCTTGAAAACGAATGTATAACCAAAAAACCATGTAAAAATGGCGCAACATGCATTGATCTACCAATTGGCTATTCATGCAAGTGTCCCCTGGGTTACTTTGGAAAGAATTGTGAAATCAAAAATAGCTGTTTACCAAAAAATCCTTGTAAAAATGGCGGAACATGCAATGATCTACCAGTTGGCTATTCATGTTCGTGTCCCAAGGGATTTAGCGGAAAAAATTGTGAGCTTGAAAACGAATGTATAACCAAAAAACCATGTAAAAATGGCGCAACATGCATTGATCTACCAATTGGCTATTCATGCAAGTGTCCCCTGGGTTACTTTGGAAAGAATTGTGAAATCAAAAATAGCTGTTTACCAAAAAATCCTTGTAAAAATGGCGGAACATGCAATGATCTACCAGTTGGCTATTCATGTTCGTGTCCCAAGGGATTTAGCGGAAAAAATTGTGAGCTTGAAAACGAATGTATAACCAAAAAACCATGTAAAAATGGCGCAACATGCATTGATCTACCAATTGGCTATTCATGCAAGTGTCCCCTGGGTTACTTTGGAAAGAATTGTGAAATCAAAAATAGCTGTTTACCAAAAAATCCTTGTAAAAATGGCGGGACATGTAATGATCTACCAGTTGGCTATTCATGTTCGTGTCCCAAGGGATTTAGTGGAAAAAATTGTGAGCTTGAAAACGAATGTATAACCAAAAAACCATGTAAAAATGGCGCAACATGCATCGATCTACCAATTGGCTATTCATGCAAGTGTCCCCTGGGTTACTTTGGAAAGAATTGTGAAATCAAAAATAGCTGTTTACCAAAAAATCCTTGTAAAAATGGCGGAACATGCAATGATCTACCAGTTGGCTATTCATGTTCGTGTCCCAAGGGATTTAGCGGAAAAAATTGTGAGCTTGAAAACGAATGTATAACCAAAAAACCATGTAAAAATGGCGCAACATGCATTGATCTACCAATTGGCTATTCATGCAAGTGTCCCCTGGGTTACTTTGGAAAGAATTGTGAAATCAAAAATAGCTGTTTACCAAAAAATCCTTGTAAAAATGGCGGAACATGTAATGATCTACCAGTTGGATATTCATGTTCGTGTCCCAAGGGATTTAGTGGAAAAAATTGTGAGCTTGAAAACGAATGTATAACCAAAAAACCATGTAAAAATGGCGCAACATGCATCGATCTACCAATTGGCTATTCATGCAAGTGTCCCCTGGGTTACTTTGGAAAGAATTGTGAAATCAAAAATAGCTGTTTACCAAAAAATCCTTGTAAAAATGGCGGAACATGCAATGATCTACCAATTGGATATTTTTGTACATGTCCCCTAGGATATTTTGGACCGAATTGTGAATTCAAAAACGACTGTAAACCGAAAAATCCTTGTCTAAATGGCGGAATATGCAATGATTTGCCAAATGGCTATTTTTGTACATGTCCGCTTGGATTCTACGGAAAGAATTGTGAGTTTAAATACAACTGTTTCCCAAAAAATCCATGTTATAACGGTGGTAAATGCATTGAACAAAAATTTGGCTATATCTGTAAGTGTCCCTTAGGATATTATGGAAAGCATTGTGAGTTGAAAAACGAATGTGTACCTAAAAATCCATGTCTCAATGGCGGAATATGCAATGATTTACCAAATGGCTTTTTTTGCAAATGTCCTCCTGGATATTTTGGAAAGCTTTGTCAGGAACAAAACTCATGTTTTCCAACAAATCCATGTTATAATGGTGGTAAATGCATTGATCAAAAAATTGGCTATATCTGTAAGTGTCCCCTAGGATATTATGGAAAGCATTGCGAGCTGAAAGACGAATGTATACCGAAAAATCCATGTCTCAATGGCGGAATATGCAATGATTTACCAAATGGCTACTTTTGTAAATGTCCTCTTGGATTCTATGGAAAAAATTGTGAGTTTAAATACAACTGTTTCCCAAAAAATCCATGTTATAATGGTGGTAAATGCATTGAACAAAAAGCTGGTTATTTCTGTAAGTGTCCCCCTGGATATTATGGAAAGCATTGTGAGCTGAAAAACGAATGTGTACCGAAAAATCCGTGTCTAAATGGCGGAATATGCAATGATTTACCAAATGGCTATTTTTGTAAATGTCCTCTTGGATTCTACGGAAAGAATTGTGAGTTTAAACACAACTGTTTCCCAAAAAATCCATGTTATAATGGTGGTAAATGCATTGAACAAAAAGCTGGTTATTTCTGTAAGTGTCCCCCTGGATATTATGGAAAGCATTGTGAGCTGAAAAACGAATGTATACCGAAAAATCCATGTCTAAATGGCGGAATATGCAATGATTTACCAAATGGCTACTTTTGTAAATGTCCTCCTGGTTATTATGGAAAGAAGTGTGAATTCAAAAACTTATGTTTTCCAAATAATCCCTGTTTTAACGGTGGTACATGTTTTGGTCATAAATTTGGCTATTCATGTAAATGTCCTCCTGGTTATTATGGAAAGAAGTGTGAGCATAAAAACGAATGTTTTTTGAAAAATCCATGTTTGAATGGTGGTACATGTGTTGACCAGCTATCTGGTTATATATGCAAATGTCCTTTTGGATATTCCGGAAGCAATTGCGAACTTAAAGATTTTTGTAAACCGACAAATCCTTGTAACAATGGCGGTATATGTAAAAATGTTAAAGATGGCTTTTACTGTGAATGTAAGTCTGGATTTTTTGGAAAGTTATGTAGCCTTGGTAAGTCAAATGTTACCAATATGAATGATATTGTTAATTTGTATGTTTTTTTTAGAGTGTAATCCGATGGATCTTTCCTGGATTATAGATACAAGCGGTTCTCTTGGAAATCTAAACTTCAATTTACAAAAAAGCTTCATTAGAGATCTGACTGATGCTTTTGATATTTCTCCGTCGCATACACGGATAGGAACAATTACTTTTGGAACTAAAGCGGTGTTAAGGTTCGACTTTGATGATTACAACAATAGAGCTAGCATTCTTTCTGCAATTGATGCAATTCCATATTCCCGTGGATTGACAAATACAGCGGATGCTCTTCAATTAGAAATGGATCATGTTTTTCAAGTGTCTAATGGAGAGAGAGAAAATATTCCAAATATTGTTGTTCTTTTCACGGATGGACCATCAAACAAAAATAAGGCCAAGACCGTTCCAACAGCTAATCAATTGAAAATGTTTACAAAACTTGGCGTTAAAATATTTGTTGTTTCAGTAGGGCCTCGTTTTAAAAAATCCGAAATTGAAGGAATTGCCAGTGATGCCAGCAAAGTCATTTACATTGATAGTTTCAATGATTTGGGAAAATATAAGAGTAAAATAACTCATGATATTTGTAAATGTACGCTCAAAAACCCTTGTAACCCAAATTTTTGTCAGAATGGTGGAGTTTGTCAACCATTTGGAAATAGCTATAAATGTAACTGTCTACCTGGTTTCTCCGGAGACGATTGCGAGATAAATATTAATGAATGCGCTTCTTCTCCGTGTTTGAATGGCGGAACTTGTAAAGATGGGGTAAATGGTTATACTTGTCAATGTAGTCCGGGAAATACCGGAATAAATTGCGATGAGGATATAAAGGAATGTAACTCGAGTCCTTGTCAAAATGGTGGAACTTGCCTAGAGCAAACTAATAAATATTCTTGCAAATGTAAACAAGAATATTATGGAAAACATTGCCAGCACAAAAAGGATATCTGTAAACCTAACCCCTGTAAAAATGGTGGAAAGTGTAATGATTATAAAGGCATAGTCAAATGTTCGTGTCCGAAGGGATATATTGGAAAATATTGTGAAAAGCCTATTAAGTATCCATGCAAACCTAATCCTTGTAAAAATGGTGGAAAATGTAAGCCAATAAGTTTCTTCTTTTACAAGTGTTACTGTCCAAAAGGATATTATGGAAAACATTGCGAGCTCAAAAAGGATACCTGTAAACCTAATCCCTGCAAAAACGGTGGAAAGTGTACACAATATAAAGGTGGCGTGAAATGTTCGTGTCCGAAAGGATATATTGGAAAATATTGTGAAAAGCCTATTAAGTATCCATGCAAACCTAATCCTTGTAAAAATGGTGGAAAATGTAAGCCAATAAGTTTCTTCTTTTACAAGTGTTACTGTCCAAAAGGATATTATGGAAAACATTGCGAGCTCAAAAAGGATACCTGTAAACCTAATCCCTGCAAAAACGGTGGAAAGTGTACACAATATAAAGGTGGCGTGAAATGTTCGTGTCCGAAAGGATATACTGGAAAATATTGTGAAAAACCTATTATTGCAAAGTATCCATGCAAATCTAAGCCTTGTAAAAATGGTGGAAAATGTAAGCCAATAGGTTTCTTCTTTTACAAGTGTTATTGTAAGAAAGGATATTATGGAAAACATTGCGAGCTCAAAAAGGGTACCTGTAATCCTAACCCCTGCAAAAATGGTGGAAAGTGTAAAGATTATAAAGGTGGATTCAAATGTTCGTGTCCGAAGGGATATAAAGGAAAATATTGTGAAAAATCGAAGAATGCTTGCAGTAGTTCTCCCTGTTTGAATGGTGGCATTTGTAAGAATTATAAATATGGTTACAAATGCAAATGTAAGAAACCTTGGAAAGGAAAGAGATGCCAAAAACAAAAGTAATATTTATGCTTGAATAACAATACTAGAATAGGATATACAATTACAGAAATTGTAATATTTAAAATATTGCGTTCTCATGTCAAAGTTCAGTTTGAACTATTTTGTTTTACATTTTGAAATTTTATATTTATTTCCTTTTTTGAACTTTGTTTTTTAAATTCTAATTAAAATTTGCTCAAATTTCTATAATAAAATTTTATATTCAAATTTTTTGCTTTTTTTTACATTTAATTCAACTTTTTCTATTTTTTCCAAATTCTAAGTAGTTTATTGTCCATATTTCTTTGGATATTACGTAAAAAATCCATATATACCGTATTGGTACCTATCTGAAATTAATGCAATTGATTAATTTTTCCATTAGCTCTGGTGAAACTACAAGAAAGCAATAATTGATTGCATCTGCAAAGAAATGTTCAAGAAGCTTTGGCAACCAAATTACATACAGGAGTGGTGGAAGTTGTTGACTATTTGAGTACGTCTAAAAATGTAATTGTCTACCTGAATACTTCGCAGATAATTCCGAAATGAAAAGTGACAATAGCAAGTTAAATCATTGTGAAACGAAAGCGCATATAGAGATCTTACAAACAATTATAAATGTATGTGTAAAGTCGAATTTTCTGAAAAAGAAATGATTGGTATTGTATGATAACTGTTATTCAAATCTTGGTCTTAATGATGGAGCACGTCACAATTGTTTAAATTCCTATATTTTGTTATTGCCATAATAACAAATGTTGATGAATCTGCCTCTCTTTTCTGCCTAAATGCTGAAAGGTCTTGTGAAAGATAAATATGAATGTGAATCACTTCTTTGTTAAGATGGTGGAACTTGTAAACATGGAATTAAGTACTATCATTTTGCAGGTAAGATAGTTTTAGGCATATCTCAAGATCAAAAACTTGAGCATATGGTACTGATAGCACGAACTATGCAATCGCTGGGTAGTATAGCACATTTTGCAGAAAAGAAAGTTTGCTGACTTGCTAAATGTTTGATTGCTCTTCAGGGCAACTGTGAGAAATATTTGCAAAATCAGGGATGCATTTGATGCCTATAATTTAAATTCTATCTTAGAATGAGAGTACACGTCAAGATTTTAATAAATAGTTATAAAAAGCTGTCAATGTTTGCTTGGATTATCTGGAAAAGATTACGGAATTATCGATGACGAATGTGACCAAAATCCCTATCAAATTTTGTTTGACAAAAATATGAGAGAAAGCTTTTTGTTCAAAATAGAAAGTAGACGATATCCTTTTCAGTTTGTTCAAATGTAGAGGACAAAGTTTATGGAAATGATGACAACTAATATAAACGTAACATTCAAAGTGGAAACTACTGAAACGACTTCACTCTTTACGTTGCCTATGTTCATCATTTATGAAAGAAATAAACAGATAAAAGTGCGAATGAATTATTCACCAAAGGTCTTATAAGGATATGTCGTGCTAGAGCAGTTTTCTCATAACCTATTCGTTATTCATCTTAACGAATTCATCAAAAAAAATCTTTGAAAGTCTAAAAAATCTAAATATTTAAATTTTAATTTATTTAAAGAATTCATAAACTTTCGAAACGTTCTACAAATTCAGCATATGCAAAACAATAACCAGAAAGTTTTATAGTTTAACAGTATCTTCAATTTACATTACAATATCAGACTGACAATCAACTACAATTCTCTCACAGTCTCTACCAAAGAAACAGGCTTTACACGAACAAACATAACTACTCTCTGATTCTATGCAAATTCCATTGTTTAAACAAGGATTAGAATTGCAACTGTTGGTCAAATGTTGACATACAGTGCCGGTGAATCCCGCGGCACAAGTACACAAAGGTCCCGTAGAGGTATTGCTGCAGGTTGCTCCATTCATGCAAGGTTCCGACAGACAAAAGTTCACCTTGATGTTGCATTGTGTGCCTAAATAAGTTGGCAAACACCTACATTCAAAATTGCTACCGTCGTTCAAATTTTCGCAGGTCCCACCATTAAAGCATGGACTGGAATCGCATGGTTTCATTATCATTTCTGAAAATCTTCCGGCTACCTCCTCCTCATCTATAATTAATCTACGATTACCGAAGGGAGCCGAAATTGCTTGTCCAACTATACACAATACAACAATCGTAAGCATCATCAAAGAGTTTACTCTATGGATGAAAAACGCATTTTAAAATTTATTCATATACAAATTTTATTTAAATAGATGTTTACCTTCCCAAAGTGAGACTTTTGTTTCCGCAAAACTTTGGTGAATACTGCTTGTCCTATTTGTTTATATAAAAATATGAAAAAAATACATTATTATCAACCGTATCAATGAAATATTAAGTTTTATTTTATAGTTTTATCAGTAGAATAATGAAAAATTATACTTAAAATAACTTACAGCAATTGACGCTATGAACTCTTGTCTCCGACTGTCCTCGTATGGGGGCGGACAAGAAAATTTCGTTATACACCTGTGTTTTCATTGCTCAAAAACAGTTTTTTTTGAAGTTTCAACGTGGCAAATGCTCTCTTCTCTTTTTGGGGACAAAAACAACATGACATTGCTCGACATGTAGCTTTAAAAAAAATCTGTCTGTCCGTAAAAAATGAACGCTGACACGTAATTACCCAAAAAACTGTAACGTTTTATATAACAATTTCAATAAAAAACATCTATATACTACGAATAATGATTTTTCTATATGATTTTAATAAAGTTTTAATAAATCATGATTATTGTTTTGTTATTATCATTTATATATTATACTCTATTTAGTGAATTTATCTTGTCTGTTAAACTTTCCACAAGTTCTTCTTCCTCCAAAAACCTTAATAACTGATTATAAGATCATTTACACGTACATATATACAAATTTAGTGTAGTTTATTAACATTCACTTTGAAGATATCTTGGAATGGGAGTTAATATACTCTTCACTTAATAAGTTATTCGTGAATAGATGGGAAAAAAACTGACAGAGGGAATGAAAGTTCACTTAATTAATCTATAACAATCTTATATTACTTCTGGAAGAGACTTTAAACTAATTCAATTATCTGATATATCATTGTTAATCAACTTAAACATCCATAACTATCATAATGCATGTACAATAAATAATAAATTCCCTATTCTCAAAAAGATAAGATAAGATATTATTCCATTCGCGAAAAATTAAAAATGTCTATACTATTTTGAAATGATAATTTACGACTAGTCTAGAATCTTAATACTTTTAAGACTGACTTTTCTTTAAAAGATTACCATATTTTCTTTAATTTTTCATATTTTCTTTAAAAAAAAAGTTAAAAAATTGATTTTTTTTGTGAACACTGAGGCCTATATTTCAATCATCCGATAATTTTTGAGCAAATCTTAGAGCTACGTCACCAAAAGTTTTTTTGTCTTTTTTTTAAAGTTGGCTAAAAAACTCATGTTCCACGTCGCATTTCCTTAAGAAAGCTATATAGAAAAAAATGAGTTTCAGACAGTAGAGTAGTTTAAACGCTATACGTGGCGTCTGGCCAAGGTGTATAAATTGGGCATTTTCAGTAGATTCGTCATTAGGAGGCAGCATCTCCGAAGGTAAAAGTCGTAAGTAGCTTCAAATACTAACTAACTAATTAAATAGACAGATAGATATCATCATTTTTCAATAATTTCTTTCTTATGCACAGGTTCTAAAAGTTAAAGAAACTAGGAGGAGAAGAAAAAACCGCTACCAAATACAATGTAAGAATTTCTATGAACAAAAACTTTTCTAATTTCTCTTCTTTTGCTACAGAATGTATAGGGTAATTTTGGTTTGTCTTCTTGTGGGACAAATCACCACTTCACCTGTGCACGAAAGAAAACTGAAATGTGCAGGTGAAAATTGTGATGAACGACTCGTGTCCCTGGCTACTGATCACTGTGCATCTAATCCATGTCTTGATGAAGGAAAAGTAAAATGTATTAATCACGAAAATGACTTTGAATGCGAATGTAAACTCGGCTACGTTGGAAAAAAGTGTGAAATAGGTAAGTGAATATCTATTTACAGTCATTTTTATACTATGTTTGCATCGTTTTTCAGTGTGCAGCCCAGTCGATATATGCTGGATCATCGATGCCAGTGGATCTATTGGTCAAGCAAATTTTGCCATACAGAAGAAATTCATTCGTGATGTTACTGCAGCGTTCGACATTTCACTCGTTCATACGAGAGTAGCGGCAATCACTTTTGCTACAGATTGTACACTTATTTTCGACTTGGATGACCTTTCCGACCGTCAATCAATTTTGACTGCCATTGAAAATATAGGTTATGATTCTGGTCGAACAAACACTGCAGGTGGATTGCAAAAGGCAATGGATGAAGTTTTCACACCCAGCGGAGGTGACAGATTAGATGTCCCGAATATCGCTCTAGTTCTCACTGATGGTGCCTCAAATGAAAATCCGCATTTAACCATACCTACAGCCGAACAATTAAAAGTCCATACATCTCTTAATGTTACTGTATTCGCTATTCCTGTTGGCTCCGTAAATGAAAACGAAATCCAAGCCATCGCATCCGACTTATCGAAAATTATAAGAATTGCTAACTTTAACGACATTGAAAAATTCAAGAACATAATCTTGGAGGACACTTGCAAGGCAACAAGTATGTGTATAGATTCTTTTTTAAATCAATGGTGTAATATATGTTTGTGTTTCAGATAAACGTACATGCTCACCGGATCCATGCAAGAATGGTGCAACATGCATAGAATTTACAAATGATTATGAATGTCAATGCCCCGTTGGATTCACGGGTAAAAATTGTGAAACAATGATCAACTATTGTAATTCGAACCCATGTCAAAATGGAGCTACATGCATCCCTGAAGTCAATGGATATAAATGCGTCTGTCCATCGGAATATACTGGGGTACATTGTGAAACTGAAAAAAATCCTTGTAAATCGAATCCTTGTACCAACGGCGGAACATGTGAGAATCGTCTTTCTTCGTACAAATGTATATGTCCTATCGATTTCACTGGTATCAACTGTGAAACTGAAGTCAATCGTTGCGATCCGAATCCTTGCTTCAATGGTGGTACATGTAAAGATTTAAGAATTGGTTATGAATGTGTGTGTCCTGCCGGTTTCACTGGACTTCATTGTGAAACACCAATTGACCATTGTAACCCTGACCCTTGTGTACACTCCCTCGGCTGCGTGTCTACACCAACAACCTACCAATGTATTTGCAAGCCAGGATATACTGGTAAAAACTGTGACGTCGACATTAATGAATGTGAATCTAATCCTTGTCAAAATGGTGGAACTTGTAAGAATGGAAAGAATAGATACGACTGCGAATGCCCTGAAGGATATACTGGAACGAATTGTGAAACTCTGATCAATAACTGTAAACCTGATCCATGTTTTCATGGTACCTGTACCAGCAGTCCAAATTCTTTCACATGCTCGTGTGAGCCAGGATACACTGGAGTTCGTTGCGAAAAAGAAATCGACGAATGTTTATCACAGCCTTGCAAAAACGGCGCCACTTGCCATGATAAAATAAATGGATATATCTGCGAATGCGCCGCTGGATATACAGGTATTGACTGCGGAGAAGTAATCAACATGTGTGAACCCAATCCATGCTTGAATGGTGGCACTTGTGAAGGCCGTGTGAATGATTTCCAGTGTTTCTGTTTAGATGGATGGAGAGGTAAAGATTGTTGCGAAAATATCAACGAGTGTGCTGAAAACCCATGCGGAAATGGCGGAACCTGTTATGATTTGGTCAACGATTACAAGTGCGCTTGCAAACCAGGCTACACTGGACGAAATTGTATGGAAAACATCGACGAGTGTCAATCTTCACCTTGTAAAAATGGTGGTTCGTGCCACGACAGAATAAATGGTTTTGAATGCACCTGTCCTCAAGGTTGGGCTGGAAGAATCTGTGAAGATAATGTTAACGAATGCGCAGAAAACCCATGTAAAAACGGAGCTACATGTAAAGATCTCGTAAACGCTTATCAGTGCATTTGTGCCGCTGGCTGGACTGGGTCGGATTGCGGTGAAAACATTGATGATTGCAAACCAAACCCATGTTTAAATGGTGGAAGTTGTAATGATCTTGTTGATGACTTCAGTTGTTTCTGTACAGCTGGTTGGGCTGGAAAAGATTGTTGTGACAACATTAATGAATGCGATAAAAACCCATGCCTGAATGGAGCAACTTGTCATGACAAAGAAAACGGCTACGCTTGTGAATGTGCTCCTGGTTATTCTGGACAAAATTGTCAAATAAACATAAATGAATGCCTTTCAAATCCATGCCGACATGGTGGTACTTGCACAGATCAAGTTAATGACTATACATGTGAATGTCAACAAGGCTACACTGGAAAAAGCTGTGAAATAAATATCAACGAATGCATTGAAGCACCATGCCAGAATGGAGCCACTTGCAAAGATCTCATCAACTCCTTCCAATGTATCTGCACACCTGGATGGACTGGACCTTTATGTTCGATAGATATTGACGACTGCCAGTCAAGCCCTTGCTTGAACGGTGGAACGTGTACTGACCGTATCAATGATTTTGAATGCACCTGCTTACCTGGATGGACCGGAAAGGACTGTTGCATTGACATTGATGAATGTCAGGCAAATCCTTGCAAAAATGGAGGCGTGTGCTATGATTTACCAAATAGCTACGCTTGCGATTGCCCCATGGGATATACAGGAACAAACTGTGAAATAAACATAAACGACTGTTCTCCTAACCCTTGTCGACACGCTGGCACCTGTTCCGATAAAATAGCTGATTATGATTGTAACTGCGCCCCTGGCTACACCGGTAAAATGTGTGAAATCAATATTGATGAATGTGCTGAAAACCCTTGTAAAAATGGAGCTACTTGCAAAGATTTGGTAAACGATTATCAATGTATTTGCGATTACGGCTACACCGGTCGCAATTGTGAAATCGATATCGATGACTGCAAACCCAACCCATGTTTGAATGGCGGAACTTGTACAGATCTCGTTGATGACTTCAGTTGTCAATGTTTGCCTGGTTGGACTGGAAAAGATTGTTGTGATAACATCGATGACTGTGCTGAAAATCCATGTAAGAATCAAGGCAAATGTTTAGACTTGGTTAACGATTACGAATGCGTCTGCAAACCAGGATGGACTGGAAAGAACTGTGATATCAATGTTGATGAATGTGCGTCAAATCCTTGTAAACACGGTGGAACTTGTCTTGATAAGGTCAATGGCTATGAGTGTACCTGTGTACATGGCTGGGCTGGTAGAATTTGTGAAGATAATGTTAACGAATGCGCAGAAAACCCATGTAAGAACGGAGCTACATGCAAAGACCTTATAAACGACTACCAATGTATTTGTGCTGCCGGTTGGACTGGTGAAGATTGCGGTGAAAACATTGACGACTGCTTCTCTCAACCTTGCCTTAATGGTGGTACTTGCAAAGACCTTGTCGATGACTTTGAGTGTGCCTGTACAGCTGGATGGACTGGCAAAGACTGTTGTGACGATATCAACGAATGTCTAGAAAACCCATGTAAAAACGGTGGTACTTGCTACGATCTTCCAAACGGTTATGATTGCGGTTGTCCACCTGGCTGGACTGGAAAAAACTGTGGTCAAGAAATCAACGAATGTTCTTCGAATCCGTGCAGACATGGTGGTACTTGCCAAGATCTCATTAATGCTTACAAATGTACTTGTAATCCTGGATATACTGGTGAGAATTGTGAAATCAATATTGACGAATGTGCTGAAAATCCATGCAACAATGGAGGAACATGTAAAGACTTGGTGAATGATTATCAATGTATCTGTTCCTCTGGATACACTGGTCGTCATTGCGATGAAAATATTGATGATTGTAAACCAAACCCATGTTTGAATGGTGGAACTTGTCAAGATCTTATTGATGACTTTAGATGTATTTGTCGACCTGGCTGGACTGGCAAAGATTGTTGTGATAATGTTGACGATTGTGTTGAAAATCCATGTAAAAATGGTGGTACATGCTTCGATTTGGTTAATGATTATACTTGTAAATGTCTTCCCGGATGGACTGGAAAAGACTGTGAAACAAACATTAATGAATGTTCATCTCAACCATGCCGTCATAGCGGTATCTGCATAGATGGCGTAAACGATTACTCGTGCAATTGCGCTCCAGGTTATACAGGCAAGAGTTGCGAAATCAATATTGATGAGTGCGCTGAAAACCCTTGTAAAAATGGAGGAACTTGCAAAGATTTGGTAAATGATTATCAATGTATTTGCGATTACGGCTACACCGGTCGCAATTGTGAAATCGATATCGATGACTGCAAACCCAACCCATGTTTGAATGGCGGAACATGTACAGATCTCGTTGATGACTTCAGTTGTCAATGTTTGCCTGGTTGGACTGGAAAAGATTGTTGTGATAACATCGATGACTGTGCTGAAAATCCATGTAAGAATCAAGGCAAATGTTTAGACTTGGTTAACGATTACGAATGCGTCTGCAAACCAGGATGGACTGGAAAGAACTGTGATATCAATGTTGATGAATGTGCGTCAAATCCTTGTAAACACGGTGGAACTTGTCTTGATAAGGTCAATGGCTATGAGTGTACCTGTGTACATGGCTGGGCTGGTAGAATTTGTGAAGATAATGTTAACGAATGCGCAGAAAACCCATGTAAGAACGGAGCTACATGCAAAGACCTTATAAACGACTACCAATGTATTTGTGCTGCCGGTTGGACTGGTGAAGATTGTGGTGAAAACATTGACGACTGCTTCTCTCAACCTTGCCTTAATGGTGGTACTTGCAAAGACCTTGTCGATGACTTTGAGTGTGCCTGTACAGCTGGATGGACTGGCAAAGACTGTTGTGACGATATCAACGAATGTCTAGAAAACCCATGTAAAAACGGTGGTACTTGCTACGATCAAGAGAATGGATACTATTGTGGTTGTATGCCTGGTTGGACTGGAAAGAACTGCGGTCAAGAAATCAACGAATGTTCCTCGAATCCGTGCAGACATGGTGGTACTTGCCAAGATCTCATAAACGATTACAAATGTACTTGTAATCCTGGATATACTGGAAAGAATTGTGAAATCAATATTGATGAATGTGCTGAAAATCCATGCAACAATGGAGGAACATGCAAAGACTTGGTGAATGATTATCAATGTATCTGTTTGTCTGGATACACTGGTCGTCATTGCGACGAAAATATTGATGATTGTAAACCAAACCCGTGTTTGAATGGTGGAACTTGTCAAGATCTTATTGATGACTTTAGATGTATTTGTCGACCTGGCTGGACTGGCAAAGATTGTTGTGATAATGTTAACGATTGTGTTGAAAATCCATGTAAAAATGGTGGTACATGCTTCGATTTGGTTAATGACTATACTTGTAAATGTCTTCCCGGATGGACTGGAAAAGACTGTGAAACAAACATTAATGAATGTTCATCTCAACCATGCCGTCATAGCGGTACCTGCACAGATGGCGTAAACGATTACTCGTGCATTTGCGCTCCTGGTTATACAGGCAAGAGTTGCGAAATCAATATTGATGAGTGCGCTGAAAACCCTTGTAAAAATGGAGGAACTTGCAAAGATTTGGTAAATGATTATCAATGTATTTGCGATTACGGCTACACAGGTCGAAATTGTGAAATCGATATCGATGACTGCAAACCCAACCCATGTTTGAATGGCGGAACTTGTACAGATCTCGTTGATGACTTCAGTTGTCAATGTTTGCCTGGTTGGACTGGAAAAGATTGTTGTGATAACATCGATGACTGTGCTGAAAATCCATGCAGAAATCAAGGTGAATGTCTTGATAAGGTAAACGATTACCAATGCATCTGCAAACCAGGATGGACTGGAAAGAACTGTGATATCAATATTGATGAATGTGCTTCCAACCCATGCAAACACGGCGGAACCTGTATTGATAGAGTAAACGGTTACGATTGTACGTGTCCCAAAGGTTGGGCTGGTAGAATCTGTGAAGATAATGTTAACGAATGCGCAGAAAACCCTTGTAAAAACGGAGCTACTTGCAAAGATCTTGTAAACGACTACCAATGTATTTGTGCTGCCGGTTGGACTGGTGAAGATTGCGGTGAAAACATTGACGATTGCTTCTCTCAACCTTGCCTTAATGGTGGTACTTGCAAAGACCTTGTCGATGACTTTGAGTGTGCTTGTACAGCTGGATGGACTGGCAAAGACTGTTGTGACGATATCAACGAATGTCTAGAAAACCCATGTAAAAACGGTGGTACTTGCTACGATCAAGAGAATGGATACTATTGTGGTTGTATGCCTGGTTGGACTGGAAAGAACTGCGGTCAAGAAATCAACGAATGTTCCTCGAATCCGTGCAGACATGGTGGTACTTGCCAAGATCTCATAAACGATTACAAATGTACTTGTAATCCTGGATATACTGGAAAGAATTGTGAATTTAATATTGACGACTGTGCTGAAAATCCTTGTAAGAACGGAGGAACCTGTAAAGACTTGGTTAATGATTATCAATGTATTTGTCCATCCGGGTATACTGGTCGAAATTGTCAAACTGACATAGATGACTGCAAGCCAAACCCATGTTTGAATGGTGGAACTTGTCAAGATCTTATTGATGACTTTAGATGTATTTGTCGACCTGGCTGGACTGGCAAAGATTGTTGTGATAATGTTGACGATTGTGTTGAAAATCCATGTAAAAATGGTGGTACATGTTTCGATTTGGTTAATGACTATACTTGTAAATGTCTTCCCGGATGGACTGGAAAAGACTGTGAAACAAACATTAATGAATGTTCATCTCAACCATGCCGTCATAGCGGTACCTGCACAGATGGCGAAAACGATTACTCGTGCAATTGCGCTCCAGGTTATACAGGCAAGAGTTGCGAAATCAATATTGATGAATGTGCTGAAAACCCTTGTAAAAATGGAGGAACTTGCAAAGATTTGGTAAATGATTATCAATGTATTTGCGATTACGGCTACACCGGTCGCAATTGTGAAATCGATATCGATGACTGCAAACCCAACCCATGTTTGAATGGCGGAACATGTACAGATCTCGTTGATGACTTCAGTTGTCAATGTTTGCCTGGTTGGACTGGAAAAGATTGTTGTGATAACATCGATGACTGTGCTGAAAATCCATGTAAGAATCAAGGCAAATGTTTAGACTTGGTTAACGATTACGAATGCGTCTGCAAACCAGGATGGACTGGAAAGAATTGTGATATCAATATTGACGAATGTGCTTCCAACCCATGCAAACACGGCGGAACTTGTATTGACAGAGTAAATGGTTACGATTGTACATGTCATAAAGGCTGGGCTGGTAGAATCTGTGAAGATAATGTTAACGAATGCGCAGAAAACCCATGTAAGAACGGAGCTACATGCAAAGACCTTATAAACGACTACCAATGTATTTGTGCTGCTGGTTGGACTGGTGAAGATTGCGGTGAAAACATTGACGATTGCTTCTCTCAACCTTGCCTTAATGGTGGTACTTGCAAAGACCTTGTCGATGACTTTGAGTGTGCCTGTACAGCTGGATGGACTGGCAAAGACTGTTGTGACGATATCAACGAATGTCTAGAAAACCCATGTAAAAACGGTGGTACTTGCTACGATCAAGAGAATGGATACTATTGTGGTTGTATGCCTGGTTGGACTGGAAAGAACTGCGGTCAAGAAATCAACGAATGTTCCTCGAATCCGTGCAGACATGGTGGTACTTGCCAAGATCTTATAAACGATTACAAATGTACTTGTAATCCTGGATATACTGGAAAGAATTGTGAAATCAATATTGACGAATGTGCTGAAAATCCTTGTAACAACGGAGGAACATGTAAAGACTTGGTTAATGATTATCAATGTATCTGTTCCTCTGGATACACTGGTCGTCATTGCGACGAAAATATTGATGATTGTAAACCAAACCCATGTTTGAATGGTGGAACTTGTCAAGATCTTATTGATGACTTTAGATGTATTTGTCGACCTGGCTGGACTGGCAAAGATTGTTGTGACAATGTTGACGATTGTGTTGAAAATCCATGTAAAAATGGTGGTACATGCTTCGATTTGGTTAATGATTATACTTGTAAATGTCTTCCCGGATGGACTGGAAAAGACTGTGAAACAAACATTAATGAATGTTCATCTCAACCATGCCGTCATAGCGGTACTTGCACAGATGGCGAAAACGATTACTCGTGCAATTGCGCTCCAGGTTATACAGGCAAGAGTTGCGAAATCAATATTGATGAGTGCGCTGAAAACCCTTGTAAAAATGGAGGAACTTGCAAAGATTTGGTAAACGATTATCAATGTATTTGCGATTCTGGTTACACAGGTCGAAATTGTGAAATCGATATCGATGACTGCAAACCCAACCCATGTTTGAATGGCGGAACATGTACAGATCTCGTTGATGACTTCAGTTGTCAATGTTTGCCTGGTTGGACTGGAAAAGATTGTTGTGATAACATCGATGACTGTGCTGAAAATCCATGCAGAAATCAAGGTGAATGTCTTGATAAGGTAAACGATTACCAATGTGTCTGCGAAGCAGGATGGACTGGAAAGAACTGTGATATCAATATTGATGAATGTGCTTCCAACCCATGCAAACACGGCGGAACCTGTATCGACAGAGTAAACGGTTACGATTGTACTTGTCCCAAAGGCTGGGCTGGTAGAATTTGCGAAGATAATGTTAACGAATGCGCAGGAAACCCATGTAAGAATGGGGCTACATGCAGAGATCTTGTAAACGATTATCAATGTATTTGTGCTGCTGGTTGGACTGGCCAAGATTGCGGTGAAAACATTGACGATTGCGCATCCAATCCCTGCTTAAACGGTGGTACTTGCCAAGATAAGGTTAATGACTTTAGATGTATATGTAATCCTGGATGGACTGGCAAAGATTGTTGTGAAGATGTCAACGAATGTCTAGAAAACCCATGTAAAAACGGTGGTACTTGCTACGATCTTCTAAATGGTTATGAATGCGGTTGTCCACCGGGTTGGACCGGAAAGAACTGTGGTGTAAACATCATTGAATGTTCTTCGAATCCGTGCAGACATGGTGGTACTTGCCAAGATCTCATTAACGATTACAAATGTACTTGCAATCCTGGATATACTGGAAAGAATTGTGAAATCAATATTGACGATTGCGTTGAGTCTCCTTGCAAGAACGGAGCTACATGTAAAGACTTGGTGAATGATTATCAATGTATCTGTTCGTCTGGATACACTGGTCGTCATTGCGACGAAAATATTGATGACTGTAAACCAAACCCATGTTTGAATGGTGGAACCTGTACTGATCTTGTTGATGACTTCCAGTGTGCATGTACCCCTGGTTGGACCGGTAAAGATTGCTGTGATAACATCGATGACTGCGCTAATGGTCCATGTAAAAACGGTGCAACTTGTTACGATTTGATCAACAACTATGCTTGCACCTGTGTTCCAGGATGGACTGGAAAGGATTGTGAAACCAACATTAACGAATGTGCCTCTTCCCCTTGTCGAAATGGCGGTACTTGCAGAGACAGAGTAAATGACTATTTATGCGACTGTCGTGAAGGGTTCACTGGAAAGAGCTGTGAAATTGATATTGACGATTGCATTGAAAATCCTTGCAAGAATGGCGCAACATGTAAAGATCTTGTAAATGATTTCCAGTGTATTTGTGCAGCTGGATATGTGGGAAGAATTTGTGACATTGATGTTGATGATTGTTCACCTAATCCCTGTGATAATGGTGGAACTTGTCAAGATTTAGTTGATGATTTCAGATGTATTTGTCGACCTGGCTGGACTGGAAAAGATTGCTGCGACAACATTGATGACTGTGCTGAAAACCCATGCAAGAACGGTGCTGTATGCCTCGACAAAATTAATGATTACCAATGCGTTTGTAAAGCTGGTTGGACTGGAAAGAATTGCGATATCGATATCGATGAATGTGCGTCTAATCCTTGTAAACATGGTGGAACTTGTCTTGATAAGGTCAATGGTTATGAGTGTACCTGTGTACATGGCTGGGCTGGTAGAATCTGTGAAGATAATGTTAACGAATGCGCAGAAAACCCGTGTAAGAATGGAGCTACGTGTAAAGATCTTGTAAACGACTACCAATGTATTTGTGCTGCCGGTTGGACTGGTGAAGATTGTGGTGAAAACATTGATGATTGTGCACCGAATCCATGCTTAAATGGTGGTACATGCAAAGACCTTGTAAACGACTTCCTATGTAATTGTCCACCAGGATGGACTGGTAAGGACTGTTGTGACGACATCGATGAATGTATTGAAAATCCTTGCAAGAATGGAGGAACATGTTATGATAAGGTCAATGGATATTATTGTGATTGTGCTCCTGGTTGGATGGGAGAAAATTGTGATGTTCCAATTGATGAATGTGTTTCAGATCCGTGCAGAAATGGCGGAACTTGTCGGGATCAAATAAATGGCTTTGTCTGTACATGTCAACCTGGCTATACTGGACCACTTTGCGAAAAAAATATAGACGACTGCGCCGAAAATCCATGCAAAAATGGTGCTACTTGCAAAGATTTAGTAAATGGTTACCAATGCATTTGTGCTCCTGGTTATACTGGAACAAATTGCCAAACTGACATCAATGAATGTGAATCCAGTCCTTGTTTGAATGGTGGAACCTGTACCGATCTGGTTAATGATTTCCAATGTTCTTGTGTAGCTGGATGGACAGGAAAAGATTGTTGTGATAACATAAACGATTGCGCTGAAAACCCGTGCATAAATGGCGCCACCTGCTACGATTTGATAAATGACTACGTCTGCACATGTATACCTGGTTATACAGGCCGAAACTGCGAAATTGATATTGATGAATGTGCATCGAAGCCATGCCTTAATGGCGGTAGTTGTACCGACAAACTAAATGATTATTCTTGCACATGCCCACCAGGATTTTCAGGAAAAAGATGTGGCTGGAATATCAATGATTGCAAAGAAAACCCTTGTAAGAATGGAGCTACTTGCAAAGATTTGGTAAATGATTATCAATGTATTTGCGATTCTGGTTACACTGGCCGAAATTGTGAAATCGATATCGATGACTGCAAACCCAACCCATGTTTGAATGGCGGAACATGTACAGATCTCGTTGATGACTTCAGTTGTCAATGTTTGCCTGGTTGGACTGGAAAAGATTGTTGTGATAACATCGATGACTGTGCTGAAAATCCATGCAGAAATCAAGGTGAATGTCTTGATAAGGTAAACGATTACCAATGCATCTGCAAACCAGGATGGACTGGAAAGAATTGTGATATCAATATTGACGAATGTGCTTCCATCCCATGTAAACACGGCGGAACCTGTATCGACAGAGTAAACGGTTACGATTGTACGTGTCCCAAAGGCTGGGCTGGTAGAATCTGTGAAGAAAATGTTAACGAATGCGCAGAAAACCCATGTAAAAACGGAGCTACATGCAGAGATCTTGTAAACGACTACCAATGTATTTGTGCCGCTGGTTGGACTGGACAAGATTGCGGTGAAAACATTGACGATTGCTTCCCTCAACCTTGCCTTAATGGTGGTACTTGCAAAGACCTTGTCAATGACTTTGAATGTGCTTGTACAGCTGGATGGACTGGCAAAGACTGTTGTGAAGATATCAACGAATGTCTAGAAAACCCATGTAAAAACGGTGGTACTTGCTACGATCAAGAGAATGGATACTATTGTGGTTGTATGCCTGGTTGGACTGGAAAGAACTGCGGCCAAGAAATCAACGAATGTTCTTCGAATCCGTGCAGACATGGTGGTACTTGCCAAGATCTCATTAACGATTACAAATGTACTTGTAATCCTGGATATACTGGAAAGAATTGTGAAATCAATATTGACGATTGTGCAGAAAATCCTTGCAAGAACGGAGCTACATGCAAAGATCTTGTGAATGGATATAAATGTATTTGCGCATCCGGATACACTGGTGAAATATGTGACATTGATATAAATGATTGTAAACCAAACCCATGTTTGAATGGCGGTACTTGTCAAGATCTTATTGATGACTTTAGATGTATTTGTCGACCTGGCTGGACTGGCAAAGATTGTTGTGAAAATGTTGACGATTGTGTTGAAAATCCATGTAAAAATGGTGGTACATGCTTCGATTTGGTTAATGATTATAGTTGTACTTGCGTTCCTGGATGGACTGGAAAAGACTGTGAAACAAATATTAACGAATGTGCATCTCAACCATGTCGTCATAGCGGTACCTGCGTCGATGGAAGTAACGATTACTCGTGCAATTGCGCTCCAGGTTATACAGGCAAGAGTTGCGAAATCAATATTGATGAATGTGCTGAAAACCCTTGTAAAAATGGGGCTACTTGTAAAGATCTTATTGACGATTATAAATGTATCTGTGCATCGGGATACACAGGTACAAAATGCGAAATCGATATCGATGACTGCAAACCCAACCCATGTCAAAACGGTGGAACTTGCCAAGACTTGGTTGATGACTTCAGTTGTACCTGCACAGCTGGTTGGACTGGAAAAGATTGTTGTGAAAATATCGACGATTGTGCTGAAAATCCATGCAAGAATGAAGCAGAATGTCTAGATAAAGTAAATGATTATAAATGCGTTTGTAAAGCTGGTTGGATAGGAAAGAATTGTGATATCAATATTGACGAATGCGCATCTAATCCTTGCAAACACGGTGGAACTTGTTTTGATAAAGTGAATGGTTTTGAATGTACTTGTCCACATGGCTGGGCTGGCAGAATCTGTGAAGATAATGTTAACGAATGCGCAGAAAACCCATGTAAGAACGGAGCTACATGTAAAGATCTTGTAAACGACTACCAGTGTATTTGTGCTGCTGGTTGGACTGGCCAAGATTGCGGTGAAAACATTGACGATTGCGCATCCAATCCCTGCTTAAACGGTGGTACTTGCCAAGATAAGGTTAATGACTTTAGATGTATTTGTAATCCTGGATGGACTGGAAAAGACTGCTGTGAAGATGTCAACGAATGTCTAGAAAACCCATGTAAAAACGGTGGTACTTGCTACGATCTTCCAAATGGTTATGAATGCGGTTGTCCACCGGGTTGGACCGGAAAGAACTGTGGTGTAAACATCATTGAATGTTCTTCGAATCCGTGCAGACATGGTGGTACTTGCCAAGATCTCATTAACGATTACAAATGTACTTGCAATCCTGGATATACTGGAAAGAATTGTGAAATCAATATTGACGATTGCGTTGAGTCTCCTTGCAAGAACGGAGCTACATGTAAAGACTTGGTGAATGATTATCAATGTATCTGTTCGTCTGGATACACTGGTCGTCATTGCGACGAAAATATTGATGACTGTATACCAAAACCATGTTTGAACGGTGGAACCTGTACTGATCTTGTTGATGACTTCCAGTGTGCTTGTACACCTGGTTGGACTGGAAAAGATTGTTGTGATAACATCGATGATTGTGCTGAAAATCCGTGTCATAACGCTGCACTTTGTCTTGACAAAGTAAATGATTATCAATGTGTATGTAAACCAGGATGGACTGGAAAGAATTGCGAAATCAACATTAACGAATGTTTGTCCACGCCTTGCAGACATGGCGGAACTTGCTTTGATGAGATCAATGGTTATAGTTGTTTGTGTCCCCCTGGATACACTGGAAAAATGTGTGAAATAAATATAGATGATTGCATAGAAAACCCGTGTAAAAATGGAGCTACCTGCAAAGATTTGGTGAACAACTATCAATGTATTTGCGTACCAGGTTATACTGGAACAATATGTGATATAAATATCGATGACTGTAAACCAAACCCATGTTTGAATGGTGGTAGTTGTACTGATCTTGTGAACGATTTCAAGTGTGTCTGTACGTCGGGATGGACTGGAAAAGACTGTTGCGATAATGTCGATGATTGTATGGAAAACCCTTGTCAAAATGGTGGTAGTTGCTATGACTTAGTCAATGATTTCGATTGTAATTGCGCTCCTGGATGGACTGGAAAGACATGCGGAAATAATATCAATGAGTGCGATTCATCCCCGTGTAAGAATGGTGGAACCTGTGTAGACAAGGTCAACAGATTTGAATGTGTTTGTCAACATGGTTGGATGGGCAGAATTTGTGAAGAGAATGTAAACGAGTGTAAACCAAATCCGTGCAAGAATGGAGCTACATGTAGAGATCTTGTGAATGATTACCAATGTATTTGTGCCGCTGGCTGGACTGGTGAACATTGCGATGAAAACATTGATGATTGCAAACCAAACCCATGTCAACACAATGGAATTTGCCATGATCTAGTTAATGATTTCAGATGCACATGTGCTCCTGGCTGGACTGGAAAGGATTGCTGTGACGATATCGACGAATGTGCGTCTAAGCCTTGCATTAATGCTGCTGCTTGTGTCGACCATATAAACAACTATGAATGTGTTTGTGAACATGGTTGGACAGGTCGCTTGTGTAATGAAAACATCAACGAATGCATCTCAAATCCTTGTAAGCACGGTGGTACTTGTACTGATAAAATCAATGATTATGATTGTAACTGCAAAGTTGGATACACTGGAAAGAACTGTGAGGAGAACATCAATGATTGTAAAGGTTTACCATGTATTAATGGTGGAACATGCAAAGATCTTGTCAACGGTTATCAGTGCTTCTGTAAACCTGGATTCACTGGCACTAACTGTGAAACAAATATAAACGAATGCCAACCCAACCCCTGTTTGAATGGAGGCAGTTGTACTGATTTAATCGATGACTTCAGATGTGTTTGCACTCCTGGATGGACTGGCAAGGACTGTTGTGACAACGTTGATGATTGTGTTGAAAATCCGTGCCGAAATGGTGGTACTTGCCTCGACAAAGTGAATGACTATCAGTGTGTTTGTAGACCAGGATGGACTGGAGAAAATTGCGAAGAAAATATCGATGACTGTGCATCTTTGCCTTGTTTGAATGGAGGCATATGCGAAGATCTCCATCGCGACTTTAAGTGTACTTGTCCCCAGGGATGGACTGGTAAGGACTGCGGAGATAATATTGATGATTGTGCATCTGGCCCCTGCAAAAATGGAGGTACCTGCAAAGATCTTCACATGGGATACGAGTGCTGTTGTCAATCAGGATATACTGGCAAGAACTGTGAGACTAACATCAATGAATGTGCTTCTAATCCATGTAAGAACGGCGGAGCTTGCACTGATCTTATTGATGACTACAACTGCAACTGCAAACCTGGATGGACGGATAAAGATTGTGGAGAAAACATTGATGATTGTAAATCCAATCCTTGTCAACACAGTGGTATTTGTATGGATCTTGTTAACAATTACAGATGTTTCTGCGTTGTTGAACCTGGATGGACTGGTAAAAATTGCGAAAATAACATCGACGATTGCGCATCCGGACCATGTGAAAATGGAGGAACCTGCAGAGATCTTGTTAACGGTTACAGATGCACATGCCCCTCCGGATGGACTGGAAAGAATTGCAAAGAAAATATCGATGATTGTGCATCAAATCCATGTCATAATGGAGGCACTTGCAAAGATCTTCTCAACGGCTATGAATGTTGCTGTGAGCCAGGTTATACTGGACCTAACTGTCAAATTAATATCAATGAATGTGCTTCAAATCCCTGTGAGAATGGCGGTACTTGCACAGACCTTCTTGACGACTACAAATGCGACTGTAAACCAGGATGGACTGGAAAGAACTGTCATACTAATATTGACAACTGTTTAGAAAATCCATGCAAGAATGGAGCAACATGCAAAGATCTTGTAAATGACTATCAATGTATCTGTGTACCTGGCTATACCGGTCGCAACTGCGAAACAAACATTGACGATTGTGAATCTAAGCCATGTTTGAATGGTGGAACTTGCACTGATCTTGTTCACGACTTCAAATGTACCTGCTTACCTGGATGGACTGGTAAAGATTGCTGCGAAAATATCAATAACTGCAAGGGCAAACCGTGTGTAAACGGAGGCACTTGTAAGGATCTTGTTGATGATTACCAATGTTTCTGCAAACCTGGATATACTGGAAGAAATTGCGAAACTAACATAAACGAATGCGCATCAAACCCATGCTTAAACGGTGGTAGTTGTACAGACCTAATTGACGACTTCAAATGCGACTGTACACCTGGATGGAACGGAAAAGATTGCGGCGATAATATTAATGACTGTAAAGCGAAACCCTGTAAGAATGGAGCAACTTGTAAAGACTTAGTAGACGACTACCAGTGCATATGCGCACCAGGGTGGACGAACAAAAACTGCGATGAAAATATTGACGATTGTCTATCAAAACCATGTTTGAATGGAGGAACTTGTACTGATCTTGTTCATGACTTCAAATGTACCTGTGTTGCTGGATGGACTGGAAAGGATTGCGGCGATAACATTGACGATTGTGCAGAGAACCCATGCAGAAACGGAGCAACATGCAAAGATCTACTTAATGATTATGAATGCTGTTGTAACTCTGGATGGACTGGAAAGAATTGTGACCAGGAAATTGACGAATGCGCTTCTAACCCGTGTAAGAACGGCGGTACCTGTGAAGACAGAGTAGATGGTTACATCTGTAGATGTAAACCAGGATGGACAGGAACAAACTGCGGTGAAGGTAAGCAAGATAATTGTATATATAATTATTTGTATTAATGTTTATACTTTACTAGACATTGACGAATGCGCTTCGAATCCCTGCATAAACGGAGGAACTTGTTATGACCTCGAAAATGCTTACGAATGCAATTGTCCAGCCGGCTACGAAGGTAAAAATTGCGAAGAAATGACTGACAATTGTCAACCTAATCCATGCAAACATGGAGGAACTTGTAGTAACAAATTAAACGACTTTACATGCACATGCCTACCTGGATACACCGGAAAAGATTGTTGTGATATTATTGATAACTGTGATGTTGCTCCCTGCCTAAATGATGGAACCTGTATGAACTTGGTTAACGACTATCATTGTATTTGCAAAGCTGGATATACAGGAAAGGATTGTTCTCAAATTATTGACAACTGCGAATCACAACCTTGTTTACATGGCGGTACTTGTGAAAATTTGATTGATGATTTCGCATGTCAATGCAAACCTGGATATACTGGTAAAGATTGCTGCATCATTATTAACAACTGTAAATCGGATCCGTGCATGAACGGTGCAACATGTATAAATGAAGTTAACAACTACCAATGTATTTGTGACGACGGCTATACTGGCAAGAACTGTGATGAAATCATCGATTACTGTGAATCGTGTCCTTGTTTGAATGGAGCAACTTGCATTAACAAGCCAACTGGATACGAATGTACCTGCGAGGCAGGTTTCACCGGAAAAGACTGTGAAACTGAAGTAAAGAGCTGTATTCCTAATCCCTGTCTGAATAATGGAGTTTGTACTCAACTTAAAGACGGATACCTCTGTACTTGCGATGCTGGATTTACAGGCAAAAACTGCCATATACTGATCAGCGATTGCGAGGATGATAAAGTTAATGTTTAAAAGGTGACGGTTCATCAAATACGAAATTTTTTTTTTGTGGAACTTTCCATTCATCGAATTTGCAATATGTTATTCTGCAAATGTGTTAGGAATTGTTAACAAATTTAGAATATTGGTAATTAACAGGTGAATTGGTCATATAAATACATATATATATATATTTCAAATTATAAATCAAGTGTTTTCAATTGATCGGAACTAAGATTTTTGCGAAAAGGATGACACGGATTAACAGTCTTATCGTTTACTCTTTCAAAGCCCTTCATCCATTGACGATTATTTCATTTCGACTTCATAAGCAATTTCTCCCTCGACTCCATAGCTTTGATGTACTTTTCTAAAAGCAACGAAATAAAAGCACCTGATAGACCAATTGCCAACATAATGTACACTCCAATGACATCCGATAAAAGTATACTTTTGACAACTGCGTGAAAGTTTGATTTGTCACTTGAAAGTTGTCTTTTTTGAGTTTCAAACCATTTATTTTCCCATTTCTTTATAATACCAAATTCGACAGTTCTTGATATTCTATAATTAAACCAGAAATTCATAAGGTGAACAAACAATTCTGTTCAATAAATAGAGAAAAACTAACGATTGCGAAAGAGACGAAGTATAGGAACTTTCTTTTCCAGCTGCGCATGCGTAGAAATTTAATTCTAAATTAGACGATGTTCGACTTAGGTGAGGATACTTTTCTTCCAAACTGTACAATCTTGTTGTAATTAAAGCGTAACCTCCTTGTAAAACTTTGTTAAAGATATAGTTAAAGTCCGTTGTTAATAGATCAGGCTCTTTAGAAATAAGATTCTGAAATTTTGTCCAGAGTGGTTTATAGGGCCTCTTTGTGCTGTTCTAATAGCGTTTGAATATGTAAATACTATATATACAGATATAGAAAAGTTAAAAGAAATGAAAAAGATACTCGAAATAAATCGTAGTCGGATGAACCAGGCAAAAGAAGGAATTTATAATCATTATTATCAATGAGATCTTCAGCAGAATTAAATGGTAATTTCACTGAGTTTATCGCCAAATAAGCGATTATGTTACCGCAATACGTAGCAACTAGAGTTATAGCAAATAGCCACCAAATAGATATAACGATCCTTTTTGATATTCTATGATCTGATGTTAGACAACCACCTTGATTGAAGACAGATCCGAAAACAAATAAGATATTTTTGGATGGACTAAAACGTTTCTTATCCATAACATCAATTATACTAATGATGAAACTAACCAACGCGGTAGTTAATCCTATTTTTTAGGATAGTTGATCAATGTAATATCATTTTTATTACAGTGATTATTGATATAAACGTTAAACTTGCCTAAATACAACCAAACAGTTGAGCTTAATGGTTTAATGAATAATGATTTTCTAGAAGAGTTTTGATGTCGTAAATGATTTACAAAGTAAAGAACTCTTCTTTCGTATTTGAAATTTATTGTAAAGTCAATAACGGTTGATCTACTCCGAGAATTCACTAAAGGTGCAATAATAAAATCAATATCCTGAAGATATTCGAGCGTTTTTGATTTGGAATGCGAGAGATGTAAAAAATGAACCTTATCTAATATCTGTTTTACAAGACCATTCCAAGTTCCATTCTTTAGCGTACCCCACGACATGTCTTTTGGAAGAACAATTTCATACCTAAACAGTTAGGTAACAAGAAAGATGTATTAAAAAAATAGAATGACTATTTCGCCGATAAACAAATAGAAAACAAATTTTCAAACGTGAAATTAAGATCTCCAGCTATGTAATTAGTTAAATCAATTATTAATCCAGAGTATTTTCCGTTCGATGGATTAAGGTCTAAATAGGATGTCCACTAAAAGAGAGAATATGTTTTTTGTATATTAACATATCTGCTTATAGTATAAGTTCTTACGTAATTTGATCCAACTCTCATTTTTTTCCCATTAAAACCATACTTTGAAAACGGAAATAGGTGATGCTTTGTCAGGAAATGATCTTTAGTAACGCCTATCTTTTGCCAATGTCTTTTATATGGTCCATTGTGAAAACAATGAGTATATCCAGAATATTCCGTCTGTTGATAACATAGATATTACCATAAATATCTATAAATTTCATATAAATTACCGTATTGATAAGGGCTATATTAATTATTTGTTGAAAAGCCTTTATATTTTGAATATAGTCTAAGTGTAGATTAGTAAAAATAATCCAATGAAAATTGATATTAATATAACTTTCATGAATCTTATCCGCAATCTAGTTTAACCCAATTAGATATTTAAATTTTTAATTAAAGTGGAAACTAACAAAGAGAAACCAATTTGTTACTTTTACCTGAGAAAATAGTAGTTCCAACGTATTTTTACTATAATAAATGGCAATACAATCTAATTGGCGTTTGCGATTGAACATCTCTGATAAGAATTCTTTATCAGAGGTAACTATACGCTCAATATGATTATTGTTATTAATGCTACTATTGTAAAGAGAATCTGGAAATACTGAACAAAAGCAACTGGATAAGCATTTAATTAGACTATTGTAAAATATAACCTACCTTCGTCTTCGGTGTAGTATAAAACAGATTGAAATGAATTCCAAATTATAGAATAATTCAATAATTTCATAATCGCTTGAACGGTCGTAGAATAGGATATTAATATAAAAACAATATTTCCTTTATTCAATATCTTCATTTTTAAACGAGGTCATACAGAGAATCATCTAATTACAGGAGACTTTAAACTTAAATCCCCATTTAACACTGAAGTGAAGCATAAGCGTCTGATTCTGTTAGACATTAGCAAACTATATAATGCCTAAATAAATAAAAAAGGTATATTTATGCATTTTTAATAATGCAAACTTTTCATCACAAAAATAGTGTTACTACATAATTTATGACAATGTAGGCTTAGTAAATGGATATAGTAATTAGCTTATCAAAATCAATTAGGAATTAGAACAGTTCAACGAAGAAGATTAACACTTTAATTCAGCTTTTATTTATAAATGAAACAGCATATACTGTCAACTAGAAAAGATTACCTGCGACCAATGAAGAAAGGATATTTCTTTCTTAAGTAATAGAAACTTAGTTCAACAGTTAAAAGGACAATAGATACAAAAATACCACCAAATAATACATAGAATACATCGGCTATATCTCTTAATTCAATCATTCTAACGTTACGATTAAGTTTCGTTGACGTTGTCAAATTGGACGTGCCGAGTTTTAACCATTTCTTTCTCCATTTATCAATTAAACCACTTTCGAATGCTTTAAGAATTCTATAGACAAAAGATAAATATCAAATAATTGGATTAGATTAGGTTACCATTGAAAAAAATAATATATTACGATGTAGAAATTACTTCTTTATAGTAAGATCCTTTCTGAACACCAACCGAATTTACCGAAACTTCAAAACCTACCTCGATCGTTGACAGATGCGGATATTTTACTTTAAGACTTTCGGCTCCTGTTGTTAGGTAGGCGTAACCTCCCTGTTTTTAGGTTTTCACTTTTATTATTCCAACTAGTTTATTTATTAATGTTAATTTACTTCCAAAACAAATTTTATAACCGAATTAACATCCGGTATTAGTATGTCAGGTTCATTTTTACTGGCTTCAATAACACTATCATACAGTTTCCTATAAACACTATTTTTACTATTCTACGAGAGAAAGGAACATTTTCTTAGATTGATGTTAGTAAAGATTATTAATGTAAAAATTAATATTAATTACTCTTAAGACTTGCTCATAAGCACCACCAGAAAGAATGATCAACTGATAATCTTTGCTCGAGTATAATTCTTCTAACGAATTGAATGGAATTTTTAATTTTTCCGTTGCTAAATCAGCTATAATGTTGCCGGAAAATATAGCGACAACTGTTATTGAAAAGAGCCACCAAGCGGATACTAAAAAGTAGTTTGAACTTTTCGAAAGTTTATAGCTGCCACCTTGATTTACAATAGATCCGAAAAAGAATAGATGTTCAGTAGTATATAGGAAATTTTCATTCGATTCCCTATTCAGATATAGCATAAAGCCCATACTGACAATGGTGATTGCTAAAGAGAAGAAGTTATAGTTAATTTTCTAATCTTTATTATTTTCTAACTTTAAACCTAAAATAATCCACACAGCAGATGAAAATGGTTTCAAAAATAAAAAGCTCTTTGGCTTCAATACGTCGTTTAGATGATTTTTAAATATTAAAGAAGGTCTGACGTAGTTAAATGGCGATGAGTAGTCAATGACCTCTTGTCTTTCAGCAGTATGAGAAAAAGCGCCAAAAATTGCATCACCTCTCTAATAAAGACAAACAATAAAAGGAAGTTAACACTACTAAGAAATAGACTTATTTAAATATTTCTTTTTATACATCCTCTATCAATTCTCTAACCATACCATCCCAACGGCCGTTTACAATTCCACCCCATTTCCCATCAGGTGGCAGGAACAGGTCAAATCTGTTTTTAAGAATAGAAATCATAAAGTTCCCACTTGTTCAAGTAAAAAAATCGCATTTTACGTGAAATTGAGATCAGAGGAAACGAAATGTAATAGATCCATAGCAATTCCTACATAATTTTTGTATTCATCCAGATGAGTAAAATATGGCCACTGTAGATTGAAATAATTTTTATTTATATCTCTTATTCATTCTAATAGAAATGGAGAATACTAAACAATATTTGTAAAGATTCTCAATTTCAAGCCATTAAATCCTTTTTTTGAATATGGAAAGAGTATAGTTTTATCAAAACCGTTAGACTTAATATTCCTTATTGGTATTGTATTATATTTTTGGAATAGATATGTTTGTATCTTGTAATACGATTCGTACTGAAAATAGAATGAGTATTACGTAAGCGTAATACTAATTGAAAAGAACCAAAAATTAATTTACCTGATAAATAATGACAATATTAATAATCTTATGGAAATATTTATGAAGATGATCCAAAGATGAATTATCGTTTACTATTATAATCCAATGAAATTTTAAAAGGATAAAGCTATAATGGGCAGAATTATATATCTGTTGGTATTATAGTATTTCACTATGGTACTCAATATGAATAAATAATGAACATTTTAGAATATTTACGATAGAAAACCATCTACTAATTTCCTTCGTATCTCCATCTAGAACAATACAATCTGTCTGTAGTTTATTATCTTCAATTACCCGTTCAATAGAGTTTTCTTCAACAGTCACAACATTATTAACATTATCGAGTTCAAATATTCTGTCAATTTTGCTATTATTGGAATCTAATAAAGTCATAACAACAAGTAAATTTAAACATTTTTGGTGTGTAGTTTTAGTCACAACATTCTAATTGATATATGTATATTAATCATCTTATTTCTCTATATATTAAGTATTCTGTTTTATGATCAACTGTATTTATAAAAAAAGACTTACTTAAAGCTCCTGCAGAAAACAGGAGAACTCGCTGAAAAGATTGCCAAGAAATTTGTTCCAAATGAAATTTTTCGAAATGTCCAACTGATCCAAAGTAGAGCAAACAAAATAAAATTTTGCGAATATTCATCTTTTCCTGCGCTAGGTCACGTGTTAGTAGCACAACTGGGAAGAAATTATCATTTCATGTATACAAATATGACAAATAGCTAATGCATGATAATACATTAGTAGTTTCATAACCTTAATAAGCTATATTTACATATAAATGTAAGAAGTATACTGTTTATTGATTAAAGGCCTAAATTGACTAAAGACTTTTAAATTATAGATAATTTGGAAAAATAATAAAGATAATATCTTCAATACCTATGTTAATTATATCAACTACAATTTTTCCTTTGTTCTTATTGTCTTTCTTTATTTTTTTCCTTTTATACGTTTTCCAATCTCATTATAAACTTCATTACTCGACTGATTTTCGGAAAGTAATGCTTGCATAAATCATCAGTTTATAATTATATATTTGGCTTATAAAAAAAATATAAATCAAAAGAAATTAAGAGAGTCATAGATAATTGGAGAGGAGAAAGAGAGAGAGAGAGAGTGAGGCAGATAGACCGAAATAGTAAATAAAGAAATAAAAAGCAGAAAAGCCCTGAAAATAGAATTACTTGGTCTAATTTTACACCAGTTGAATAAATCTTTCATAAACACAGTTTTTTCCAGCTGATGAACATAAATTTATCACTTAGAGACTGAAAAGCTAACTGAAAACATCATAATTTACACAGCTTGCAATATACTCAATTATAAATTCTTTATTCATATACAATCGTTTCATTCGTCAGAAGAAAAATTAATAGAATTGATAAACTCTAATCGAAAGAACTATTAATAGACTAATAGAATAGTATTACATAATTTTGTTCTTAATACTATATAAAAGGAAACATTCAATTGTTAGCATCTCTTGTTTATATATAATACTATATTATGTCTTATATTTTATTGTTAAGGCTAAATTTAACTTGTAAATATTTCTATGTATTGATTACTGTTTCGTATCTTCTATTGCTTTTATCATTGCTTTAACTCCGTTCCAATATTCTCGAAAGCTTGGTTCTATCGCATTAGAACCAGGATTAAATCCAGGTCCTCTTAATCCAGGTGTATAAACCCACTTTATACCTGCCTGTGCCCTTAAGTAGTCATTCTGAGTGCCAGATGTTGGATCTGTTGAAGTAAAAGAAAGAAATTTGTGAGAACTAGAGGATTATCTCTTAAAGTTTTTTCCTATCTAGAAACAGAGCATATTTACAAGTTAATAAACAAGAGTTTCCTCTCCTCCAAACAGTTCCATAGGTATTTTCGATTGCATCGGCGTAAGCGTCGGCAACCCTTGACTGTTAAAAGAAAGAAAACAGTTTTCGTTTTTATATTTGTTTATATTTTACCAAGTCATCATGATCATCAGCCATCTTACAAACACCATCTTCTAAAACACTCCATGCAAAAAGAATCGTTTGAGCTGCCGTGTGCATCGTATTCCAGGCCAAAACCTTATGTCCAATTCTTAAAGACAAATCTTGAATAGCTTTAGTTTCTGGTTCGGAAGCCTTTGCACTTCCGCAAAATTCGTCTGTGCAAGGATTAGTCGAAGCACCAACAGCTAATTTTTATTCAATAAAAATAATAAGAACAGATAAGAACAGTTATAAATATTTAGAATGAAAGAAACAAACTTCCCCATTTGATATCGAAATTCCTATCTAAATCAACTCCATTACAGATCGAATTCGGATTAATACTTCTAGTCTTACGCCAAAATCTCTAGTATAGGAGATGAATGAAGAATAAAGCACAGATATCATCTGTTCTTATAAGATCCCCTTTTTATAGTATACTATCCAATTTACTTACTTCAGTCTCCCAGGTATAAACGTAACCGTCTGGATTCAATATGATAGAAAAATAGAAATCGTATTTATTAAGTAGTTCAATTGCATCATTTTCTTCTTGTTTGTGAATCTGCAAAATGATGGAGAAAATAGCAATTTTTTAAGCAATTATATTCTAAACAAATCATCAACAACTATCGTATTGACAGATTATTTTACCAAGTCCAGAACTTTCAGCAGCGTTGCAGGAGCTAACCATTCTCTTGAATGAATTGTTGAGTCGAAGACTAAAACTTTTCTATCGGGGCCTGGCTTGGTTATCTATTATTGTTATTTTTCATATTTAAGAGAGAGAGACTTGCGATATATATTCTCTGTTTTTTGTATTTATTACCTTTAACATGCGAAGGGGTCTGCCCTCGACTGAATTACCAAATTCCTCAATTTCGCAGGTAACACCTTCCTTGCAGTTTGCAGCGTATCTATCCAATTCAGAATTTATATCTTCAAGTGTGTTGTAATCATTTATGTTGAAAACCTTCTTCTGATCTAATCTCTTCCACATATCTTCAAGATCTCTATTATTTTTGGAAATGATAATTAAAGAATTAAATTTCTATCGTGAGATAAGTAAATATACTTTTCAACGTTGCCATTGAGAATTCTGGCTTTTCCAGTAGATATCGGAAATTTAGAGTCGATTAGTATAAGTTGGTCAGGATCCACCAACATTACAGCTTCCTTCCCAATAATTCTTGTTGGTTCTACCAAGAAATCAATCTGAAATAATTGACTCGTGATTATCTTCTGACGTTTAATTGATTTAAGCTTTTAACTCACGTCGCTATATCTCTGGAGATGTTTAAGCAATTGCATCTCTTTTTCAGAGTTGGGTGTAACCCCCACAATCTTGTAACTAAAGTAAAGACGAGCGACAAAATAAGAAACATCAACAGCTTATTTTATATAAAATATCTGTTACTTTTTATAAGATTTTCGACATTCTCCACAAAGAGAGATGGCAAATACCAAGAGTAAAAAATATCTTATAGACATTGTTAAACAACTTCCTCTTTTATTGTTATGCTTTTGTTATTTTGATAAATAATAAATTAAAAAAATTAACGGTATTTATGTAAAAAATTCCTTTAAAATCTGTTTATTCACATACAAATGTAGTTGTGTTATATGCTAAAATTAGAATAGTTGTTTTAACAACCTAACTTGATTATAAACATTAAGCGTTTATTCGTATTATTGTTGATCTTTTTCCCCTCTGCATCGAGTGCATTTGGCATTGAAGGAAGGAAAGTTTCGCATTATTTTTGAAGTAGTTGCAGCAAAAATTCATTGAAAATTCTACGATAAATTCCCAGTTTGATGAGGTGAAAGTTGAATACTTTGAGGATTTCATTAAAAAGACTCTAAATTAGCGTCTCTATCAATCTTTTTCCTTTCCTTTGTTATTTATCCCCCTTATTATTCTAATAAGGCTTAAATTTCCAATTTTTTTTTCCATAAATCCTTATCTAAGGATTAGGTTTAGTTATTATGTTTTATTACTGTTGCCGTAATATATGAAATCTGTATATTCTTACTTTAATATAACCTAACTATCAGCTCTCTATCTCTATATATATTCATGTTTATCTAAATTAATACAGTATACTACTATAATTTATATATAGAGTATATATACAAGTATATATTACTATATTATACTGTATATACTTATACTGTATCTAACTCAAAATAGTCGTAACAAACAAACCAAATCTTTGCCTCTTATCGCCCACCAACTCACACCCTTCCACAATTCTACCCACATTCCCTACCTAATATCAAACCATCAGACTTAATAATTCTATTTGATAAACATACATAGAAAACGCCACCTTCAGGATGTAGTGGGAAATGGAAGGAAGTGGTGTGATGCGAAAGAGCATAGTTTTGAGATAAGGGAGGATAAGAGTGGGAGAGAGAGAGAGAGAGACAGAAACAGAAATAGAAACAACGAGCAAGTGATTGGAACAAACAGAGAAATATTAATGTAATTGTTCTTAAAAAACAATATATATTCTTCTCCCTTTGACAAATAACTTTCGTATTAGAACAATCCCACGCCAAAATGAATAAAATAACGAATAAACGACCCATATAAAAACACAGAAGTACGATGACAATGTCTTTTTATGTCATATAGTTTTTTCTCTTAAAACGTATTAGTTATAAATTAATCATTACCGATTAGTGAGATATGGAAAAAAATCAGTAGTAGAATTATAAAAGCAGTAAAAGCTATAAATGATATGGACATTAATGAAAAATTGAATGAGTCGAGTTGCGCGTTCCACAACAAAATACAAGATAATAGGAACTTTGAAGAAAATACTGGATTGCAAAGGGAGTAAATATAGGCTTTATAATACAGTTGGGGACTTTTATCCATTAATAATTGAATATTTTATGACGAAATTATTCACTTTCATTACTATGGAGATGCTATTATATCAAAAAAGCATAATGTTAAGGAGAAAAAGGAAAGGAAACAGAGCATATGAAGAAGAAAAAATTAGAAGGAAGCGACCTCCTAAACTTCTCTTACAAGAGTTAACAAATGATCCCTTTACTAATCTACTTAAAATTCTTCTCTACTTCAAATGTTATTTATTCACTTCAAAAGAAGTATTACTAATTAAATAACTCTCCTCACCTAATTAATTATTACCATTAAATGTAATTGTTGTAAGAATTTTTTCATATAGGCCTAGTTTATTGAGAAAAGAAAGAAAGGGATTAAGACTTATATATTATATTTAAATATCTAGCATTAAAATATATATTAATGGAAAAAAAAGGGCATTGTTAAAAAAATATACAAAGTCAAGCCAACTTTATCACTTAGAGTAATGGAAACAGCGTTATGATGATAAAAGCTCTGTATTATTGATTAATGGAACATTGCGTGTCAACATTCCACCACTTAGAAATCCTCCTTTTTCGAAATCTCCTTTGCCCTCTTATAAACTGACATAATTCTCCCAGTTCGATTCGCTTATTTTCCACTAATCCTCCGCTAAAAATCCAATTTTTCAGGCGGAAGTAGGAATTTTTATCAGCTACTAAGGTCTTCAAATGCCGTCCTAGGAAAGCAGGTGACGTCGATTGGGGAATGAACAAAGTCGAATTTTCCGGTAAGATGTTTGATTTAGATTGTTCTACTCCATATACAACAGGAATTAGGCCGTTACTAAGTGCTTTTATCACGGTTGGATTCGCGTATCCTCTACAATTGGAATTAGAGGGGATAAATTGATATTTATATAGTTTCTCGGCATCAGGAAATAGCGAATTATCGCATTTCGATAAAATATCAACGGGAATAAACCGACTGAGCAATTCTATGTAATTTTCAATTCTTTCTGTTGTCAATGACTGATGGCAATCTTCTTTCATCCAAAATATTAACCTTGTTCTTGAGGCAAACTCACTATCGAAGGCTCTTTCATCAGCTTCATTGCTATGTATAAAAAAAGTTCTTTTAAACTGTTTAATAACAATATCCGATTCTTTGACATAGGATATTAGCCAATCAAAGTGATTATCGATTAGCTCACGATCAAGAGATTTATTAGGTGGAAAATCCGAATAGAGAAATTTTTCCTTATCTTTAATGTTCTTTGCAGAGTTTATGAATGAATTAAGATCCTTTAAGTTGGTAACAATCACCTGAGCTCTCTCTATATCCTGAGTTAAGATACAGTCCCTCATAACTTCATTATTCGTTATTTCATTTGTCGACCATATAAAAATGTTTGTAACTTTCCCATCTTCATAATTTGTTACTAAGAAAACGAGTATTATCCATACTAATCCACAAAAAACAACAGTTTTTGCAATTTTACGTTTCATTGCAGTATTCTATTCGAGAAAATAAAAATACAAAACAAGGATAAACTGGAAGATTGCGATATGAAATGTCAGTTCCAATAGTCAATATATTCTTTGAGTTCCTTATGATTTAAAGAATTAAAGGCGTTGCTGCGTTTGAAAATTACATTGCAACTGCAATGTGCTCACTTTCTCTTTCCTCTAACTCTTTCTCTATCTATCTAAATCTTTCACTCATTCACTCTGTCTGTCTCCCTCTCTGTTCTTTTCTTTTTTCTCTCTCTTTTTTCTTTCCTTGTCTCTCTCTCTCTCTCTCTCTCTCTCTCTCTTTCTCCGTGGCTCTCACTCTCTGCACAAAAAGTAAAACTGCAGTAGTGCGCCACTCATTTATTCTCAATCCAACTATATTGCTTTTTTTATACCCAGATCACGTTGTAGTGCATGTTCTATTGGTCATTTAGTTTTTACTGGAAAAAGAAAAAAATCTACTGTTTTTCGATCGTTTTTGTATAGTTAGTAATATTTTTTCCTCTCAATAGTTTTCATTTAAATTAGACTTCTACGTGTTCTGTTAAAGCTTTCCCTCGATTGGTTTATAATTCAGTTATAAGAAGACGTTCGACAGTTGTTATGCTTCATTATTAATGTACCCTTCGTTAGGAAGAGTACAGACTATTACAGCTATAACCTATACATTTTTCAATCTCATAAAAGAAACAATATGATGAATATTCAACAGTATAAATAATTAATTTATATAACCTGTTTTTAATGTTAAAAAAAACGAAAATAAATAAAATAAGGCTAATTTCTATCAAAAATACCAAATGTGTTTTTTTTTACTCCTAACATATTTAATGTGATATGATAACATAAACGGTATGCATACTAATTGGACAAATAAAATTTAGTCGCTTATTGTCTTGACCCCATTCGGTCAAGGTGACTCGCCTGAGAAGATAAAAGTCTCCAAATCGTTTAATGTATAAAATTGTAAATTCTCTTTGACTTTTATATTAATTTATTGCGAAAATCATGATGTCCTGAAGTAATAACGTCATCTCGGGCGGAATTTCAATAAGCGCAACCAGAGAGTTGATTGAGTAGGTTTAGAGTAATTTTCTCCCTAATTATCAATTGGCTTCCATACTGTGCCAGTGCTAATTATCAAGATGATTGATAGAAAGAATGCATTCCACGCTGGTTTCGGAAATGAGACGACATTCTACTTACAACTGCGACTCTCGAACTGATAAGATAGTATAGTATATTAATTTTGTTCCTGTTCTATTATTATTATTCAATAGTTTCAATTAAAAGAAAGAAAGAGAGAGAGAGGGAGGGAGAAAAGGATGGATTTATGGAAAGTGTCGTTGCTCAGACAAGGAATCAATTTATATTTTTGCATTACCCTTAACGACTCAATACACCTTTGACACGACTAAAGATTACTCTGTTTTTTAGTGTCTATAAAGAAAAAATATCTTCACATTTAATTATTGTGTCAAACATTCCCATGCACTAAATAGAAGATTTTCCCTTTCTATCCTTTTCCCTGTCTATTTGACTAGCTGCTCGAGCAAATACAAATTGCAACAGCTAATATTCAGGCATGACTAAACTCGAGGAATCGAATATCAGATGAAGTCTATCCACGTTATAATTTATCGATGAAGCTATTGACAGCCCTGAAGACTTTTTAATATTTCGATTTTTATCGTACGTAAACAAATAAGGAAGGATTTATAGTTAGGGAAAAAAATGTCATACTATTATCAGACACGAACGCCATTATCGTCTCGTTTCTTAGACAAATAGAGGTTGTTTCCAATGGAATATCCATCTCTTACGCAAACATTCTATTGTAGAACTTTATATATTATTATTTATAAGTCATTAATACATCCTGTTTTGCGAAAAGTGTTTGTACTAAAAATTGTTTGATCAGCAACAAATGCCTTGATCAAGGTACAGAAATAGAAAGGAGTAGTAGTTGATACAAGATATCATCATTTCACTATAATGTGCGAGTAACATAAAGATTATTGGTTAGGAGGAGGAAAAGTGAAATAGAATGCTTGAATGAATAATAGTAACCTAATGAATTTATTTACAAGAGGAGAGGAACAATGTATTGAATTGTTGGAAAGTAAATTTCTTTAATAAAAGTCGCATTATGGTAACAAAAAGAGTAGCTGATAAATCTAATTATCTACAAAATTTATCTAATTTTTCTTTCCTTGCCATAGAACCAATTTAGTGCTTCGTTTAAGATCCAATACTGGACTATTTGACCTACAACTAGATGTCTCTAGTTGGAGAAGAGAAGAATATTTCTTCTATTAATGTATAATAAGACATTTTTACATTTAAATATATGGTTATGTAATAAAAAAAAGTATACGTAATTCAGTTTTTTAAAAATTGTATTGTAAAAGGGGACGTCCTCAGGCGAACTGGTTTAACTCATCTATTTCGTATTGGCTGATTTTTCATTACGCCATCGGACAATCCCCGAAAACAGCGCAGATCTTTCTAGTTATATGCAGCATTTACCAGGCCATTCTGCTGGTGTACACTAGCAGTATTGCATGCATTATTCTTGCCTATAGATGGCGATAGCTTTATAAAATATTCTTTCCCTTAGTCTAAGTTATCTAGTAGTAAGAAAATAACTAAAAAATCATCAATTTATAAATTGTATATAAATCTTCGTATGACAACTCAATAAAAAAAGGTTAAACGTTTAAGGCCACAAGTTCAAAAATCAAAGAAAACCATTTTTTCTATCAATTCTTTTATCGGACAAATCCTTCTTTGGGTAAAATTCTTCGTTAACACATGGCATTGTAACAAGTTCTTTAATAGCATTTAGATTTTTTTTTCTTTAATCTTTAGTTCTTTATTCTTCCTGTTTCTCTTGAGAAAAAAGATAAAAGCCCAGTGCTAGAAAGATAATTTTATTCTTTGAATTTTTTTATCAATTACTACTAAGAAGAGAATCTAGAGGGTCGATCTTTAATTTTTTCCTTGGTTGCCCTTCAGCCTCAGTACTCTGTCCTAGTTTATAGGCAGCCATCTCCTACAAGGAAATTTACATGATTAGATGAAAACATAGATTGAAAATTGCTATTTGATTACCTTTTCGTAACGTTCTTTATCCTTTCTAGACATTTCTTCATAGTGTGACAAGTCATCACAGGCCTCCCATTTAACTGAAAGCTCTTTTGCTATCTCCATTGGGGTTATGTTAGGAAATTGGCTACGTATGGAATCCTTCTTCTCGGCACAAAAACACAAAAATGCTGACATGTAACGCTTAGGGGCATTCGGATCTTTAGCTTTTTTCTTTCGCTTTCCCTTTCCAGCGTCATCCATCTTAGTTGGTGATTCCTCTCTATCAGTCCTATGATTTTTTTGGGCCATCTCGTCAAATAGATACTTCTGTTGTTGACTTATGCCCTATATAAGTTGTAAATTTTTATTTATTAATTAAATTATAAGTAAGCATAGAGAAAAATTTTCTAACCTTCCATTTCTCAGTACATTTCTTGGAAAATTCAGCAAACACAACAGATTCGTGAGGGTTCTTCTTTTTATAATCCTCTGTGCATGTTCTGTAAAAAAAGGCATATCCACCTCCTTTCTTTACCTTTTGTTTATCACCTTTGACGTTCATCTTATTCTATTTACTGTTCTGTGCTGTACAAAATAAAAATTGCAATGTTTAATTGTAAAATTTTTTGGTTTAAATAAAAAATTTCTGATCGTTTTTCATTCACTTACAATCTTTCCGACACCGTTACTCCACAAAAACCTTCGAACTTGGAATTACCTTCATTTAACATCAATAAATATTAGTGTTTTTATTTTTGATAAAATCATAATCCCCACCTGAAATGGTTTTCTATATAATAATCCAAAAGCGTAAGATTTCTTGCTGCTTGACCAGTATGATCGAGTGCAGATTATTTTATTATTTGTCTTGAACTAATCTTAGTTTCTAATATATTATTTAGAAGGTTTCTTTTTGGAATTTTATTTAATTTTGGCGAAATAATCACTTCGATCATAAATGTAGGTGGCGTTACTTTATCAAAATGGCAGTCAAGTGACTTATTTATCGCTTCTTTCAAGTCATTATACTTTGATTAAATGATTTTCTTTACAAAATCTTATACCCATTAAAATACTTCTAGATTACATCGGTTCCTCTTATGCCTTTATATACATAAATCGAAAAAAGGCTTAATGTTTATGTAATATCCTCAGTCTTCTCAATATCGCTCAAATAAAATAAAGAATAAATAACATTACCTTTAAAAAAATCAACTGAACTCGTGCTGAATATAATGAATAATTATTTACGAAAATTTACTAATATTATAACATTAGTATATTGACAAACTCTAAAAGATATGCCATTTGTAAAAACTTGTTTATGAAATATAGCCAAGAGATGGAGTTGCTGATCCAGCCTTTTCGCGAGCGATAATAAAGGCTATAATAATTGAAAACCGCGTGTAGAGAAAATGGCAAAATCTATGAGAAGCAAAATTAAACGAAAGCATAGAGCTGTAAAACGTGAACGATGGAATGATAAGGTTCATAAAAAGAGACTTTTGGAAGCTGTAAAAAGAGGAGAGGAGAATCTAATCAAGCAACAGTCTACTAAGGTAACTTAAGACGTAGAAGTCAATAAAATTATCTGAAGAAAATAATTTGAGAAAATCATTTAGTTGTCTATATTAATAAAAAGCAAGCATATTTTAATAATACTGTAATGATATAAATATATTCTGTTTTTAGGTTGTAGAAATGAAAGACGTTGAGGAGTCCAGCGATGAAGAAGTCATGCAAATAGATACATCGGGTAAAGAAAAGAAACCAAATATGGATGAAAATGGACAATATCCTGTATGGATGAACCAAAGGAAGATTAAACGTTTAAGAAAAAATAGGAATAGGGTAGAGAGAAAGATGAAAAAGAAACAATTGAAGGGAAAAAAGAAAAAGTAAATTTAATATGAAGAAATCATTACGAAATCTTGTTTGTTTTTCTGTGTTATATGCCTTTATATCGATACAATATGATAAATTTATAATTTTGTACTCATTCTATTAGTAAAAACATCTGATCTGTTTCCATTGTAAAAATGAAAACTCGATCTCTTGAACTAATCATCTGACAACATAAAAATTATCAGTAGGACATACAATACTGCCAGAATTTAATTCTGGGATGGGCAAAATAAAAAATATTCTAATCGTCCACCTCGAGTTCTTCTCTCTTTTTCTTCTCTATTTCGAATATAATCGCAGGGTTTATAGGTTTATATCGAAGATTACAGGACGACGCGTTGATAAAAATAGTATTCTCATCTGTTGTAATACCATAGTCTTCGTGAATATGACCAAATATATGAAAGCGGGGTCTTATACATTCTATGACCGATAGTAGATCAACACAGCCAACATGAAAATTATATTGAATTTTATCACCGTGCCCCATTGGAGGTCCATGAGTAATTAGGATATCAGTATCAACAGGTATCTTTTTCCATTTATTTAAAAGAGGTTCACCTCTATCCAGATTATAGGCCCAAGAGCAAAATTCTGGCTGCCAGGGTGATCCATAAATTTTGACTCCATTGATAACAACTTCCTCATCAATTAGACAAGTTCCATTAGTAATAAGTTCTCGAGGATGGCTAATATTTAATCTTTTTAAATCGCTATTGGTTTTGTTTTCTCCTAGGCGATCAATCGGTGGGTCGAAGGACAATTCATGATTTCCAGGTATAACAATCTTATGTTTATGAGGTAATTTGCCTAAAAATTCATTAAAATCCTGCACTTCCTGAATTCCTCCTTGTCTTGTAAAATCTCCAGCATGAATAAGAACATCTCCATCCGGTATTTTCATTTTGTGATGTTGACTATGAGTATCAGAAATACAAACTACACGTAATTTATTGTACCTTCGAATATGCTTGATGTCAAAAACTTCCTTTTTATCAAGCTTTATACATTTCTTGGTTTTTTGAAATTCCCTCCAAGCCGTCTTAATATCATTAGATAAGGGATGTGGCGTTAAGGAATCTAGCTCAGTTTGTTTATCCATAATGGTAGTTCGTTCGTCTTTTGACGATCTGTTCGTAAGATAATTCAACGATTATGTATATAAGTCAACTGGACAATATTTCACAATATTTCAAAAGCGGAATATTACTCACGCAATTGATTTCCTTGTAGTAAAATAAATACCAGTTATCTCTCAACAAAAAAGTTTCAGCTCAAAGTTAGAATGAGCAAATTTTATTGGAGAAAGGTCTTTATAGCAACATTAAATGTTTATCGAAACTTTCAATAATTTATATTAATTCTCTTTCCGTTTGTCCTTATTTATACAGAAATATAATAAACATTATAATTATAAATATTTATAATTTACAAAAAGAAAAACAATGTAACAGACAAAATTATGCATTTAACTGAAAGAAAATGCATGTGTAAGTAACATTCTTGAAATTAAAAGAAGATGAAGAGACATCTCTTTTTCTTTTTTAAAAAGAAATTGTTTATGTTTGTTTCTTTGTTTCTTTGCTTTTTTTTCGATACTGGAAAGGTATTGTGTGAAAATTTAATGGATTATATAGTTATTAATATATATATATATATATATATATATATATATATATGAGTTTCAATTCAACAACACATTTATACATGTATACACATATACATTTCTTTTTTCTAGTTTTGCTGTCTTTGCGTTTTCTCTTAACATGAATAGTTTTCTCTAAACCACAACACAAATTCATCCAACAGTACTGGCCATGCTCCATTTATATCATATGTATCTAAATCTGAACCTACAGTTTTTGCCATTTCTAAAATGCTATACCATTGGTCTCGATTAATTGATCTGTAACGATCTGTCTCAGCCATTCTTTCTAAGAATAAGCAAAACGTTCCTGTCAAACGCCATGAGGGCCCCAAAAGAATCCGAAGCAATCCTTTTGTTGTTTCCAAATCTAAGTATCTTTCAGCTGACTCTTTACTCCAGTCGAATGCGTATCTGTAAATCTGTTTGAACGTGGCATAATTTGTAAGATATCGCTCAAGCGATGGAAGAATTTTTCGCAGTTTTTCAATAGAATCACACTCTAAACTCTTCATCCCTTTCATCCATTGATCTTTTGTAAAGAAGCCGCATTTTTCAGCCGCCAGCTTCCAGGAGAGCACCAACATGACAACATTTTCCGGTTCAACTTTCAAGTCAACACAGAGCTGCAGAACATCCTCAGGTTCCATAATGTCCTTGTAATTTGATTGGCTCTCAAACCAGTCGGAACATCGTTTTGAACTCCATCGATCCATAACATCAACTCTTGCTTTTTTTGCAGAGGTTTCTTCCACTTCGGATTGCTCTCTCTTTGTCGAACGTCTCATCGAAAAGTCTTCTTCCTCTTCAAGTGATAACGTTCTCATTCGACAGGGTAATCCCCCCTCTCCTGTTTCTTCTTGTATATCCACGCTATTTCGTAAGTTGATTAATTAGAAATGTAAATCAGAATTGCGTAATAAAATGGATTTTTATTTGTATATTATCCAGACAACTGACAAAATAAACCACCAACCTGGTTATTCAATAAAGTTTACAATATTTAAATTTGAATGATATAAGTTATCATACAAATAAATTATGTTTTCAGTTTATCCTCATTTCTTCTGCTAAGATTGGCTTTTTCAGAATCTGCTAAATTAAAAATTTCAAAATGACGGCTTTTTTTTGAGTATTACTTTGCCATTTTTAAAATACTCTAAAACTGTTGTCTTAGACGAAAAGAAGTATTGCGCTGCTACTTAACATGGCTGCCCCCATAGTTCAATACGTCGTCGTTAGAAAAGACTTAATATCCTCTTTAAAGTGGCCAATTGGTGCCGTGATTGCTCAAGCTTGTCATGCTTGTTCGGCAGTAATTCATACATTTTATAGCGATGAACATACAAAGAATTACTTGGCTGACTTGGATAGAATGCATAAAGTCGTTTTGGAAGTAAGTTTTTTACCGATATTTTCTCAAGAATTTTCGTAAAAAAACAGTATATTTTGAGAAAAAGCTCAATATCAGCACAAAAAATATTTATTTGTTAAAATTTCTCTTTTTATTTATTTTCACTCAACAAAAAAATTAAGACTATTTTAAAATAATAAAAACAGTCAAAATATTTAATTACTGCATCTGATCGATATTTAAAAGAAAAGATACACGTACTAAAACTCTAAATTTAATTATATAAATATTACATTCATAAAATTAACTCTTATCTACTACTTTTGATTCCTTTAATTTTCAAACAGATTAAAGATGAAAAATCTCTTCACGAATTAGCTAGCCGACTAACCGAAGCCGAAGTGGATCACAAATTGTGGATTGAACAACCTGAAAATATACCCACTAGTCTAGTTACGAAACCTTATCCGAAATCTTTAATTGAAAAAAATTTTAAAGGACTTAAATTATTCAAATAAAGTTACGAAATAAATCTCAAAGTTATGTGTAAATATTAATACTATGTCATCCAATCGGCGCTTCTATAACAAATAATTAATTCAAAGTTGTCAACCAATCAAAGGGTGTAATACAACAATAGTCGAGCAATCAACGTAGAGTGTATTTCGCGTCTGCTACCAAGAACAGGCACTGAAGGTTCTTCCTATTTTCTTCCATAAATCTTCGCGATGGATGATTACTTTACCGAGAAGCTTAATGAATTTGTCATAAACCAATTGAAATCTTTCGGTGCTCCATTTGAGCGAATAGAAGGTAGCCTATGTATTAGATTTGATATGGAGAATGAAAAATGTTTCGAACTGAATGCCGACTACGCCAGAACAAGTGAAATCCCGCCAAGAACGTCAGGTTGTCTTAAATCGAATGTTGGTGATTTTATTCGTAAACATTACGTTGGTGATCGCCGTGGAAAACTATGCGGGCTCGTTAAAATCTATAATGGAGAACAGTATGTTTCTGTGGATTTAAATGCGGAATATGATGGTGTTGAAAGGGACGTGGCGAAAAAAAAGAAACGTCGGAACATGACATCGTCAGTGGATGTTCAAAAATTTGGTCCCAATGAGCAAGTTGACTGTAAAATCTGTAATTTGTCTTTGAACGCTCAAGCTATGCAGCATCATCTTTACGACCGCCATTTTGATAATATCGGATCTAACTGCAAGGCTTATATACGGCACTATGAAACCGGAAAGAAATACAGATGTACAGTGTGTGATTTCTCTTCGGACCGGAATAAAAGTGTTCATGTTCATGTACGTCGTTTACACATGTTAAACAAACGGTATGAATGTCCCCTTTGCAGGACATCTATGCCAAACGTGCACAAGATGCATGAGCATATCAGACAGCATTTTGCGGTATTGACTAAATACTTGGGATTTGATGTTTTAAGAGGAGCCAAGAATGTTGTGGACTTGTAATTTATGGCATTCGTGTAGTTTTCACTAGTGTAATTTTATAATTGCTTAAAGTAAACTATGCCTTTGTTTTGTCTTTCTTTCAATTTTATTAATTTTGATCGAATTGTATAATTTGTTGATGTTCACGTTAGGCGCTTGCACTTACTGAATGTTTATGATTCTTAAGGTGTTGGTCAAACTATGGGTTTGCCCAGTTTTCTGATGTTGGGCCGAATGATAACAGCAAATCTCTTAGAAGGAAATATGGAAACTAATTTCGAATTTTTTAGAACTGAAAAGTACTAGGTCGGATTCGGGGTGAACAAACTAGTCTTTCTCTCATTATGTGCCCTTTCATAATGTTGATTTTTAATCAAATGGTAATTAAATAGCAATAAAGTATTCCGTGTTCACGTATTTTGTATTTCGAATGCAAATAATAAATTTCAATTATAAAACGGTTTCACTTATAAAAGTCTTATGAAATTCGATTAACTCTCCTAATTAAATTATTGAATTCGTAACAATACATTAACCAAGTAGTAAAAAATAAACAGCTAATTACCTTTTAAATAGTACACTGATTCAATCAATTATTTACGCTCCTCCCTTATTTATTTCTTTAATTATACACTTAATCAAGAAAAAAAACAAAAACACTTTTTTTCTTTTGATTGATTAGGCGAACAAAAATTTAAATATTTTAATTAGAACAAGTATAGATTAAGATTATTAATGAAACTTGAGTAGTTTAATAACTAAAAGAGCGTAGAATACACATAATTTTTTTACATTATACATGAAAAACAAGCCTTAATGAATTATGATTTGTTTTCTTTATCGAAGAAGAAATCGAAGGCAAAATTTTTGTTGCTAACTCCTAATCGTAGATTTTCTTCACTCTTCTCATACTCTTGAATCTGTTAACATAATTGAAAACTTAAGACAATCAAACGAAGAGACTGTAAAAGTCGAAGTACTCAAAGATGTTTCTATATAGTTAGACTGCTAAGATCTTATATAATCCGTAGATAAAATTGTTTCCCTTACACTTATCTCGATATCAAAAAGATATTATGCAAATAAGATAAAAACAAGTAACACTTTGGCAAATACTAGCAATTACAAGTCACAAAATTACTTACTTGCTGAAGGAATTCTTCCCCTTCGCCTTTCAAATCTAATTCGGTTACTGCATTGAATAATTCATAAGGGGACGGAAGATCGTCTACTCCTAAACCTTTAAAAAACTGTTAACAAAAGAAACACTTTAAATTAGCTTTAAGACTAAGTAAACAGCTTTCACCTTAATAACATTCTGACAATCTCTAAGTAAGAACTGATGGGCTAGTGGATGTAGAATTTCAACGGCTTGGCCTACGTCAATGACAAAGACAGTTTTGTCTTTCCAAAGTAAATTATAAGAACTTAAATCGGCGTGGACTATTTTACAATTGCGATACATGATTTCTAAATATTTGCTAACTTGTTCCCAAGCCAAATCGGCATCGGAACCCGTTAATTTTGCATCTTTAAGCGTTGGAGCTGGAACTCCTTCGTCTGAACCAATGAAAGACATGACTAGTACATGTTTCTTCAAAGTAACAAATGAAGGACAGGGAATGTTGTTATGTGCCAGTCTCTTAAGATTAGCGGCTTCCTTATCTGCCCATATTTTAAGAATCTTTCTAGGGTTTTGCTTTTTAAATTCATCTTTGAAAAAGCGAACATCGCCTTTGACATAAATGGCTCTATTTTTAAAATCGCTTAAAGTTGTTTTGAAAACCTTAACAGCACATTGGGATGGTATTACAGTTTCCTCGATTTTGCCACCAATAGCATGTAAAACAACAGATTCTTTACCAGTGCTAAGCAAACCGCGGAGCTCTTCCAGCCACCCTGCATTGACTAATTTAAAGAGAATAAGCCTAGTTCTTTCATCTACAGCCATTTCAGCTGTCGAATGCTCTTTCTTCTCATGTAATCGATTCGCTTTTTTATTTTCACTCATTGAATGAACTTTCAGGCTATTAAACACGTGATTTGGTAATTTAACTCCGGTCCTGTCTCCTATGCCCATTCCCGGGGGAAAATGATCCATCTTTGCTGCGTTTTTCGTTGCACACAAATCAGCATCGTGTTTTGTTATCATATTGGTGCCCTTTCCGCTAACTCCTGATTTATTAAATTGGGGAGTCCGTTCTACTTTGTCTTTTTCATGCCACAAGGGAAAATCCTCATAGTCATCAGAACTATCATCTAATTCATCAACTTTGACTTTATATTTGTCGTGAGATATAGTAACTAAAAATTACGGAAAATAATTAAATTTTTATACACGATTTCAGCTTTGCTATTTTCAAATTGATATTAACAGTTAAGAAGCTTAAATTTCGCAATCTTATTTGTTAGCATAAGAGTATAGCTCGCGACAATTTTATCAATTAGATAATGTTTATTATCAAGTCTTACTTTTACTTTGACCATTATATTTGTTGTCCAGACGCGAAATTATATCGTTTTGTTCATCGTCAAATTGCTTTTGTAAAAGCCTTGCGAGTAATTCATCACTAGTAGTATCGTTATTTTCCGAATCTATCCAAACTAGGTCGTCCTTTTCATTCCTTTAAAATGAAAATAAATTGTAAACACACAAATTTTTCTTTATATAATAAAACACTTTGTTAATAATGATTAAATAAAATGATTTGTATTAGAGTTTTTAGGCAGCCAGAGTTTTTTTTATTTAACAAATCCTGTGACTAACTGTTATTGGCATATATGTGTAAAATACCATTTGGTCAGTCAGCAACGTGGAAATTTTTTAGAAAACCTACAGAGTAGTACTAATTAGAAGAAAATTTTCGAGAGGAATAACCAAGGAAACGGAAATAGCAAATAATTGTGCGCCAGAGTGATTTCTTTAATTGAATACTCATTATTATTCATATTTTAGTTTTCCTACAGTAAAGATTAAAACATATGTTGATGATTGAAATTTTGTTGCTGCTATTGTTAGTTTGTTCGTTTTTTTTAAACTAATACATACGTTGCAGAATTAATAGCAGTTTTTTCCAATTCTAACGCCAACTCTTCGCTCATGACCTCCTTAAATGAACAATTTGGGGCTTTTGGAACTGCACCCCAGCCTTTTGCAGGTGGGCTCTGAATATTCTCTGTAGACTCCATGTATATTTTGGATATCTTTCAGTAGAATCTTTTGCTAATGATGGCCACGTGATTATAAATTGCACATATAAACTACCCGAAAACGATTACTTACTTTAATTACTCTACTTATCCAAAGTGTGACCGGGAGATATCCCGGTGATCGAATTGCGAATCTTTAAGTTATTTAGAATATATAGAGGTTTCATAAAACCTTTGTTAATGTTGTGCAATAAAGGTATACGGATTCTAGGATCCGCTCGAAGCTACAATCTAAGCAGAGAATTGCGATTTCGGAAAATACGGAATTTCCTAACACTACAGTTGAGTCATTCAAGGGACTAATAAAAGAATCGGCGAAATTGATTATATCATTGCATAATAAGTTCATTTAAAATGAAATTTATTACAAAATGAAAATTGAATTCAAAATTTACATAAAAATATACTTACAACTGTAGAAAAAGAATTATTATTTAAAAAAAATATAGAAGAAAAAAACTAGATAAAAAGTAAATAAATGAAAAAAAAGGGGGGAAATAGTGATATTTTTTGTATTTTCAGACTTATACAAAATCGGCAAACAGAGTATAACTATTTATAAGAATAAAAAATTGTATTTATTCGACAATAAAATAAAACAAAAGGAAGTTATTAAGTTATAATAAAAACAAGCACAGGTAAAATATTAACAAACGAAAAAGATCCCTCCCTGTCCCATTCTCTCCCGATTCCCAACCATATTTTACAAGATGTATGAAGAGAACTATTTTTTACGTTTCTTGTCTATTTGCAGACGTAATGAGCACTTAAGGTGATCTCTTTCTTAAAATGTACTTACCTTTCTGCAAGTGAACGATATTAATTCGCATTTTATTCTGTTCAGTTTGTTTTTTCACCCATACATCTTGATTTGATATTGCTGTTATAACACCTGGAACTCTACCTCCTTCTTTTGTCTCAACAAATACGCTTTGGGCCCTTTGAAAGCATTTTTTATCGTAGTAGAGCTTTCCTTCGTCTATTCTTGCGTCGAAAATGTGACCGTGGTCTGAGAAGCCAGCATTGCTGCTCAGTTGGGAGTACTGATGAGGTTTTGTTTTATTATAGTTTCCAGATAGTTTATTCAGAAGTTTTAAATCTTCGGCAATTTGTTTCTCTTCAAGTAAAGTGTTGACCTGGCCAGGTGTAATTTTCTTTCGCTTATCGGAATTTTGGGGAACTGGATCGTTGGGTCTCCTCCTTAACTTTCTTGTGGCGATGGGTTTAATTTCGACGTTATCGGACAATAGTTCCAGAGATTGCTTTTCCATTTCAAGGTTCTTTTTCTTCTCCTCCCATTCATGTAGCAAGTTAACTCGTAATTGAAATACGCCATCGTCATATTCTGTTTGAGCTCGGTCCATTTCCATTCTATATTCTGCTTCTATCTGGTCCATTTCCAACTCTCTAGCGACTTCCGTTAATTCTAAACGCTCCTAGAGTGAAAAAAAATAATTAATGCTCGATTAAAGATTTAACAGCAGCGATGGTCACCTGATAAGCTTGGTCGATTTTACGGAGTTTTCTAACATATTCTGGCAAAGTGCCCTCTTCCAATTGCTGCAATTGTCTCTTGAGCATGGCTAATTTTTGCTGATACATTTGCTCTTTCATCTCAGTGAATTCATATTCTACTTTCGGATCTTCAGTTTCACTTGCGTCCTCGGTGTCTTCACCATTAGACACTTGCTCTGAGGCGTCGTCTTGCCAGCCGCTACTTTCTGTATCGAGAGATAATTTTTATAAAATATTAATTATATTTTCGATCCTGAAAAATCTAAGCTTTTCATTAGTTTCTCATTATTATGTTGCTAGTAATTCCTTCCAGAAAGAGTTTGATTTATAATTTTTTTATTGATTATTATAAGAGGTTTTGGATAAACCATTATTTTTATAAAATCTTTCTACCTCGATAAAGTTAAACATCGGAAAAGCTTTTAATAATTCTCTTTAGTGCAGAGACGACTTGTTTCGATCGAATTCATGGCTTGAGTACGACGGCCAATGTCAAAAAAGAGACGTCAAATATAACTTAAGCATAAACTAATTTACGGCATTTCTTTGACCATTTTCCATTACTGGATTTGTTTGTGCTTATGATCTACAAAATATTGCTTAATTTATAAATGAAATTGCAATAGAATCATCAGAATTTATCATCTAATGGCATTGGTCACTGCTATCAATTCTTAAATTTGATGAAGATTGAAACCAAATAATCTTTAATAGTACTCGAAGAATAATGCTCACCTATATCACTACTTGAAGTATCATCGTCTCTTTCCATTTTACCGTAGTTACGTGAATATCTCTAAAATTATACGCTGTTTAAATGAAACGCTTGCGAACCAAGGTAGAGGTAAATACATCTATTTCCACTTCCGGTAGATGTCGTACAAAAGATAAAACCGTAAAATCAAAATGGCGGATTGGTAATCCTATTCGCTTAAAGTACGAATACCCATGGAAAAGTGCATCTGTTAGTAATCAACGATGTTTACTTTACAAATTTTTTCCATTTAAATGAAGGATGCAGGTTCAATAAGAACAGTGAGAAATTTTGCATTTAAGGCTAATGATGTTTGGAATAATTGCATACGTCGTGATTTTTCTTCTTTTGCAACAAGTACTTGCTAATCGACCCAATATAGTTCTCATCGTGACTGACGATCAGGATGCAGAATTAGGATCAATGAAAACTATGCATCGAACTCGACAGATAATGAAGGAAGGGTCTGAATTTTCACACGCTTACGTTTCAACTCCGATGTGTTGCCCTTCTCGTTCATCATTTCTAACTGGAATGTACGTGCATAATCACAATGTCTACACAAACAATGATAACTGTACTGGCACAGAATGGAGACAGGTTTCAAATTAATTACTATCAAAGCCCTTTTATAATTGCAAAGTTAGCGCGTCTAGAATTTTAACAATTCTATTTTGTTATACGTAAATTTATACAAGTACTTAATATACAGTATATATTAAAGATGTATGTATGTATGTATGTATATTTCTAATATATAGAGAGAATTTAAACAAGTTAGTTAAGATAATTACAGAATACCGTAGTTGTTTTCTAAACAAAGAATAGGCTCTCAGTGCAAAAAGTACAATTGAATTAATATAACTTTCTCAAAATAGTTTCCTTATTAAAAACTTTACTTGAACAATACAGAAAATTGACAGTATTATATACTTGTAAATATATATATATATATATATATATATATATATATATATATATATATATATACACACAGTATATATACTTATATGTATGATATAACTATTTTAAGAATATAATTTAATCGTACTGATAAGGGATTGCTTATAATTTAATAAATTTTCTTTTTTACTCTCTAAAACAGATTCATGAAAAGAAAACGTTTGCAACTTATTTACAGGATGTTGCTAATTATAGAACGTCCTACATTGGAAAGTATTTAAATAAATATTTAGGCAATTATACTCCTCCTGGATGGGATAATTGGATGGGATTATATAAAAATTCAAAATTTTATAATTATAAAGTTCGACGAAACGGCTCATTGGTTCATTATGGTAGTGAAGAAAGTGATTATTTTACAGATGTTATTAAGAGAGAAACAATTAGTTTTATTAAAGATAGTGTCAGAAATTCTAATAAGCAGCCTTTTTTGGCTGTAGCAGCAGTTCCAGCTCCACATGGTCCGGAAGACGCTGCCGAACGACATAGACATATGTTCGCAAATAATACGGATCATCATACAGCAGCTTGGAATTATGCTCCTAATCCAGATAAACAATGGATTTTGCAATATGTAGGCAAGATGAAACCTATACAAAAAAGCTTCACAAATACTCTACAGCGTAAGCGTCTACAAACTCTACAGAGTGTAGACGAGCTAGTGAAAGAGATTTACGACACCCTGGTGCAGCTTAATATATTAGACGAAACATATATTATCTACACGTCCGATCATGGATATCATTTGGGTCAATTTGGTCTTTTAAAAGTACGTCGTAAGTCAGAATCAAGTCGTTAAAATCAAGGCACTTTAATTACATTATTCATAAGATCGTATTGTATTTATAATTAATTAGTTGTATATTCTAACTTACGAAGTACTTTTAGGGCAAAGCAATGCCATATGAATTCGATATTCGAGTACCGTTTTATATCAGGGGTCCCGGTGTTCCTACAAATTCAATTTTTGAAGATATAATTGTTAACGAGGATATAGCTCCCACACTTTTGGACATTGGGGGAGTTGAAACCCCAAGCGGTATGGATGGTAGATCAATATTGCATTTGTTCGCGAAGGCGAAGGCAAAGGCAAATTATATCAAAAAGGATGGCAGAAATGCTGTTAAGAGAAAAAATGGGTGGAGACACACTATTCTAATTGAAAGAGGGTTTGTTCTCTGTTTCATATGTGCTTTAATTATTACTGTAATCCAATTAGATTTCAAACTATTTTTACTTAACTTACAGAAAGCTAACGGATAAAAACAGAGGCCTAAGGGATAAATTAGAGGCAAAAAAAAATCTTTATCTTAGCAAAAAAGAACGCAAAAAGGTTGTCTGCAAGAGATTAGAATATAACGGTCCCTGTACAACTAATAGAGGCTTTCGTTGCGTCAAGGATCAGTTTGGCGAATTAACAGTAGAACGTTGCCCAAATTTCTCAGAAATATCTAATTGTTTATTGAGAAAATGTAAAAAGCATAAATTAATCAATAAGAGACTTTTACGAATTATAAGAACAAATGTAAGAGATTTTAAGCGGATTGTTAATGAGACAAATAGTCAAGCTTTTAAGGAGAATCAGGAGAAATTTCAAAAGAAGCTGATGGCAATGGCAAAAACTTGTAATTGTAATCGAAAAAGAAGAAAAACACGATCGATCAGACCAAAGAGAAGAATAGAATGCGACGAAAAAGGGATGAAATGTTTTGAACATGACAGAGAGCATTGGAAAACCGAACCTTTATGGAAAAGTAAGTGAATTATTTTGTTAATCTTATTACTCTTATTTTATAAATTCTATTCCTTTCTTTTCTTTTTACACTGTTGAACTTTGCTGTTAAAATAACAGAGGTTTTTGAAATTAAATGATCAAATTATACATATTACGCCTTTATTAAGTAAATTTAGAGGTGTGTAGACGATTGCTATAAGTGTATATGACTGTAAGATGAGTTTTAAGCTTTACCCAATGACTTTTGAATATTATTGGATTGGCGAAATGGAAAAGAGCGACAGATGGAGCGACTATTTATTTATATATAATAATTAAACTATCATAAAAACAATAGATGATTCCGAGAAAATTAAAAAAAAGCAATTTTTATTTGAATCTCATCATTTGTAGTATTGACGCAAGACTTGGTATTTTAATCTAGTTAGAACCAGACGAAGCTCAAGGATTCGCCAACATAGGAAAAGAAAGAGAAAACTACCTAGACGGCAACATCCTTCTTGTACAGTAACCGGTGTTGAATGTCATTATATGGATAATAAGCATTGGACCACGGCACCATTTTGGAATCGTAATTAGTTCTAGCGTTAAATAGAATATTGAAAAATTTTTAAATCATCTATCAAATACATTAACAATTTGCCTCCTTTTTCTTCAATTTCAGTGGATCCAATATGTTTTTGTTCGAATGCTAATAACAATACATATTGGTGTCTGAGGACCGTAAATGACACTCATAATTTCCTATTTTGCGAGTTTATCACTGGGTTCTACAGTTATTATGACTTTCAAAAGGATCCGCATCAGGTATAAAAATAGAAGCCTATTTAAAATACTTTATATCATTCTATCATTACTAATTTTTTTAAGAATAGAAAAACACTCAATTTTATTCAATCGTACTAAAATCATTATTCATTCGACAGCAGAGTCGTTGATCTTTTCACTTTAATATTTTATTCTTTTTTAGCCTGGTTCATGAATTAATTGAATGTAGTACTCCATATCTGTAGTAACTCTCTAAATAGTCCGTTGACCTTGATATAAATATTTTTTTATTATGGACGAGGTTAATTTATTATTACATATAGGGGCGGTAGGTTCTCCCAAGACACCGAAACATTTGTACGACCTAGCGTAGAAGTTCAATGACTTCATACTTCAGGTCATCGACAGTTCGTTCACCGATAAATCTTAAACGGATTCTCGTGGATCCTTGCATTTTGCAAGCATATACACATCGAATTAAAAATAACTTTATTGCATAATATTTCTATAATTCCGTTTTTTATCAAATGTTACATATTTTGAATACTATCACGTACGCAAAACAGCCATTTCCTACTAAAGTGTTTATCTACCTTTATTTGCATAAATGATACACAAGCAATAAATTAGTTTTATACTTTTAGCTAATTAAAAGGCCTATGGTCTAATTAATTAGTACTATCTCAATGTTTATTTACAGTTGGTGAACGCTATTCGAAATTTAACACCGTCTCGTCTTCAACAACTAATTGAATCGTTAGAAAGTCTTAAAGCCTGCAGAGGTGTTGAATGTTGGAGGAGAGAGAGAAGAAGAAAGAAGATTTCTAGTAATTATTTTATCTCTTATCATTTACAATTTACACAATGCCTTTACAATATGAACTAATTATTCCAAATAGTGAAGAGGGTACTAAATGGAAGGAGATTAACAAACTACCACAGACTTGATTCAATCTTACCTTCTAGACGCCGAAGTTCAAGATTAACTTAAAATATACCGACAGAAAAGTGAAAATATCGTTGTCAAACAAAGTATAATATGTTTTTTTTTAAAAATAATTATAATTAGAATTTTTAGACGCTTTTTAAAAAAAAGAAAGTTGTTTGATGTCATATAAACAAACATTAATCATATTATCTGGGTTTTTTTTTTTGCTGTGTTTATACGTGTCGTTTTTTTTAAAAAAAAAATATTTAATAAACTTGCTTAATGTAGGAATATGTGAAAAACTAAAGCAAAGATGTATTTTATTCATATAAGCAAGCAGGCACAATATATGAATGAAAAAGATGAGAAGCACTAAACGGAAAGATAAAGATATATATGAGTTATAGAAAACTAAAGAAGCTGTTTGTCTTTAAACAATATAACAATATCAGGCGAAATAGAAAGTTTATGCAAGTTTGTAAACTAAACACTACGTTATACTAAGTTATGCTTACTTATAAAATGGCGGATATCTGAATGAAGTTGTAAATGTCTGCCTTCTAATGGTAGAGCGCCAAATAATAATCTGTTGGTAGCAGAGCAAATATTGCTCAACTTCAAAGACTTAACATTAGAAAATGATAGTTTCTATTGAAAAATACTTACTTTCGCTGTAAGTATGGCGAACGGCCGATGCGACGCTATAACCGCAAACTTCGGGTCTCGAGCCATGTTTAAAAGTGTCTCGTTAAAAGTTATCGGAAATACGTCGTAGACGCCGGCGTCAAGTGCCCTTTGTGATAGAGACATCTGAACAGACACTGGTAGAGATGCCCAGTAGCTTAAGACCATTTGACGAAGACGCTCCGGATTTTATAAAAATTACAATGTCTGAGTGTGTGACCATTTTTCAGACAAATAGGACAGAGTGTCTGCTTCAGGACATAGCAGCTCTTCCTAGTATGGTTTGGACCATTGCAGAATGTGCAAATAATAGTTGGTCGGCTGAAAGAGAAAAATGAAAGGGAAAGTTAATTAAGAATGCAAATATGACAAATGGCTTCTGATTGATTATAGGGTGGTATGATGTATTAGCCATTGGAATAAAAGTTTTACTAAACCGTTGGATTGGTTCCACCACTGCTCCTTTAGTTTTCTCAACCACTTCTGGCCAAAGATCTAGTGGCCACGAATTCTCCCACAAATTAAAAGCACGGTAGTTCGATGGTCTCATCTCCATTTTGTCCAGGAAAACAATATGCGTACTAATGATAACAGACGTTAAAAAAAATAAAAAATAGGCCCGTTTTACCCGCCAAAAAAACAAGCGTCTTACATAATAGGCCTACGCTAATGAATTAATTTCTTAAAATCATCCTTAAGGCGCTATTTAACATTAGATAATGTTTTTTCCTCCGTTTACATTTCAAATTTCCCTTCTTAAGTCATCTAATCAACAAATAAATAAATAATTCATAAGTATTTAATGATGAAAATTTGGGACTAATTTATTACGTGAGGCCCATAGCGCGTATTGTTTCACCTCAGGGTTATTTTTTATGCGGGGCACGTGCCTCGCAGTATTTAGTTGATTTTTTTAACGGTAAAAAATATAAATTATATGAATATTAATATTTCAAAATATGAAAAATACAAAACTAGAACAATTTTAATTGCATATTTTTTCCAAGTGCTAATTTTTAAATAACTTTAATTATATATCTGATCTTTCTTTAATAAACTATTACCAAGTACAATCTTTTCAAAATTTCAAAAATATCTACTAGAGCGCCACCTAGATTTCAATAACGGGGTATTTTTTTTGCCTCCTTTATTATATCTATTACTTATGGGTCAATTAATTAATTTTCAATATTACTATCGTCATTTGTGTTTTCAATGATAATCCCTTTCGTTAATGCTATTAATTCATATTCAACCAATAGATGTCCACTAAGTGGTAATTAGCGCCATCTATACTTTGCAACCTTGTCCTGTTGGGGTCGTATGACCTAATGAAAAGTTGAACGAAACCTCTGATAGTAAACTTTTAACCGATATTATCATCCTCAAGAGAGCAAATAGAGTAAAATAAAATATGTTATTTGTCTTTTTAAAAGTTGTTTTTTGTTTATGTTTTGATATTGAAGTTTTAAGAGAAAGAAAGAATATCGGATAAGGAGGAGAAGGAGAGTTAAAGAGTAAAAGTCTCTCTACTCTCTTTCTGCTCTCTTCCAAAAGTTTTTTACTTCTTAATAATACAATCTAAATTATAGACTAGATAGAGTAGGTCTCTGTCACTTACTTTCTATTCAACAGAATACAACTGATAAGAAAGTATACACTATTACATAAGAACAGATAATAAAGTGTTTTATTTATTAAACAACAGAGACGTTCAAGGAAGTGACTATATAATATTTATTTAATGTGAAACTTTCCTATCTGTTATCAACAATGTTTCAATCTCTAAGATATATAATGAGATGCGTTCTGTTTGGTCAAGCAGTGTGATTCTTGTGGAGTAAAATGTATATAATTATTTATGATACGCAATTCACTCTTATTTTCTAAGGGTGGGGGAAATGCCTTAGGTAATACCCATGCAATATGCTCAAGACAAAATTAGACCCCTAATATATACATCAAATCGCCATTACTGTTATTAAACTCCCACTGAGGTGAAATTAGCAGCTTTTCTTGAACAGATCAACCAAAAATCAAACTCCACCCATATTTATGAAGCGGATAAGGGAAAACTTCCTTTTCTTTTATCATCTTTAAAAATATAGAAAGGAAACAGACAGTAACATTGCGCATCAGCAGAACTCAATTACAATCCTTTTTGTGGTCGATTAGTCGCGCTCCCCAACCAAATAGACCATTGTTCCTATACGGCGTTCAAGTCACGTGGTGGTCGCTTTTTACCCCCTCCTCTCTAAAAAGTTAGACAGCGCCCCCTTCGAACCGTAGAGGGAATCGTCGTCACTCGAGTCACGGAAACGTAAGAAAGAAGGAATGGAGATTAGAGATAAAACTTTTTCGGAGACTTCATTTTCACCATTGACTATAGATGAATTATATAATTCGCCGAAAGGAGGAAAAAGTTTGGGAGATATACGTCACTGATTGGGGAAGCGTTATTGCCGACCTGTTCGAAGCTGGTATGTTGAAATTTTTAACACTTCGTTTTTTTCGCATTTTTAAATCCCAAAATACGGAATATACACATCCATTAAAAAATTAAATTCTTGAACGTTGCCCAGGAATTACTCGTTTACGGAGGTCAAATATTTTTTTCCATTTTTTTGAATGGAAAAGAATATTTTCCAATAGGCTTTTATAGATTCTTATTTT